AATGTAATGTCTTATGAAATCATTTTATTAGATTACTTTTGCTATTATTAAATACATTTGTTGCGACTTTTTCGTGATGATATTAAGGTCGTCTCAGACCGCTTGCTACTGGTTACCCACCTTTACAAGATGTGCAATACAATTTTTATGGTGACCAGTGACCAGCCTCAATGTCCTGAATAATATATATCTGTGTATACTTTTGGCAAGAGCATCTCTTACACCAAAGGAATTCAGAACAGTTGTGGACTAACAGTCCACCTGCAACTTATACATTCTGGGATAAAGGTTTAGAACTAATATAAGAGTACTAAAACAAGACAGCTACCGAATTGTGCATTGTAATGTACAATGCTTGAATATCTCATTGGTCTCACTTGTATTGATGATTGTCGAAGCTTGTGTGCCCTCTAGCCTGACGAAATCCTTACAGCACGGAAATCAGGTTGCATCTCCACCAAAATTCCATCCTTTATTGAAAACCTCATCCCTTATAAGTAAAGAAACACGACTAAGGTAAAGGAAATCGGCAGCATCACTTCGGCGTGCTGGCCAGTTTTCCAAAGAACTACTCAAGCAATACGAGCCAGCAAATGACGACACGACGGTATTTACTCGCAGAATGCAGTCAAAGAGAAGCTGAAAAGCTAAGGGTATATAGCTTAAGAATTAGGAAAGGTCAAATATCAACGAGAGCCGCATTGCGTCTGGATGACTGGCCGTTCACTGGAACCACCAAGAACCATAGAGAACGCCGACACCAAGGTCTGAGAAGAATGAGAAGAGGCCTGGAGAAAAGTCAAGTCCGCCGTACGGGCAACCAGGGCACTATAGGACAACGAATATGGAATCAATACCACCGAGTCATGAAAAGAACTGATATGGATATATAAATATAATACGAACCTCGTCTACAATTTGTGCTTCTGTCTGTTTTCCGTTGATCCAGATCCCGATCTTCTTCCAGCAGTTTTCGCCGTTACCGAATTGCTAAAATGGAACATGAGATTTCCGATGTTTAAGACGAGCAATCGTCAGCATGGCTTACAGCGCTGTTCAGAGCGACGATCTGTTGACATTTGATACCCGGACTCAGAGTCGTTCAGTTTGCATTACGATGATCGTCTACTCACGTAGTCTCCGTCATTGTTCCATCCCCCGCAAGCACCTCTAAAGAAATGAGAAGGTTAAGAACGAGAAATGATGACTTTCAAATAAAGAGTTCCACTCACTCGCCGGTTTTGTAATACGTGAAACGGAAGTTGCTATCCCGTTTCCAATCTTTTCCATCCTTATCTCTTGGAACAACTTCTTCTGCAGTCGTCGTCACGTTTGAGGCCTCCTTAGACAACGCTGGAACGGGAGCATCCAGGTGGTTCCGCACTTTGATCATTTTGCTGTGTGCAGCAGCTGCGGAACGCGCATCATGTACCACATTGGCGGCGACCCCAGTGAAAACAGATGTAATGCCAGCGATGGCGAAGAGAGCGGTTGCGATGCGGACCATCGTTTGTATTTCTTTCAAACTTCTCGGGCGGTGTGAAGTACTACCGTCGAAAAAAAGAGGGGTAGAAAAAAGGTGGAGCTTGCGGCTGGCTGGGTATTTATGTAAGGACAGTGACGATGCCGACGGGCGTAAAACGGTCAGAGGTCGCGTAGCAAATGAGGAGAAGGTAGTGGCACGAAGCGACGATTGACTTGGTATGAGTGAGAGACTCGGAGAAAGAGACAGATGAGGCGGGGAGTGTGAAAGTGACGTGAAAATATGAGTGGCTGACACCTCACCCACCTTACGCGGTATTTAGCTAGAGCTCAGCTAGCGAGTTAAAGAAGCTGAAGCGAGCACCCTCTTTCCATGTTTTGATGTTTTGATAATACTGATGTTCGGTCTAGAATGCTTCCGAACCACCCTTGGCTTTCGGAACTCCACTTTACGCGTTTCGTCTAGACGCGGAAAATGATAAGCGATGCTATAAATAGTTCACCCACGAACAAATGACGTACGTGCTCATTCCCTTCACCATTGTGGGTTCCCACTCGAAGAGAATTTGCCCGTCTGAAAGCCAAGAATTTGAAGAAATGAGATGACAACCGAGAAAATAGAAACAAAGTATTAAGACGGAAAGAGATGCTCCCATGTACTTCATTAACGTCTACTCTTTGACAATGCATAATGTATTCTACAATGTTCCTAGTCTCCAAGGAGTGTGTGGATCCTGCTATATGAGACGTGCCTTGCAAATGACAGAAGAATTATTCAATTTATAGATGCAGTGCAAGGATTCACAAGGTCGTACCTGGATAATATTCTGACAATTCTCGTTCCTTACTTCCGGCCGTGTCCGTACACTTCCACGCACCGCCTCTCAAAAGCCTGAACCATCATCGAGGAAACCTGTTTGAAGAATGCTGAAGACGCAGCGGCGTATATAGGATTGGAAAACGCGAATCCAAGGTCAATTGATAGTAGTGTGGGTCCATTAGCTGGAGAATCTGAAGATGGTGACCCGGCGGACGAGTGCGAACTAACGCCTGCGTGTGTGAGATGCGGAGAAGACGAATCCGCGGGCTGGAATCTCCATGTTGTCACAAGTCTTTTGAATAACGGTGTTCCAGACGATGCGACAGCCTAACAGCAGCAAAATTCACGTTATCCCTACTGGCCGCCTCTACCCGACGAAGTCGGTTACGCACCTCAACGGACAGGTAAGGCCGACAAGTTACTTCGCTCACATAGCTCTCCTTGAACGCTAAGAACCCGACTGTCAAGCGTGCTTCCTTCTTTTCTACCTTCCCTTCGTTCTGTGATGCGTGAGGATTGACTAGTCTTGAAGTAAGGACTTTTGATTCCGTGCAATAAGGCACGAAGTGACGATAGTTGTCTACATCCGCGACAAGCTCATATAGTTGTTTCTGTGAGTATCTAAAGATACTCATGTTAAAAATAATAATGCGTAAGAAAGGCCATTACTCACGGGAGGATCTTTCGCTCGTGGTACGTCTGTTCATGTCCGTTACCATTACCGTTGCCTTGTTCGTTTGAAAATGGAGAGAATGAAGACAAGCTGGGGACACCGAAGAAAGTCCTTTGTCCAAGAAACCCAATGGAATGCTTCCTGTGGCGGTTTATCGAGACATTAGAGAGAATTAGCCGCAGAGGTGGCGGACTGCAATTGAGTTTCATTGATTTTGGTTCGTAACAGCACACGTGAGAGGACTTGAAATGAATAGAAAGATATTACGTAATGAAATGGCCCGCGACTTACCTTAACTCAGATTTAAAATAGAATAGATAACTAAAAACATTAAACAAGAGTGCGCGTAAGGAGAGAAGTAACAAACCGAAGGCTCGATCGTCCATGTATGTGTACGATTTGAAACTCTAAAGTACGGCTATGGAATATAACTCTTGAGGATCAGTGCTATTTACACGCACTTCACAACGCCTATTGCTCACATATATTACTAGAGACTGCAGAACAGAAAATGTCCTAATATTATCCAAAATGAACTTATTTTTTTGTCCAACTATATTTACGCGTTTCAGCGAATTTATATTTATGAATACCAGTCGAATTCTCAGCTAGAGGCACGTGACCATCATGACAAGTTTCGTATCTCACTTTCTCTCTTTTCATCGATGATTCGATTTCCCATCAACCACCACACTGACTGTGGACAAAGTGAGTGCGATTCATGAGGATATCTTTAGGATCTCTCCTCGCATGCTCTTTCCGCCCGCGGAATGACGACACGAGCCAGACTCGCCGACCCAATTCATTATTTCACACTTAGATCCACCTGACAAAACACTGCCTTCCTGAGAAAGAGAATGCCATGCAATTGGTCTGCAGTAACCGCGAACTTCTACCATATGGCTTCCGACAATAATATATCGTGTGCACGCGCAACATAACTTCCGTCCGTATGAATCACGGCTGTGATTCTCATGGAAGTGGCTTATCAGTGCTATTTCGATAACGGCCTTTGGGAGGATTTGATATATATAGTCCAACGATCTATTCTCTCTACTCCTCTGGCGCCAGGATCATCCGGTTTCCACTTATCTGGAAGACTATCTATACAGGTATAGGTACTTCTTATGCAAAGAAGCAGAACACGCATATGCTGCCTCCTGCTGAGCCCCGTTCCCTGCGTTTCTTCCTCACGACATGTTCATGGCTTCTACGCTTCTGGACTACTATATTAGCTCGATGAACTCGTTCTCGACCCCCGGGTGACGTTCGTTCTCCCTCTCCCTCTGTCTGTGCTCTTCGGTTAATCCTCGGCTCTATTTCTCCGCACTATGCAGCTGAAGCTCGCATCGCTTGCATTGCTCCCGTTGGTATCATTGATAGCGGCTTCTCCGACGCCAGCACCTCCCGTACAGAGGATCCCATTGACAAGGCGGTCGTTTACGAAAGATGGAGTCGCAGATGTTAATGCGCTCAACACGCACCTGAATAACGTTAGAGCGTGCGTCTCATCTCCATTTACTTCATAAAATCTCCATTCATGTCGTTGTAGTAAGATTGCGAGGGGTTTCGCCAGTTTCCAAAGCAACACTGGCTCGGCGCACCCGAATGACGATGGCGGCCTTGCGAAGAGGCTACAGAAGCGCAAGACAGGCAAAGACCCGCTGACAGACGACTTTGATGGTGAACTTTGGCAAGGTTCGATTTCTGTTGGTACACCTGCCAACACGTTCACAGGTATGAAATCCTTGTTTCTTACAACAAACTCTATACTAAATAGAGCTGTCTAAACATTTTAGTGGACTTCGACACGGGTTCCAGTGACCTATTTCTGCCAGGAACCGCTTGCACAGACCAGAATTGCGCGGGACATAAGAAATTCAACACTGCAGCAAGCAGCACGGCTATTGACCAGCATCAGACGTTCCAAATCGAATTCGCCGATGAATCGACTGTCTCGGGAGAAGTCTTCCATGATACTGTCTCCATCGCTGGCCTAACAGCGACCAACCAGGCCGTTGTGGCCGCCTCACAATACTCCTCAGGCTTCGCTCTTGACGTTTCTCCGCCTGATGGGTTAATGGGCATGGCCTTCCAAGCGATCTCGAATTCGAACAGTCCGCCAGTGTTCCAGACGTTCGTTGCAGAGGGTCAAACTACGTCGCCCGTGTTCGGATTCACCTTACTTGACACTGGAGGAGAGCTATTCCTTGGTGGAACGGACACGAGCGCGTTCACCGGGAGTCTGACTTTCACACCTCTTATTACTCAGCCTGCATTCTGGGAGATTTCTGCACAGAGGGTGAGCGTCGGTAACCGGGCCGTCGTCACCCGCGCGCAGGATGCTATCGCTGACACTGGTACGTACTGCATTCGATTTTATTTTTATAAACAGAGATTCTGAAAGACTAATTTTGCGCACCATGTGTAGGTACAACTTTGTTCATCGTTGACACGAATAGTGCACGTGCAATCTATGCTGCCATTCCTGGATCTGCAGACGCAAGCCGTACATTCGGTGAAGGATTCTTCACTGTCCCGTGCAACGCTATCCCAGACAATGTCAGTGTTACCCTCGGTAATACAGCCTTCACGCTTTCTCCAGACACCTTCAACTTTGGTCAAGTCTCAGCCGGGTCTAATGAATGTGTCGGTGGTATTGTCGCTGATGATATCGGTGAGTATAGACCTGGTTTTACGTTTGTTGCGTTAGGCTGTAATTAATTTGAATATTCAAATAGGAATGTGGGTCTTGGGTGATGTCTTTTTGCGCAACGTCTACACAGGTGGGTAAAGTTTCAATCTCAATTTGGGAAGTCAAAACTTATCGCTGGAAAATATAGAATTCGATACTGCGAACTTACGTGTTGGGTTCGCTCCTGTTCGCACATAGTACTTCCTCCGTATTGTCCCCTCATTCTCACTCCGACACGCACTCCGTTCTGACATACACTCACGCTCATGTCATGAATCTAACCTACTGCTTGTATCACGAAAATAAATGGGAATTCATTTGGGTTTAGGAGCAAAGATTGCCTTCTAGTTAGTTTCGTCATGTTCTTCATAGTGCAGACATACGGGCTGTACTAACTTGCAGGTAATATTTTACATCGGTGACAAATTTATATAGTTGTTTCTGTGAGTATGTGACGGTGCATATATTTAAAAAAGATGACACACAGAACGCTTGTCACTTGTAGAGAAATAGCCTCAGAAGTAGCAGACAGCAATTGAGTTTCAATGACATTGGGTTCTGTAATATCGTGAACTTGTCAATCAAGAAAGTAAGATATCTCTATTGCAACTCAGCTCTCACTTCATATTAAAATGAGAGTCTGTATAAGAGAAGGTACAGTAATGACTGACAATTGAATTATTAAGGTAGGACTCAAAGCTTCTCCTAAATATGTGCCCATGTACAGAACAACAATGCTAAGTATCACAACGATCTTCCATCATTTCACTCTGCATATTGTCTAAACATAGTATCTATAGACTCTTTTACTAGATAAAAGGCTCTAAAGGAGAGACCTTGTTGATTCAATTGCAGATGTTGAGTAAGTGACAGCCTGAGAGGAAGAACAGCAAGTAGAGATGTAGTTAGAGAATGTACAAGGTAGAGCTTTAAACAGAATAAATAATGAGGTCCTGCATAGCTGAGAGCAATCAATTAGGATTTGTCACTTATCTCGTATATATCTTCTGATAAGCCGAGTAATTGACAAGCGTGTTGTGCATCTCATGGCTGGAGAGACTCGGGATGCAAAATCAGAATCACGTGACTTTTATCCAGGATCGGCAAGTGCTTTTCTTTTTTCCTTTTCACCGATTTCCCATCAACCACTAACTGCACTGACTATAAAGCAAGCATGATACATGAAGAAGATCTCCTTTCACGTGTTCTTTCTGCTCGCGGAATGGCAACATGACCGAGACATTCCAATCTAAATCATGCCAGGTGTCCACCTGACAAAACTCTGCCCTGCGAAAAAGAGAAGGCGAAAGCCAGTCGATCAGTTTGCAGTAGCCGCAAACTTCTACTGTATGGCGTTTGGCAACAATATATCATTTGCACTCGACGTACGTCTTCGGTCCGTATGAATCGAAGCAACGATTCTCCTCATGAAAGCCGCCTATCATTACTATTTCAATAACAGGCTTTTGGGAGGATCTGCCTATGGTCTGTCAGTCTATTCTCTGTTCTCGGCGACTAGAATCATATCACCTGTACATCATATGTCTGGAAAACTGTATGACACCTCCCACTGAGCCCCTCGTTGTGTTTCTTTCGCACGTTACGCTCATGTCTTCTGCACTCCTAAGGGACTATATTAGCCTGTCAATGAACTTGTTTTTGAACTCCGGGCGACTTTCGTTCTCGCTCTCCCATCTGTCTGTGCTCTTCAGTTAATCCTCGGCTCTATTTCCCCGCACTATGCGGCTGAAGTTTGCATCGCTTGCTTTGTTCCCGTTGCTATCATTAATAGCAGCTTCTCCGGCCTCTACACCTCCTGTGCAGAGGATCCCGTTGACGAGGCGCTCGTTCACAAAGGCCGGCGTTGCAGATGTAAATGCACTCAACTCGCATCTAGATAACGTCAGAACGTACGTCTCACGTTCGTCTGCTTCATAAATTTTTTATTCATATGTATGCAGTAAGATCGCGAGGGGGTTTGCCAATTTCAAAAGCAACACGGGCTCGGCACACCCGAATGACAATGGCAGCCTTGCGAACAGGCTGCTGAAGCGCAAGACGGGTAAGGACCTTCTGATGGACGACCTTGACGACAAGCTTTGGCAAGGTCCTATTTCTGTTGGTACACCTCCCAACACGTTCACAGGTATGAAAATGCCGTTTCTTACAATAAACCCTGTTTTAATCATAACCGGTCAACATTTTTAGTCGACTTCGACACGGGTTCAAGTGATCTATTCCTCCCAGGTCCGGCGTGCACAGACCAGAATTGCGCGGGCCATAAGATATACAACACCGGAGCAAGCAGCACAGCTGCCGACCAGGACCAGACGGTCCAACTCGAGTTCGGCGATGGATCGACTGTCTCGGGAGAAGTCTTCCATGATACCGTCTCCATCGCTGGCTTAACAGCGACCAATCAGGCTGTTGTGGCGGCATCACAGTACTCCTCGGGCTTTGCACTTGACGTATCACCGCCCGATGGGCTGATGGGCATGGCTTTCCAAGCGATCTCGAATTCGGACAGCCCGCCAGTATTCCAGACGTTCGTTGCAGAGGGTCAGACTGACTCGCCCGTGTTCGGATTTACGTTGCTTGACAGTGGGGGAGAGTTATTCCTCGGTGGAACGGACACGAGCGCGTTCACGGGCAGTTTGACTTTCACACCTCTTATTACTCAGCCTGCATTCTGGGAGATTTCTGCACAGAGTGTGAGTGTCGGTAACCAGGCCGTCGTCACTAGTGCACAGGATGCTATTGCTGACACCGGTACGTGCATCGTTCGGTCCTACGTTGCGGTCCAAGCTTTGGAATGACCAATTTTGTGTCCTGTAGGTACAACTCTGTTCATCGTTGATACGGATAGTGCGCAGGCGATCTATGCTGCCATTCCTGGATCTGCAGACGCAAGCCAAACGGTCGGCCAAGGCTTCTTCACTGTTCCATGTAATGCGATCCCGGACAACGTCAATGTTATACTTGGCGGAACAGCGTTCACGCTTTCTCCGGATACTTTCAACCTTGGTCAAGTCTCAGATGGGTCTAATGATTGTGTTGGAGGTATTATCGCCGATGATATTGGTGAGTGCAGACGCAATTGCAAGCTTATTATGCTAGGAGTTTAGCTAACTTGAAAATGTTCAAATAGGCATGTGGATCTTGGGTGATGTCTTCTTGCGCAATGTCTACACAGGTGGGTAGAGTGACTATCTCATTTTTGGCTAGGCCAAAACTCATCATCGGAAACATAGAATTCGATACTAAGAACTTGCGTGTTGGGTTCGCTCCTGTTCGCACATAGTAATTCCTCCGTGTTGAACCCTCATCCCCGCTCCGGCCCTCACTTCTGTACTCACCTACACTCACACTCATGTCATGAATCCAAACGTACTTCTTGTATCACGAAAATAAATGGGGTTTATTTCAGCTTAAGGAGCAAAGAATGTCTTAGTTCTGTCGTATTCTTTGAGGTGCAGACATACGGACTGTACTAAATTGCAGGTGATATTTTACACCTGCGACGAGTTTGTAGAGTTGTTTCTGCAAGTATCTGACAATGTACATGTCTTGAAGTGAATGACGTACAAGAACGATTGTCATTTGTAGGAGGATCTTCTGTTCAGAGCATGTCTGTTCATGCCCGCCATCATTACCACTATGATTGTTACAGAAATTTCTCCCGACTGTATCAAGTTCTACATTCACCTGTATGTCCATTGTTGAGTAAGTAACAGAGGAAGAACAGCAAGCAGAGAGGTAAGAGAATGTAAAAGGTAGAGTTTTAGTCAGCGTATATAGTAAGATCCATATCTAGCTAAGAGTCAAGCAATCGACTTTCATCACGAAATTTATTTTGTTTGCTGGTAAGCCGAGTAGTTTACAAGGCACACATCACCAAATCGAACACGAAAATGTATTGGAATTTCCTGCTAAGACATATATTTTTTACATATTGTGGACCCTTACATTTGCTTATAAAGTCTACATGTAAATATATTGCCTTGTCAGACTCTGCATGTTTTGGTGATGCCATGTTGGGCAACTGTAGGATGAGAGAGTCAAAGTTTTCGTTACTAGTAATTGCACGTGACCTTTATACAGTCCCATTTAACATTTTTCTTTCCTTTTCATCGATTTCCCATCAACCACCACTGACTACTAAGCGAATGCGATCCATGAGGACATACTCGAGATCTCTCCTCGCGTGTTCTTTCCGCACGCGGAATAACGGCATGAGCGAGCTCTTCCAATGCAAATCATGCTAGTGTCCACCTGACGAACACTGCCTTCATGAGAAAGCGAAAGCCAGTCATTTGGTTCGCAGTAACCGCGAACTTCTACCGTATGATGTTTGGCAACAACACATCATGTGCATGCGACATATGTCTTATGTCCGTATGAATCGAAGCAATAATCCTCGTGGAAGTGGCTTTTTATCACTATTCCGATAGTGGTCTTCGGAAGGATTTTCTATCTATGGTCTATCAGTCTATTCTTTGTACGCAACGACTCAGGCCAATATCATCCGGTTGTCATATGTCTGGAAAACTGTCTATACAGAAATATGTGCTTCTCATGCGAAGAAGCAGAACATGCATATGATACCTGCCCCCTGAGCTCCGTTCCCCGCGTTTCTTCCTCACGATACTCTATAGGCGACTATATTAACCTGTCGACGAACTCGTTTTCGGACTCTGGACGACTTTCGTTCTCCCTTCCCCTCTGTCTGTGCTAGTCGATTAATCTTCGGCTCTATCACCCAACATCATGCAGCTGAAGCTCGCATCGCTTGCTTTATTCCCGTTGATAGCGCTGATAGCGTCTTCTCCCACGCCGACGCCTCCTGTACAGAGGATCCCATTGACAAGGCGCTCGTTCGCGAAAGATGGAATTGCAGATGTCAGTGCGCTCAATACGCACCTAGATAACGTCAGAGCGTGGGTCTCACGTTCGTTTGCTTCATAAAGTCTTTGTTCATATCAGCGCAGTAAGATCGCGAGGGGTTTCGCTAATTTCAAAAGCAACACGGGCTCGGCACACCCGAATGACAATGGCAGCCTTGCGAACAGGCTGGAGAAGCGCAAGACAGGCAAAGACACGCTGACCGACGACCTTGATGGCAGTCTTTGGCAAGGTCCTATTTCCGTTGGTACACCTGCCGACTCGTTCACGGGTATGAAATCGTCGTTTCTTACGACAGACTCTGTTCTAATCAGAACCGGTTAAACATTTTAGTGGACTTCGACACGGGTTCAAGTGACTTGTTCCTCCCGGGGCCCGCGTGCACAGACCAGAATTGTGCTGGGCATAAGGTATACAACACTGGAGCGAGCAGCACAGCTGTTGACCAGGACCAGACGTTCCAAATCGAGTTCGCTGATGGATCGACTGTCTCGGGAGAAGTCTTCCATGATACTGTCTCCATCGCTGGCCTTACAGCGACTAACCAAGCCGTTGTGGCAGCGTCACAATATTCCTCGGGCTTCGCTCTTGACGTATCGCCGCCCGATGGGCTGATGGGCATGGCCTTCCAAGCGATCTCGAATTCGAACAGTCCGCCTGTGTTCCAAACATTCGTTGCAGATGGACAGACTGACTCGCCTGTGTTTGGATTTACGTTGCTGGACAGCGGAGGAGAGTTATTCTTGGGTGGAACGGACACGGGCGCGTTCACGGGCAGTCTAACTTTCACACCTCTTATTACTCAGCCTGCATTCTGGGAGATTTCTGCACAGAGTGTGAGTGTTGGTAACCAGGCCGTCGTCACCAGTGCACAAGATGCTATTGCTGACACTGGTACGTACATCGTTCGGTACTACGTTGCGGTCCAAGCTTCGGAATGACCAATTGTGTCCTGTAGGTACAACTCTGTTCATCGTTGATACGGATAGTGCGCAGGCGATCTATGCTGCCATTCCTGGATCCGCAGACGCAAGCCAAACAGTCGGCCAAGGATTCTTCACTGTTCCATGTAATGCGATCCCGGACAATGTCAGTGTTATACTTGGCGGAACAGCGTTCACGCTTTCTCCGGATACTTTCAACCTTGGTCAAGTCTCAGCTGGGTCTAATGATTGTGTTGGAGGTATTATTGCCGATGATGTCGGTGAGTGCAGACTCGATTTCAAGCTTATTATGCTAGGGGACAGCTAACTTGAATGTTCCAATAGGCATGTGGATCTTAGGTGATGTCTTCTTGCGCAATGTCTACACAGGTGGGTGAAGTTTCTAGCACGTTATGGCTAAATCAAGATTCATCATTGAAAACATAGAATTCGACACTGGGAACTTGCGTGTTGGATTCGCACCTGTTAACGCATAGTATTTCCTCCGTGTTGAACCCTTTCCCACTCCGACTCGCAGTCGTGTTCTCACATACACTCACGCTCATGTCATGAATCCAATTGTACGGCTTGTATTACAAAAATAAATGGAAAGTTGTTTTTAGCTAAAGAAGTCAAGTATGTCTTAGTCCTCCCGTATTCTTCATGGTGCGATAATGTAGGCTGCAAGTACTGACTTCCCAAGTTATGTTTGGACTCGGATAATTGGTATGATCTGCATCACCTCTTTTGACATGGCTTTGTGTTAATCAAACTTTAAAGTACTCTTGGCTCTTGACTGCTAGAGGTTCCTTAATGCACATTATGGTCTATATTGTGCACGCATTGCTTCTCTTATTCAAGGTGCATGAGAAGTTTTGACAAATTAGACGGACTGACGCTGGTGAGCTGGCACTCTTCTGCTGCTGCGGAATCTCTAACTTCTTCCAGCTGTGCATGTACTCACGACTGTTCGGACGGAGTATTAACCGCTATCCGTTGGCCGCACTCTGCACTTGCACTTAGTTCAGCTAATGATAACCTCGTAATGTTCTAGTGTTACTCGGAAACTCTGGCTTTATACTGGAATGATTGCTGCAGAATAAATCACTGCTGATTTTCTGTATGGAATCTCTAACATGGATCGAGATACTAGGGGACGGCGTGCGTAGACCTTCCGGTCCCCTCGCATTCGGAATTTATGAATATGTATAATAACTTGTCAATGAGCTTGATATTGGGACTGAGCGACTGTCATTAGTCTGCTTGTGCTTGCCGACGTGTCTTTCGGCCAACCGCCAGCTTTTACCCTGCACTATGCTACTGAGGCTCGGGGCTGTTACTGCGTTCTCCTTGTTGCACCTGGTATCGACCCTACCGACGTCATTGAATTCCTTACGGAGCATTCCATTGACGGGACGCTCGTTTACTAAGGATGGCGTTGCCGATATTGATGCTCTCAAGGCACACCTAAACTATGTCAAAGCGTGCGTAATCCGAATTCTTTTCTTTCATTCTTCATTCATGTAAGTTAAAAACATGGAACAGTAAGATTGAGCGGGGCCTTATCAACTATGAAAAGAACACTGGATTGCCGCATCCACACGCACATGGCAGTTTCTCGAACAAGCTGAAGAAACGCGATGTAGGTGTAGCGCCGTTGACGAATGATTTCGACGGCTTGCTTTGGCAAGCTCCTATTTCTGTTGGCACTCCTACAAATGAGTTCACAGGTACGAACCTATCTATCGTCCTCCACCCGTAAAAGCGTACAAATTAATCAATAAATTTCCACCTTAGTGCAAATTGACACCGGCTCCAGTGATTTCTTCGTCCCAGGAACAGCATGCACAGACCAGAACTGTGCAGGACATAAATTATATAACACATCAGCAAGCAGCACGGCAATAGACCAAAATAATACATTCAGTATCACCTTCGTCGACAATTCGACGATCTCTGGAGAAATCTTCACCGACACCGTCTCCCTCGCTGGTTTGACAGCGACTAACCAAGCCGTCGTCGCAGCATCAAAATACTCTGACGGTTTCTCACTAACCAACTATCCGCCTGATGGGCTTATGGGAATGGCTTTCCAGGCGCTCTCCAACTCGAATAGCTCGCCTGTGTTTATGACTTTAGTCGCGCAGGGACAGACAACGGAACCGGTCTTTGGATTTACCCTTCTTGATGATGGTGGGGAACTCATCATTGGCGGAAGAAACACAAGCGCATTTACGGGTAATTTGACGTACACGAAGCTTGTTACGGAGCCTGTGTTTTGGGAGATATCAGCGGAGAGTGTTAGTGTGGGCAATACGACTGCTATCTCTAGCGCTCATAATGTAATTGTTGATACTGGTACGTACCGTGACTACCTGAAGATATGGCTTTGCTGATTACACATGCCCTTTAATTAATAACTCTCCCGGTGTGTAGGTACAACTATGTTCGTCGTCGACGCTGACAGCGTACAATCAATCTACGCTGCCATCCCCGGTTCAAAAGATGCGAGTAGCACCGTAGGCTCAGGGTTCTTCACAGTCCCATGTGACTCAATCCCAGACAACATCAGTGTTATATTTGGCGGAACAGCCTATACGCTCTCAGCCAATTCCTTCAATAGAGGTCGTGTCTCTTCAGACTCGAGCGATTGTATCGGTGGTATCATGACTCTAAATTCTTGTAAGTGCATTCCTCCGAGCATTTTTGTGTGATATGGGGTTCTGGTGATCTGATGCCATGTGTGATTATTTAGCTGACTTTTGGATCCTGGGTGATGTTTTCCTGCGTAATGTCTATACAGGTGCGTTACTTGGTCTTAGCCACCGTTTCACTTTACTTGCGGCTCATGACTAGAATACTATTATTAGAATTAGACTCCGGCAACTTGCGGGTTGGGTTTGCACCTGTTCGTACTTAGTTAGACGCAAACGCTTGTGCCCACATTCGTAGAGCGTAGAACAAATGGATTATATGATGCTTGAACAGATGATGAATGTAAACTATGTCAGTAATGCGGTCTCACCGCCGTCTATCATAACGATCTCTACTCCTTGAACGACGTCGACGGTGGTCACGTTCCCGATCATCATACCTGTCCCTCTCCCGTACACGTTCTCTCGGAGGTGACCTCCGTTTCCGCTCGTCTCTCCTCGGAGGACTCCTGCTCCTACTCCTATGTCTCTGCTTGCCATCCATCTCACCAACGTCAAACACCATTCCATACCTGTCACCTCCGCCATTCCGGTCTTCGGACGCGCGATACCGACGTGTGGCTTCGAGGTCTTCTCGTCCTGCGAAACCGTCCCTGTTGCGGTTTCTTCCCCCACGAGGACCGACCTTGACGTCGTTTGACCAGTGGGTGTTGAGTTTCGCGACGGATTGTGAGCTGTGGGAATGAGTTTTTGTTAGAATCGTTATAGGATATGTATATAAGGCACGTACAAGTCAACCCAGATACGTCGATCATCTATAAGGACATTTTGCATTTTGAAATATGCCTGAATACACATACGTCATCAGATACAGAGTTCAGCTGCAAAGAAAAAGAGTAATACAAACCTGCTCAGCATCTTCCCGTTTATCAAACTCAATAAACGCATATTGCAACGAATCACCCGTAAGTTTATCCCTAATAACCTGACAGCTCATAATCGTCCCAAACCGGGAGAAAATAAGCTCGAGATCTTCGTCTCTTGTCACCGGGTTCAATTTACACACAAACAACACATTCTCGGGTGGTCGAACGTTCGCGAAGGGAAGATCCCCTACCATCTCGAGTGTGAGTGCGGAGGCTGCTGCTGCTCGTTTTCGACGTTCTTTTTCTTCTTCCTCTTCTGGGAGGGTGGTGAGTGGGTCTTCATCCTCGGCGATGCGGGTTGAGTTGTCTGGAGGTTTTGTGGGTGGGGAGTCTGGTATGACTAGTCCTTCTGGGTCATCAAATGGGTCGTCTATGACATAAAGCCTTAGAAAAAGAGTTAATAGTGAAATATCCCAGAGAACTCACCAAGAATCTCAACATGCCGAATCCTCACATCCTTCAACGGCCTTCCATCCTGATCCGTAAACACATCATTAAGCTTATCAAGTGTCTCAAGTCCTTCCACAACATGTCCAAAAACCGCATGTTTGCCATCCAAATAGTCGATCCTATCCGTAAGCGTGATGAAGAACTGGCTACCGCAGCCACCTTGTTGGCCCTCAAGTGCAGGTGCGACAGCCATGGAGACGGTGCCCTTGTGCGTGTGCTTGAAGTGTGGAATAAGTTCGGGGACGAAGTAGCGTTGCACGCCTGGTTTGTTTTGCTGGGAGGCAATGAGTGACCAGACGGATTCACCGCCTGTTCCCGTTGCAGTCGGGTCACCAGCTTGGGCTAGGAAGTCTTTGGATACTGCGATTTTCAATTTTATTTTAGTCAGCTCACAATACGAAGTGTTAGAAAAAATGTGATAGAGACATACCATTGAAGAACGCGTTCAGGTTATAGTAATAAACTTTACAAAGCTTGAGGAAGTTCTGGCATGTCTTTGGACATGCGTCTACTTCCAAGTCGATGACGATGTCTCCTAATGATGTCTCTAGTAGGACTGACATTTGCTTGAAGTTGAGGAAGTCGACTTTCGATAATCTATGACAAGCCTTCTCCCTAGCCTAGTGCTATGGATAGAAAGACAGGCCGTAAAGTCTGTACCACAGATGAGTACTTAGTGAAGTAGAGTTTACTCTTCACGTGCATGATCTACATAACAAAGTCACGTGCATATCAAGAAATAAAAATAATTGAATATTTATTTATTATAAATACCCAAAGGAAACATAGCGTCTAAGTACGAACAGGTGCAAACCCAACTTGCAAGTTCCCAACATCAAATTCTACGTTTCCGTTATAACTCGCAATCGAATAAAATCTTGGCTAAAGGTTACGTACCTGTATAGACGTTACGCAGAAACACGTCTCCAAGGATCCAGAAATCAGCTAAATATTGTCACACATTGTAAGATCACTCCGAACTCCCGTATGCATAAAGAAGATCGAGAACAGCGACACTTACTACCATCTGAAGAAATAATACCACCAACACAGTCACTTGATCCTTCCGAGACTTGACCAAAGTTGAGGGTCTCGGATGAGAGCGTATAGTCCGTCCCACCGAGCGTAACACTGATGTTATCTGGGATCGTATCGCATGGGACTGTGAAGAACCCTGAGCCGACAGTATCGGTTGCGTCTTGCGATCCTGGTATCGCGGCGTAGATTGCTTGCAGGCTGTCTGAGTCGACGATGAACAGGGTCGTGCCTACGTAGTGGGAGATTCACGAAACGAAACAGAACGTATTTTCGGCAGTTAATATCGAGTAATAGAGAAAAGGTGGGTGCAGACGTTACCAGTATCAACGATAGCATTCTGAGCACTCGAGACAACAGTCGTATCGCCCACACTGACCTTCTCCGCTGAAATCTCCCAAAATGCCGGTTCCGTAACGAGCGGAGCGTACGTCAATTTTCCCGTAAATGCACTTGTGTTCCTTCCACCTATGATGAGTTCCCCACCATTATCAAGAAGTGTAAACCCAAATATTGGTTCAGTTGTTTGTCCTTGAGTGACTAACGTCTGGAACACAGGAGAGCTATTTGAGTTGGAGAGTGATTGGAAAGCCATGCCCATAAGCCCATCGGGTTCGAAGTTGCTTAGCGAAAACCCATCCGAATATTGTGATGCTGCGACGACGGCTTGGTTAGTCGCAGTCAGGTTCGCGATGGAGACGACATCGTTGAAGACTTCTCCGGAAACTGTTGATTGGTCGCCGAAGAGGATAGAGAATGTCTCGTTTCTGTCCACCGCTGTGCTACTTGCCGATGTATTATAAATGTTGTGTCCCTCGCAGTTCTGCGTACATGCTGTTCCTGGAACGAAGAGATCACTCGAGCCCGTATCGAATTGCACTAAATTAGAAGTTCGACGTTGTATGGTATTAAGGTCCAATAATGGATAGTCTCATACCTGTGAACGTGTTGGCAGGAGTACCAACAGAAATTGGTCCTTGCCAAAGCGTGTCACCATCATTCGTCAATGGTACTGTACCTTCATCGCGTTTCTTCCATCCGTTCGAGTAGCAACGATCTGCATGTGGATGTTTTCTACCCATATTTCTCTCGAAGTTGACGAGTCCTCTCTCTATCTTGCTGTTCCAGATTTATTTTACTTGGATAAAGAACGGGGAAGGCGTTTCGGATTTACTCACGCTGTAACATGGTTTAGATGAGCTTTGAGAGCATCAATATCTGCGACGCCATTCCTCGTAAACGAGTACCGCGTCAACGGGATCCTTTGCAAGGGCGGAGTAGAGGTAGGAGAAGCCGATATCAGGTGCAGCAATGAGAACAGAGCAACGACCAAGAGCTTCAGTAGCATAGTGCAGAACACAAGAGCCGAAAGTTGATTGATAGTCAAGATGAGCACAAGCGGAATGATGCAAGTCACTTTGTAACAAGGTCAAGTCTGTCGACAGACTATATGCTCACTCTTGAATTCCGAATGCGCAGGAACCGGAAGGGCAGCATATGTTTTCCTCCTGGTATCTCGATCCGGACCAGATTTTCTTGTGAGAATATATATGAAAATATTATTCCAGAATAATTTGGTTTTATTGGTGCTGATAGACAGCTGAATATTCTCGTAGATTATTCGACGACAGGGCCATAGAAGACATTGACTGGCAGTGTGTATTAATCAAATGTGGTCGATTACAACAATCTGTAGAAAACACGGTCAGTGTTAACCAGACTTTAGCTCGTTGAAGTGATTCGAACATGTAGCACGGTAAACGTGTTGTACACATACAACACAAAAGTCGTGGTATACGCACGTTCTGCTCCCAGGTTGCCGTCAGACAACGCCTAGGATGCCTGCCCCTGCCCTTACGCCACGGCCACGCCATGCTGCAAGACTGATGCCGATACAGCTGAGTACAAAGCCAGCAAATCTACAGAGAAGTTTAATAAATAGTCAGAATTACACTACAAGAGCTCATTAGTAGTAGGCCCATGAATTCTTCACTACGCACCTGAAGAATGCTATACGGGAGATGGAGCGTTCTTCCATGGCTGTCCGTGAGGATGCAAAGATGCTTCTGAGAACTGCTGGGGTGACTGGAATGCGGCCGTTGGATGACGAAGGAGGGGAGAGCGGGACGCTCGCATAAGACCGTTTCTCAGTATCGGACGAGACAGACGACGGCATTTTCTTTTAATTTTTTTTTCAGAAGCTCAACAACATGTAAGCTTGCCGGCCAGTAGCACAGAGTAGTAGCTGGTGTGCGAATCAGAAGGGAAGAAAGTTTAACGTAAAATGGAGGACGAGAAATGGCGAGGACAATTACAGTTGCTAGTGCTGCCACACGCAGAGAGCACGCCACTCGGCAAGCCATGCCTGCCAAATATGGGCGAGCTGCTGCAGCATGCCGTCGGACCACTGCTGGTTGTCTTCAACACTCTCGACAACGACAGCCATGTACGAACACTCGCCAAACAACTCAACCACATCCCTCTCGGACGGCGAAGACGACGAGATCATCACGGACATGCACTCCGCGTCCTATCCTTACTATGAAAGCGATGTCACAGTCGTACCCGCAACCTGGTCGTTAACAAACCAACGAGTATCACGTCCGAAGACACCGCCCCACTCGCCAGCTACGCATTTACCGCCCGAGATCCTCATACACATCCTGCGCCAGGTACATTCATCGCGCGACCTCTACAGTGCGTTGTTGGTGTCCCGGGCATGGTGTGAATGCGCGGTCGAGTTACTCTGGCACCGACCCAGCTTCTCAGATCTCCAGCATTTCGTCCAGATGCTCCAGGTCATCAGCTCTCAGGAGAAGACGTTCGACTATGCACGCTTCGTCCGCAGACTCAACTTCATCTATCTCTGCAGGGACCTCACCGACTCGCTCTTCATCCGTCTCGCCAAGTGCACAAAGCTTGAAAGGCTGACGCTCGTAAACTGCGTGGAACTCACTGATGACGCACTCATGCGGGTCTTGCCACTCTGCAACAATTTGGTGGCTCTGGACTTGACCAACATTACGTCGTGTACGGACAGGTCGATCATCGCACTCGCCCAGTCCGCCACGCGGCTGCAGGGCCTCAATTTGGGTGGATGCAAGAACATTACAGATGAGGGCGTGCTTGCGATTGCAAGAAATTGCCCTCTACTCCGACGTATCAAGCTCAGCAATGTCAGGAACATTACCAACCAAGCAGTTTTGTCGCTTTCCACGAAATGCCCACTGCTACTCGAGATAGATCTACATGGATGTCCCAAAGTCACCGATGAGGCAATTCGCTCCCTCTGGACCAATCTCACCCACCTTCGAGACTTCCGACTGGCCCATTGTCAAGACCTGACTGATTTGGCCTTTCCCGCGAAGCCCCAAACAAATCCCCCTGAGACGCAACTGTCCGTCCAACCTTTCCCCAACTCGGCGCCAATTCCGAGTGAAGCCCTTCCACCGCTCCGTCTCACTCGTTTGTGCGAACACTTACGTATGCTGGACTTGACTGCTTGTGCTTTGATCACCGACGAAGCCGTCGCAGGTATCATATCATGTGCACCGAAAATTAGAAACTTGTATTTTGCCAAATGTTCGCTGTTAACGGATGTCGCCGTTGAGAGTATTTGTAAACTCGGAAAACATTTGCATTATCTGCATCTCGGCCATGCGTCATCGATCACGGATCGGTCTGTACGGACTTTGGCTCGTTCTTGCACCCGCTTGCGCTACATTGACCTTGCATGTGAGATATTTCCGTTACCTTCATGCAAAAATGCTTAGTTAAACTTTCTTAAGGCTGCCCACTGCTCACGGATTTGTCTGTTTTCGAGCTTTCTGGTCTTCCAAAATTGCGTCGTATCGGGCTGGTTCGCGTGACGAACCTCACGGACCAAGCCATCTTCTCACTTGCCGACCGTCATTCAACTCTGGAAAGAATCCATCTTTCGTATTGCGAGCATATCACTGTTTTGGCGATTCACTTCTTGCTGCAACGATTGCCGAAACTCACTCATCTCAGCTTAACCGGTATTCCCGCTTTCAGGAGAGCGGAGCTACAACAATTCTGCCGCTCACCACCGAGAGTACGTGCGGTTATTTTAAGGAACTTACATTTTACTGACGCTTGATTTTAAAGGAATTCAACACGAATCAGAGGGCTGCTTTCTGCGTGTATTCAGGGAAAGGGGTAGACAACTTGCGATTATATTTGGCCGAATTGATGGCACATGTGCAATCAGAGGCGGTAGGGGAAAACGATTCCGACTACGATGCAGAAGCGGAAGACGAGTTCCCGAGCTCGAGCGACCAGGAAACAGTTGGAGTCAATACCGTGGAAACGCCCAGGATGCCGTATGCACGTGACCAGGATTGGCGACCAGTATCAGCTGGTGTTGCCGTTGCTATTGCTACCGAAGAAGTCTTTGATATTAGTGACTTCGGGCGTACGAGTCTTGTTCCATCTACCGTAACGACTGTCCGAGGCAGACCAGGACGCACGATTGTCGACCGAACTGAAAATTCAGACTCTGCGGCTTTGATAGTTGAAGAAACAAATCCGAGCTCTGTCGCTACCACACCAAGTCCGACAGTCCAGCAACCATCGGACAGTACTCCTTCAGGACCAAGCAATACACGGTCACGCGTCTTTGGAGAAGATCTTGTTGTAGAGGCGCCGACGCCGTCACCACGAATCACACCTTATGCATCTCGACAGAATGCTTGTTCAGTTCCTACCTTCAGCCGAGCGAACTCAAATGCGAGTGACGGTGCATCCAATCGATCTGCGCGCAGTTCCGTTACGAACAAAACGTCTAATTCGAATGGTGCTGGTTTCTTCCGGAACTATATATCGGGCGGACATTCGTCTTCTGATGCTGCACTTACTTCGCGAGTGGGATCATATACTCCCGACCTTATTTACGCAGAGATAGGGCATGGAAGAGGAAATAGCGATGTTAGCGGGCCAGGTCCGAGTACGATGCAAAACCATCAGCAAGCGGGATGGAACTCGGAAAGTTCAAGGTCCTCCGCGAACGGTGATTTTTTTGCCCTTCGGATAAAGAACGAACTGGATCGACTGAATGAGTCGGATGACTTTTATCGTCGGGAGGACAGCCTACCGAGGTATCGACCTTCGGTACTTGCTGATACGTCTAACACTCCGCACCGCGGGGGTTCGTCGCGCGATTCCGCATCGTTAGTTCGACCAATACCAAATCATAATCATCGAGAGCACCACGATCCGTCATCTCCCATCCCTTACCTATCGTCCTCACCAACAACAAGAGAACTTCAAGAATCCGTACATTCTGCTTTATCGGGTTCGAATGCACCGTCGTCATCGGCTTCATCAACGGCGGCAGCGGGGATGATTCAAGAAGATGCAGCGGTGCATACGGATAGTCGAGGGAGGAGTACGAGCGTGCGGAGGAGTTTGAAAAATACGTTAAGCGCTGCAGAGCATTATGCTAGTGCTTTGTTCTTCCGGAATGCTGGGCCTACGAATGCACGAGAGAGGGAAAGGGAACGGCATATGAATGGAAATGTGAACGTGAATGGAGGAACAGGGTTTATTGCGACGAATGGATCTGTTATGAATGGGCGAAATCTCGTTCATGATAGGCAACACTGATCATTGGGATGCTGCTGCTTTGCTCGGGACTGAAGTGACTGCTGGCTAGTATAGAGGTTGTTCGGTTTTTGTGCGAGGTGGACTTGAGGGAAAATAAGACTTACGATGATGAGTAATGGATAGTCGAGCTGTACGCGTTTGCTGGGGGCGATGATGGCCTCTCTTTGCATATGCTGTCCTGTATTTATGTATATAATTCCGTCAGCGGGCTATTAAAAGGGATTTTTTATTCGATAGGTAAAAATATGGCATTATGGATTTAAAGTGTCTTCGTTGGCACATTACTTGTAACAAGTATGCCCGTGCTGAAATCAGTCTAGTTCTGGCTCGATATGTCTACTAAGCTGTAGTCGGATGCCAGTATGGATATGTCATAATAAACCAAGAACTCTGTTACATGTAACATTATAACTGTCTTACATCGTCATTACAGCCAGTACTGTTTGGTCTAATCCTACAGCTATCTATCTATGATAATGAAAGGATTTGTGTCTTCAGACTGTGTGGGAGCTACCTTCCTAATTTGACGACAACACACTGCACTTCGAAATATTTACCATGAATGATCACTCTCTTCATCATACCTATAACGTACAAGTGTTAGAGAGGGTTTGAACAGACAGCTGTCAAGATGAGCGTACGAGTTGCTAGGGTGCAGTATAATCTCCCACAAAAATAATTACCACTAATTTCGAAATTCGTTGTATGTTTCGTCCAGCGCAGGTTGAGGACTTCATGGGCATGCAAGTGTGCAACTTACAGAATCTCCCTGAGAATTATACAATGAAATACTGTGCGTCATCCTCCCTCTGCTTTTCCAGTATCTATTGTAATTAACATAACTTGGATTCGCCACGGATAGATCTCTACCATGCGCTTTCGTGGCCGAGCCTATCGTTTGTGGCGGAAGACCACAAGGGACGGATCGTTGGATACATTCTTGCGAAAATGTACGCTACGACCGGAGACGTGGCATGCGTATGTGATACTGACTATATGATGATAGGGAGGATGACCTGCAAGAAGGTGAGGAACCGCATGGACACGTAACTTCTATCTCTGTGCTACGAGGGTATCGTCGATTGGGCATTGCGAAGAAGTTGATGATCCAATCTCGTGAGTTTTCCATACGAGTATTTCGAATCCCCATTCGCTAAATCCTTGAATTTTCTCTTCAGAAGATGCCATGGCCACGATCTACAAAGCGTCATACGTATCTCTACATGTACGGAAGTCCAACCGCGCAGCGATCGGGCTATATAGAGACAAGTTGAAGTTTGAAGAGGAGAGGGTTGAGAAGAGTTATTGTGAGCCTACATTCCACTCCGTTACTCACATTGCATTGAAAATTGTATTAGATGCGGATGGAGAAGATGCATTTGCTATGCGATTACGGCTTAAGCCCTGATGCTTGTGTTCTAGAATCGATGACCACTTGGCTGGATGCCTTATTGGCAGCATGCAACCATACAGGATAGAGTGTCTCTTATGGCAGGATAAGGTTATGAATGCATCGTATTTCGGGCTACAGAGTATTACACATTATGAAAAAAGCGTCTTCAATACAAGCACTAGGTAAGGTGAACGTCAGACATCAACAAGGTTGCTTTGCGGTTGTGACGTATTATTTTCTGACTCCTTCGACCCATGCACATCTCCTGGGGCAGATTCGTTCGTAGCAACACCTCGAGAAGAGTTGATTGCTTCTCGGATCATCTTTGCAGTCTCCAATCCCAGTCCATAATAAGAGTCATTCGTACTCGGTTCGAACATGCCCATATGTGCCTCGATTTCATTATCAGCCACATTATTCTGAGAAAACAGGAAGTGTGATCTTATGGCTGAGTCTGGGGGTGGTAGAATAATGAATGTGCCTTGTTCATCACGTTTTCCTGGCATGTAAGGCAGGAGGGTATAAAAGCTGAAAAGGGAACAGAAAACAGATCATAGTTCCCTGTGTCAAAAGTTGATCTAAGAGGACTGTCCTGGACTCACTTTCTGAACGTCACACCATGGCTATCCTCGATCTCAATGAGCTGCTTCATGCGGTCCTTTAGCTTCGTTTGATCCCACAGAGTTCCGACATATTTCAGATGATCGGTCGCCCATGTATATCCAGTAACGATGTCTTCACGTTTGTAGTACGCCGCGCCTGCAGCTGCTCCGCTGAGTAGCAAACCACCTAGACCATAGGCTGCTGGGACAGCCCACTTAGCCCAAGAAGACCCAGATGGAGAAGCTGGAGAAGTAGGAGGCGCAGTGATTGCTGCAGCTGGTGCCTTCGAGGCCCCTGCAGAAGCTCCTGCCGACTTTGAGAATAAGGAATTGAGTGCGGAGGCAGCCTGCTGTGCTGTCTGAGCGTAACCAAATGCTTTCGAAATACTATTCTTGAAGACGAAGGGATGTAGACCGAGGTACTATTGTTATGACGTTTATATCAGCAGAAATGCTTTAAATGCGAAAGTGACCTTACCGGAGTGTCAAAAGCAATGCAAGCAATTATTTTTGGCCATAACGGAGCTTGCTTGTCTGGTCGCGAGGTGACCATACTGATTAATGCGTCTGCTGCCACCAAGCCGCCCATACTAGATCTTCAATGAGCTTATCTCTTTGTGTAAACGCATGTCTGTCTAGGCTGACCTGTGCCCACAAAGAACTATTTTTGCCTTTCCAGCACCACCTCCTGAACCAGTTGCAACTTCCTTCTCGACTGTCAAGGTAGCCAGCCAGTCTGCGAAGCGTTCCACTGCAGCATTCTATAATATCGGTATGATTGTTCCGAAAAATTAGATGTTCTGAAGATATTTCATACCAGTTCTCCTTTCGTCTAGACAGAGTAGATATTCGATAGGTTCAGTATTAAATTGCTGATACAGCAGAAATAGCATACCTCGTATGCAGGAAACACGACAGATTCAATGGTGACATTGGATACCGTTTCGGCCACAATATGGCGTAGTCGCTCAGGGAAACGAGCGAAAGTGGAATCTGTGCCTTTGAATCTATAATATTCATGAATCCACCCCACAATAAGCACGTCCAGTCTTCAGGACATACCCATGGATAAATACCATAATAAGAAGGTCTGGAGGAAGAGGCTTCGCAACGTCCGTAGTCTTGTCCTTAGAATCTAACCACGGATTCTTGTCAGACGATTCCATGTTGACTCTGCATATAAGTCGTTTCTCTAAACAAATCGAATGCGCCTCTGATAATTATTCCGCTTTAGCAAGATAGTTGATTGTCCGAGCAATTACGCGACGGACGTATCAGGGCCTAAAGTAACGGGCTGGGTTAAAAAATTAGGCACTCCCAATGAAAGCTTGTCGTTATTATGCCAATAAATTATGGTGTAGGACAGCAAGAAGGTCGACGACAAGGTAGCTCAGAAAGAGTGCGCAGTATGATGTGGTTTACCACGCCAAACAAGTTCGAGTCACGTGAATTACATCCCCCCGAGAAGGCCAGCTAGTCGCAAGAATAACTGAGTCCATATATGATATAATTCAATATTTTTAATCTATGTGAATACCACCATACAATTCAGAAAAATGTTCGTTTAATGCAGGAGCTACATCACATTGGTATAATACATAAGAGGTATTAGATGAAAATGGTTGTAGTCCGGGAAAGTAGACGTATTCATACATAGCATAAACATCGCGATCAGTGGGATCCACATAAAAAAGTCTACATACAAAGAGAAGACGTCTAGAGCTCCCTTCCTAGCATGTCACGGTGCCATGCTCGGCGCGCAAAGGTTGTATCATCTTCCCGTTCTCGGACGCTCCCAACAAACTCTTCTGTAGCTTCTGCATCAAGACCTGCCTGTGAAGCTGCCCAGCCTGCGATACTGGGCAGGAAACGTCCGCCACGTGGTGACATTGCACGTTTTGATACGGTCTGCTGCGGCCCAGTTGGAATCGAGGCAGGTGGGGAGGAAGAGTTGGCAGGAGGCGTTGATAGAGATGGAATAGCAAACGCTCGGCTAAACGCTTGCAGGACCGATGGTCGAGACGTGCTCGACGGATTGAGCGTACTCTGCTGCAACACAGATCTTCCACGTAACGGCGCACGGACAGGAACGGGTGAAATCGGTGTCGGGGCTGGGGCCTGTGGAGCATTATTTATCGGCGAGGTAGGATTGGCTCCATCGTTCAAAAATGTCGATCGTATGGACGAGTCCGATAAGCCTCTAGGTCGTAGAGTACGTTCAAGAAGCGTGTTTGGAACGTTAGTTTCATCATTTTCTTCCTCGTCCGAGTCGTGAATTGCTGATCCAGAGTCGACTACGGCATCGACATTCCTCGGTAAACGTGGAGCACCCCATCGACCCGCGGATCTGGTTAATGTTGCTGTGCGCATATCCATAGTGGACTTCTGGCCACGAAGCCTCTTGTCTGGCTTTGAAGTGACGAAAATCCAAGGGTCGTCCTTCTGGGGCTGAGGCGCACCAGCAAAGATACCCATAACGGCCCGAGATGATAGAGTTCCGGGAACAGGGGTTTCCGATCTTGCAGCTTCTCCACCCGAGCTCACGACAATGGGAGCAGTAGCACTTGAAGTGACCGAGCGACCAACGCCTGCGCCGGAGAACTCGACGTTAACGGTAGTAGCAGATGCTGCAAGTGCAGGACCAGATTTCGGGGCAAACTTGGGCGGTTTCTGTCGCAGCGTCGCGTTTGCTGCGGTTGCACCAGACACCGCCCGAGAAGGGGTAGACACACGCTCCGCCACTTTGTCGTCCGCTTGCGTGTTTACACCAGAGAAGAGTTTCGATAGAGGTGCCATCCAACCGGACGCGTTGGACTTGGCTCCACGAGTACCTGCCTCGGTCAAATCCTTCGAGGGATCCATTGCGGCTTCACTTAACTTAGGCGCTAAGGAAGGGTCGAGAATGACATCGTTTAGAGCAATACGCATCATACCCATCTCTCCAACCATCTCGCGCAATAATCCAAGTAAGGCACGCAAGTCCCGCCTAGTGCATGTGCTTATGGCTCGTTCATCTTCAAGAACACCACGGAAATGTGAGCGGAGGCTATTGGCATCCGAAAGGATGGAAGAAACGGTCGCATGCGACAAATGTGAAATGTCACCTGCGAGTCGCTGGCGCTTGAGCCGGTTCATGAGAGTCCGAGCATCGGCTTGTGTCATACGGGTGAACAGAGAATTGGCTCGGTCAACGACAGCAGCAATCGTCGAAGCATATGAATGCGTATCTGCCAATGACGATGACTCAGATCTTCCTTCACGAGCTGGGGTCGATGATGAGCCGTCATCCGTCTGAGCGCGATGTACCGGAGAAAGCAGACTCGTCCAACTAATGTCATCCGTTTGGACAGCCTTATTCTGCGACAACAGAAAAAGAGGCCTTCTAGGCGACTTCTTCCCAGGAAAGTCAGGAGATTTTATGCGCGCATTCCTGTCTTCGATATCAAGATTGAGCTGCGAGGGAGGGTATTTCGGACGAGGGCTGGATAAAGCTGGAAAGCGTCTCTCAGATGCTGCACGAGACTCCGGCGGAGAGAGCGGTCGGGCTTCGGGCTGAGGTGATAATGATTCGCTAGGTTGCGTAGAGTGAGCCGCACTGCGAGAAACGGGAGAGAGAGGAGCTTGTCCAAATGATGAGGCCCAGCTAAACGAATAGCCGTGACCTGGACGAGTCGATAAAGAAGAAATATTCCTCGACATGCGTCCCGCTACCCGCGACTCCTGGACTTCCTCCTGTAACACGCGGACATCCTCTCGAGATTCTGCGAGGAGATTCTGTAATTCTGCGACATCGCGCTTCAAAGCTTCGTTATCAGCGACCAAGGACTCCATCATCTGAGTAATCTCTGGGTTGTCAGACAGCAATGAGTGCCCAAATTGCTAATGAGGCGTCAGGATTGGATGCACAAGACGAACCGAGTGAACTCACTTGGTGTTGAACCATTTGCAGACGAGCTCGAGCATCGCGAACTATTTCTTCAGAGAGCTCGGTTCGGGATTGTTTTTGTTGATCCAGTTCATCATACAACCGACCCATCTCTGACTGAAGCTTAACTGATATTTAACCTTTGTTGAGCCGATTTCGCTAAATCGTATGACAAAAAGGGTACAAACCACAGCGTTCTCTAAGCGATGCGACGTGAGCTTCTGCATTCTTCGCTCTTTGCCTCTCGCTATCAAGCTCCTGCTGAAGATCGTCCTTCTCCTCAGAGATAGTATTCAAACGGGTGTCCCAACCAGCTGACTTTGCCTGATTTATGGTGAGTTTTGAGAGTGACTCTTTAGCCTCGTCCAGCTCTTGATATAACGACTTCTTCGATGCCTCAGATATTTCTGCGTTGAGTAGAGCTGCATGTAATTTCTGGGAAGAATAACAGTCAGGTACCTCCGCGTCAATTCAATTTCCGCGCAACTCGCCTTCTCCAGTGACGAATTCTCTTTCCTTAATTCTAATACTTGTTTCTCAGGGTCCAAGATCAGATTTGAGGAGTGAAGAGTTGGGGTTTCCGGTCGTGACAAGTCGCTTCCATCATCTGACTATCTAGAGTTAGCAAGTCGAGAGACAATAAAAGTTGGTTGTCATACCTGAGCATCGGAGTCGTCTAGACCGTGTCTTCGTATATAGGCTTCATGTTTCGCCAACAAAGCCTGTCCAACCTCTTCAGAGACGTTTGAGTATTCATAATTTAACGACTCGAAAGCATAAATGGACTTACCAGCACACAAAATCAACCGACTTTCGAGCTTATTCTGGAAGGCCGTCCATGCAGCCGCATTGGCACAATCCTCTCGACCACAGCAGCAGTGCAACAAGTCACGGTCTGCTGCATCCGGAGAAGGTGCTCGTGAAACCTTTGCCAGTGCTGTGGTGAACTCGTCAATAGTCGCAGTTGCACGATGTAAGCTGTTCGTCATTTGCGAGTCCGGAGACGTTGGTCGTGAACCTGTCTTGTGTTGGGGCTGGGAAGCCAGGGAAGACGCGCCAGGTCCTTGCATTTCAACATGCGCAAGGGTGCGCAAAGTATTTAAGCAAATGCAAGATGAAGAGTGAATGAAGAACGCGCTCAAGAGGCATGACTATAACGACCCACAGTTACTTATTTGGCACGTGCTTTCCTCGTCGTCGATCACCCAAATGCCCTAATCATGAAATCACACGAACTGTAAAACACGACATGCACCATTGCACTAGTCCAATGCATGGTATTTCATTACCCCAGAAACGTGAGTAGGTGCGCTAATACATGGTTTTTCAGAGGGGCAGTAACGACTGCCTAACTTAGCTAATATGCAGCGATTCATACAATGACAATGATGCCTCATGCTAAAATAGAAGGAATGAATGAAATGTATGAAGTTTGGTGACTCTGTGCAGTGAGCTGCCTCGGGCTTGCCGGAAATTGTGCAAGCTGGACACACTCTCAATAAATTTGGCAGGCAGAAAACTATTCCGAAAGTGAGATCGTAATTTCTATGATATAGAAAGGAGTACAACTGTCCCTTCAGATCAGAAGAGCACAAATCAAACAAGAGACCAGCATACTAAACGTATGTGCACCGTACGTACTGTGCAGGCACACATTTTCTTTACCGTTGGACTTGGACCAACTATAGGCACGCAGTGATGCTCGTCACATTTTCAACCAGAATGGTTTATTAATATTGTATGTGAGTCTTGCTGGTTCACAAATTGAGGGATGATCCAAGTAATTTGTGCAGTGTGCTTGTGGTATCCAGGATAACCGCTTCTTCTGTCTTTGTTGCATTTATGTCTACAATATATCAAGAAGTGGAGCAATTCGAGAAAGTGGCAAACTGGTTGCAACTTGAAATCAGCTCTGATTACAGCAATACCCTGGACACCCCGTTTCAGTCATGTTCGCACGTTCACGAGCGCCTTGGCGCGGTCCTGTCCGATACACTGTGATCGTTCCACATCACAGTAGTATAGCTGAAGCTTAGGGTTTAGGGTAGAGCGGTAGTTTCGATCAGTAAATCAGACGTGTGTTTAACGTCATCACTCGTAAACAAATACGGAGACCCTGCTATATTCAAAAAGTGGGTTTTAGCAAGCAACGATAGAGTTGTTCAGAGCAGAGAGAAGGTTGCGGATCCTCGGAAGCAATCGCTGTTATGCTACTTACGTAACATTGTGTGTCCAAATAAATATCTGCTTTGAAGGGAAGTGAACGGAAGTAATGCTTCTCTTAAGACGCCGTCAGACGAAGTTGCGAATTAGATTTCTGTACAAGTAGTTCTACTGTCGTACGTCTAAACTAACGTGGATGCCTTCCGCATGTTAAATACTGCCAATGTTTGTTGTATGGACACATTTTCTTATCAACCAGCCACGCATCCCACAACCACGCATTGGACATGCAGATCTTATCCAAACTCGGAATCTCTTTGTACCGTCGCATCATAAATGAAGCATAAAGGCGAGGTGCTCGAGGACGGAAAGTTTGTACTGTATACTACATTATTCTATTTGCTGTGCAATTTGCCCCTTTAGCACTGAAAAATTCAAACGTGCAACTTTTTACCGTTCGTGGCTGATGCTATCAAGAGTAAGGCAAATATTTTCGTCGATTTATCTACACCTAACAGATATTAAACGTGCTCAACTACAGTAATGGGTGGAGGTGAGAAGAAGATAAACAAAGTGAAGAAAGAAAAAGACACAGAGTTAGGGTGTATATGGACGCAGATATGACTTAGCGATAATACATCAAGACAGGAATAAAATCAGGAATAGGAGGGTAGAATTGGAAATATGGATAGACACATGATACAAGGACTAAAACGAGTAAAAGAAAACAGCGGCCGAAGGCAAATTCGAAATACGACCAAGTTCACATATTCTCCGCCAGCTCGCCATTGAGGCAACTCGGTCGGTACTCTTTCAACTTTTGGATGCTCCCTGGAACTGTTGGATCCCACCCCAGGTTGCTAGCTTCAATTCGGCATGGGTCATTTTCCTTGGCTGTCCCGAGGTGGCGCTTTAAAGAATCTTCGCGCACGTACCCGGATACGTGGTTACACTTCTGCATTGTACTATCGCGTACAGCATCCAGTCCAGGACAGTACCATATCTGCTTCTCATGCCAGGTCCTTACGTGTCGCAGCATCGTCTTCTTGCAGTGAAATAGTTTCTTGCAGTCTGATATCTTGCAAGGAACCTTCGAATTTTTACTCGTCCGCTTATTCGGACGTATAGGACCAATGTTGTCCGTCTTCTTGGAGTCGTCGACCTTTCCCTTTCCTTTAGTGTCTATTTTCTCACGAGCACTGGAAGGACCTGCAGGCTGAGAGGCGGGCGTAGCGGACGTCGACGTCGACGGAATAGGAGACGAGTTGTCAACACTAATTGCACTCGACGTAGCAGCGCTGGGTTCGGAGAGGGAAACGTCATTCAAGGTATTTTCGCGTGTGTAGTAACGGAACTGAAGTTCGGGGAAGTTCTGTATCTGCGCAGGAGGTACTGGCGCAGCCAGTTGCGTACCGGCCGTGTTGTATCCCATGAAGCTGTTCGCCATCTGTGGCTGCTGAACATCGGGGATGGGAGTACTCATGAAGAGAGCATGTTGCTGGAGAAACGGAGTTTGCAAGCTCGGAGCTTGGTTCCAATGAGGAGTCATGAGTGACGGCGTCGAGTCTGAAGAGCCTGAGGATGAATAGGAAACGGAGCTCTCGCGGGAGGTAGAAGCAGGAGCCGCGCCATCGCCGAAAGTCATTGACGAGTTCCCAAACGCTTGGTCGTGATGAGCGAAATGCACCCCGCCATTGTAAGGACGAAGGGGTGTATCGACGATGTTGTAGCTGTTCCATGGTCCAGACATAGGGTTCGCCAGTTGATCACTGTGGATTAGACCACCGTTGTGGACGCCGTGGTCAATGGTAGCGCCGTGAGCGCTGAATAAATCATCATTCCAAGTCTATTGAGTATCGTCAGTCAAGGCGTCGAGCTGAAGAGTAATCCACTTACCGCTTGGTTATTTGAGCCTTCTACATACGTTGGTATGCTAGACCCAACGGAATGTTGTGGCTGAGTATCCTTGCCCACATTCGTGCTGTGGTGAAGTGCATCGGATGTATGGGCATTCGGAACAAATATGGATGACAAAGGATCATCTAAGGGAAAGCTAGTCGAGAAGAAGTCCATGGTATAGGACGGCAGAATGTGGACGAGGGGAGAAGGTTGTACGGGTGGCTGTAGCTGAGGTGGATGGTAGGAATTGTAGGAAGATAGGAAGTCTGGTAGCGTCAGTAGTCAAATCCCGCTTTATATACCTTTACCCAAGTTCAAAATCACACCCAAACAATCCGAGTTGTCGGCGTGCATGGTCGTGGCTTTGCACCATTGTGACTCTATGCGCCAAGCAGGAATCAGGGCACCAATATGCACCCATTCAATCAAACGTGCTGCTTCGGCGGAAACATATTGATCGTGGTTCGGAAGGGGCGGGCACCGGAAAGCGCACAGCGCATAGAACAATGCCAGGTCGGTGGCCAAAATAATATGTGGACTAAGCACGGCGAAATCCAGATATCTCTGAAGGTTGATTACGCCAAAGCTTGTAGACTTGCATTGAAATCATGTCGGTGTTTGTCCCCCCGAAACAAATCAAAATTTCTCCAAAGCGCACAATGGCAGAGATACTGCACAGGCGCGCCGGACCTCAGCAAACGTCACATGTTGAGCTTTGGCTACTCTATTCTCTTTCTTGTACAGATAATAGCTGTCGTAATTTTTCAATTTAGAAAGGGATATTTACTGCATTATCCAGTTGTGTTTTCTCAAAGAAAATTGCACGCAAGGGATGCCGCGACGAGAAAGGCAAGGATACGGTCAGGAGGTCCAGCCACGCTGTGCAGCGTATCGCATATCTATCTCTATCAGGTGCACGGAAAACAATACGGTGGCGGTACCGTCGCTATGCCGTGGACAATGGGGCTCACAAGATCCGGGGGTTGAGGGTATGACTCGATCTCGATCGGTCGACATGGAGGACCAGGAAAGCAACTTGATTTGAAGCTTTCAGAGAGACACAGTGAGTCGAACTGAGCTATTTCCGTAGGCGAAGGGTTTTTCGAGGTGATCGCAAGACATAGGGCTCTGTCATACAATCAAATGACCAAGACCTCAATTACGTACTAATGTCCAAAAATAGTCCTCAGGGACAAATGGGACACTCAAGGCTCGAGATAAAGTTCGTTCAGGCAACGCTAGAAATTCTTCGCGCTGCGCTAGACGCAAATTGTAACATTAATTTTGTTGTCGCCCTCTGAAGTTTCAACACAGATACGGTCAAGAAACGACTACCGAGTTCCTTAGCCACACATTCACGGGTTTCACCCTTGCCACTCCAGCAATGTTGGACTCTGCATCCCTCTTCTCCTTCCTGAACCCACCTTTCTTGGTATTACTATTCCAAGTAGCCAACCACCCCCTCATCTTTGCCAGCGCTTCTTTCTGTACACTCGCAATTGTGTCGTCCACCATTCCCGCTGCAGCGCTGAGGTCTGAGCAATGGAACCCGTCGCCGACCGCGATGGGCTGCGATGAAGTACTCTGACGGGTGTGGAAGTCTGAAGAGACGGTTGCATCACGCCAGGGATCGCCTGTAAGCCCGAGAAAACCCGAAAATACCATGTAAATACATAGTGTGAATGGTTAAATAGAATAGATTCAATAGAAAAGATTTCGACATACGTTTCCCATTCGCAAAGAACAGCCTATCGGCAGTTAAGTCCCAGCCACCATACGCCCTGTTAGTCGACGCTACATTAGGGGTGGGCGGCTTGCTGAATGCCTCTGGGAACCAGTACGTGCATTGGCGCTGTATGTCAGATATCAGATATCATTCTCCAATGTACATCGTGCAGGCAAATTTTTTTCGGCGGAGAAAGCGTGTAATGGGTTCGTGGCTCTGGTGGTTGATTTTCTAGATTTGTGTCATAAAGAATGGAACGAACCTCATCGTATGCCGGCTGCACAAGCCTCGTAACGAGGCTTGGCGTGCCCTCTGGAGCCCCGTCTTGGAAGAAACCGACTTGGTTACAACTGCATCAAGATTTGGCGTTAACACTGCCGCCTGTGTTGCAATGGAATGATGGAGACTTACACTATCCACGTCCACGAGCGACCAGAGTTATCGATACTATGAGTCGGCTGCTTTAATATCTGATCTCGAGTAAATGTGAAACGATCTAGACTGACGTTGTATTGGTCCAAAAGTCCTGTGTTGGATCGTAAGTCCCCAGACATGTCCTATCATAGGCACGAGCCATCGTTAATTTCACGGGCTCGAATTGTAGTGAAATGAATAGACGTGCTCTGCATCCATATCTCCACACACTAAAGTTGCACAAATAAATAAATAAATTCTCAAACAGAATCCGGATCGGTAACAGAAAATACGCACGCAATTCATAATATGTCTCATTCCAGAACTTGCCCCAGGCTTGGAGTGCATGGTCGACGCCCCAACCCCTCGGACCGGCAGAGACGCCATTCTTTACTTCAAGTGCGTCGCAGAAGGTAAAGAAGAGTGCTCCCGGCCCGGACGTGGGCGATAAACTTTGCCAATCCCATAGGTTATTACGTACTGTATCAAATCGGATTATTCAGTCTACTTATCAACAGAAGACTCCAAAGCGGATATGGAAGCAGGCACGCACAAGCTCCAGCAACATCATCCAAATGGGTCATGTCTCCTAATCCAAAGTTGCTCTTTATGCTGGCAATCTCGGCCGTTGATCCATGTGTGAAGACCTGATCTATATGTGCGATGGCAGCCTGAACATCTGCAGAGCAATTTGCTGGCATAAATTGTCGAATGGGGTCGAAGTATTGCCAGAAGTATATGATGGACTCCTCGACGGCTGAAGAAGCGTATCCAGCGAAGAATATATCTGGTTTACTGAAATTTCGATTAGTTTACGCTGCACATATACTGTTCGATATTGAGAATTGGGGCTGCACGAGGACTTACTTAACCATCGTCCAACCCGTCAGTGCGCCTAAACGTAGAATAACTTAATAAGAATATCTTTCAAAAATGCTAAAACGGCATTTACCGCTGTAACTCCCGCCAATAAGCACCCATGGAGCCTTGTCTGGTGTGACTTTATCCCCGCCAGGCATAGGTAATTTAACATTTTGTGCAAAATAGACAAGGTCATCAATAGCTTGCTGAATGGTGTGGTACTTGAGACTTGCGACACTCAAGTCATCAAAGGGGTTTGATAGTCCGTAGTATCGATGTTCAAGGACGATAGTGGAACCATTCTGCTGCTGTGCAATGAGTCCATTGATGGTACGATTAGTAAGATATCCGGTGTAAGCTATTTGTTTCGGAGAGAGGACATGTTATGCTAAGAGCTCATTGGATGCATCGATTGGAATAACTCACGTGCAGCATTTGCCTCGCCAGGTGTCATTAAAATAATCGGTCCACCTGGTTCATAGAACTCATACGTGAACCAGAATCGCTGCTTGAATGTACCGAGGCTGGGATTATTATGATCAATGAGCTGATCGAAAAGGTACGTTGTGTTATACGGCGGGAGTTGCGTTCCGTTTCGGCTTGTAACTGGTGCATTTGCGTCGATGTCGCCGAGGGAGATTATTGGAACAACTGCACTGGGAGCCATGTTGGCATGTGCACGTCCATCCTTGAGGCGTGCTCCACTAGCAGTGGCAGAGAAAGATGACAATGCTGCTATGACGAGAGCAATCTGGCCAAACATAACAGAAATAACCTTAAGCTGAAGCTTGGGGACAGAGTGGGTGCTAGAGAGAGCACAGCTTTACAGTAACTTTCAGGCGCACTCTTTATAGTATGTGTTTGCAACTGGACTAGGGCAGCATGCGGAGCTGAAGCCAAGATAGGAGCTCCAACAGAAAACAACGCATGATAGCGCGGAAGCGGGTATGACGGAGAGAAGTTCATTCCCAAGAAGAACGCATCGAATTCCGCGGACAGTACCGATGCTGCAAGCGCTTTGTGACCTGCCTAGACAGAGCTTGATGATTGGAAAACTGTTCGAATGGCCATTGAACGGCCCGAGCGATACAACTTTTCAAGGCACGTCATCCAGATCCATGCGTATCTTGAGAATTCTTCTGTATCGTATAGGATCTGTGCATGGATCAACACAGTCGGGACCGCTGGCGAAGACTCGGAAGAGCGTGTGGCACATGTAACGGAATCACTAGCAGTCGTATAAATAATGAAGCGAAGCATGGCCAATTCTTCACATGGTTCGGTCGTATGATAAAGCCAGTCTATGAACACGGATCCTTGATGCAATTTGGATGATAGCGTCAATGATACTATGGTAGTAACGAGGCTTGGAAAGCAACGCGGACCGAAACTGATCGACGATTACAGAGAAATACAAATTAGGTAATTACCAGGCCTTCAGGTTATTTGCAACAATGACATGGTCTATTGCCGCCTTCATAACATTAAATTTCATCCGGATGAGCAATTGCCTTGTTGCCGCATTGATACCGCTGCGGCTTTATTTATTCGGGCTTCCATTTTTTCGTCGTACTTGGCAATAACAAAATCCTGATTGGTTTCTCACTCATAAAGTTGCCTGTAATTCGTATTACTATTAGGACACACAAAATTCCAGATCCTATTCATTCGGAATAAAAACGTTAATTAATACAAGGTGAACCTATCCCGATAATAAAAAGTACCTATGTAAGAAACACAGAGAGCATCAGAGATGAAAGGGACAGACGTTATACAAGTTGCACTGGCAGAAAAGACAGAACACAAATGGTACCCCGCAGTAAAACACAGAAATCGAAATGACGCGAGAGTCTCAAAAGGGTGAGAGGGATATGTATGGGGGATGAGAGGAGTCAATTGACTACTCTATGATCTTCGTAATCAACTCAGGGAACCAATTAAGGACTTTAGTGACATGCCCGCGATTTAGTGGCAAGAACTGGAAGGTATTCGCGAGACCCTGCATATTCAGATCTTCGAGGGCGTGGAGTTGACGTTGGCCGTATGTGGTATCCTCGTCGAGTGTGCTGAGTGTTGATGAGGAGCCTTTTGCGCCTACGGTACTCGCAGCATCTTCCATCGCCACACGGAATACTGCTGAAGCTGATGACAGTATCGAGGGGTTGGAAGAACTTGTGAAGATGTCGTGAATCTTGTCTTGCAGTCCATCATACCTGAGAAGCTCAATGTCAGCACAAAATATATTTGGAAGTTTGCGCCTGGCACGTACGCAAGCGAGACGACTTCGGGATAAACCATTGATGCTTCTTTCATGATCCCGAACAGTATCTGCGACTCCGCATCATCGACCTGAGCGCTGGAAAGGATTGCACCCAGGAACGAGATTGCAAACAGAGGGCTCGGCGGCTCAGTGCACCCCAAAACATCGAATGAAATTTGAGGCAGTTGATCATTTTCATCCTCCGCTTGATCAGAGGAATCCTTCGATGAAATCCACTCCTCACCAGCGCGAGCATCTTGCAGAAGTTGTTGATACGCTGGAACAGTAGTCGAAACTGAGAGGAGAGCTATAAAATAGCCTAGTGCCTCGCTGTGGACGGTTGCATCCGCCGGTACTGGAGTGGGTACGGTCGACACCGAAGCAGTGAGGAGACAGCGTAAAGCTTTAACCGCTGATTGCTGGAGGTTTGGCCGTCGAATCCCTTTAAAAATGACAGCGGCTAACGAAAACGAGAAGTCGGAATCAAATGATAAACCTAGAAGTTCGTCCAGTTGTACGTGGATTTCTTCAAGGCACGACCGAGATTCCAGTAACGTTGCGGTGAAGCCCTTCTCGTGGAACGCATTCTGCTTTTGAAGAGTTGTGACACAAGCACAAAGCAGATCGATTGCTTCTTTATAGAATGGAGCATGGCTAGACTGTAATAGTGCGACTGCCAACCAGAATAGTGTGCCGACATAGCGCGAGCTTTCCGGGAGGGACGGAACGACTTTGCAAATGCAGTTCAGCATGCTTACGACACATTGTGTGTCCGACTCGTCCGCCATTTTCATCGCGCTCCTTAAAGCTACAAGCATCTGGTACAGAAGATCGTCGTCCACATCTGAAGACGCCAATGTTCCCATGACAATAAAGGCTCGGGGCTGGATGCTTGGTGACAATTGGAAGGCTGTAGCGGTCAAGAGGCCCATCCATCGCGCCCTCCACACATTCACCAGACCTACGAGGATGCGAATATAGTCAGCGCTCTGTAACAATGGAGATAGGAAGGGCTGAACTAACCCGTGTTTCCGGCACAGACGCAAAGAGCCTTTAGCAACCACCGCGTCAAGCCTTCCAGCGACTCCCGACTGTCGTAACCATCAAAGATAGCAAACTCGCTGGTATTTGAGGAATACGTCAGACCGAATAGACGAACAGTCTCAAGTTGAGCTATTTCAACCAAGAGATTCCGAATTTCCGACGATAGACCCGAATCGTCCGCATGCAATTGATATAGTGATTGGAACAATTGAAGCGCAAGCCCATATACAGTATTGCGCATGGAGGCATCGCCCTGGCTTGCTAAGAGAGTTACAAGATGCATTATTTCGGGCACCAAGAGCTGGACCTGAAGTGCGTGCTCAATCGTATTACCAGTCCCGAGAGCAAGCCGCGAATATGCCGTGATTTCGTTCCAATGTACATTCTTCTCCAGGGATTTACTTGGCTTAGTTGATGTCTTCCCTAATGCCTATTCCCTGCCATTAGTGATTGCATAGTACGAAAATACATTAAAAAAATACCTTGCGCAGTTTCGCCAATATACGGCCCCGAGCGCTCTTGGAGCACATATGATTCAGGATTTCAGACATGACTTCGCATCTTGTCGAACCTAATCCTCCATCAACAGCAGCACGCATCACTTCATCCAATACAATATTTATGACTGGTGTATCAAGTTTTCCAACCTCAGGCCAGATAAGACGCACAGCCACGTGGAACGCCTGTCATGCAGTGTTCAGCAGGACAACAAAAATCACACACAAGCCTGCTTACCTCTGGATCCCGCACACTCACGTCGAGTAGTAATCGGACGCAGTCCCTCAATCTTGCACCTGAGAGCTCATATAAGTCGCAGGTAGGGTCGCAGAACCTGTTCAAATTCTTGATCCAAGGTGACGTGTACCTAAGTGTGATGGACTTCTGTGCAATCGGAGTTTTCTCCTGTTCTAGACAGACTTGAGACAGGAAGTCAAGCGTCAACTCCGGCGCAAACATAGCAAGCTTCTCGCTGAGCTGCATGACGAGCCTCAGAGGATTACCAGGAATGAATCCTCCTTCAAATCGTGTCAGTGTACAGTGAATAAGGATACAAGCGAAAGTAATTTACCAGACGATGGCAGCAAGGTCTCTGAATCATAACCAATTGACGAGCATACGGCCTTTAGCAGGTCGTAAGCGGAGCTCCTCAGATCAGGATGCTCGTGATGCGTGTTCAGCATCGCGATATTGAGTAGGGCGGCAGAGACGTTGGACAATCTCGAGAAACGATCGAAGAACACAGCACGGCTGACGTTCATTCGGCTTTTTGCTGAACGGATAGTCTAGAAATGCAGTCCGTACTCGTCGATATAGGTCTTTAGAAGTATAAAGAAGGCTATCGGACCTTTACAATATGATCCCGCTCGGGCGAAGAGAAGTATAAAGTACCACCGTTGCGGTTTCGCCGGATTATGAACTCATTTGCCTCACGCCCTGTCGATACATTGTAGATATCGCCAATGTCTCCAAATGGCACGATCTCAGTTGTCTTGCACGAGAATTGAGCGTATACGTTCTGCGCCTTGACCTGTATGGAGATATTGGCATCCGCGTGTAAACGGTTTTATAAAATAAACGTACCGAATCAATTCGCAGATGCGATTGAGCAACGGCGAGATTTACAGGGACCTTCATAAGGTGTGCTTGGCGAAGCATGATATCCTTGAAGACTTCCCTATCTTCTTGCTCTAGATTATCTGGAGAACATAGCCTGAGTCAAACGAATTCAATGAATATCTAGTCGCTTACATGCTGTCTTCAAGGCGTCCGCAACATTGCAGTGAACAGCTTCACAAAGCTCGGAGACGCTGAGCTTCGGTCGAATCTCAATGAAAAATATACCTGTCAAAATTGTAAGTGTGAAGCTGTGCAAAACATACAATGACGACGGACCGGAGCAAATATTGTAAAGCTTGCGGAGGAAGCGCTGCATGGCCAAATTGCAATTGAGGAGGTACGCAGTGGAGAAGCGCGACCGTAAATCACTTGGTGCCAGTTCAATAAAGAACTTGAACCATTGCATCGGAATTTCGGATGCTGTCGTATAGTTAGTGCAATCTATAATGACTTCAACATTCCTCCCTTCGTTGATAGTGGACATCGTTGTCTGAAGAGATTGTTGGTTAGAATGTGCTTGTTTGCTATGGTATAGTTCTCACCTTGAAGATATGATGTACCAGTAATTCAAAGTCAAGAACTTCGATATCCAGTTGACAAATAGGAAGAAGGTATAATACAACGTCCTCCTGCAATGGGATGAGTAATGTAATTTGTTAGTTAACGTGAATCTCACTTGCCTTTATAGCAACTTCCGTGAACATTGACATGACAGAGTCCGTGTTTCTATCCACGTTACGAAGCATGAAGTCTTGATAACCACCCGGAGATGAGGAGTGGAGCGCGCTTAAGTGTGGAACGTCGACGGGCTGACCCATCTCTACGAGTGCAGCGCATAATGTATCCCATGCCCTCTTCCCACCAACGACAGCGGCTTCACCTTCTTTAGACGTCTTCGACAGACTGAGTAGCTCTTTCCCTACTTTATCGGCATGTTTCTCGAAGAATCGGTGCAACACGATGGCATCTGTCTCATCGAAGGTTCCACCTTGCCATTCACCTTGGTCTTCTTCAACGGCGGAGGGGTTGAATTTCTGTCGTATCTCTTCTGAATAAGTACGCATGTGGATATAAAAATTCTGCTGCTCACGTTAACTTCCGTAAGGAATCGCATAACACGAACGATATTGTCCGTCAGGAATTCATTGAACCACATCATGTGTACTTCCTTGCCAAATCGCACGTTATTCGCAAGGTTCTGAATGATCTTCGTAATGACCAGGAGGCCGCGACGAATTCTGATGTGATCAGGTGGCAGTTCTATGTCAATGGTGTCGGGCGAAACGAGAGCAGGAGAAATGAATCTATGGAAGGTCAGATAAGATACCATTTAAATACTGAGCCAGCGTACCTCAGGAAAATAAAGGCGCCTAATGCGGCGAACTTAGCCTCAGGCCAGACTTCAGCACTTCATTGCTAATGTTAGCATCAAAAGACGAACGATCAAAATCGCGGACTTACACAGTCTGGGAGATATGCGCGCAAACTTCTCTCAGCATTCTGAAGGTACATCTCTCAGTATTAAATTTTAAATGGTGTCCTGAACGGCACTTACAATGGCATGGTGCTCGCCGAGTCACAGACCAGGCTCAAGAAGTTCTCTGCGAGAAACTTGATAGCCTTCCTGTTATTCTCGACGTCTTCATCAGTAGTCTTTGTAGGATCCAGAATGAACGTGGACGTCTCGTGCTTGGGTTGACACATCATGTCCAGCAACGGTTTGACCAGCCTGCGGAGGTAATCGTAGCCATGTATTTTCGCAAAGCCGCACAGAAGCTTAATGCGCATTGAGTTGCCTCTAAACAAGCTGACTTCGTTCTCTGCGGTACTAATTAGAACGTTTTCTTGCATTAAACTGAAGGGAAACGTACGAGTGGTCTTGACTTCCCGTTCAATCATCAACTTCAATAACTCCAGTAGCGAAGCCCTGGAGTCAAACAAATTCAACAGGACGGGAATGACGACATCGACTTCACTGGAAGGACAAGTTTCACAGATTGCGAGCACGAGAATCATCTGAACATATAATTAGCCTGGTAATAATACGTCTCTACGATGAAAGCTAGGTACATCACAACCCTTGACCAGCTAGAATTGGATGATATCAGAATAACCTGCAAACCTTGAAGATTTAACTCGTACCTCTCCAATTCTAGACCGACGTCCAGCAACCATAGATTCGTTCTGCGTCTCCAGCCGACCTCCAAGGTCCATCACACGTGCAACAACTTTGCAGAAAATCGCTCGTTTCGCCGGATCCTGGTCATAACCAAGTGGTAGGAAATGCTTGAGACCAATATCGGTATTCATGGACAGTAAATGGGCAAGACCGCTGATGATAAGATCTCGAAGCCCTCCCTTGTCAGAGCTCTTACGCTGTAAACAGAGATTTCGCATCAAACACACCCAAGAAGTATAATGAGCAATTACCTGTCCGGACGAGTGTTGCGAGCTCCGATCTTCGTCAATCTTTTAAGTTGATTAGTCTCTCTGCCACAAAACTTACAAAGATTTTCACTTACAGAAGGCTCGGATAAGGGATCGAATTGCAAACCGTGAAGGAGAACACTTTGATACTTTAGATATCGCCTCGAGACTACATGTGAGGCATCATCTCCCGTGGAAATGTCGATAGGTTGCAAACGCAGACGTTCTAGTAATCTGACTACTGCGCGCAGGGCGGACACGTTAGCTTCGTGCCGTAAACGCATCAAATGGAAGTCATCATGGCCAACTCCCTGAGTAACGTTCGTCAATCGTTGTCTATTACAAATATAAGTCGACGACGTACCTCGGGTTCGAACCACTCGACAATGATGTTAAGCAAATTATTGCGAACGAAATCATCAGTCCTGAGACCAAGTGATTCGCCACGTCCACAAGCCGCTTCACAGAACATGCAGAACTTTGTCTTGAACCGCAGCAAGTCACCATCCTTGAATCGCTCCATGAACTTGGTAAGAGTAAGCAAAGCCTGGCTCAGGTCGTTATTTGCGAGAAAATCGTCCTGCGGTGCGTCGGCGCGGTCGACGAGCAGTTTCAAGACTGTCACAAGCTGTAGCAAGCGGGGACTGTCAGATATTGGGCTTTCATTTTGGCCTGGAAAAAGATTTACCTGTTCGAAGTACATAAGTAAAAGGTCGTCTTCGCCGCCTTGTGGAGTGGGAGCGTCAGCGCTGATCCTTGCCGCATCATCAACCGAACTAGAACATGTTCTCTTTAGTAGTTGCCGTATAAAGACGGAGTGATCTACCCACTCGTAAATCTGCCTGAATAGTCTATTGAACAAGCGCGGATTCAATTCCGAACCGAGAGCCTCTTTCGCCGTATCTCGTGCTAGAGGGATTTCGGATACCAAGAAGTCGACGGTGTAGGCCAGGAAATCGTTCACCATCGCGTCACCATCGTGCGATATACGCAGGCGATCCGACAGTTCGTGCAAGGGAAACTGCTTCGTCCACTCCTCGCTCAAGTCCTCCATTACTGATATAGCACCGAATGAAGCCATGAAGAGCGTCAAGTTCTGCCATTGGTAGAATTTCTCCTGTAAAAACAACAATCGTTAGCAGACGTGGTGGTCGCTTGTAAAAAGTATAACCTCAGTGGACATTGACAAATCACCGGCAGGTCGGAAAGTCGAGTGGACATCAAATTCAGAGACTGCTTGAGGACGGTTTACAATCCAATCTCTGAGCGCAGCCCACCTGAAGTAGCACTCCTGCCAGACAGAAGCATGCAGCGCTGAAGCTGTGGTTAGGAGCCGCAGTACTTTCCGTATTCGCTTTTGTTGAGCGACTCGGCCTGACGACACGAATCTGAGTATATGCCAATTGAAAATCAAACCAACCAAACGTACCGACGACTATGGCTGACGGGTCTCCCAATTGTTCATAAAGTGGGTACCTCTTAGCGGCCTCGTCACTCTCCTCGAAAGGTCTGCGTGGGTTAGGCAAGCATTCTGCAATCGCAATTTCCCTTAATCCCTTTGCTGCGATGGATGAAACAATGGTATCTGTAGACGTCAAGGTGACCAAAAACGCCACTTCAGCAGAGATAACAGCCGGAAGGCGGCCATTTGAAAAATCCCAGTCACCCATAACGCCGTTCTGATGAATGCTGAGCTTAGCGAATCCATGGCCTCTTTTCAATACGACTTACCTGGACGCCTTGTCTGTACAAAGAGGTGTAGTAGAACAGCATCTCTGCAATTATCCTCTGTTCGAATAGACTCTCGCGAGTATCTAGGAGGCGTGTCGCCGTAACATGCACCGCAATCGGGCTAGACGGTACAATTAATAAGCATGCACGTAAAAAAAATCAAGTTGATAATTACACTGTTATCCCAAGCCAGTAAGTCGCAGCCCCATGATACGGGCTTCCTGTTGGTTGTTCCAACATCCAGTTTGCCGCATGAATATACGTCCTAAGGGCAGATAATGGAAGAGTTGCGCTGCCAGGGTCTCGAATGACTGCTATGACATCGGAAAGCCAACTTTTGCCTTCTTCTCCATCGAGCAAAAGAGGAAAGAACAGAGTATCAAATCTGTACAAGCATAATATCGAGAGCGCAAGGAGTTCTTTCTCTATGATTGTCTCGGAGCTGTATCTTTTCATTGTCGGCCGTGTCGCGCTGCGTTTCATGACTCCCAAATCATCTTTCTCGTTGTGCCGCGATACAGAGCTCTGTAGAGTGGAATCAATCATGAATTGGACAACGTGCACATGAAAACTCTAGTACCTGATATATGCGTCGGATACGATCAATCAGATGCTCGGATCTCACGGCTTCCAGGTGTGGCCACTTTGCTGACTTAGTCTACTGTCAGATGCGATTCACCGAGCACGATATGACACTATACCTGTTGACTTAATGTAATGAGGGCCTTTATGGCGACCATTTTGACAGTGTCGGATCGTTCGGGTTCAAGACATGCATCGATGAGTCGTAAGTATTCTTCTTCAGGAAGGAACCTGGCGACTCCCGCAGTTACATCTGCATGAAGGGGAACATCGATCGGTTCACTAGATTCGAAGAACGGTCGTTGGTCCTGTGCTTTCCAGAGACGTTCCTAGATTCGGGAAGTCAGTATATCAAGGTATGACCAAGGTCAGTGAATGCGCACTTTCAAGTCATCTGCCACTTCCCAAGCAACGCTTCTGATGGTTACATCATACTCGGCAGGGATGTACGACGCGGCACGCATGACGTCGGCGTGGCAGAGAAGAGACGTTTCAGAAAACTTTGACGAAGCTGGCAAGTTCTTTTGTAGTTTGTCGAGAAAGACGAGCTCCTAGAAAGAAGCGACGTAATTAAGAAGTGTATTTTCGTTCAAGTCCGAAAAAGAAATGTACCTTCTTGCCTTGAATTTGCTTGCTCCCTGATTGACTTTCGAGAAGAATAGAAACCTGCTTCAGACGGTCGTGGCTCAACAAAAGCAACGCAGTGAGCACAGGCCAGAGCATTTTCCTATTCTGGTCGTTCTTAATTTGAATGAATAGATCAAAGACCCGTTCGGGTGCTCCGTCAAGCTTTCTTTGACCCCTTGACATTTCTACGAATTCGCTTGGAAATGTCTCTATCCAATTCCAGATGGCCCGACGCAAGCATGTCGCAACGGCACATTGTGCGTCAGGTTTCATGTTCACGAGTAAACTAGAAAGATCTATTCGAAAGTCTCAGAACGGTCCAAAAACAATAACCGAACAGATATACCTTGAAGAATGAGGATCAGTCTGGTTCGGTCCAGTGCGCAGTACTGCATGAGCTGCAAGTCTGTATAGTCTTGCGAATCCTCATTCGAGGCACGAGCCAGAGAGTGGATTTTCCCTCGAATCTTGCTCAAGACTACGCTCCAATTTGCCGCGGAGAGCAAGTAAACAATGTTACCTGCCCATTCTGTTATCAAGGAGTAAAGTGGCAAAGAAGACATCGTGAGAGTCCGAGGTGTACGCTGGAAACCGAGTGCCGAGCGAGCCAAAGGTATTGGAGTAGAGGAATTGGTGGACACAGAAGTCATCGAGGGCGACTTATGCGGTACTTGGCCTGCAGGAGTGGAGGCCGGTTCGTCGTCAGAGGGAGGTATCCATGGCATGTCATCCTCATGTCGCAAACCATCGTCACTGTTTATCGACTCGAAGCCGTATAAAGTCGCATCCGAGCTAAGATTATCATACGCCTTCGTGCGGTCATCACGCGGGGCCGCCTGCCGCAGAAGAAGAATCATGACGCTCACGAGCCAACGAGCACAGTTCTCGTCAAGCGGAGGTGCCTCAAGAATGAGTGATGGTGCAGAAAAGCGCGTACCCGTATGACTACCCTTGGAACTTTGGGCTTGAGAGTTAAACGATGACGCAGGTGCTGGTGACGATGCGCCATCTCGGAAATTACTGGACGCGTCTGCTGAAGATTGCGATGCCTTCTGCGGCGGTATATTACCGCGGTGTTGCCAGCGACACGACAGGGTAACCGACATGACCTTTAATAAAAACAATTCGGACTGGAGGATAAACAGTGCACGTTGTCCTGTTGCTTCCAGCTATACATCAAAGATGCCATCAGTCAGAGTCAGAAATCAAAATGGCAGTCGGGTGAGCGAAAGAGAGGTGCAGGGCCAAGGGGAGTTGAGGAAAAACAGATATGATTAAAACACTACTAGAGCATAACACTAACCTTTGCGAGACTTTCCAGCTCCTGGGACAACTTCCAGACAATAATATCAAGAGCATGTTTTGCCAACTCGACGAGCGTTTCGATAATGTTTTGCACTGCACGATCTGCCTCCAAGTCGGTCAGAGCAAGGCCTGAGTAGCAAGGAAGCTACAAGCGCAACGTGAAAGCCAGTCAGTATCCTGAGTCTGGAGTATGTTTATACCAAAGACCTACCTTTGCAGTAAGCCGTTTGATGAGAGCCAGCACGGCCTTGCTCTGAGGAGAACCAGCTGCCGTTGCGGGTGAAAAACCTGCGGGACCAGCTATTGCAGGATGGGAGCCGATAAAACCATGGTGCGACTCATTGCTACGGTGCGCACGCGAGTTATTTGTCGAGAGCGAGACAGATGTCTGAACAACATTGTTGGAGGTCGCCGCCGACGGACGGCGAGCCATGCTCTTGGCCTCTCCGTTGGACGCCATGGTGGCAGGAGAGAAAGAAAGAGCGAGGACAGACTAGAGGCACGCGTCGGCAGGGAAGTGCATGCAATTCCGAATACACGCCGTTGGAAGTGCAACACCGATGGAGGCGGCTCGAGGCTACCGGCGGGTCGACGCGAGAAGCCGTCGCGTGTCTGCTTTTAGAAAAATGCCTAATCCTACTTTGATTTGCCGACGCTCAAATGTGCCGCCAGGCTCTTCAGCTGTAAAAAATCGCTCATAAATCGTGCTAAATATTATGTACAACGACCCAGTCTTCCCGCTCAGTCTTCACACATTCATGCGAGTAGAAGAGCCTGTTTCTACGTCAAAATTGCGCGCGTAGGCGGCTTTAGAGCATCCACTGCGGGCGCCTATCATCTTTTGAGAACAGCGCGTGACTGTGGGGAACAAAGCGCGGGATCTCGGCCTTTGAATTAGGGGCACCTATGCAAGGCGTATTGGTAATCAATTCTCAGGAGGACCACTCATGGGACCTTTTAACCTGCTGGCAACATTGAGGCTATCGTGTAATGCTCGCGACCGGAGAAGGCTGTGAACGAGCGGTTGAGGCCTCTTATTTGCTTCGAGTTTTCAGAGTTGCCATGGTCAGAGTGTGGCAAGTGCGGAACAGATGACGCAGGGATGGCGTGGGAACGTATTGCCTCAGACGCAGTTTGGTTCTGTTTGTAGGGAACCCTCGACCCAACCCTCTGCCCACAGCCCATTTATGCATTTCCTCCTCTTTGAACCAAACCACTATCATCTCAGCCCTCCTCCACTGTCCTCCTCGTAAGTCTCTCCGTCGCTGTCCACGTCCTCCTCACCCTCCCAGATACCTCCGAGCCTCTACCTTCGCGTTACACGTCTCTAACCGCGCCTCCTTCTGCAGATTTTATTTCTTAGTATCTTCCTTCAATCGTGAGTTCTCCGACGCGTTTATCTTCATCCCAGCCACGTATCTGACTTTGTGTCTAGATGCCGGAATCGCGCGAAGACTCTGTCTACCTTGCCAAGCTCGCTGAGCAGGCAGAGCGCTATGAAGGTTCGTGAATTACGCGTCGACGCGTTTGAGATTCGCACTGACGTGCGCACGTGCAGAAATGGTTGACAACATGAAGCGCGTCGCGTCCTCTGATCAGGAGTTGACCGTTGAGGAGCGCAATCTCCTCTCTGTCGCATACAAGAATGTCATTGGTGCACGTCGTGCATCTTGGCGAATTGTGTCCTCCATCGAGCAGAAGGAGGAGTCGAAGGGCAACGAGGCCCAGGTTGCCATGATCAAAGGCTACAGGGAGAAGATCGAGAGCGAACTCGCAAAGATCTGCGAGGATATCCTCGATGTACTCGACAAGCACCTTATCCCCTCAGCCGCATCTGGTGAATCGAAAGTATTCTACCACAAGATGTGAGTAGTATTGGTCCTGTCGGTTAAACTCGTCCTAACCGCATTTGAAAAGGATGGGTGACTATCACCGTTACCTTGCTGAATTCGCGACGGGTGACAAGCGCAAAGACAGTGCCGACAAGTCACTGGACGCATACAAGGCTGCGTCGGAAGTCGCGGTGACCGAGCTCCCCCCTACTCACCCTATTCGTCTTGGTCTCGCACTTAACTTCTCAGTATTCTACTATGAAATCCTCAACAGCCCCGACCGTGCCTGCCACCTTGCAAAGCAGGCGTTTGACGACGCTATTGCCGAGCTCGACACCCTCTCGGAAGAGAGCTACAAGGACTCCACTCTTATTATGCAGCTCCTCCGGGACAACCTTACCCTCTGGACGTCGGATATGCATGAAGGTAAGCACTTGGATCGTATTTTGCGCCCTCAGAATCTTAATTTGACCCATAACCACAGAGAAAGATGAGTCGTCAGAACTTAAGGATGGAGCTGCTGCTCCAGAGAACAAGGAGGCATCGTAAATTCTCGACTTATCAGCATTCGGTTCTTTGTCGATAGCTTAAAACCGTGCATTGTCTACACCGCGCATCATTTTAGTCTTTTATTCACCTATTTCTCTGCTCGTATATTCCTCCCTCCGTTGCAATCCTCGGCCCCTCGTACCTACACACCTCATAACGTATCGAGCACGAGTCTTTCCTACCTTTGCGGTGTGCGGCGTTAATGGAATGAGTTAGTCTGTAGAGATACTGATGTTCGTTCTCGTTCCTTGACTGTCTGAACGTATCGTGGTTTGTGGCTCGTCGCTCGTCATGTTCTTCATTTTGTCTTAAGTTTCAATGGTCCCGTCAATCAAACAAGTTGTCAATCTCAACCCCACAACCTCATAAAACCCAGAGAATTATATATGTGATTTAGGAGAGTTGGAGGTGCCTTGAAATCACTGACAAAGAGGTGCCTCGGGCCTGAGTGCGGTGCGAGTGTGATAGCAATTTAGCTTTTTGAGTGTACGACGTTGGCTGGTTTATGTGGAGGTGATATAAAGGTTGTTAAGCATTCGCTGCGATCGGTGCTGCAGTCGGTTCTTGACAGTATACGGTCATCCGACGTTGACATTGTATTGCGACACAGGAACTTTGTATGATTGCGTCTGGCTCATCTGTGCAGTTTGTACGTAGTTGTGGATTCGCTCGATTGTTGCGCCAAGTTGCTGGAACTGATGCGTGGTGGTGGAAATGTTGATAATCTCGACTTATTGAAATTATTTTTAGAAGTTATAGGTATACTTGTCACACGAGCACCTTGTGAGGATGTGTTCATGGTGTGTTAGTACTCGAACGAAGCGTATTTTGCTTGCTACGGTAGAGGTATAACAGAATTAGAACACTAACTTACTAAATAACATCCTAACACAAGTAGAAATGGAAAACAAGAGTGAATCATGCACATCCGGTGTAGTAGGCATATAAGTAGTACAGTGGATATGCATGAATGAATAGTATGCACTGCATATGTGAACATCAAATTTAGTATCAATGGTATTAGTTGTGTGCGTACAAATAATGCCGGATCGCAGTAAATGCAATAGCAGATTCGTTAGAGCTGGGGGAGTGGTAAAGAATCAATAATTCGTTTAGTTTATGCAAATATATATTGCATCGAGTCACCGAGTGTAATACACGATGTATTGTCGGAAAGCGCAAGGTTACTAGCATACTTGCAGTTGTCTAATACGTGGAAGGAATGATTCGCTGAGGGAATGGTACGGCTTTTGTATGTGATGTTTTCTTTGAATCACATCACATTTGTCCCGCATCCGGAGTGCTCCGCTGCTTGAGTGTATTATGCACAGTGTTGGTAATATTCCTTGAGTGGAGCCGTAGGCAAGTAGCTAAGCACGGGCTGATCGTGCCGTTTGAGAATTAATCATAAACTCGCTGTTGCCTTGCTGTCTTGTTGCCTTGCTCCAGTTCACAGAAGTCAATTTAACGAATAAACGCATAGTGACCACCCAGCGCTATTATGAATGCCCGAGAACGCCGTTTAACATGCTACACAAGAAAGGAGGCCAAGCTACTCTCTTTCTTTCAACGATTGACAGACAGGAATCAGCAGGTTACAATGCCGTAGCGTTACTGTGATCGCCAGTGAGAAAGGTAAAAAGAATGGCGGCGTCTTCATAACGGAGATAAGCAACAAAGTTTCAATTAACCTTGGAGGTAGACAGACGCACAAACGTTCGCGGTCCACATTTGATAGCGCTGATAGCATTCCCCAACTCAGTCACCTGTACACTATACCGACAGTAGAACACTGTCTTAAAGCAACTGCGAGCCCATCAACTCAGGGGGAGCTTGAAATTCATTGCGTTATGGAGCTTTTGATGCTAAGTGGAGTTTTGCAAGCATGTATCGGCCTTGGAGCCTAATTCTAGCCCGCGTCGGCATTTAAATGTTAACTGCAAGTAGTCCATCTGCACCGTCATGAACCGATACCGATTGACCTTGCTTGACAGTAAACGGAGTATAGATGTTCATCGGCGCTTGTCTCAGGAGGCTAAAAAAAATTCAGACTCTGTGGAATACGGACGACAGACGGATCAGCGCTGGTTGTGGAGCTGGGGCCGTTTTCTTCCTTCTATTCTTGTCATGCAGAATATACCAGAATATACCAGCAATAATTACGATACGGGTGTTCCTGTCGTTCTGTAGTCGAAGGGGAGAACTTACCTTGTGAAAAGCAGTGTACTGGAGACAAAACAACGCAGATTAAAAGGATACCGAATGAATCCGATTTGCATCATATTAAAAGCTTCCTTCTGCTGTGCAGTTTCCGGATCTGCACATCGGCGAATATCTCTCGAGATAAGGATAGACAGGAGCAGCAGTTCGCACAGATAGGCCATCGCTGCCACACTGAAAGGCTGCGTGAACCAAAGATTAATAATATTGTGACAGGGCCAAATGTCTGTGCCAAAATTAGGACTCGTGTAAGCAAGCATTAGTCCTACTTAGCTGAATGCAGTCAAGATCCGAGGAATATACGAGCGGAGGTAATGAGTGACTCAGTGAGCTTGCTTCTTGGGCACATTAAGAGACTTCTCGGCTGGAGGAAGGGGTAGCTGAGATAAGCTGGAGTGCGGACCGCTAGTGACTGGCAGTGATCCACGACGGGGAAAATCCCAGCCGATGAGCGCGTGCTCCCTCGAACGTTATCTGTGAATGCAGCTGTGTCTGATCAGGCAGCCAAGGTGGTTCGAGACGGCTCGATGGGCTTTGAGTGGAGTGGGGATGGAGTGAAATATAGATGAATGTCGGAAGGCGGAAATGGGAAGGAGGTCAGAAGACAGTGATGAGTCATCGTCTGAATCACCTCGAAGGTCATCTGCAGCCTCGAGGTCTTCTCAGTGCAGTGCACAGGACTTTGCCACGCCACGGTTGTTGTCCATGTTCATCTGAGCGAGCGGTGAGGGTGAGCATTGAGGGAGTGCATGCAGACAATACGCAGTGCTCGACGACGTGCGATCACGGGCAGTGGTTATATTGCAGGAGGAGTGTGGATCGCAAGGCCGTTAATTGCAAGGAGGAGAGATGCTTGATTGAGAAGAAGTCGCGCATTATCTAATTAAGGAACATATCCACCAGAATCAATATACTCTAAACTCTTCTCTCTCTTTCTCTCTCTCGATTCTCCACCCCTCCTCTGTATCCGTCCCTCCCTGTCTGCCGCCCGCATCCCACGCCCTCCGCCACTCTTTGCGCCGAACGTCGACGCCCCCAGATGTTTCGATGTCGCCGAAGTTCACCCAAGAGAGCAGGGATCTCGACCGCCAGCAAAATGCAGCCGTCCCCATCCAGCCGCACATCATCTCCGCCGCTGCGATCCCCTACAGGCTCAACCGTGCCATCCCGCCCCGGCCTTTCCAGCAGCAGTATGCAAAATCGGGCAGCACGACCGCGACCGTATGCACATCCGCCGCAGGCGCCGGTGAGTCCTTGGTTCTAGGTTGTCCTTACCGTGTCAGTCTCAAAATTGACATGTAGGTACCGCGTATCCGCCATATCACCAACGTCTCATCGCTGCAGCACTCGGTGCCGTCGAAGACAACCAGTCGAGTAATGACAGCAGCAGTGCACCCTCGTCGAATGCAGTCTCCTCCGGGCCTGGTCCCAGTAGCACAACGAGCAGTGGTACCACTGGTCAAAGCTCATCATCATTCAAGGGCAAGAGCAAAGCAACTAGTACGAGTACGAGTACGAGTACTGTCCCATCCGTACCCCCTGGCGCCTCGCCATCTACTTTATCCATGCCCGTACCGACTTCGGATTCGACAGATTTTGACTCCAACACATCGTTCTTTGAGCAACTCATGGAACGCAATGCGGCCACCCTCCCTGAACCGGGTCTGTCATACTTCGAACGCCGACGCGCAATATGGACCACCTCCCCGCCGAACCCTCCAGAACCTTCCTCACCCTCGCCGTCGCGCATTAAATTGGAAGCCTTGCTCAGCCAACAAGGTGCAGTTGAGAGCGAAGAGGTCTGGCGTGCAGGGCTCAAAAATGTCTGGAAGGGTCTCGTCGGTGGGAATCAACTCCGCAAACGCCTGCCTCTCACTATTGTCGTGAGTTTATTTCTTTCACGTGCCCATGTACCTTGTAACTGTCTGATGATGTCTCATCTAACCATGCTTTGTTGGCTGCGGGTTCTAGCTGAAAATATTGCAAGCCGGTTGGCTGCGCGACGGTACTTGGCCTGAAGGAATGGTTGCACCACCTTGGGAACAACATCCTATACCAACGCCTCTTCCGCCTTCACCTCTACCTGTGGATTCTACTCAAGCACAACAACAGCGACGCGTACATGAACAGGAAGCGTATGTAGCTGCGCTGCACGCTCGTGCGAACGCGGAGCAAGCGAGTGGAGCTGCGCAGATAATGCACATGCAGGCATATGCGTTGATGGGGATGAGTGTGATTCCGCCGGGTTACAGCCCGAGTTCAGGTGATGCGCCGGAAGAAGGGTGCTATGTCATGCCCTACGAGTATGCAGATGCCACACCTCCGCCGGAGAGCGAACGTGACTGTGAAATGAGACAAGAAGAGGGAGGAATTAAAGAGACGGGTCCACCGTCAACGCCGATCCGTCCCGTACAGGATCTACAGTCGGAAATGGACACAGACGATGAGATAGAAGAGGATGATCGCATGCAAGCAGATGATGGTGGGCGAATGAAAGATGCAACACAAGCTGATGATGGGCGACATGAAGGCGGGTAATCGGTGCAAAGCGTATAACTATTTTATTCCGGAATATTTTTCCGGCGGAAAGCACATGTATGCTGTTCCCCTCGTTATGGCAATCTCTGCAGCTTCTATCGTCCATTTTCCTTTTGTTTCTGTCCTGCGCTGCTTTTTCCCCGCCCCGAGGCTATTCCGCTGTTGTGATATCCTTCGTCCTCTCCACTACAGTTGTGGTTCTCGTCGTTCCTCTCATCGGTCAGATTTGCTTACAAGTGTTCACTGTGGTTTATCCCACCTATGCTAACCTTTCTTTCTTCATGTTCCACATTCCATAGTCGACCCATTCCATTCCGTCCGTCTGTTCATAGTTCCGGCCCTCTTCTCTTCACCGGTCATCGTCATCTCCATTTTCGTCCTCATCTTATATATGTGTGTCACGCCCCGGTATTATATTTCTCATCACGCCATTCAGCCATTCACCCGTTCATACCAGTCTTCACGGACGATAATAATATTATATTTTTTTCTCCTTTTTCTCTACGGGCTCGACCCTCGGCGGCGCATACACGAACGCATGCTCTCAGCCGAGTTTCTCTTGCTTGTAACGCATATATTCGTTAATGACCTGCTTTTACTTTGATGAGACGCCGTTCTGATTCTCCTTCTGACTCTCCTTCTGCTTCCGAAAACACCCCACTTCATCGCTCTTCTGTCTCCACCCTTCGTACCTGCCTTTTACGGTATGTCTTTATTTGTTTACTTGTGTTCTCCATTTGTCCTGATGATGCTCTGCATATGTCTCTCTCCATTCGGCTCGATTTGCTTCAGTCCTGTTCCGGTTTCACATCTGTTGACTGTTTCTTTCCGAGCTCCTTGTTTCGTTTCCTTTTTTTTTGGTCATCGTCATTACCGTTGTCATGTCCCATGTATTCAGTGATCACTGGCCTTGCCTCCACTCTATGCATATCAGTTTAGTATCAGTAGCAGCCTCAGTCAGTTACATAGTATGAAAGTAAGTTAGTGTTTTTGCCAATTGAAGGTTTATTTACTGTAATTCTATGTTGCGAGGCTCGTTTATATTGGGTTGTTTGTTAATAATACTTCGGTGAGTAGGGTGTGTGTGTTGTGTGCCACTTGCATGTTCTATCTTTTTGCACGTTTTATGGTCCTAATTTGTTTTGTTGCCCGTTTGCCTTGTTCATGCTGTTTATATACGTAAGAAGTGTATTGCTAATATAGTGGGAGAAATGAAAGGGGAGACGAGTGTGAATGCTGGTATGTTATTGAATACCCAAAGAAGGCATTTTACCTTTCGAATTCAGGTCATTGCATGAAGCGGACAGTGCTGTATACATGACTATTCTCGGAATCAAGGTTCGGAATCAAGGTACCGTTTGTTCCAAATGCATTACTTATTAGACCCTCAGATAGCAGAGTTCATACCTGCGTATTGAGAGAAGCGAGAGTTTAATGTATGAAAGTCTCAACAGCGCTTCCCGTCAGTGGAATACACTACGGACGGACATGCATACTCATGCTCTTACTCATACTTATAACTAATATAGACATAGAAGCTTAGGATCCGAACGGACTTCCAAGCATGACTGCAGGTCCGAGGGTCCGCAATATACGTGGTCCCCGTTCAGCTTCCCGAAGCTCTTCTGTCGGAGCCTATTTCACCACATCGGTCTGTCCTGTGGACAACTGAATACATTCTACTTGCTCGTTCTCGGCAGCAACACCTGATCCGTGGGATCGACCTGTGGAGTCGAACCGTGCGTTGGCAGACTAGAACGACTTGTTCAGACAGCACGCACTATACGGAGCGAAGAACCGTATTCGAACCGACTGAACGGATCGACCCTATCATCACCAGATCACTGTTTCTCTTCTGCTGCCGCACCATGCAGCTATTGCTGATCTTGTGAGCTCAGAAAAGGGAAGCTGAAATAGATGCTGAGAAAAATACGGGAAATAGACATGCAACGAACATCTCTGCCTTTGAGTAGTTAATACAACGGGCTTGGGCGGTGCTTCAGTGCTTCGAATGGAGAGGGGCGAGTTCACAAGCAAGAGAGACTTGTACGTATACATAGGAGGAGAAGGGGGTGCCTGCTGATCTCGACGGACTTCCCATGCACGGCTTCGTGCTCCCGGCGAGGCGGCGCGGAGGCTGATTGTGCGCTTTGGGTTTACAGACTTGGCTTTCGGCCGCGATGGAAAGAGATAACAGATTGCACTATAAAGGACAGATACGGAAGGAATACAACTGCGATAAATCATTCATGTTCGCGATGGCGGCGAGACCTGTATAATAAAATAATGCATACGTTCAGTACAAGTCGGAAGAGATCAATAACAATCGAGGAGAATCCGATTGACAATACTCGATCGGAGGTAAACCCGAATATTTCGCAGTTCTAGAAGCAGGGGACAAAGCGGGAGGTGCGAGAGTGACTCACCAAGATGACACCGTCCCCACGCACGAATAGCATATCCATCTTCCGTTTAGCCACCTGTTCAGTGGAAGAAAGCACCGTTGATTCACGGAGAAAGCCAGGAAGTTTAAGGTATGAGTCAGCTATTAATTTTATTTATTCATTGAAAGAAATTTGAGAGACCCACATTTATTCGACCTGCCGGCGGCGCGGCCTCATTGCTGTCGACAAGCATGATCGTCTCTTCCACGTCGCTCAGTATGAGATTCATATGGCCATCATACGCCTAAAATGCAATAATAAATGGGTTCCGAAGTGTAAAGTGGAACACGGGGTCACAAACGGCAAGGCGGATAAAGTCTAGTAAGTCACGCTGCGCATGCAGTACAAACGGAATGAAATGCGTACATGGAGGACGCCATTGAGCTCACGGTCACCACGTAGCTTGACAAACACACGTTCGTTGAGAGAAAGCCGAATGAGGTCGAATGGCTCTTGGATGCCTTCCGATGTGCCGTTCATCGTGAACGACCAGACTGCAGACGAGCAACGTAGAATAAAGACTTCATTCAACAAATTATTGACGCGTCTGTGACTAATCTATCTAACTAGGATATTTATTCTCACATTTTCCAGGAAACCTTCCTTGACAGTGGACATGTTCGCTTTGTCCGTCGCGTGTTCTGCAAGCTGACCTATTCGAACACGCTGCCCTGCAGTTCAACTCTTTGTCGAGACGAGAAAATCTGCGTCTAATCCTAGAATCAATCTGATACAATGTCCCGCTCTATGTATCCGTTCCGGTTGTTACTCAAATTAAAGTATCTGGTGCTGCTGGTCTTGAGCTATTTGGTGTGGACTCTGTACTGCGTCAGCATTAGCCTTTCTTTCTGTCAACTGATTGCCTGAATTGCGATGAAATCAGTGTCCTAGGTTAGACGCTGTCCACACTTGCTATGAAGTTGTTGCTTCGTCCATCCCGCCCGCGAAATTCGGCGTGTTCATCTGAGTGTACTTTACCTCCGTCGTTCCCGCTTCCGCACTATCAGGCTTTGTCTCTAATCTCGTTTCTTTGCTTCGGCCCTCGAGCTGTTCCGGTCGAGGTGTAAACTCTTCTGCTATAAAATCTGCAGGTCATGGCAGCTGCTACGTGTGCTCACTCCAGAGCTCCTAATCCTTTCTTAGGCTTCAGCTTTACAGAATACTCGCTATGCTGTGTCGATTTATTCTCGCCTTGGCGACATTTTCGACTTTCTCGGGTACAGTCAATGGTGTGCGCCTCAGTGATGGACGTGCACACGCGAATATGGCCCCTCTTGGCGTCCCTCCAAAGGTATCCCTCGGCGACATCGATGTAAACGCACCGGTAACAAGCCGAAATGGGACACAGCTCACGCCATACAATACGACTTACTTTTTTGATCAGCTCATAGACCATAATAATGCTAGCCTTGGTACATTCAAGCAACGCTATTAGTTTACCTATGAGTTCTATGAGCCTGGTGGACCGATTATTCTAAATACTCCAGGAGAATCAAATGCTGATCGTGAGTTATCTAAAGCGATGTACTTTCTACTTCCTAACTTACAGAGATGCCTTGCGAATTTCGCAGCTTACAACGGATATCTTACCAATAGGACTATTGATGGACTCATTTCCCAACAGCAAAACGGTTCCACAATCGTCCTCGAACATCGGTACTACGGACTATCGAATCCTTTTGATGATCTGAGTGTCGCCAGTCTCAAGTATCACACCATTCAACAGGCTATTGATGACCTTGTTTATTTTGCAAAAAACGTTAATTTACCGATGCCTGGTGGAGATGAAGTCACGCCGGACAAAGCTCCATGGGTACTAACTGGGGGGAGTTACAGCGGTAGGTACCGTACAATAGTGTATTCGAATGATCTTATTAATTTGGTTTAGGTGCACTGACGGGCTGGACTATGGTCAAGTATGTGTAATCACATTTCTTGATATCACCAGGTATAAATGCGGTATAAATTGACCTCATATAAGTAAACCAGACGTATTCTTCGCTGGATACGCCTCCTCAGCCACCGTAGAGTCCATCGTCTATTTCTGGCAATACTTTGACCCTATCCGGCAGTTCATGCCAGCGAATTGCTCTGCTGACGTTCAAGCTGTCATTGAACATATAGATCAGGTCTTTACAAACGGATCAACAGCCGAGATTGCAAACATAAAGAGTAACTTTGGGTTAGGGAACTTGAGCCACGTGGATGATGTCGCTGGAGCTTGTGAGTGCCCGCTTTGCTATATGTTCAGAGCCCTCTTTGATAAGTCGAGTTATTAACTCGGTTTGACACAGCGCGGAATAACCTGTGGGATTGGCAATCATTATCGCCGACATCTGGGCCAGGAACACGCTTCTTTAACTTTTGCGACGCACTCGAAGTGAAAGATGGTGTCTCTGCCGGTTCGGAAGGCTGGGGAGCCGACCATGCACTTCAAGCTTGGGGAGCGTTCTGGAACGAGACGTATTACAATTTACGTATGTGTATTCTATTACTGGTCTGCACTTCCCGTTGATTAAAATTGTTTCCGATTTTATCCTGGTGAGTTTAGTTTGTGGAAGTTTGGATGCAGAGTACGTCTACTCGCAAAATTGAAGTTAAAACCGGAGTCGACGGGACGGATATTTCTGATAGGACGTGCCTGGGGACCTACGACCCAACTCTGGATTATCTCACGGATACGACGTCGGTTTTGCATGTTCCGTGTCCGCTTGCAGTTGGAACTTACAGTGGCTATCTTGCAGAATCGATAATGCCAATCGCTCATGGATGTGGATAGTGTGAGCCTGTCATTATTTTCTCTGAACATCGGTTGTCAAGTTAACAACAAGATTTGGCTAGCTGTAACCAAGTCGGCTTCTTCCAAGACGGAGCTCCGGATGGCACCCCGAGCCTTGTTTCGAGGCTCATGCTACCGGCGTACGATGAGGTTCGTTGCATTCTTCACGGTCCAAATACAGACTTTCAACTACTAGAGCCACAATCACGCTGCCTGGTCTTTCCGCTGAAATAAAATCGCCTGTGCCATTCATATCAGAAAGTGGTATCTGATTTCTGATATGTCACATGCAGCGCCAATGCACGCACTGGTTCCCAGAAGCATTCAGTGAGCCGCCCACCCCGAATGTAGCGTCGACGAACGAAACGTATGGCGGTTGGGACTTGACGGTTAATAGGTTGTTCTTTGCGAATGGGAAGCGTACGTTGACCTGTTCTTGTTTATATCATCCATTCTCTCTTATTCATTTGTCTCGGTGTCCTGGACTGACAGGTGACCCTTGGCGCGATGCCACCGTCTCTTCTGACTTCCACACCCGAGAGAGCACAGAATCACAACCCATCATGGTAAGCGACGGATTCCATACCAATGATCTCATTACTGCAGCAGGAATGGCGGACGACACGATCGCAAGTGTGCAGGAGGAAGCTCTGGCAAAGATGAAGGAGTGGTTAGCTACTTGGAATAGTACAAGTTAGTTTGGCGGATTTGGGATCGAAGTAGACAGATTTGCAATGTGACTGGGACAGCGAAGGTGAAGCCTGTGAACTTGTAGCTAGAAAATTTAACGAAGCTTCTTGAGTATGTCTGTATCGAAACTTCGGATAACGACAACATTGTTACGTAGTCTAATAGATACAGTGTGTGCCTAGCCAAAAATTACTGGAGTTGTCCAAACAAACTCTACATTCGAGTATCATAGTGACTACGGAGCCTATTTTTGGATACTAGTACGTAATATACTGATAGAGTCCTGATTGTTTGGTCCTGATTGCCATAGTTTATTTCTAACCATCACCTCGAAACATCTTTCGCCTACGGGAAACAGCCCAGCTCAGTTCTCTAATTCTCTCTGGCAGCTTCAAATATCGATATACTAGCTTCTAATTTACCTTGTCTTCCTAGTCGACCGATCGAGATCGAGTCATGCCCTCGACCCCGGATCTTGTGAACTCCATAGTCCGCAGCATAGCGACGGTACCGCCACCGTATTGTTCTCCGTGCACCTGATAGAGATGGATATGCGATACGCTGCACAGCGTGGCTAGACCTCCTGACCGCTTCCTTGCCTTTCTTGTCGCAACATCCCTTGCGCGCAAATTTTCTTTGAAAATACAACTGGATAATGCAATAAAGACCTCTGTCTAAGTTGAAGAATACGGCAGCTATTATCTGTGCAGGAAAGAGGGTAATGCAGCCAAAGCTGAATATATGACGTTCGCTGAGACCCGGCGCGATTGTACATTGTGCGCTTTGGAGAAATTTTGATTTGTTTCGGGGGGCCTATTTCCGGATTGATTTCGATGCAAGTCAACAACCTTTGGTGCAACTTAACTTCAGACCTACCTGGATTCCGCCGTGCTTAGTCTACATACGATTGGGGCCACTAGCACGGCATTGTTCTTTTCCCTGCGCGCTTTCCGGAGCCCGCCTTCCCCGAACCACGAACACTCTATTTCCTTCTTAGTCCAGTAAACTGCGGCTGAAGCAGGCAGTTTGAATGAATTGATGAAAGTATATTGATACCCCGATTTCGTGTACAGTCACAATAGTCCTGAGCCACGTTTATCAGCAGACAACGTGGTTTGTTTGGGTATGGTTTCGCGACCTGAGTAAAGGTATTTAATGCGTGTAATTGACGACCAATGTTGTCAGACTTTCTGTCCTCCTCCCATCTCTTACTTCGCGTCTCAGCAACCACTTCTCGCAGAGCTCTCTCCCTTCGCACACGCCCACGCCCTGCCTTCCTATACCATGGACTTCTCCTCGACTAGCCCTCCTGCAGGCGATCCTTTGTCGTCCATATTTGTTCCGGATGTCAATACATCCAACGCATTCAATCACGGCACGAATGTAGGCAAGGATACTCAGCCACAACAATTCGTTGGGTCTGGCATACCAGCGTATGTGGAAGGTTTGAATGACCAAGCGGTGAGTAGAATTACTCTTCGGTACGACGCTTTGACTGACAGTGCTGCATAGACATGGAACAATGACTTGTCCAGTGCGCACAGCGTCCACAACAGCGGTCTGATCCTTGATGGTCAACTGGCGAGCCCTATGCCTGGACCATGGAACAACCACAATTTGGTCGATACACTTCTTCGTTCTTACGATGGAGGGATGCATTTATTCCATCATGACCAAGCTTTTGGGAACTCGTCAATACCCTTTGGCAACGGCACGCTTCCCGCTTCTACCTCCCGTGAGAGCTCCGTTTCCTCTTGGTCATCAGGTTCTTCACGCTCGACATCGTCACTCATGACTCCTCATTGGACCCAAGCGCCGAGCTTGCAAACTCCGTTTCTCCAGCAACATGCTCTCTTCATGAATACTCCAATCCCCGATGTTCAGCAGCCACAGATGGCGAACAGCTTCATGGGAAGCGCTATGACTAGAACGCAGCCGATTTCGCTGCCAGTTCCAATGCAGGCACAGAACATCCCCGAACTTCAATTCCGCTACTACAAACACGATAATACCTTGGATAACGTTACTCTCCCCGAGCCCATCGCCGCTAGGTCAGGTGCAGCTGGTGTTGGTATTGACAACTCGTCTCCTATTCCGTTGATGTCGACGTCCTCTACGCCCCAGTCTCAAGCTGCTGGTCCCTCCAGTGCTCGTGAGAAAGCAAAATCCAAAGGAAAGGAAAAGGTCGACGACTCCAAGAAGACCGAGAACATTGGTCCTATACGTTCGAAGAAACGGAAGAGCCCAAATTCAACTGTACCTTGCAAGGATCCAACATGCGACAAACTCTTCTTTTGTAAAAAAACCATGTTGCGGCACGTAACCTCTCGCCATGACAAGGAGAAGAGATTGTTTTGTCCGGGCCTCCATGCTGTACGCGATGACAGCATGCGAAAATGCACGCACGCGTCTGGGTACGCCCGAGAGGATTCTCTCAAGCGCCATCTGGATAGCGCAAAGGAAAACGACCCTTGCCGTATCGAAGCGAAGAAATTGGGATGGAACCCAGCAGTTCCTGGAAGCATCCAAAGGTTGAAAAAGTACCGACCGAGTAATTCCAATGGCGAGATGGCAGAGAATATTTGAACTTGCTTATATTTCGAATTCGCTTTTTTCCATTGTTCCCCCTTTTCTCGTTTCTCGTTTTGATGTCATGCGTCTGTATCCGTTTCCAATTCTCCATCTTCATTTCTAATCTGATTCCTGTCTTGATGTATTATCGCTAACTCATATCTGTGACTATATGCACCCTAGCACTGCATCTATTTCTTTCTTCACTTTATTTCTCTTCTTCTCACTTTTACTTATTACTGTAGTTGAGCACGTTTAATATCTATTGGTTGTACATAATTTGACGAAATATTTGCCTTACTGATAATAGCTACAGCCACGAACGGTAAAAAGTTGCGCGGTTGCTTTTTTCATTGTTAAAAGGGCAAATTGCACAGCAAATGGAATAATGTAGTATACAGTACAGAGTTTCTGTCACCGAGCATCTCGCCTTAATGCCTCATTTTATGATGCGACGATACAAAGAGATCCCAAGTTTTGATAAGATCTACATGTCCAGTGCGTGGTTAAGGGATGGGTGGCCAGTTGACCAGAAAGTGTCTAAACAACAAATTTTGGCATCGTAATGGCTATACAACACATGAAGGCATCCGCACTGACTTACATGGCGGACAGCATAGCCACCAGTATATAATCGAATCCGCGACTTCGTTTGACTGCGTCTGAAGAAGCATTGTACTCCGTTTGCTTCCCTTCTAAGCAGATATTTATTTGGACACGCGATGTTACGTAACCATGATTGCTTCCGAGGATCCGCGATGTTTGCTTTATTTTGCTTTGAGCAACTCTGCCGTGGCTTGCTAAACCTCACGTTTCGAGAAAAGGTCAGCTTTTCCACCTCCATTTACGGTTCAAGATCCTCAAAGCTCTTCTGTCTGCTTTTCCAATCCAAGTTGTTGTGGTTCTACCCTAAACCCTAGTTTTGTTTCTTTTTATAAAAAAAGGCTACCTTATCGTAACCTCCGGGAAAGGACGTTGACCCATGTTACGTGCATCCGATAGATGTGTGTACAGCGCGTGGGAGCCTTCCATTTTTATACGCATTAATTGTGGCTTATTAACAAGGCATCCACCTATTTCGTTGGTATGGGATCGTCTCCGTTGAGTTACTTAGTTAGTAAGTCTTTCCTCAACAACACAATCGGATGAAGGAATTTTCGTTCTCAATGACCGCGCCGAAGCTCTGGAAATTGGGGTCAAAACTTGAGCAGTATCTCCCATTGTGCACTTCAGTCACACTTGTTCCCGGGCCTCCCCTGCACAGGCGCTTGACCACTTTTGCATCAAGGCCCCAATGGACCTATGAGACGATTCGACTTCCGACACGCCGAGATCCTGACACGCTTAGACATAACCAAGCAGAGGCCACCTGTACATATTGTCGGCCTTTCTGCATCCGGCTTTCGGACTCATGATCGGTAGTGCCACATTCCAGATCCAGTAATCTGTATTGGTTCGAACAGAGTGAACGAATGGTCGCGCTCGTACGTTGCTATCCTGACTCACGTACGGAGATCTAAGCGATGAGGTATCGAGATACAATGGCGCAAGCCACTTTGCACCACAGAATTTGTTTTGGTAATTTTTCAACATCAAGTAAGACTATTTAATGGCCGGAAGGAGGGAGGGGGGAAGCTCTATCGCTGACATCTCCTGGTACTCTATCTACCTTTTGTCCCATCACTCATCGCATCCCTTCTTCCCTTTACCTCGTGCTATCTTTTATAGAAGATGCGGTACATCTACGATATTTCTTCCAATAAGACTAGGTCCTCAACCGGACATGCAGTGAATGAGGATGTCGACTCGTTCGATGCATTGCAGCCTGTTACGGACCATGGAGGACAGGTTCAACCGCAGACGCTCGACGCGTTTACGGCGTTTGAATATCCAGAACTTCCGAATAATTCAGAAGTAAGAGTACCTACTCTACAGATCAGCATTGTGACTGACCATTTTGTACAGGTTCCAAGCACTGTTCCGACAGACAAGCAAGGACATCTAAATTGTGACCAGAACCCACACGCTTACGACTCAACCGTCGGAGACGTGCCAATAGATCCTGTCCTCATGTTCGATAGCGGTCAGCATAATCTCATGCGACATGAGGATGCTGTTGGGAGTGGCTTAAATTTCCATAACCAGGCGCCGTTGGATGAGTCTATGCCTCGATCTACCTCCCCACAACCCGCCTCCACACGTGTAGCGAGTGCACCCTCCAACGAGTCAACGACCTCTACATGGTCATCGCCCCCGATTGCTCCACCTGCTGGAGAATACGAGCTGGACCCACGGCGACCATTCAATCAGCTATCACCCGTCCTTCCTGCCGTTTACACTTGCCCACAGGCAGGGTCAGATAATGCATTCACGCAAGTGCACGGACAGAATATATCGGCGACCATGCCGATGTTCCAACAGGCACAGGGAGTATCGACCCTTTCCGTTATCCCATTTACGCGCTCTGGTGAAGTTGAAGATGTTGGACTTCCACAACCCTCGACAAGCACTGCATTGATCCCAGATAATCTGCCTATTCCTCCCGCCTCAGGACCGATTAGACGCACTGGAAAGCAGTGTAGTCCAAATTCTCAACTCCTTTGTAAAGACCAGAATTGCGGAAAGCGCTTTCACGACAAGAGGACGCTTAAGAGGCATATTGACGATGTGCACAATCCCAATAAAGCTACGTGGTTCTGCCCGGGCTTGGGCGCCCCACGTGAAGGTTGGATGAAAAAGTGCACCAACCATTCAGGCTATGCTCGGAGTGACTCTTTGCAGCGTCATATATATGCAGCGGAGGAGAGTAATCCATGTCGCACCGAGGCTGTGAGGTTGGGCTGGAGCCCTACAATTCCAAAGAGCATCGAAAATTTGAAGGATTTCCGACCAGCTTGAGACGTCGCAACAGTGTAGAAGTGTCGCCTTCCTGTCTCTATTTTTAAGTTGTCTTCATTTCTCCGTTATTCCAATTTTGATTCTTTAGTCCTTTAACTCTGTCATGAATGTGCTAATGCATCATCGCCCTTGTTAAAGTTGTTTTTGTAGTTTTCGGTCGCTTGCTTGTATCTCCATTCTACTTCACCTGATGTTATTTCCAAATGTCCACGCTTCATCACCGCTCTTGTCGTGTTATTTTTAGTACCATTTCCGCGATTCTAATGTGTCTACTGTAATCAAGTTGCCAAATGAATACATCGAACTCATATAGCGACATAAAATTATTATCACACAACCACACTATCTGTGCACTTAATATATTCTACTTCTATTAAGAACAGAGCGACCATATACGTGTGCATAGTTTCCTATGTGAATGCTCGTATACACGCATTCCTTTGAAACGAACAGACAGAAGTACATGCGTGAAGTTAACTGCTGTAAATAAATTTGCCAAATATAGCAGTAATCTCCTTCGAGCCAAGAATGTAAATAGAGAGGAGATTCCACAAATACACGTTCTGCTTAGGGAAACTATCATGTTCTCTTTATTTGACAAAGAAATATAGATCATGTGGTCTTTGATTAATTTCTGTCATGATACAAGTCAAAGCAACGAGATCATGATGGACAGAGTAAGATGATTCTGAGATGGCAAGGAGGGCATATGAATTTTGGTATCAGAGATGTTGAACTGTAGACAGACAAATTGTAAAAGAAGTGCAATTAAATGGGAAGGGCAAGGAAGGGTGGCAGTCTTTTTTTTAAATTTTATGAGTATTGCATGCAAATTACAATTACTGTAATACAATTTTTGAATGTTTTCACACGGAATTTCACTAACTCACAAGTCACATGTTATAATGTGTAACAATTTGCCGCCCAAAAAGACTCGCGAGAGCAAACAGGTGTAATTATCTCATTATTTCCATCTCGATCTTCATACACAAATTTCATTATCTGAACTGTTCATCACGCTGACAAGGCTACAAAGACAGGAAACGAAAATTGACGAACGCGTAACACGGAGTAATCAACTTGAACGGCACCGAAGAGAGACATTGGCTTCAAAGAGTTGGGAACATGCAAATTTGCAAAAGGTGCAACAACGATCGCGGGTAAAGTAAGAGACAAAACCAGAGCTCAAAGCAAACACAAAGTTGGCGAAACTAATAGACAACTAATGGAAAGGAAGGGTGACAAGAACCATAATTCGTCCGTATCCTAAAGGTAAGAAAGAAGAACGACCCTGTTCAGCGTTCATAGGGGACCAGCAGCCTCGATACGCTTTACGCCGCTGGAGATGCGGGGCTGTTCATGGACAACTTGAAGTGCACGGAACCGCTACTATCGGTTAGCTCTCCCGGAGAGCGTGTCGCTTCCGCAGTAGCGTTTTCGTCAAGGTGAAGGGAGGCCAGAGTACCATTTAGATCGTGGAGTGTTTCTTGCTCCTTCGACTTTTGTGCTGTCACGACCTGGGTAGATAATGGGCGTGAAGGCGAACTGTCGGTACCGGATCGTCCTGGAGTACGACTCATCGAGAATGAAGCAGCTGAGCTGTTCGGACTGAGTCCAAACGTTTCAGGACGAGACGGAGTATTGCTTCGATTAGCACCTCCTGGACCCAGTTGCGCGGTGGACAAAGAATCATTCACAGCAGGTGCATTGTCTGGTGAAGGCTTAGCGTTGCCGCCGAAGCGCTGAGGATAATTGGATGCAACGCCTAGAATGTTATCCTTTGCAATATTGGGTTTGCGATCCGCCGCAAGGTTGGCAAGATAGTTCGGGTCTGGAGAGAAGGGCGAGAACCCTGAGAAATGACTAGGAACCTGTCCTTCAATCATTCCACCAGAGCGTCCGTCTTGAGGCTGAGCGGGAAATGAATTGTAGAAACCATTTTCGAACCCGACGTTGCTAGCTATGCCAGTGAAAATCGGTAACTGGGACTGGTTCTGTGGAGGCTCGAGCACAGCATTTGATTCTCCATTTGCACCGGAAAAGCCTCCGAATCCGAATTTCTGCAAAATCTCAATAGCCTGGTCTTGAGTCAACTGAATGGAACCATCAGCGGAGCGCGTAAGCCCTGGATGGGTCGCCTGTGCTTGCGCTTGAGCAGCTGCCTGTGCGGCGGCTTGAGCGGCTTTGTCTATATATAAAGTTGAGTAACTAAATACAATTGAGCATGACATGGATCGGCTCACATTGACTCCTACCCCAGCTCAGACGAATGCGGCTTCCACCAATAGGAAAACCTTGCATCCGCTCAATTGCTCTTTCTGCATCCGCCTTCCTAACGAACTGTACGAACCCGCAGTGCTTGCCTGCTGGGACTTTCACCTAGAGATATTCGTCAGCCAACTTGTGCGCATGCATGTGACTAACAGACATACATAATGGATATCGCCGAAAGGTGCGAAAAATGTTCGCAGAGTATCCTCCGAGATGAGCGGTGACAGACCACCAACGAAAACCTACAATATGATTTAATATCCGCAAGCACTCTGATACAGTGACCGTCACCTACAGTCGTATTGTAAGGATCTGTGGAGGTAAGCTGCTCTCCGTTCGGACCAATTAGGTTGCCGAGGATCGCTCGGGCCTGTTCCTGATGCTTCCAGGACTCGTCAAGCTTCTGCTGATCCATGACTAGTGGTGCGGTAATAGAAGGCAAGATCTTCGAGCTCTGCTTCGGGTCACCTAGATTCGCTCTTGCAATGAGCTGTGCAAGTGCTTCTAGAGTTATAGTTGGTGCTCCACCATTTGGAGCACTCATAGAACTGGCGGTGGTCGAAGCCGACATGGACGGAATTGAACCGGAACTTCCAAGTGACGAGCCAGAGCGAGAAGTAGCAACAGATGCGAGTTCATTTGTTCCTTGCTGGCCTGCTTGGTCCGCAGGTGTTGTTACGCCCGTCTGCCCATCAGTTCCCCCAGGACCCTTGAACTTGGCAGTTGCCGGTGAAATGCGCACTAATTAAATGAATAATCAGACTACATCCAGGATAGAGCGTACAAAGAGGTGCTTACTGGGACGTGAGAGACAGTACAATCCGTGCATTTCAATAAGTGCTCGCTGTTGGTCCGCTTCTTCCGTGAACCTAACGAAGCCATAACCTCGAGAGACTCCAGTGACTGGGTCAAGCATGATCTTTGCGCTCTTGCAGCTATGGAAAGGACGAATAAACTTCGGCGCCCTATCGTTCCTCAGCCCAAGCACTGGGTTGCGAAAGACTGCTACCAAATCGGAATTGGAAGTCTCCGGCGCTAGGTCACCTACGAAAATACTATACTCCTTTTGCTGACCTTGATTATTCAGAGTGCCTGTGGACGGCGGCCTATCGACAGTGGTATTAATCGGGAATGTCTGCGTAACAGGGCTTGGTGAGGGCGATGATGCCCAATTAAGAGCGAATGGTTTTGTAGAGTTAGGTAGTATGGCTTGTGTGCCACCCGACGACGCATTGTTGATCTGAGAAAGGACAGTCGCTGCATGTTGCGGAGAAGGGAACGTGAGGAAGCAATATCCAGGATTGTTTGGCTGCTGGCCAGTAACTGAATCCGATGGCGCATGGGGAATCTTGACAGTCACTTGGTCCCAACCCATAATATCACAGACTTGTTTAGCGTATTCTTCATCCATCCACGGCTCGAGATCGCCCCACCAGAGAGTCGAATGAGACACAGACTGTTTGTGAGCGTGCGGTGGGCTTAATGGGCTTCGCAGGCTAGAGAAGTTTGTGTCGATATTTCTGGGTGGCAACGAAGCAATGGGGGGCGGAGAAATAGGTATGGGCGCAGTGGACGGCGGCTGAAGGAGTGGATCAGAAGCGTCGCGGGAGAACTCGCTTGGATATAGGGAGTAGAGTGAGCTTCCACCGTTTGCGAAGCCACCAGCGGCGGAGAAAGGCGCACGATGATTGCGGTTAAAGGAAGAGATGGGACTGGACGTAGCTGCCACTCGAGCATTGTTGCTGCTCGGCGATTGTGTATGTCTGTTTGTGACATGATGATGATCCGTCGACGAAAGTGGCTGCCCTGGTCGAGTCCATAATGTGTCCGGGTCATGCGTCTGCAGCGTCCGGTCTACCTGCGGGAATATCCACACATCAGACTCAGGACCAAACTCCTCATTCTGGCTTGGTGGCTGCTGGAAGTTGCCAGTCGCCCGCTGACTGTCCGTGATCCCCGACAGTGCGGTGAAGGAAGACCGACTGTCAGAAGTGAGCGGGAGAGAAAAATGACGTGGGTCATACGCCCGACCACGCTGTGAGTCAACCGCAGCCATCGGGAGTTCCGAGAATTCGTAACGAGACATCTCCATCTGAAACACGTTCGTACGTGGCTGTTAGTGAGGTATAGAGTACGGAGAAGTTAGAATGTGGGTGAAAGTAATGTTTTACGAGTTTCGGGAAAGGGGGTTCAGATACGGACGATTCGGGATGCAAAGAAGAGTACTAACGACAATCAAAGGGACTTCGAAAGCTGAACGAAATAATAGGTGAGCTAGTAGGGTTAAAGACGAAGCAGGCGATAGCGGGTGCAAGAAAAATAACAGGGGCGGACGGATCGAAAACAGAGGACAGAGGGCGAGTCAGAGCTAACGTGAAGGTCGACAGCGAGACAATGGAGACACAGAGAGAAGATGGAAATGAAACAAGATGAAAGCAATGAGTTAGCGTATGGGTGTCTGGCAGCGTCAGCAAATGGAGAGAAGAAAAGCCTTGCGACAGACAATACTAAAAGGATTTTATGCTTAGACGGATGACCGAACAGTGGTCAAGGGAGAGAAACGAGGAGCGGGGAGTCTAAAGAACAAAATCGCGCCAAATACTTGTAACGATCAACTCCGCATCATCGTGGCAACAATTTTCCCGATAGGACCGACCTCCCCTTGCTCTAAGGGGCCTCTGTAGCCGAGATATGGAGTCTATCGATTGAAATGAATACAGACAGGTGGAAATTTATCTAGGGAAAGTTCAAAAGCGGTGCAATTGAGGTTTCCTGTTGCTGATTTTTTATTTGCTCAAATATATGCATTCTTCTGTGGGTCCGCACTATTTACGTAGGCCCAGCGCCTAACATTGTGGACCTGCAAAGCAACGGCAACCTCGAGAAATGGAATACCTTCGCATCATCCACTGTTTTGTTGGTGACTGCAATTGTGCAGGACGTGATGAAGCAACTCGGTTCCAAATCGGTCTAGCCGAAGATGCCAGATAGCTGATCATTTCTCAAAATCACCTGCTTCATCCTCTCTTTTGATTCACATCCAATCAGAACTAATCTCGAGGGAGAGAATAAAATGACAATTCACCAACGCCCTGCAGACTTCTCCACTTTATATCTTTGCTTGTTTGCAAAGTAGGTTTCAAGCTAGACGTTACCAGGTCGATGAATCTAACTTTCAGCCGTCGGCTTCCTATCAATTCCAAGTGCTTCGTGTACGGCATTCAATCATAGTTGCTGTGCATTTTTAGACGCCGAGAATATTCCTGAGTCCTCGTGCTGCCTGGCACCTTCCTGTCCCCACCCTAGCATTAGCCAGCTATCAACGCTTTCGCAAACATACGGCACGCATACACACACCTTGCTAGACTCGACCGTCCGAAGTACGAGCGCACACGCCTTGTATTCGAACAATCCATACACCTTACTTTCCAGGTAAAACACCGGACTGTTTTCCAAAACCGTACAGGTCGTCCATTGTCCGTTCCTAGTCTTCCAGGCCCTTCTTCCTCGCTACGGGCCGCTCATTTCAATGCTCCGTCCCGGTCCCGGAACCCCGATTCAGAATTGAATTCTTTTTAGCCTTACCCTACCCTTACGTCGATCTGAGATTCCGATTCACGTTTTCAATTTGACACGTGCAAATCAATTGGGTAAGCTTCTTCGAACATCATCGTCGTTCAGATTCATCAGTACTTAAAAACGAACGCTACTAGACCTGGTATAGCGTTAAGAGAGTGGAGGGCTAACTGCTGAGAGATCTCTGCGACTCAACTGGGAACTGGAAACCTAATCTATCTAGCGTCAAGACGTTGGCTGCTTGACATGATGGCACTCTTTTCCTGCCTGCTAAAATATTTCAAGTTTCCTGGCTCAGTATTGTACGGAAACAAGCTGAAAAGGGCACAGAGTAGCTATCAATCTACAGGTCCACTATGCTGCTCATGATACTTATACATAAAATGATAGTATTGCTCTGCTTTCCAGGTAACCAATGCAGTACTCAGACTTATTGAACTTTCAGTACGAAGCAAATAACAACACTGTCAATCATAAAAGGCATGCAACAACATCACCATTAAGATATACGGAAACATGAAAAGGAAGTGGTAGCATCATAAACTGCACAGAAATGATCAGAAGGACAGACAACACACGTCAGCAGAATTAGATCGGACAAAATATCAACATCACGAAACTCGGAAAGAAAATAGGTGAACAAATTGCATGGAGGGCTTGACCCGCCCGGTGGCATATCCGCGGAGACTCAAGCAAGAAGCAGGCAAAAACAAGGCTATGCTTTACCGTCCACATGTCTGTGCTCACGAAACCTGCGCACGCATAAAATGATGGTTCCGCTGTTGCTTTCCCACTGGGCATATCAGGTAGCCAAAACAATACCCATCCTAATCTTACTGAAGGTTCCAGTATGACGCGAACAAGAATATCGTCAATCACAAAAGGTATGTAATAACATCGCCATTAAGAATATACGTGAACAAGATGAAAAGGGGTAGAACACAAATTGCATCGCAGAAATAATAATCAAAAACGACATACAACGCACGTCAGTAGAACTAGATCGAGCAATCGAACAAAACATCAGTATCATGAAATCAGAAGGATAAGAGATAAAAGAATTGCATGGAGGGCTTAACCCGCCCGGTGGTATATCCGCGACGACTCAAGCACGAGACAAGCAGACAAACGGAGCACGGAAAATAAGACGGTTGATTATCCGCCTACACGTCCGCAATGCTACTCAAGATACCCGCGCGAGACGCCGCACCCGAAGTCCCACCTTCCGCCTCTTCTCGCAGATAGCCACTCGGTCCCGCACCACCACTCGACCCGCTAACTTGACTAATAACATCGCTCTGCAACTGCATCGGTACAAACACAACCTTGCTCTGTGCAGTCTTCGCCATTGTCTGCAAAGCCTCAAGTTGTCGAATTTGCATAGCAGCTGGTGAAGCGAGGATGTCTGCTGCTTGACGCATGAGGCGTGCTGCGTCAACTTCAGCACGGGCAGCGATAACTTTAGACTCTCCGATACGTTTCTGCTGTGCAGCGGACGAGAGTGAAGCAGCAACTTCGGGAGAGAAGATGATATCTTTGATACTGGTTAAAAAAAAGTAAGATGAGTACTCCGAATTCAGATTAATATTGGCGGGTGACACTCACAGAATGCCTTCAATCGCAACACCCCATTTCTATCAAAACCGTGTTGTCAGAACTGACATTGTACGGACGGAAGGAGTAAAGACATACATCTGCAACGTCACCGACAATCTCGGCAATTTCAAATGCAATAGCCTCCCTCTCCGTGACTACACTCTGGACCGCACGTGCACCAACAACGTGCCGAAGAGTAGTCTGTGCACGTTCAATAAGTGCTTGGCGCAAGTCCGTAATGCCGAAAGCCGCGCGATACGGGTTCGTGATCTGGAAGTAAATGACCGAGTCACTGCAAGCAAAATAACACTATTTAGAACATGTCGATATTAGGACTAGAACGGACATGGACGTACATCTCAACATTGACATTATCCCGGGTGATGACCGTCTGCCTTCCAATAGGGCTGATTTGGATCTTGACGTCGACAATACGGAGTGATTCCGTGCAGACGTTGACTTGTACCAAACCAGGATCCACCGCCCTGTAGAACTTTCCGAAACGTGATACCAAGCCAACCGAACCTAATAATACACTGATTAATGTTCAAATCTCGGGTTTCCATCACGCTGAAACTCGCCTTGGCCGACGTTGCGGAACGGATTCGGGCATGGGCAGCACGGAATAGCGCCGCAGAAGCCGACAATGCTGCCAAGACCGTTTAAGAGAGAACCGTAAATGCCGTGCGTCACTTCCCCTGTTCCCAAGTCCTGGGCGTAGGATTGCTGTAATAGGCCGAATATAAGGTAACGTCTAATTTATTCGTGTTGACAAGGGCGAAATATAACAAACCTGCATCTCGCTGCGCTTAAGCGGCTGAACAGCAATGATGTTCTTGTCAAACTGCCTCCTGGGTCCTACAGGATGATGATCACCGGTCACTACAGTTTTCACCCATCCATTAGCCCGTCATAACTCGAACTATGGGAGAAGAATACGCACCAGGAGGAGCATCGTGGTCAACGACGTTCCCACGGAAGGAGCTTCCGCTAGGCGACGGGTTGCGATCCTTGCGGTCGGGGTCATGCGTCGGTCCGTTCGTTGCCATTGCCGATTTTCTTGTGGGAGTGGGTAAAACGGGGACGGAAGATGACTATGAACAGGAAGATGGGCGGGGGATGGAGGGCGAATGCAACGATGGGAGGCGACAAAGGCGGGGGTATATATGTAGTGTGAGAGGACGACTGCGGGATGATGGACTGTGAACGTGACCTAGTGAGAGCGGTACACGCCCAGTTGAGACAGAACCTTCAGTGATTGGCGTAACGCGCCCACTCCATGCGACGCCTTCCAATTTCAGCCAAGAGTTCCCGCGCATGCTGTTGCATTCAGACTGCACTGGTCGGCGTATTATGTTTTGCATAGCATTCGGGGCGCCCTAGTTAATTTTCTGTTGCACATGTGGATATACACATTTAGGCACAGGTTGTTTCTCTACTGGAGAGCCTTCACACCGCATTTAAGCTACATTGCACTATTTTTCCTTGGCGCCATATACGGTAAGGGCGGTATTGCTGCGTCATGGCAGACTGCTGCGATCGCAGGGTGGAGAAATATTTTGATAAGCCCTGTTCCCTCCCGAAACGATGCCATTCTGTGTAGTGGCAGTTCCTGAAGACATCGTAGTAGGGTGTTCTTCGTTAGTAGCTCATGTTCGCCACCGACAAGTATTGCGATGCGCGAAAGGTAGATAGAATACCGGACCGCCATGCACAGGAATACACAAGGGAGATCCATTATCAGTCTTCCAGAAGTTCTTCTACATTACCAGTGTGACGAAAAATACTTCAAAGCAAGGCACTAGTCGGTCACCAGCCCATCCCGGAAGCACCCTAGCTCCCATACGCAGCCAAACAGTTAATTCAAAGAATCAGAAGCGCGCCATGCCGCCAGGAACGACCAACTGCGCAACTATGACACTTGTACACCCCTCCGACTTCTGCGCAACAACTAAGATACGCGTCTGATAAACTCGACAAGCTGCGTGACTCACGTGATGTAACCTTACCTTCCTAATGCAGCCTCCACAATGAGCACGAAACTCGTCCATCCAGAGACCCAAAACTCAAAAAGTAGCACCATCGATTTGTTGTATTAAGCCTTCTCTACAAAATGATGGAACAGAATTTCTTAAAAGTGAATATTGGCTGAGTTATTTTGCAAACTATGTTTTTTGCTCTAAATGCTGTAATTATACTTTTCCAGCAGTCTGGTAAATTTTTTAATTTTTTCTTTCAGATTTCGCCACCATTAGATAAGGATATATGACAAATAATTGCTATATATGTATATTACATAATAATATTTATAATATATAGTATTTGTCATAATGATCGGATGGTGTAATCATCTTGATAAAGCTACAAAATTATAGATACAGACTGTAATGGTCAAATATTTTATTGTTGTAATATTTAACTCTATCTGAAAATAGGCAAGATTCTCTTCTCTGTATTATATAGAATCATCTTTGGCTGAGGCAAAACTTCAAGTCGAAGTTACACTCTGAAATTTCGCCGTAAGGGTCCTTCCTAATTTGGTAAGCGAAGGTTGTGACCGTGACGTGACTAGCTTGTCGAGTTTATCAGACGTGTATCTTAGAATATGCCGAGCTCTCGGCACCGCTCTCGCAGCAATGCCGCCCAACGATACTCCATACGCAGTTCTCCATTACCCACTTCATCAGTCGGGGAATTTCGTTTGAGCGTTTGAATGTTACAGATCCTGGTCAGTTGAGCTTCATCAACTGCGCTGCTCGGCAAATGTAAAGAATAGCAAATATTAATACATTTTATCCTTTTAGCCCCAAGCAATAAAGACGCAAGTGTATTCAATCTGTGGCATGGGATGGTAATCAATGAAATCACCTCCATATTCCCACATCCCTTACGTGAGACGGAATAGCCCGAGTTCGATCCGGAGGTAAACACTGTTCGGCTTTAATTTCCACCTTAATTTGATAGCTTTTCATAAACCCCGGAAGGAAGCAAAAATCCAAAGGAGGATTTAAATATTATAAGATTTATTAAATCGTTTTGTACTTATTAGCTTGTGAAGGAAGAATGTCTTTATCTTTGCTCCTGCCTGATGAGCTTCAAGATGTGCTACACGTCGATACTGTCAATCACAGACATTCCAATATCACAATGCATAGCATAAGATCACCTCGAAAAATTACTGATGGAAATTGACTTTTACTACCCATCAGTACTTCTCTGACATGAACAATTACTCTGTGTATTATATCGACGCAATACACACCGTACTCCTGGAGCAAACACATTCTCAAAGCTGTATATCCACCGGTATTGTCAAAATACGAATATTCGATAATATTTATTAACTCAACAGCTGAAGAGCGTTCGAAATAACAAATCAATAGAAACAAAGGCACAGAGTATCTATAACTGAACGACCCATTTAAATTACAAAGGAAGGATAGAGAGGAATCGCAGTAACAGTGAAGAGACGGCGCATATGGTCACAAAGTCAAGTGAAATGGATGCATAGTCGATGGATGAATTATGTAGTACAATGTGTGAGAGAGGAGGGAGGGAGGGAGAGTGGAGAAGATACATACAAAGTGATAATGAGTGATGCGAAGAATACAGTGACGTGCGCAGTAATGACGGTAATAAAAATCAATTATAGTACATGTCGAAGGATGGCTCAGTTGCAGAGAAACAGGCCAGACTCCAGAGAAATGAAAGGGAAAAGTGGGATGGATGGAAACTTCGCAGAAGAGAACTATCGTGAAAGGAAGACGAGGAAAGAAGGAATCGTGCAAATCAAGCCTGGGCGTGTTCGCTTGAGATTAATGTCTAATTACGATACTTGGAGTGAAGGATAGAAATGCTTGATGAATGAATACACATTGCGCAGAAGCTCGAGAAAAATGTTACAAAGCGGCCTTAACGGCTGCAAAATGACCGATACAATCCATGCAGTTCGTCCCGAAGGACGTAATTTTCGTTATGACGAACACTCATGTTGTCCGTCGACGGGAGTCAGGGGAACGAAGCTTCCAGGGAAGAGGCGATATTTAATGGATCGGCCTAGGGTTTTCTGATTTTGCGAGTCTGAAAGTGTGATGGACGAGCGAGAAGGACGAGAACTCAGGCTTGGTGCGGGAACGTGAGAAGTTTCGCTTGCCTTAGACGCCACTCGTGAGGACAAGACAGGTTTACGGCGTGACATAGCAAGCATGCTCGATGATCGAGAAAGAAAACCAGGCCGGCTGGGCTGCTTCTGCACGGCGGGTATATGATCAGAGGACGGAGATCCCTCTATTGACTGAAGTACGTTAGATGCGCTGCGTGTTCGAGTCCGGAGGCTCGTGCTTTTCAGAATCCTCGAAAATACGTTCCGTTGGGGCGTGCTTTCGGCGTCTGGCACCTCGAGTGAGCCTTCAACCGAAGTTTGTCTCGAGCTAGACGTGGAAGGAGCGGGAGAAGAAGAAAGAGAACGCGGAGTGCCAAAGAACACGCGGAAGCTATTCACGAGGGAACGCGAGCGTTTCGGGCGTTCCATATGATCAAGCACGTCGGGCAACACTTCGTCTTCGGCCTGAGGATCCGTGTCAACTCCTACAACTCGTACTTCCGGTGGGAAACCGTCGTTTGAGGGGCTTGCTATTGGTATGCCCGGTGACACAGATGAACATTGGGAACGCGAAACAGGCTCTATTGAGGTAGCCGTTGACGTGCTTGGAAGTGGCGAGTCAAATGAAAAACACCCTTGTGAAGATGGCGTCGACATTCCACTATCCTTTGTGTTTCCTTCAAGGAGTTGACTTGGAAGTGTGAGGAGCATGCCCAGAGAACCTCTGCTCGTGTTCTTTTTCATGTTCTTCCCGCGCGTTGCTTGTTGCGTTTGTCCCTGCACCGTTACGTTGGAAGCTGAATCAGAAATTACAGAGCTCTGATCCACAGAAGATGCAAGCGATGAACAGATTGACGGTGCACATTGCTTTGAAACAAGAACGCTTTCGCGAGCCATTAACTTATTCTTTGCCATAGCACCAACTCCGATACCTGTGCCTTGCTGTGGTGGAACCGGATCACGGAAAAGTATCTCATCATGTGCCTTCGCATGGAACCTTGCCGACAAAAGAGGCTGAGAGAGTACATCAGCGAGATGACGATCGGTCTGTGCGCGCCGTGTCGCTGAGACACGACGGATCAGAACAGCTGGTGGAGGGGCTAATCCATTATCAGAGCTGCTCATGAAGAACGCGCGAACACTTGATCCGTTGACGGACTGTCTACGATTCGGCTTGATAGTTATGTCGGCTTTAAGCGTTGAGTTTGATGGCATGCGCGAGGGGTTCGTCTCATTTGCAAGAGCGTCTTCACCCATTGACGGAATGGATGGAACAGGGGGAGCTTCGACGCTGTTACGTGTCGCTTGAGGATTCAAGAGATTTGCGGAAACGTTGAGTGTAGGCACAGGTTCAAATATCCAGTTCGGTGGGAGGCTGCGTGCGTGGTGCATTGCACCTAGCCAGATCTCCTTTTCACGTTGGCATGCGGCAGCAAGCTCTAGCCGGTGACCAGTCGCATGAAAGACAAGATGGAACGAGCAAGGAAGAAGCGCTGCGAAAGGATATTTCAATTAGTTAATCAGCAGTGGCAGAAGATGATATCGACACACCTTTCTCCTCGCGAACATCCACGATTTCAATCGTTTCATCTGTCAATGCAAACCAATGGCGAGGTTCATAAACGCCGGCCTTCGGCGTTTTCGCGAGAACGATGTATCCGCCGACGTATAGGAATGCTGCGAGATACTTAACTTTGACCGGGTCGCGTGACGCCAGCGGCATGTACGTAGATGCTGTCGCGATTCCATTATTAGAGCCCATGGCAGTCATTCCAGACAACGAGAGCATTGAGTCACGCTTTCCGCCATCCCGACGCACCGGCTTGACTGAAGGTCTTTCAATGCTGGTAACAACAACATCAAGTGAGCCAGCTAATAAGCACGCGCCAAGGGATGCTAAAAATACGCGCGTGGGGGGTCCAGGCACCTGCGCGTGTTTTGCATTCTCGCCGAACTCTGTTGCTTGTGATTGCTTGCGCAGGTGACTGATGAAAGCGGAGTTTGTGCGGCCGAACCCACTTCGAGAACGCGTCCGAGCAAACGAAGCCGAAAACGACAATGAACGCGTTGGCGGTTTCGATGACCATGCACCATCCGCTCCCGCCATGGAAGATCCTGTACCGTGTCCGAGTTCACTGCGAGACTCTATCCTTCCATCCTCAGCGCTACCTTTGTCATCATCCAATGCATCTCTATCAATAATTGACGAAGGTTGTGAACTATGATTTCCGTTTCCGGGTGTCCCTGATACAAGGCGGTCCACGATGAGTGCACTTTTCTTCTCAAGATCACGCCGACGTTTTGCTTCGTCGACAGAACGTGCAACTTCACGCATTTCCCGCAGAACACGTGCAACCGCAACTTCAGTATCCCTTTCATTTGCTTCCAGGTCGACGTCATTACCCTCCTCGTCATCATCATCAGAATCTCCGCCCAGCCTAAATGATGTCCTCTTCTGTGAAGGTTCAACTGATGGATCCGGGTCACGGCTAGTTGAAACAGAGGTTGTTACGGTAGCAAACAACGCACTAGTCTCAATCGCGGATGCCGTCGTGGGGGTGGGCATACTTTCTACTTCCTCCCCTTTCCCGGATGCACGGAGTTGTTCAAACAGCAGTGGATACTTGCAAACGCGCTGCACTGGTTTGATTAGATAATCTGCAAAAGAAAGCTTCGTGCGCGCACTCCTTGCACGCTGTCGCTCGTTCTCATTTTGGGCAGCAGGTGCAGATCCTCCGTACAGCCCCTCTGCTCCGCGAGAGAGGCGCCTCACTGAAAGTGTGTCATATATGGTACCAGAGCCACGGGATTGTGACTGTCCGTGAACTTGGCTGTAGCTATGTCCTGCTGGAGGCGGCGTCGGGTCACTTTTTGTATGTTTAAGCGTTGTACTTGCGCTCGCTCTCAGACTCCCGGATGATTCAGATGCAGAGTGACGACGACGCAGAGTCGACGTCGATGAATGCGAATCTTCAGCATCAAGGACCATACTCGAAAGTAAGCTATTGCGGCTGGTACAGTGAGTTATTGCCTTTGGGGACGATGGCGATGGCGCCGGCGAGTCGGCAACAAAGTCGGATCCAGCAGTGCCGTCGGTATCCCTCCGAACTACCTCTTCGGCACAGCGCTTCTCCCATTCTAACCAGCCGTTTGCATGAGCCCGCATAACGCGACGAGTCGTTTCCATTGCTTCAACGTGCCCTGCACAGAATGCTTCATATGGTTTGAAGTTACCAGCCTGTAGGTCGATCAGTCAGAATAGAGGATAGTATTAGCAAAATAGAGTTTGGATGACTGATTTGTTCAGCGTAAGAAGCGCCGATCAGGAGGGATCAGCGCAACGCGTCGGACTGGACGTGACCAGATTCCTTAATCGGATCACGTGGCCGCGTTGAGGAGATACGGAAGCAGAATTTCAAACGTACCTCTGCCGTAAATACGCCACACACCGCCCGAACAGCAGCTTCAACCTCACATTGAACCTCACCCCGCTCCTTGTCGCCTCCGGCTGCTTTCCTCGCCTTTTCCTTGCCCTTTAATATTCGTTTCTTTTCTGAAAACGCACTCTGAACCATTACGAGTGCTGTTTCAATGCGTCCCACGATTCGTTCATGCAGCCTCAATATATCACGCGCACCTCGTGCGAGTACTTGGCGGTCCACATCCGTTAACGCGCCTTGTAAGCGAAAGAGTCGCTGGGACGGAAATGGTAGGCTTGGCAGAGGCGATAGCATTGGTGAAACGGGTGACGATGGAATTGACGGTAATGCTCCAGGAGAGATTCCGGGTGACGATTCGGGTGAGGTCGTATAAACACGACCGTATGCAGGCCCTGAGTGTGCAGGAACCACGTCCACAGATGCGCGGCGTACGCTAGCGCATACACTGCCTTCTGTGTTCGGGACTGAATTGCCACATATTCCGAAACCCATGCTTTGCGTTCGCGAGTGAGCTGCCATTCCAACCCCAGCCTCAGGGACATACTCTCCGTCTGATAACTTCCTGCGGGTCTTCACTTCCCTGTCGGAGTCCTTCCGTAAGCGGTTCGATTGTTGGGCTTGCTTTACCGACAGTAACTGTAGCGATGTAGGACGCACACGCGACTTCAGCTTCGGCTCGGCGTGTTCCTTAGACGTCGTAACACAGGACGGGAACGACGAGGGAGGGTATTGATACGAGTTTAGGCGGGACGAGAGCTCCGGCCTGGAACCTTTCGCAGATACCATCGGCCCTCGCCCTTCCGCGTAACCCGGAGTGACTACCGAAGGCCGTTTTTCCGCTTTCGGTCGACATACTGGTGCCGAGATGGCACCTATTGAGGTGAGATAGACCTAGTTCCAAGCGAATAGTCATGCGTTAGTATTTCTTCAAGCGGAAAAGGCATTTATATGTGTTGTGGAATGTGTATGAAGAAATGTTTATGCCAAAGTGTCTCTAGAGGCATTCGTGGTGTCCTTGTGCGCATGAATGTACCCATATTTTGTAGAATATGAAACGAGAAACGCGAAAACGCGGAGGATCGGAAGCGATCCGATCGTTCCGCGACTCTGGTGAGCGGTTGCTTGTGACACAGACGCACGTCAAGCGGCAGGCATAGCTGACGACATACACAGTAAACCATAGCTCCTGTCAATTCGGACATCGCGAGTTTGCGAGAGCGGTGCGATTCAAATGTCGCGCTCATCAGAAATGAGCATCACATGCCTACATGATGCCCAGCCGCGCACTCGCATAATTCTCTCGAGTGCACGTTCCCAACATGCCTTGCTCGTTTGAACAAGGCAAATGCCGATTCCAGGTCCAGGAACTCGCATTTAATAAACGTGCGCGTGACTCGGTAAGGTCGACTCGCGCAATGAGGCTCGCAACGCGTGCTCGTGCGACTTCTAGGAGGGATAACAGCCACCCTAGCTCACGCTCCGATGTAGGAGACGAGTCAGGCAGGCGCCACAAGAAGGAAGACAGGCTGAACCGGCTGCCATTGCGTAACGGCAGGGAACCCGAATACCGAATGCGATGCGAGTAAGGAAATGGACAACTGGAATGGCACCACGAAAATATAGAAAGAACGAATAGAACTTTGGAAGTACACAGGACGTGCGAATCGTATAAATGATCGTTATCGCGCGTCTTCGGTGAGCAAGGCGCGTCGCGATGGCACGTTCCTGTTCGACATAAACGGAAATGGCGCGAACAAGGAATACATCGAGAATGGCACCAAGGGATAGAAAGGAAATAGTCGACAGTGACGGCACACAGGTGTGTTAGCCGACGCAAGTAGACGAAATGGCAATGAAATATATTTTCAAAAATCGAGCGAGGTTGGAAATTGAAACGGCACAGGAGATATGCTCACCTCGACGAGGATCCTGAGGTCGTCGACATATCCCCGCTCGGTCTCAATGAGTTCAGCGAGCGCATAGTATCGACGTACTGCGTCCTTTAGTCGGCGTTCGGCCTTGACGGCGTCCACTTCGTCGGTGTGGCGAGAAGACGTGATTGAAACGGGTGGCACCTGCGAGACGTTGCAGAGAACTGATGTCTGCGACATCGTCGCGCCCTCGTCTGTCGTACCCTATTAACACGCAATGTGTTCCCAATATGCCACTGACGGTCAGAAGGCGGAGGCAAAGGTAGACACGCAAGCGTGTTCGAGGACGAGGAGAGCAAAGCTTTCACTAGGCTGCGAACCGAGGGAAGACGCGTTAAAGAGGATAAGAATAATGTGGCGAGCCGCCAAGGTAAATATAGGTAGTGATGCGGGCAATGTCTGATGCAATGCGGGGTACGACGGTTAGCATTGAGATTGCTAGCAGAGGAGCAAAGCTACGCAAGATGCGCAGCAGATGAATATTTACCGTGCGGGAAGGGACCGGCGGGAAAGTGCAGGGGCTGGGAAGCAAGACAAGGGAACTGAATGCGTGCTAAAAACAAGAATTTGAAGAAAGAAGAGGCGGAAGAGCAAGTGGCAGACGGGTGCGGTAGTCAAGAATGGATAATGCGTATTCTGAGATGCGTGCCTCAAGCCGCGGCCGATCGCGAGTCCTTCCTGCTGCAATCAAGCGAAAGGCAGAAAGAAAGAAAGCTAGCCAGACAGAGCACCTCAAGCGCGTCCCTACGCGCGGTTATTTCAAACGACCAGACGCTCGCTCACGCCACGGATGACGGAATGGAGTGCGTGTTATAGCGTTCCACGGACGAACCGAGAGCGGAATATGGGGTATGTTAAAGTGCTTGGTCGGAGGTATCCGAGGACAGCGTTTGGACGAGCGTGGCGGTGGCGAGCCTGGTGATGCAACACGCGCAGGGAAGAGCAGGGTCGGCGAAGACGAATGTGACGACTGAGGTCGCACAGGGAAGAGAGCAAGCAAGACGAAACGAGGGAGATCTGAAGGTGAGTGAGGAACGTGCCAGCCTCTGGTCTGCTGCAGCTTCCAGCTCTCCGTTCAACCGGCGCCGCGCCGACCGCGTTCGATTTCCTCTTCCCTCGGCTGACGGCCCATATCCCGGTCAAATCCAATCGCAGTTCGCTCCGCACCCCGCTTAGGCACGGCTATCATCCGGCATGACATAAATTGATTTTATCAATATAATTAGTAGGAAAACGTGCAGTGATATCTGGGAAATATGGCGTCACAGCTGGCGTCATGGAACCCAGTTCCTTCAATCAACATTCAACATAATCTGCCATGTCCAAAATAAATTCGCACTTAACAACATAAATGTCTCTCATCGTCTCTCTTTCAATCCAGATCTCGACTGACGGACCTTATCTTGCTTTTGCTCCTTCACAGCATCCGAGTGCCACATCTCTTCATCCTCTCATTCCCCAGCCGATCACTCCGAAATTGAGTTATTGAAACAGCTCATTTCTCGGCTTGCAGAAGACATGCGTTTCAAGCCCACGGGATGATGATGACTCATCTCCACCACGATCTTTCCATCATTAACTCTATGTGAAGCCCCGAACGTCCCGTATCATTTTCCAATCCCTTTGCCACTCCTTTGATGCGCCACATATACATACCTACATACCGCTCAGCTGATTCAGGCTGCACTTCTGAAGCATGTACGCAATGCGGAAAAAGAATGATTAAATCCGGAGGACGAACACGTTCGTAACAAGCCCGACTCCGAACCACGCGCATTATCGGCGGACTCATCTCGGTCGAACTTGGCTCGGAGGCTATATTGGCGCTCTAATCTTATCTTTAAATGGTAGAAGCATTCAGCTTCGCGGCAGCATGGCGTCTGTCATTTAGAGCATCCTCGACACGCCTCCCAGCAAGAACGATTTCAAGGTGGAGATTGTCGCTGTCTTACTCACTCGAAGGTGTCAATAATATTATTTCGATGCAATTGTGGACGGAGAGCGCTACCGAATGACCATTTCTTGGTGTTACTTCTCTGATTGCAGGCAACCGTCATGCTTCTCGATCTTGTTCGATGACTTCTATCGCCCTGTCAGCACTCTTCCAAGTCACAGAAGTTCATCGATCACTCATTGAATCGTTCATACCTTCCGTTCAATATGTCTTCGAGTCCTGCGAGTAAACGATTAGCGACTTATATACGTGTGGACCGCATCTGTCTTGCGTCCATCGAATCTGTCTATCTCTGCTCCTATGCCTTCGCGCCTTCGTTTTCTCCTGGTCTTACATTTTTCTCTCATGCCCGCCGACGGACTTCCGTTCTGCTGTGGATGCCACAAAGACCGCTTAATTCCTGCTTCAACATTAACCGCACCGCAAATATCGCCTACTTCATACCGCAGCTTTCGTCCTCTAGGCTGCCCATTGGGGATGCGATTGGGGCCCGAGGTATCACTTAGGACTGCGGTGTGCACTGTAAACCCGACGACCGAAGATATTTACTAAAGTTTAGTCTCCAATTTGCCTTCGGGAATGATCACACTGCATGAAGAATTATTCTAATCGCAAGCAAAGAAAGTCTTTGGGCGCTGAACGGGTGAAATCTCCCTCCGACTTTGGCAACACGTTGTGCAAATCAGACTGTACATACTGTACAACATTGCAAATACCAGCAATCTGATCTGTTACCGGATTTGGTATGACGCCTGCCTTTCTAGTAAACATGACATACTGAACGAACAATATTCACGTTTTGGACTGAGCGACATCCTGACGTCTAACCGATGCCTGCGCTATAACCTCAGTCCCGGAAAGTTCAATTCTTCTTCTCATCTCGACCCTTAACGCCGTCGATCAGCTCCCACAGCTTTTCCCTACTCCGATAAATTTCAGTACAATAATCTCAGCAGCTGTCAGTATTGGATCGGCGATCATGGTGGAAAATGAGACATGGCATTTTGCTACCGTTGGCATGATCCATCGGAATTTATTCACGCCATACTCTCCCCTTTATTCATATTTATATTTAATCCGTAGGATCAACTTTACGCCGGACAGTCAAGGTGGAGATGAAAACGGTCAGGACGTACCGTATGCTGAACTGACTTGGGTTGATACTATTGCAGAAAAATTCACATGCTCTGCGAATCGTATTTTTAGGACAACGGCCAGGAGCACCGATGATAACTATTGACAGTACGAGCGTCTCGACGTTTTTAGTGATAGGAATACGGTGAGGAGGTCCCGTTTTTAAACTGGATGGCGTGATTGCTTGAGTTAATGACAGTTCGACAGCGGCCAGGAGATCCGTATCTCTGTCGACTGGATAATATAAATGATTTCTTCGAGTCAGTAGTGCTGTCTCACTAAAGGCATCGATAGGCGAGTGTGCGAGTTGGACGACGTCCCGACTATCATGCGACATTTATTAAATGGATTTGAGGCAAGGGAGGGAGACATCGATAAACGAGTAAAGTGTCCAATTACTCCACTAGCATGGGTATCACGCAATATTTCGGCGTATCTACCCATGTTGATATTGAAGTGAGCAGATAGATACCATACTATGCTCCTATCTGTAAAAATCCGACTTACAGCCAGGGCACATCTCCAAAGTATTGTATTGCATCGTGATTCCGGCGTCATTAGAGCAACGAGTATCTTGAGTGGATGTCGCATTCCTCTTCCCATGTGATTTCCAGAAGGCACACTCGATGTCTCTCGATGAATCACCATGACACCGAGGAACGAACGAGGGAAGTCTTAAAATTTAAAAATAACTTACAGTTCTGCAAACTGTCCACTTGACAATATTGCTGTAGCGTACCGTCGTTCAGTCTCAACGACAAAAATGTCTTTAGGTATACATAAATAGCTCTATCTCACTAAAGGCATCGATAGGTAAGTGTGCGAGTTAGACGGCATCCCGACTATCATACAACGTATGTTAAACGCATTCGAGATTTGCACCATCGTTCAGTCTTAACAACATAGATGTCTCCAGATGCATATAAATAGCGCTGTCTCACTTAAAGCATCGATAGATACGTGTGCGAGTTAGACGGCACCCCGACTATCATACAACGTATTCGAGATTTGAGGCACACTTGAGGCGGACTAAAGTAACGGAGATATAGTACCGATAAATGCGTACAGTGCCCAGTTACTCCACCGCACGGATAGATCACAATATTTCGGCGTATTTACCCATGTTAATATTGAAGTAGGTAGATATATGCCGTGTCATGCTTCTATCTGTAAAAACCAACTTAGAGTTAGAGTAGATTCGCAAAAAACTTGTATTGCATCGCGATTCCGTCAGTATCAGAAGTCGGAATACCGCGGCTTCCTCCTCGCATGTGATTTACATAATGCACGTTCGTTGTCTCTCGACGAATCATGACCACACTGAGAAATGCACGAGGACAGTCTTCAGGCATCACTTGCATCCTGAGTCCGCAAGGTGTGACCGCTGTGCTAATAATAGCCTAATATTGATGTTGCATCATACACAAGTCAATTATTAATCGACTAGTCTCTGCTAGTACGTCAGTTTCCAAAGCTTCTACGATCCTCTACGAAGTCTTTCGTCATTTCTTAAGCAATCATGGAAACGTCTCAAAATGGCTTGAGATTGGATTGGACAAAGCAGTGGAAGTTCTATACATGGGAACGACCTTCCAAACGACGACTCAGGAAGATCCTGAGGTAATTGTCACATGACTATACTTCTCTTACCCGCCTCGACACAAACCAAAGTAAGCTTTATCCTTATTATCTGCATGCTGTGGCAAGGAATAACAATTCAATATGCAAGGATAATAACAGCTAAATTCGATACATGATAGGCATCTACGAATCAACAACGACATGAACGAAGAGAAATGCAAAAGGAAATACGATGCGATATTAGAACATTATGGCAAAAGCAAGAAATAGAAACAGTCCCAGATTACAATACGGGAAAACAAGATATAAGAGGGAATGTGCATGCTGGGAGCTTAGATGCGCTCAACCTAAGATACTTTGACTGTTAGCAAATCCGTATTAATCACCCTAATCCGACACCTTGTACTCCGTGCTCGCCAAAGTCGGCAAACAGGACTCTAAGCAAGTCCTCCCCCCCCCCCCCCCGCCCAATAAAACCCCTGTAATTCCTTTCTCCATCCATCCAGACTGACCATATTTCGTATAATATAGAATAGATGGCGTGGTGCAATATGGCATGTTCGAGAACATTGCGTACTCCAATCGACTCTTGCAAGTCAAGTCAACGTATTCTTTACTCCGTAAAACGCAGGATAAAGTTGACAACAACAGCAGCTGCGCGAGTTTTAATATAAAGCGTAAGTAAAACAAATTATTGCCAGTCTTACCAAGTAGTGCGATACATAAAACAGTCTGTAGTTAAAGTAAGTAGTAGCTTCTCCTCCAGGAAACGCCGTACATACCGGACCCAACCTATCGTCATAAGGACCTCTCCCGCCGCGCCTTATCGACGCTGCACGCCAGTGGTACGTGTACAAAGCATAAATCATTACTGCCATGGCTTTGCACGCATGTTAAAATTCGAAGATTGCTCTGTAAGTAGTAGGTGACCTTACCGACAAGGGAGAACATTCCTGCACTTATTTTCCCTACCTTTGTATATAGTAAGTAAAAGGGAGAACTTCGATAAGCGTTTCAGCACTCACCCTATCGCCGAAATTCAACAGGCCGACTGCTAACCCGCCAAGCACAACAGTGAAATGAAGCCATGATAGGAACGTTCGTTCATTTGCGAAAGCGACTTTCGGCTCAACACGAACGGGGAGAGCTATGCGTTTATTAGCTGTCCGTTGAAGTAGTGGCTGAGTCGACATTGGTGGTGGTTGGGAGGAAGAACTTTGCTGCGCAAGAAATAGGACGCCGGTTCTCGGGAGAAGCTCCGAATCGCTCGGCAAGTAGCTTAAGGATGCTGATCAGGTTCGACCAGTATTCTATGCACCAACGCTATGGTACTTTTCTTGCCTCGAGATACACTGAGACAAAGTCTAGCTTGAGAGGGTGGCGGCAGCAGCGTAAAGAACGGACAGAACGAGGACGATGGAGTCACGAGAATATAAGGAGCGGAGCCTGTGAAGACTAGGGTGCGATTACCAGACGTTTGCTAAGTGGTGAAAGGAAGTTGAGGGAGTCGTAACGAACCTGTCCACTCATGGACCGATTTAACGCACGTTCGTCCAATTTCAAGTCACGTGAACTCATGACGCTGATGTAGGGACCTGAATGGATTGGCAAATCCACGGATCCACACCGTGGATAGTTTATTCCCACGGATACCGTACCACGGTAAACATTCCCACGGTAACCGTGGATTTTTGTGCATCCACAGCACTAATCAGCACTGCTCCGTTTGGCAGGCTGACAAAAGATATTGCCTTTGTAGAGTAGCGTCAATCATTACAAGAGTCTCACCTGACTTGTTTTCATTTACATAATTTTGTATGTAATCAATTTCAACATACACCCGGAAAAAAAATAAAAAATAACTCCAATTATATTTACATTTTCCCACCTGAATAATACTTATTGTTATTGATGTATAGTGTATATTCTTATGAGTTACATGTGAATTAAGTGTAAAAAAGCAAAGTAGGAATTGTTACAAAAAAAAAAGACAAGTACTAGCAGTGTGTAGCCAAGTATTTTTACGGTGTCGTGGTACACCGTGGTTACCGTGGGAATTTTATCCACGGTAAAGCTGATCCACGGTGTGGATCACGGATAGCACGGATGGTAACCATTTCGGTCCCTACGCTGATGGGACCTTCTCAATTCATAAAGCTTCCATTCGGCATCACGTACCCCGTAAATAAATTGCTTGCTTGTTTCTGCACTTCGGCTGACTCCGCCACTATGGAGACATGTATGGGCATTCTACTTCCGTCTTGGATGAAGACTCTTTACCCGATTTTCGAATTCTCGCGAAAGCGGCCGTCTTCTGCCGTGATAAGAATAGATGTTCACTTAGTACTCATGATACAGCAAGCTCGGTGGTAACAATGAGGTACCCGTAGCACAATGTGTCTGGCATATCAATGTCCCATCGATTGACTCAAATTCCTCAGCGAGAAGCTGCGTTACTTGATTAAGCCGGGCTAATATCATTACTTGCCAGATAGTTTGGGCCTCCCTTAATGCCGTGTACATAAGTGACTCTTCACCAGCGCTTCGCAGACGTAACTCAACGACAGTACCGTAAAATGGGAACAACTGAGGCTCGCTATCGCATGAAAAAATGGAAGTAGTTGTCCTTCCTTCGTATTATAAAAATGCCGCGCGGCATCGGGAGCTCCGCCACAGCATGCTGACTTCTACTCCTAAGAGTACAAGGTAAGATGTATAGACTCCCATCGATAGACAGTCACTTGTAATTTGAAAGTTACCTGTAGCTGATCCTGTCTGGACGCTTTAACATCGGCAGTATGCATACCACAGAGGAACGGACCCAACATTAGTGCAGAGTGTTTAAGTCTGCTGAGAATCAGGAATATTGGAAGATGGATCATTGCCAAATTACTTTATACATCCCCACACGAATTGTTCTTTCTTCGTAAGATACTGTCTTGTGAGGGACTTCCTTTGACGCCACAGGGCACTGCATTCCCAAGGTGCGGTTCGATTTATGCTTTGCGCCTGCGACCAGAAACACGGCTAGAATTCTTCAAGAGGCGTTACGACATTCTCTTCTTTTTCTGGAAAAAATATTCCTGGTTTGCAGATGACTTCAATCTAACTTTTATCCTCGCATTCCTCGGTCTCATAACAATTTAGGGGTTTGTAGAAGTCTGGAAGACGTATATTTTTTACCTGTATTGGCCACGTACATTAGAAGCAGAGTCAGGGAGACGTAAATGTTTATAGTTATCGGTAGAATGGCAGAGGCGTGCTCAGCAAATTTGTGTCTAAGCAGTGTAGCAATATGCTGCGTAGCGGTGCTTACGTCACTGATTCAAAAGTCAATGGTGGTCACGACTCACTAGTGAATATATGAATATGATTTTTTTTCTCAGATCTGGGCCCGATAGTCTGTAAATTGCCTTCGCACAGATTGAGGGATAAAGAGATATATTTAAATAGGTGGTAAGTATAGACAGATTTCTCGAGAGACGATTGCGGTAAAACGATTATTATTGTCAACTGAATTGTAATTTGTTTCCTCAAACTGTGGCTGCAAAGAATGATCAGCTGTGACAGAAACGGAATGCCGATCTTCAAACGTCACGCCTCTCCTTCATACTACCACAACCAGTGAACACTATTTCACTCAACTCTCGCAAGCTCAAAAATTTCCAGCAAGAAAAATGTCTGCTGGAGCGTCAGCAGCAGATGTTCGGAGTATACTCTCCATTCCAGGTCCCTCTGGCTCACAGACACCAAACGCTTCCGCGTCGATCTCAGCATCCACACCAGCAGGCATAATATCTAGCGTAAACAAAGCGCGTAAACCCAAACCGGATGGAATATCCCGTGAACTGTTTGCACTTATTGGTACGGCTGTACCAACGTTGAATGCACAACTTGCGAAACCAAAGTTCAAACCGAAGCCAAAGGCACTGTCAGGTGGAGGAAAGGCTACAAAATGGTATGTATATTGCTGTCACCTGTTGTATTTACTTCTTTTCACTTATGATGTCCTGTTGCGTTCTGCCTTAAGGGAATGGCGCGAATTCACGAATTTTGCTCGGAAAGATTCGTTAAAACTGAGTCATTGGGCGAAAGCTTCTGCAGATCCTCAAGCATGTGAGTACAGTTTTGCTGGTGCATTGTTAACAAGCTAATACGGTTTCAAAGTTTATCCATTCGCAAAATATGACATTAAGCCTCAGTCTTTCACCTACTCACATGATGAATACACGAACCTTTTGGAAGGTACGCACTTAAGTGTCTATATTAAAGGATATCACAGGGTTTGACGATGACGAGCAGAGGAAGGTTGGACGAAAGAAGAGACCGACTACCTATTTAACATTGTCCAAGAATATGAACTTCGCTTCTTCGTGATCGCAGACAGATACGACTTTCCAGGAGGTCCACCCAGGACTATTGATGTACGTACAGCTTCTTGTCTATCTGGTTGCTTGTCCTAACGAATACTACAGGATATAAAGGATAGATACTACGGTGTATGCCGAAGGCTAATCCGCAATCGTCCTTGGCCTGGAGATGAGGCGGGTAAAGCTCAGGCTGTCGCAAGTTACTCTTTTGACAAAGGTAGACTTATTGTCCAATGAAGTAATATATTTCTTACAGCTGTCTTATTTTTTAGAACGCGAATTAAATCGCAAGTCCTACATCGCCTCACTTGAGAATCGCACAGCCGAGGAAATCATAGAAGAGGAAGCACTCTTCTTAGAACTCAAGCGCCTCGAGCAATCAGAGAGGAACTTTGCCCGAGATCGTGATGAGCTTCTACGTGTATTTGAGGGCATTGAGAGTGGTCTGCAATCGGTCACGGCGCAGAGTGCGATAGATGAGGAAGAATATGCCATGATGATTGGGGACGGGAAGAATGCGAATAACAAGAAACGTAAGGGTGGTATGGACGTGGATAGTCCTGTCAGCTCAGGCCCTGGTATGGGTGGTGCTATTCCTACGACACCTGTGCGGAAGGTCCGAAGTGCGAAGGAAATCGCTCATGGTGTGTATCGTTTCCATTATGTAGCCCTGCTGTCTGCTAACCTCACTGTCTTCAGACGCGATGCACTGCATTCATCGGATGGACACTCCTGCAAACCCCGCAGCAACCACAAAAGCTGCTCATCAACCCGTTTACCTGCGTTCATACAAGATTCCGACAGTACGCTCTGCACAGCAGCAGCGCGTTGGACAAGTATTCAGCGAGCTCGGCCTACGTCACGACCGTCTCGTGATGCCAACATTAGAAAACTGTGCTCAGCTTGAACAGCTAGTCAACGCTGCATGTGCACTTGTAGACACGAAGAAGACTGTAGATCGTGTGGAACAGGAGATACGCGTTTTGCAAGCGCGACTCGCTGAGAAGGAAGGAACTAATGGGAATAATGAAAATGGTGGTAGTGGAGGGAATGGAAATGGAAATAGGATGGATGTAGATGAGAATGATGGAGATGACCCGGATGCGGATGCAGATGGTGAGACGGATAGAGCGGTGAGTCTTGCACCGAGTGCTAGGAGCTCAGTTCGGAAAGGCGTAAGTCTAGGTTTCTCTTATTAGTTTGCTTCCAAGCTAATAAAAGTTGTTTTTATCAGATGAAGCGTTCCGGATCTGTGTCCTCCATAGGATCTAGTACAACAACGGCAACTCGTGCACCCAGTAGAAAGCGTCAACGATCTTAGTTTATTTTTACCATGCCATATGGGATAAGGCATGATATACTTTTGTCCCTGTGTACTTCGCGCCTTTTTCACTTTACGATTTACAACAATTGTATTACACTAACCCGTACATATAAAACTGGTTCTAATCACTACGAGAAGAATCGTCTTTACTGTCTGACGAAGAGGAGCTGTCACTGGAAAATTCGTCATCCTTTGACCCTTGTCCAGCTGCTTCAGTAGGGACCGCCTGGAGAGGTCCTGGATGAGGATGGGATTCTTGTGTAAAGTTACCGATTTGAGGTTGCGGCTGGTTAGTGTCATTAGGCCCTCCAGCGAATGCCACAGCGGGCATATCACTCAAGCCAGTGGCACCCGTCGGCGGAAAAGTATCTTCAATAGCTACATCCGATGCTGTTGCATCAGCGGGTACTTCTCGGGCGCTCCTTACACGGCTTCGTGCGGGAGGTGGATTTGGCGGTGGTGGGTGTGACTTTTTAACACGGAGAATGTCCATGATTTCTGGTTGTGTCGTAGTCAGAACTTTGCGACATATAACTGAGAGCGTTCGCTTGCATACCTTGGTGCGACATTTCCTCATGGCCGCGAACACTACGCTTGAGCGTCATCCAGCGGCGTTGTAAGGTGTGTGCGCTCCATAAGTTCCAATCGTCGTCGACAAGGAGCTTCCAGTCGATCTCAGAGTCGTCGTTGACATTCAAGGAAGCAATTCTATCATCGGAGTTGAGCTGGAGCTGCATTAGTATGTATATAGAATGGGAGTACGTACTTATGTACAAGAATGTACGCGTCCTGTTGGCTCCACCGAGGTTTTTGGCCGTCATTTTTGACAGTCTTACTTAGGGAGTCGGTCCTGCAACCATATGAGAAATAGACTCTGATGGATTTAACTTCGTAAGTCGTACCATTTAATACGGCACTGATGTCGACCACGAGTATTTCCCATCCTTACCGCGACCTGAGTCCAGAAAACATCCAAATCAGGGTTTCTACCCTGTGCAGTCGTCAGTTCCAGGACAATCTGCGTCAAGCGTTCCTCCTCTTCCTTCGTCCATGCACCTTTTCACATACTTAAGCTGATTGTCGGGACGTGGCAGAATACAAACAAAAGCTTACCGAAAATACGGCCCTCGCGATTATTAATATGATTTCTCCAGCGATCACGACAATCGCTAGCCATGCGACCAACGCGCTCGCTGACCTTCTCCCAAGTTTGGCCGAGTTCGATAACGGCCCTAAGATGGTGCTGTCAAACAACATTCCTGTAGAAAATGGAGAGGACGGCGTACTGTCTAAGGACATCGTCTTCGGCGGGCATCCACTTCCCTTGTTGCTTCAACGGATGGAATGCCCGGCGGACATGATGGTAGACTGCAACGACGGGTCGTAAAGGGACTTGTGCGGCTGAAAACTAACATGAGTCCATGAACCGAACCGTTAGAACGACACGCACTGATTTCAAACCAAAATGCGTTATCTTTGCTCTTTTGGCCCTTTGCAAAGATCAACTCTTTCAATTGTTCTGGCGATAGGCCGTTCCGCTGGTTTAGCGGAGATAAGAAATCATACACCAGTAAAAATGGGAACCGCGCTTACTATACGATAAGTTTCAATGGCATTTTTAAGGAGAATCTCTTCTGAAGTCGAGAATTTGCCTTTCTTGTATTCGAGACCTAGCGAGCCGAGGTTTGTCAGAATACAGATAACGACTCAAGTTAACTACGGACCAATGGTTTTTGCTAGTTCGTTCAGCTTATTCGCAGAAAGCCACTTGTTCGCAAGTAAATGCGAATGATCTTCATTCATTATATGCGGCACTGATGTAGGCGTCACTTTCCGAGCCGTGGTCGTCTTCACTGGGTTTCGTGACGGTTGACCTAGGATTGCAGACGACGATACAGGTAGCTGGCCGTAATCGTTACTAATGCCAGAATCTCCCGTCATTGGGGGATTTTGAGACACCAAGCCATGGTCGTATGCAAGACGTGATTGCATGAGGTGATGTAAATTGTTCATGCCAGATGGGCCAGGAGCTGGTTGACCTGGAAGTGGGATGACGTTTGTTCCAGCATCACCAAGTGCCTGCAGTGCGTCGGCAAGTCTTGCGACATCAAGGCCCTGTAAAGCTCGAGCAAGATCTTCACCGGAGAAGGATGCCACTGGACCTTCAAGACCAGGCGGGACATTCTGGTAGACCGTATTGTCGAAGGGCGGTCCATGATGTGCATAATCCACAGGTTGCGGATGGTCTTGAGCAACGGGACCAGCAGCGGCAGCCACGACGGCGGAAAGGAATGCAGTTGAATTTGCAGTATTCTCTTTCTCCAAGCTTGTGAGTGCCGGGTCGATCGATGTACTGGATGTCGCTGGTTCATCGCGTTGCTTCCCCCTGCGATCTTCCTTCCTCTTTTTCTTCTTCTTTTTGCGCTCTGGAGAAGTCGATGCTGTGTCGTCTACGGCCACGACCTGCTCTGAAGCACCGGGAGCAACTGGTAAATCCCTATATTCATTATCTGAAGTGCGTTTCTTCCTTTGGCGTTCTAATTCGTTCGATGTGTGCTTGTCCAGAGGCACGATAGCACTATCAACATCTGGAACATCTGCTAAATCCCCGTCCTTTCTCTTCCGTTTTGTCTTCGGTGTTGCGTCAGCATTGACAGTCTGATTTACGATGGTGTCTGCGTCAGACTTGCGAGCCATACGAGGATTGAAGGCGACTTTAGGGCAGGAACTAACATCGGCAACGAAAATTGGTCATTCGGGTTGGCGCCTCTAACGTACAGAACGAGTATTCGGTTCCCACGTTCAACAGCACGATATAACCTTACTTAAACTTAAACAAGGTTTATTCTTAATTGCTAACTAACTAAATGATCTTTCATTAAATGAACAATGGGTTATATGCTATATCGAAAATGTGATCTGACACTTGACCAGGTTAATTTGGGCTGTCGAGGATACGACCAGTAAATTTCCTTTCATTCCGGGTTCCAGCTGAATCGATATGCCTTGTGCCTCATATATGCTTCAAGCCAAACCGCCTTTTCAGCTGCTCATTTTCACACACCAGACTGTTAAGTTTGGTTTTAGCATTGAAGCCCCGCAGAGCTTGACGAGATGATATGCAGTAGCAGCCGTGGGAGTACTTGACTATTTCTGAGCTTACACGATCACGTGTACTTCGGTTGTTGTCCCGCCTCGTGTTCCTTTGGTGTTCCATTGACGGCATTTCGGTCTCCAGGAGGCTCACTCCGTTTCAACAACGTCGGTTGCGGCGGCGGCTCTGTCGATTACTTCCAACCCGACAATGCCCCTTAACCCCTCGCCGCGGAAGGTAGTCCCGCTTAATTCTGGCGACGATGGGCCGTCCCGCAGACCAGCTCCGACGCTCACTCTGCGCGCTTTCTTTTGTGGTGTAGTCGTCGAAGGACCAGATGATGCTAACGATCTCCCTGAAGGTGAGCTTTGAGACTCATCCGAGTGACTCCGGTCTCAACTACGTAAAGACGTCAAGGACCTCGTCTCGTCGCTTGGCGAAAGAATGCCGTCAGATAGGGTAGACGAGGAAGCCCCTCAGACCCCTGCAAGCTCTGCTCAAGTGAGTCCTGTTACAAAAGCTACCACTCACTGACTCACATCATGCTAGCCCGGTGAACAAAGCCGGCCTCGTGCTCTTACAAACACCAGTGCTCTCGCCGATCTTATCAACGAGCTAGTCAGCACCGAGCGGAACTATGTCCAGCGTCTTCGCATGCTAAAGAACTCGTATGCAGACCCCCTACGGTCTTATGCACGTAGCAAGGATACCGCCATAATAGCCGCATACGAAGCTAAAATCCTCTTTGGTAACATCGACCAACTAGTGCCTATTAATGAAGCGTTCCTTCAAGACCTTGAGCGGATGGCATCTCCAAACGGTTTACAGACCGTCGGCGGTGTTAGCGATGTAGCTCTATACCACTTCAAAGAACTCCGAGCCTTTGAATGTTATAAGCAATACTATGCAAAAAGGGAGGAGGCTCAGGCTATTTTCAAGCGAGAAATGGCAAAGAAGTCATCCACCGGTTTTGCAGCGTTTGTTGAGGTGAATGTGTGAGCTCTTCATATCGTTGTTCCGTATCTCATGAATTTTCAAGCGTATAAAATACTCGACCAACGACGCAAAGAATCGAGTTGGCTTGCGGGAATTGCTCATGGAACCTGTTCAACGGATACCTCGTTACACTCTTCTCTTCCGATCAATGATAAAGTTAATGGGAGCCTCTGATCCGCAGCGCGCAAAGCTCATGGAGGCGGATGAAATTGCTAGTCGCATAGCACTAGCTGAAACTGACAGCCATACGCGTCTAGCAGCGACATTGAACTGCCTTGCCCTTTCCATTGATGGATTTCCGCCCGCTTTAATCTCGAGCAATAGACGCTTCATTGACTGCATTGACGTTGTTGACAATCTTTCGGATGCCGCTGGTCTGAGCTCCTCTGGTAGCTTTCCTTCAAACACTTCTAGTAATTCTACACCGATAAGCTCATCCAATGCTGCGGCATCTTTACATTGCACCCTCTTTCTTTTTGATGACAAGCTCATGATTGTCAAACGTCCCGGAACAGATAAACCAGGTCGCTCACTCGCCTGTTTGGATGACGTTGAACGTCTGGCCAGTGGCGGTGGTATTGTCTCTGGTCGCGGACGTGGTATCGCGAGTAGGCTTCGCAGTGTTATGACCTGCAAAGGAGTCGTAGATATAACTGACGTGAGCGTTACGGACATAAGTGGAGCTGATATGCATCTATATCTCGAAAGCCCTCCTCTTGATCAGACAGACCGCTGGGCAGGACGTCCATTTCGAGTATTCTCGACTGTGTTGCCTGGAACAAGTTATGTGGATACGGGACGTTTGGAGAGGGAGAAGAAGCGGTTTTTAGAAAACTTATGGCGCGTGCAGGCTCGTTATCGGACAAAGCATGGCCAGAGCGTTGCTCTCCGTGCGGAGGACCAAGAGGTAGAATCGCGAGGCGGAAAAATCACTGTGGCACGAACGTACTTCAATGTCTACCAGCGTACAAGGTTTCTCACGGAAGCCAAGAAGGTGGGTATTATCAGCCATTCCAAGCGACAGTTTATTGATTGAAGAATTGTAGACGAAAATCGTTTTGCACATCGATTCACTTGGGGATGCGGATCCGCTGCTATTTGGCATGGATGGGCCTCCATACGTTGTAATTCGAGTAAGGCCTATACCAGGAGACCTCTGCCGGTATTCGGTACTTTCCTGCGATCCCGATGAAGAGCCCGACGAGGATGTCGTTCAGTCAGCCCGTATCCCCTCGCGAGTAATTCAAACGAGTACGTCTTCTTCTGACCTATATCTCACTTCACTGCCTCACCTGTCCCTAGTCCACCAGTATGGATTATTTAAGTTCAAGACCGACAATCCTTCGCGGCCTGCGACTCCCTCTGGCGGCAATCGCTCCCGAGCGCATATCTTCGGACTGGATGTAATCTCCCGCAACCTTTTCGGTACTTCGAGAAGCAAAGACTCCTCGAATGACTCGATGAGCAGACACCGACGTTCAAAGTCGGCCCTAAGCCGTTCTTCAACGCTCGGTACGGACTCAACTGGAACGGTTGCCACGGCCGACAGTTCAACCCGATTCTCTCACCGGACAACTTCAACATTAGCGACGTCGGTATCGTCTTTCGCTGTTGATGATAGTTCTCTCAACAAGAGGAACTCACGGTCAAGGAAACTCGTCAAGCGAAACAGATCACGCTCTCCCGCAACTACTCTTGCCGATGATGACGAATATTTGTCAGAGAACGAGCCGGGCAATGAATCTCTGACTCGTAGAAGAGCGCGTTCAATGTCGGAGATGAGGTCCAATGCCAGCATAGAGTACAGTGATCACGAAGATGCAGATACGACAATGCTAGACTTCCGGGAAAGAGGTCGTGTGACAGAGTCGGAAATGGATTTGTCGATGCGTCTTGAGCTAGCGCGTCGTAATAGCCGAAATCAGCATGGACGGATAATCACGCACGATCTCATGGATATCCCGGTTGAAGAAGTGATCTATGAGGAAGAGCCACCACTACCAACTACCCGACCCGTTTCTCGTGCGTCGCGTCGCTTGAATTCAGTGAGCGACCATGGTCGTCGCAGTCGTAGTCGACAATCCACGTCTCCTCAACTCACAGCACGCTCCGTAACACCGACTCCAGGTCCCGGTTACGAATCACCTCGAAAAGGTCGTGCGGAATCATTCACTTCTAATCGAGAACGTCGCCCCATTGGCCCTCGAGCTCCCTCGCCCTCACCATTCGCCCCGACCAGTCCGAGTATGAATGCCATGCAAATAGATATTGAAGGCGCCTTGGAGTCAACCTTAGCTCGTATGTCTCCTGAACGTCCACGAACTCCTGAGGACGAAGAATTGTTGGAGAACACGTTTGATGACCAAGAGATGTTCACTTCTACGATGATACACGAGGCTACTTCTCGCATTCCGCGCAGTAATCGTCAACCATACGTACCACTACAATCGACTCCCAAGGGAAAGTCAACTAATGCCACTGATGAGACCCCTGGAATAGTACCACTGTCAATCAAGAAGAAAGCTCTGCCCACACCATCGGCAAGAAGGCCGTTTGTTAAAGATTCACCCTTGACGAACCCAAACTCGAGGATCGGAGATAATCATGCCGCACTTCAACGGATGGACTCATGCAATTCAGTTTCTGAGGCCGACGTCTCCTCTATGAAGGAGGACCTTGCGTTTTCGCGGGATTTGGTTCGTGTTGCGGAGACAACTCGCGAAGACGTAAGTTCTTTTTATTATTCGCACCATCCCTACTAACTGATAATGGCTGTATACTCAGCTCGAATCATCCCATCGTGCTCTGAAACGAATCAAGCTAGAGGTGAACGCTCTTCCTGCGCGTATAACTCAAGACAGTCCTAAGGCTCCAGACCTACGGTCAAAAACCCCTTCTCGTGGCTTGGTTCCCACTTCGTCAAGGACAAATGCTGTGGTATGTTTTCTCATCTAATACCTTGAGAATTGGTAATGATTTTTTGATGATTAATAGACCAAGGAAGCCGAAGCACGTATGGAAGAAATGTTTTCGATGATTGGACAACGAAAAGGTGGATTGGTTGCACCCCGTGCTGTTCGCGCAAACACCATCGGCGAGAGCAATTCAAGCGGGTCGCAAAGGTCGATCAGTAGTTCAGCTGATGCCTCGGAAATTCGGAACTATTTAAAAGCACTGGATGAAATTGTATCAGATGCCGAAAGTGACTTGGGCCGGACGGTAGGCAATTATGCCAAGGTAGAGGACGGAATAAATCGCCTGGTCTCGAGCTTGCAAGATGTAAGTATCTAAGTCGTTCCATGCACCCCTTAGCTAACTGTTACTCCAAGCGCACCAAAAATCTCGAGAACACGTCCTTGACGTTAAAGAGAGCGAAACGACAGTGCGAGCTTCTGAAAGAATTATTGTCGAACGCAACGGCGGAGAACGAGATACTGTATGGAGTACGTAATTTATTCATCTTTCCTTTGAGTGACATACTAAAGGTATCGTAGTCATTTAATGAGGAGCTAGAAGGGATGTTCCAGGACGTGACCTTGCCTGCTGATGAGGCTTGGGTGGCTATGACTGCCGATCTCAGCGAGACTAAAAAGGAAAGATTCCGCCTTTCCAAAGAAAACAAGTACGGTGATGTTCAAGTAACCTCTATCATTGAAATACTGAAAGTTTCATAACATTAAGCGACCTGAAGCGGCAATTACGGGAGACCGAACTGCAACGAGACGAGTGAGTGATTTATTACCGGTTCTTGATGTGACGTGCTTATTTCATTCCAGATGGGCTGCACTGTTGCGGCATCATGGACTCATTCCTTGACAACACCACACGCTCTTTACTTATTGCTTTATCATCGAGTGTTTGTTGTATGAAACTAATGTACCTCGTGTCTGTCATCACTAGTTCACTTACCTCTTACGTATATCTTAACATCACAGTTGACCTGTCATGCCTTTGTTTGCAATATTAGTGTGAATCGTTCTAACCTTTATTAAAATTAAAATTAAATAAATTTAAACCCGACTTTCGCTTGTTACCTTAACAGCTACACGGCAGTGTATTACGTTGTCCTATTTCAAACATTGGCCAAAACTCAGGTTCACTGAGAACAAAGAATACCTGGTAAAGAAAAGCGTTTTTGTCCTTCATTACAACCATTCAGACTAGTGTAGAAGCGGTGACGTACATTGTGGACCACCAGGCTCGAGGAAAAGCGTTTGAGCAGTGCAGACCCTTCTCCGTAGTCTTTTTATCGATGCAATCGGGTCCTTTGCTGTTTCCTGCGAACACCGCATCATATTCAACTCCGATCAAGAGAAGTGCGGCCTTGAAATATCTCACTTCACCTTCCATTCTGCAATTGTATCCAGCGCTCGCACACCAACTAGTTGTTTGATAGGGTGACTCGATGCTTTGATCCTAGTAGCTGAACATGGAAAGTGATAACCAAGTCGCGGTTGGAACTTGGTGGGTCCGCGTTGATCCTCTGTTTCTCCATCATCGCGTGCATGAGAGCAGGATAAGACGTTCTGATGCCCGTTCTTACTTCGTTGGGTAACTATATCTACGTTTGGATAGTTCTGTCGCGGCCCGCTCGAGTCAGGAGGAGGTACGTATGCGCTCGGTTCCACGTTCCTTGCCCAAGCACTCATATCCCCCAACGCATCACCAATAGCCATGCTCCTCTGAGCATCCAGAAAGAGTTATATTGCGAGACGCACTTACGCAACAATTTGTTATTCACCATTCTGGCCCTTTGTCTCGTCAGAATGCCGCCCCTGTGCTTTAGTCCGCCGGTGCAAGCGCCGTTGCGTCGGCATTGAGACATGTGCTTCGATTGCATTTCTCGCGCCCTCACTGCCTCTGGCCCCCGAGGATTTGTACCCCGCCTTCTCTGAAGAACAGGATGGCCACCAGTTCCATCCCTCTCCCTCTATTGTAGACATAGGTCGGGTGTAAGATTTAAAGGACGCGTGTGCATTGCAACAAAATCCACTTACCTTGTCCTCACCCTAGCCTCAACTCACACCGAGAATCATCTTCAAGATGCAAGAACCCTCCGAACAGCACGAAGACACAACGTCGATGACTGTGAAGAAGACACCAAATGCCTACATCCTGTTCCAGAATGCAGTCCGTGGTGAAGTGATGTATCAACTGCAAGAACTCGGACACAGTACTGCCAACTTCATGAAGATAGTTAGTGAGAGATGGAGGAAACTAACAGAAGAAGAGAAAGAACCTTTTTATGCGGAGGCCGGAAGACTGCGTGCTGTACGGGAAGAGCGATATCCTGGTGTCAAATCCGAGTACAAGCACAAGAACAAGGCAAAGAAGAAGGGACCGGTATCCGAGGCAACCAGCAGCCGCGACACTCATAAGTCTGGGAACGAGTTCCAGTTTCAATCTGCCAACAATCCTCAAGATGCCCAGGTGGTGAGTTGGTGAAATCCGTTGTATGGACGTGAATGGCATTTGACGTCAAATAAGTCTGGAAGGCAGCCAGGTGTTGAAGTCGGAACCCCTGTATATGATCAGATCAAGTGGGAGCGCATTCAAGTCGACCAACTCCATGATCCAACAACCTGGCATCTAGAGAAGTCGTTGAAGGTCCCAGCGGAAGCGCCGCCTGAGATGTATACTGTCTTTGACACAAACGCGACGCAGATCCCATCAGAGGCTTCGAGTAGTACGCAGAACACATGCCTTCTCGATCCGCTTGATTTCCCTTGGATCGATCCAAGCCAGAATACCCCATATGTGCCTCAGCTACAAGAGGAGGTGGCTTCCCCAGCTAATCTGACGGCAAGCCCATTCGCATATTCGGAAAGTTCGCTATCAGACTTCTCGACTCCGTCGACGGCGTTAATACCCACGCCAGGATCCGAATCTTTCGAGGCTCCCCTCCCGCAAGCTGAGGTCTCATGGCCGATGGATGAAGGAAATCCTCAGATGGATTTGGCATTTGACAACCCGACCATGCCATCGTCCTCAACGGTTGAGATGAATGAGTTCCCACCATTGTTCTTGCCTTTCGACTTCAACGAGCCTTCCTTGTTTCCGTATGGAGACGCCCAGATGCAACTCAATTTCAACACGGGACAGTATCAAGTCGATGGGAGTCTGGCCGGTGGCACTCCGAGCATGGATTTACCACCAGAATTCTACTTTGAGGAATGGATGAACTTTCCCCAATTCTAAGCCATGGGGTTTATCTATCATTATAAAGTGCCTTCTCCAGACTAGAGATAGACGCATGGACTTACCCAAACCCCCACTCCGTCGCTTTTCGATTCTATGCATTTCTTTCTTTTCTCGTTTGAGTTCTGTATGCATTCCCTGGATACCTTGTTTTTGCTTTGGGTTTGCCCGTCTCTCGTGGTAGATTTGTCCTATAAACAATATCGCAACGTTATATATTACCTCTGTAAATGCCTGTGCGTATCCGTGCCCGAGTGTCCTGCCGGTCTCGATAACTATGACTCTGGGAGTTGCAGCTACAGAAGACGGGATTCTGTACGGCTGACATCTCGATTACGTAATTGTAAACACGGAACGAAAAAGTCAAGCAAATGTGTTTTTGGCCGACTCTACACGCTCGAGTTGAGTCCTCTCCGTCATCGGACTCGCCGTCCAACATCTTTCGTCCTCACTGTCGATGCTGAAAAGCGCTTGTTGTCCTTATAATTGGTCTGGTGCATTGACGAATCAGACGGCAGAAATAAATGCGTTATGCTGCCATCGTCAGCAGCTCAATCCTGTCCACCCGCTCAACGGTCTCTTCTGCAACTGATGTGGTCGTCAAAAGCACTGCTCGCTCGATGATACTACCAGCTGTGAAAATGTATGATGGCTCTGTCAAGTGCTGCTGTCGGAAGGGGAAGTGTAAGGAGCGACCCGAGGTTTCTTCGTATGAAGATTATTGGCACGTCATGCGTGGCATGTCCTATACGGATGGGCATACCTTAGGCAAGTTTTAATGGTGTTTAACCTGGTTTATGTTTATTAATTTTTCAGCAGGGCCCAAAACAATGCCTTTTAGGTGTCATGGACATCTGCGACGCGTTCGGCGGATGTTCGCAAACATAATCACCCATCCCGACGTGTTCCGGACGTCACCGAGTTATACAATGTTCAGTAGAAGCGTTGCTAGTGCAGCATCAATTCCAAAGCGGCAGACGGGGGCGTCACAGAATTCGCACTTAGCTAAATTTCGAGACAGTAATTTTCCTCAAACTCATTCAGACCTCCAGGGGTTATGGACGGACTTCTCTGCACTTATCGAAGAAGGAAATTTGGAACAGCTCGATGCTCGCGAGCTAATTACGCTTGGTGGAATGATTATGAGGGGAACGCTTGCGAGGAGAAGCGTCAAGACAGATTACGTCGAATGGGGTGATCGCCTCGAGAGCGTAGTTCTTGAATTAAAGAGAAGGTCACCTCATATTTCGGAAGCTAGTCCCCAGCTTGACTGCCTCGCAATTACTGCGCAAGCTCTTCGTGGTCAATGCAAAGATGCTTCGGCTACCTTATCGGACGTTTTCCAGAAACAATGCCCTCTGGAACACATACGCTGGATCCTGGATGCTTGCAAGCATGTCCTGCAGTGTCTTTTACGTCAGGGTTCTCCATCTCGGGCTCTCGAGTTTTATCTCGACAATTACATCGTCCTGAAGCGCCTCTTGTCGAAGACTACCGGAGCGGAGTCAAAGATTCGAAGTTATCTCTTTTTCTTCCACGAGCTGTGCGCGATATTCAGAGCCATTGATTCTCCCTCTTCATTTCTCGCAAAGAGAAGGAGTACATGGGACAGAACACGTATACAAAGTTTGGGCGTGCTTATGATACGTATTTATTGTTATGACGGACTTGCGGAGGACGCGCTTGAAGTGTACGAAGAACTTAAACACCATGGTGTACCGGTCTACTATTTTGTGGAGCATTCATTGGTCCGCTCTCTTACGAAAGCACGGCGATTTGAGGGCGCGAATAATCTCTATGTCGACATTGCCCCAAAAGCAGCTGATGAAGCTGAATCTAGGTCGTACGATTCCACTGGTCTTCACCTCTTTGCCCACCAAGGCGACGTTGAGCGTGCGGAGGAGTGTTTCGACCGGTTGCTCGTTCGAGGAGACGTTACACCCCAGGACATAACTCTCATCATGCATGCTAGTGCTGAGCAGGGCAATACGAAGAGAGTCGTGGGACTTTTCGAGAGCTTCTTTGGAAAGCCGGATGACGGATCAGACAAGAGTGAATTCCGCAAGCCGAACGAATATCACTACAGCACAGTGATTCATGCCCATTCGGTACAGGATGACGTGGCCGGGATGAATCAGTGGCTCGGACGAATGCTTGCCAACGGGCTTACCCCTGATCATGCTACATATAATATCGTGCTTAAGGGGATTGCGCAGCGTGATGACTTGGAATCCGTCAATGCACTCCTAGATCAGATGCGCTCTGACGGAGTACAACCGAATATCAATTCGTACACCACCGTCATCACGACTCTTGCCCGACGCCGAGATGTATTGGGAGCTGAGGCTATGTTCAAACGCATGATCCGAGAGGGCATCAGACTTGATCGTATTGCTATCACGACTCTGATGAATGCGCATGTCGAAGCTGGTACATGGAAAGGCGTGATTCGGGTTTTCGACTTCATTAGCGAGTCTCAATTGAAGGACTTGCGACTTGGTGTTGAAGTCTTTAATACGTTGCTGAAAGCATACGTCTTGATTGGTGCTCCATTAGATGTCGTCTTACGGGTCTATCGCCGGATGGAAGCAACAAAACTGAAGCCAGATAATCATACATTCGCGCTGCTGATCATGTCTGCTTGTGATTCTGGACGTATGGACATTGCATCACGACTCTTCGTTGAGATGGAGGGTCTTGAAAAGGACTGGACAACCGCGGTGGAGGTCACGAAAGAGGTACTGACTATTATCATGTCAGCATATCTGCGCCAAGGAAACAGGGGTCAAGCGCGAGTAATCTACGAGGACATGCAGAGGCGTGGTATCAAGACGACAGCATATGCATATGCTACTATTCTTCGCTCATATTCGGACGCGTCTTTTGAGGATAACATGAAGACTGCCCAAGAATTCCTCGACTCGCTTATATCTCAATCAGATGAAGACTTGGACTGGAAGCAACCCTCATCTGGAAGAGAGAGTTCATACGCTTTCGTCTTTGCGCCTCTCATTAATGCATACACGAAGGCTATCAACGTTGAAATGGCCGAACGCCTTTATGAAGAGTTCATGGAGCACAATGAGCAGCCGACCATAGGTATCCTCGCACTTCTGATGGATGCATACCGAAGAGCAGGTGACATCGAAGGAGTACAACGTATCTGGCCACAGATTTACGACTTCGCCGTGAGTCGTACAGATGAAGTAGACACATTGCTTCTCCCAGAAGACAAACAATCTAAGTTCTTCCGAGAACGACGTCGCGGTGACTTACTCTGTATCCCACTCTCGATATATATCGATGCGTTATCTCATGCAGGACAGCACGATGAGATCGCGAAGACATGGAACAAGCTACGTGACTCTGGATTCCAATTCGATTCACATAATTGGAACCACCTAGTTGTTGCCCTTGTACGCGCTGGAGAGACGGCACGTGCGTTCGAAGTAGTCGAGAAAGTCATCCTGCCCTACCAAAGACAATCCCAAGCAATTCTCCGTTCTCGAGCAAAGCATGTCGACTCTCCCTTACTTTTCGACGACGAAAAGGTGCATGCGGAGATGTCCGATGAGCCATTCATCCAGAAGGTGGAGAAATCTGCGCAGAAGAGACCTTCCCTTTTGACGCGCATGCGCCGGAGATTCGCTGGAAGAGCGGAGAAGGAGAGCAATGACCTTGCGCATGAGTTACAGTTGATGCAGCAGATCTCGCCTGAGTGGAACGTTTGGCGGCCTCATGCGGTTACGATGCGGGTGCTTGTTGGTGTTTTGGAGCAGCTTGACTCTGGAAGGTTGATTCATCCCACAAAGCCGAGGCAAGTTCGCCATGGGTCAGATGCTGGTCAAGGGGGAGAAGAAATCCGGGAGGAAGAGGTACAGGAGGAGGAGGAGGAGGAAGAGGAAGAGGAAGAGGAAGAGGATTACGAGCCACCATCACCTGAAGAAGCCACAGCGGCTAGGGACCTGCTCCAACACATTCTACGAGACTACCCACACACAGTCACCACTATCGATGAATGGGAGAGTTACGAGAGGTTCAAAGTAACTAGGGAAAGTAGACGGTTCACCCGCGCTGCAAAGAAAAGTTTACACAAGAGTATACAGGAATAAGTCGGACCGTAACATAGCTAATTATCGCATATTGCTTAATGCACCACTCATCTCGTACATACATATTTCGTCTTCTATCAATTCAATTCGTATCGTTTCGTGTAAATTTGGTTTCATCAACCAAGTCTGAATTTTCCTCTTTTCTTCTGTGTGGTGATTTTGATTTGACGAGTAAGACAAAGTACGAAATGTACATAAGGCGTCGACGCTGAACGCAACAAACTAGACAACCAAATAAACAAGCCGAAACAAGACTATAGGACGCAGCAAACAAAAATGAACCATAAGACAAACAAGAATACGATCTAGCACGAGCAGGAGACCAAGAGAAATTATATGATACAAGCAAGGCGTCAAGAAAACGATAAACAAAGAATCGAAGACCAAGAATTAATAATTCAAAATCTAAGCTTATGACCCATCGGAATTTTCCTCTGAATCTGATTCGTCGCGGCGACGTCGGCGACCAGCCTGACGCGAACCGTGGCGGTTGCGCTGGAAGCAAAAAAGCCAAAATTAGTGACATCCCTTAAAATAAACTCCATTTAGACGTACCAAAGGAAGCTTTTGGCCCTGGTTCCCGAAAGCAATCGATAACGCGGTTGTATCTGAGGTTTTAAAAAAAAGGTTGAAATGAGTTACGATGAATAATTAACGGAAGCAATGATAGAGCGACTTACCTGGAACACCTGGGAAACGCTTGGCAGAATAGACGGTGAATGATTCCGTGAACGTTTGTGCGAGGATTGGTGCGATACCAGTCATCACACGGTTCGCACCAGGTTCAGGCGCCGGATGCCTAAAAGGAAAAGGGTAATGTTCAACTAAGGTATCAATACATATGGTTGAATAGACACATACGCGCCGACATTCATCAGCCGCAGTCGAAGCCTGAAAGTCCCTTCTGTTCGGATTGAGAGGTCTTGGAAAAGGAAGAAAATCCCGGGCTTGCGATGTTCGTCGTTCAATCGTGCCGCGTTTGCGGAAAGAGGACCCACGAGAGTGCGAGTGTATGTGTGCCGAGGCAGCGGTACTGAGGGCGCTGATGGGCTTGGCGATGTTGCATTACCGCTAGCCTTTCCGGAGGACGACTTGTGCTTCGACGAGCTCGGGCCCGCAGACGCGTTGGACCCTGAAGAGGCCGACGGAGCCGACGATTGAGACTGAGATTGTGATTGAGACTGGGAATGATGAGCCGGTGCTGGAGTTGAAGGAGGCAAGGGAGCCGGGGGAGGTGGTTGCGCATATGGGTAATGTGCTGGTGGTGGACCATATGGTTGCATAGCGTATAACGGTCCGCCATCAACAGGCGGCGGTGGCGGGCCATATGGAGTTCCATATGCCGGAGCTGGCGGAGGCGCAGGAGAAGAGGCGGGATACGATGGTCCCTCCGCATCATTCGGACCAGAAGCCGCTGGAGGATCGCCGCGGGAAGGATCATTTTGCCAAGGCGTCTGGGCTGGAGTTCCCATCCTGCTGTGGAACGACTGGATCGGCGGCAGAGGATAGCCCGGATAGCCCGGATGTTGGTAGGGCGGGTAGGGTGGATAGCCCCACGCGGCGTGCTCGGGATAGTGTGGGTACGGAGGGTGGGTGGGATATGGCGGCGCCGCATTTGGATCAGAGGCGCCTGGATGTTGAGCGGGATATCCCGGGTACGCAGATTGGTGTTGTGCATGAGCGTACGCTGCTGCAGGAGGCGGGAGGGCTTGTAAAGAAGGCTACATTTATGCAGACAAGCGATGACGGATTGGGAAATTGGAACATGGAAAAGATTATTCATCTCTTTAGCACGAGAACACTTGAAGCCAAGAACAGCGAAAAGCATTCTCACTTGAGAAGATTGTGGGTCGGGTGCCGAGCTGCCACCACCTGGGCCGTTCCCACGTCGTCGCGGTTTGCTAACATGAGTTGGGATATAGCGATCCGCTGATGACGGGTGCAGGACCAGGTTCATTTCTTGTTTCCCGTCGGCTGACCAAAGGTCCACTGTGACCACAAAAAATGCGACATCTAAATCGCTGGTAGAGGCATGAGACGTGAGAACGAGCCAAAAATACAACACGTAGGGAACAACACGTACTCTACGTCGACTATACTATTGTCCTCTCGGCGGACTGTCATTTTCGCTACGGCGGCAGGAGCTAACGGTCGACGATCCTGCAAAGGTAAATTGAGACATAAATTAAACCAGGAAGGCAGGTGATGACAGCTCAAACGGACTTTATCACCAAACCCGCACATTCGGGCCCTGATCGGATGTTGGATGACCTCGAGCGAGTAATGCCTGTCAACAAGCGGTTGGGCGACCCATCCGACTGGTATAACTAATGGCAGAACGCATACTTGTCATTGTACCATGCACCCCAGTGTTCGAAACCTTCGCCTTGGACAGGACACGAGTCCTTGCGGAAGGTCGTCGCTGACGAGCTTGCACGCCGTGCATTGGTTACTTGAATCATCTCCGCGTGTTGGTCTTGCTGTTGTTGCTCTTGGTCCTGATCTTGGTCGGAGTGGACTGGGGTGAATCTGAAGGAGAAGCAGCTGGAGGCCAGGGGAGCAGCGAGCGCGAGCTGGAGGCCACACAGGAGCCGTTGCTGGTCTTATGGGGAGAAGAATGGCGGGTGAGAACACGGAACAGTATATGCCTGCAGGGAGGGGTGGGACCGTTGTTGCGCTTCTCACGTTGCTGGACTGCAAAGGACGGACGAGAAACAGCGGCTAAGCAATCCTCTTCTCTGGGTCGAACCGTAGCAGTGGTAAGCCAATATCACCAAGAACGGATCACAGCCAGCTTCCAGCAACGACTACAGGCAGGCGCTCTTCAGCGACACGCCCAACGATGAGCAAGAAATAATAAAGCAAGAGGTCGACAGTGGGCGTTGGGCAGAAACATGGTGTGAGGCGAGTACCGTCCAAGTGCTGAAGCTCTGTGCCGGCTCGGCAATCAATCCTCTGCCCTAATCGTCCAGATTAGGCAACTACTCTCAGTATTTTCTTTAACATTTAATATCGTCTTCCAGTTCTTTTATGTCGCTCAGTCTGTCGCTTGAACGCCAATAGCTACGACGCTAACCTCGAATACTGGTTTCCGTTCCTATCAGATACCGTGCTATCTTCCCGCTCCCGAAAACCAGAGTCGTGGATGTCCTCCCGCTCGCTCGGGCTCTGCACTATGATCATGAGAGCAACTCGCGACGGCTATGTGACTCCCCCTCTTCCTGGCCTATGACAGCACTCCCCACTTTTATACCTTCCCATCTGAATGAGAAAGTGCGCAACATTGCCCTAACTTCTCGGACCACATCGCCTGACTTCCGCTGTGCCACCTCTTCCGCGACGAGAGAGACTTGGCAGGACAGATGCCCTTGTCCTCCATTTGTAATATGCTGTCTTACACCTGATACTCAAAACGTCGGCCCGTGAGCATAGATAAGGACTTGAACCCCTTACGTCGTTGGAAGCGGACCCAGGCTTAAGACTGGTTCATAGATCCCGCTAGAACTTCCGACAAAACGGAACAGAGTGGATATCCATCAACGCATGGCAGCAAGGTACCGACTCTGCGTTATTAAAGGTTAAAGACTGTATTGTTTCCCCGCCCTTCGCTCTTCTACTAGTCTGGATAAATCCGCCGCTCGTCTCCAACGCACGTCACCTCCCGCATTATAAGCCAACCTAGTCCAATATCGCAGGACATCGAGCTTATTCCCGTCTTCCAACATTCAGTGGCTATCATGACAACTTAATGGTCTTGTGGTTATATTACTCTTCGATTGAACCCGGAGACAATACTGATATCCTCGAATCACCGAATCCATGTCTCTGGTCCGATTTTCGGAGCCGTTTTATTTCGATTGCGTTCGTCGGTAATCAGTGCGACCGAGGATCCACCCATACCCATTCACATGTATCCGTGAGGGTCGTCTCTGTGGCATCCGATCGTCGGCCGAGGCTTTACTGGTGCTAAGCCGCTTTACGGCCAGACTTTCAGCTTCTAAACTCCCAGTATATGTCTGTAACCGGTCCTTTGTTTCTTCTTCACATCTCCTATCTTCAATAGGCTCCCATTGTCTATCTAATGTTATATTATAAGCCAGAACTCTGGTAACAAGAAGATGCACGTCGGACAACAAGAAAGCACTCACGTGTGCCGACATACGCAAGGTTTTCGGTTCCGCGGTAACATACATACAAGGTGATGGAATTCCGGGAACGATAATTGATGATCTTTTTGACCGGCGACCTTTCCGGCAACAGATGAATACACTCTCCTTCCGTCATTTATGTATTGACAGCATAATAATTCGCGGGATTCCCGAATCCCGGCGTCCGATCATCGCAAACCCCTTGTCCATTCATACTACATCCAGATGGCATTGTCGTTGACTTCGTTACGCCCGGAATTACTTTTGGAGCCCCTTTTATGTATATTACTCCTCTACCTAAGTCCGCGAACGAAGGGCAGGCACTTAAGTCTACGAAAGGGGAAGTCGATTTCAATCCAAGGTGCGCTCCTTAAACGATTGGACTGTTTAGTCGTGCCTTTACAGCATTGTAGAGTACTGCCAATACAATCGATGACATTCAACATTGGAAGGGCACTTTAGTGATACAAGACGAAAAAGCCAGCACTATGTACTTCTATACATTCGGACCCAAGATGCATCTTTCGATGCGAACGATTTAAGCTGCTTGTTCTAGCTTTACGATATGCCGCCTATCATCAACGCAGCTGATGCCCGTACGAAGTCAAAAGAAAGTGGGCGCCGACAGTAATAGTGGCGTACTTCTATTATCTATATCTTCGGATCTGGGTGTATCCTTCGATACGCCTTTTAAACAATTAAGCTATCTGTTCTGGCTTTATGAGACACGGAATATCATCAATACAAGTGATGATGGGGCGCTTAAGTGTACAATGACAGAAAAAGCCGGCGCCGACGATAGTGACGTACTATATACTTGGACCTCGATGCACCCTTCGATGCGTTTCTTAAACGATCGAACTGTTTGCCTTGGCGTTGTTGCACGCGGAATATCATCAATGCAAGTGATGGAGGGCGGGCGCTTAAGTGTACAAAAACAAAAGAAGGTCGGCGCCGACGATAGTGACGTACTTCTATATACCCGGACCCTAATGTATCCTTCGATGCGCTTTTAAACAATTAGGCCGTTCGCTCTAATTCTACAGCGTACGGAATGCCGTCAAAGTAAGTCCATTATTCTATTGTGCTGAATTTGACAAGGCAATATATTCACATTCAGGGTTTATAATCAAATGTAAGAACCTTATAGTTGTTGGTCGGAATATGCTTAGAAGGTGTGTCTTAGGAATAAATTCAAATGCATTTTCGTGCACGATTTGATGATGAAGTAGTAGCATCTGACAAAGATTTCTTGTATGCCGTTCCGGCTCAGGAGTGATACGTCCCTTGGACTGTTAGATTTATGCTGCGGTCAATCCCTTTAACACCATGCAAAGGAGTTAACCGATACACAACGACGCACAGTATCATTATAGATTGACTCAGGAGCGCTTCCATCGTGCCTCGGCTGCGTCATCTCTCACATCTCTTCATCTCTTCATCTTTTGAACGAAAGCATTTGTAATGCGAGCAATGTTTCGTCTCGAGCAAGGATCGTAGATGAACACAAAGAAGGTTGTTCCGATCTGTATCTAATACTGATATCCACTGGTATCAACCCGTGATGCAATTGATTATAGACTACAGACCACACGATGATCCTTTGATCGTCGATTTTGGCGCAGCCCTGATTTCAAGGTAACTACGCTTGATAAATGGTTCCGTTAGGGAGACACACACCACTGCCAGTATTGGTCCTCTTGGAAGCCCGAGGAGCAGTGAGTGTTGACGCACAGAGAGACAATGTGAATAGCTTTCCGGACTTACTGTAACCCTTACTGACCCAAGTCGTCCTCAATGCTATTTATTAATTTCCACGGGGACCGGATAGTTGCGAAACGTACCTCAAACGAACTTGATAGCAAATTAAGTAGCTGCGGTCTACCGCCACATGCCAGTGTGCACGTCGTCATTGATCGAGCATTGGTATTGATAAAGCCTGTGTGGCACTTCAAACCAATTTCAAATGAGTTAGTCATGAACAACTTCGAGGCAGGTTTTAGGTACGAACATTGTACAGGAAATCGGAACCTCCTTGTTGACACACAGGCACCAAAAGCAGGGACATCCAGAATACAAGAACATAGACTTCTCATCTTATTACTTTTCACGTGTTACCCCAGTGTTAATACAGCGAATCGTGCAGGCGGTATAACGGCCCATTCTCATAAGCGAGTCTACCGATTCACAGCTCCAAGACTTCTTCAAACTTTCTCAAGGCTTCTCGGTGCTTCTCAGAGGATCCATCCAATAGGCTTCTTAACTCAAATAATCAAAAACGAGGAATCAAGAATGATGAGGACGTGCTCGCCGAGATCACCTTCCGGTCGGTCAATTCCAGTGTATAAATGTTATACTCTAATGCACATCATTTCGGGTTATTGATCCTATCCCGTGCAACACGCCTCCACAATTCCTCGTGCCGCCGACGCGGGAGAGCGATGGATCCACTCTGACAAATACAAGAGAACGCCAGAGAAGGAATAAGAACTTCTCATGACTCGAGAACACTTTTCGACTGAATAATTACACGTCTGTGCAGCGCTGTAGAAGATTTATTATTGATATCTTGATATACCTTCCCCGTACAGACTTGACGTCAGGGTATCTCACGGAGTTAGGAAGTTGCTTTGATCGCTGCGCCGCGCGGCAGCGGCGACGACTCTCTTGATCTCGCCCCGAAACACTTCTTCTCCGAGTTGCTCTCTGAGCTCGGTCTATGGCTAGAAGCAAATGTTAGTGTCACGACGGAAAAATGCGGAGTGACTCCATATTCTACCACTGAGGTGAGATGATCGGCGAGATGTATGAGGTTATCAAAACATGATAAAAGTATAAACATTGTGTTATCTATACTATCGTTGTTACAGGCGCCAAGATTCGTCCACAGAAACACAGAGTGGTGCGTACATGTAATGCAAGAAGATAACGAAGTCGGAAAGACGGGAGAAAAATGACAGGTCCGGATCTAGACCGGTGCGTGCGTGGAAACGAAACGTTACTGAAGGCGGCCCAGAAAAATGAGCAATGTTCCCTTCCTCTCTCGCAGGTGTGCCAATCCACTGTACCGGATGTAGTCTGTGAGAGCATACAAAGAAGCATTGAGCCAAGACTGGAGTTGAAGGAACATGGTAACTTGATCTCAGGGCAGTCCCCGATGGAGATTTGTGCTTCTATGCAGGAACGCAACTTATCACGAGTCCGAACTGCATCCTCTGCAGCCTATGTAAGACCAAGGCTTTGTTGAGTTGAAAGCGCTCAATGAAACGAGACCGGGGCAACGTACCGCAATGAGTGCACTGGACAATTGTCCCTTGCTTTACCTGGGCCTTGGGAACACGACAAATGCAAGTTGATCCCTCGTAGTTCATACCCTGATTAACCATCAAAATAAGTAACACGTATCAATAATCATAAACCCGAGAGACGAACGCGAGTCTGGATACAGCGGACGCAACACAACTTTTCATACCCCGTTTTCTTCCACTTTGCAATTAAACTGGTGGAGAGAGTGTCAAGAAAAATCAGAAAGCAACGACAATGCGGAGAGCTAGCTACTCACTTAGCGTCGGCATAGCCCTGCTTGAGCAACCAGTCGTACAGTTCCCTGCTGATCGCCTGTCTCTTGTAGAATAGCTCGTAGATGTGGCGCGTGCGGGCGTGGTTCAGCTGAAAGATGGGCCAAAGTGACTCCGTCTTGCGTTTCCCTTCATGAGACTCGTTCTCTGCATCCCGCATCTTCTTTGCGTAATCATCGAGCACCTGAAACGCAATCGAAAGCAACTGAGAGTGAGTAACAGTGCACTTGCCAATAATGCTGCGCCTTTGCGTTTTAGTGGTCCGAAAACCGTCACCATACCAAGGAGCACAGAACGGAGTAAAGCGGAAATAACGTACCCCTTCGATATCTTCAAAGCCTTCAGGCGGCCTCTTAGTCCTTGAAGTCCGAATTTTGGGCATTTTCGTGCAAATGCTCCTAGACCGTGTACTACTCGAACCTTTCGACGGCGTTCGGTGTGTTCGGGTAGGGTTTTGGCGAGAGCAGTGAAATAAGTGTGCAAGTTGAACGCGCACGCTCAGGCCTTGCACGACGAGGAGTGAGTCACGAGGCGTGACGGAAGACACGCGCTCCAGCATCGCCACGTCTGGTTCTCCTCTCGAGTCAGTTCAAACGACCCTCACCATCATCATCCACTTAGATTTCCATCTCTGCTGCAAATCGAACTTTTTGCACTGCACTTTGCTAGGTCAGAAGCCATTTGCCAACTGACATGACGTCGCTGTGTAGCCTCTTGCTGGATCAACGTGATTTCCACAAGTCATCGAGTTGAAAAATCTTGTAGTCTTGAGCAACTGTCGCGATGTATAATCACAAATCAAGCTATCAGAAATCAAAGTCTGCTCTGCTCCATCAAGTACTCCGAGACAATCTGTAACAGCGTTTCGTAGTCTCTGTTTTCAAGATTTGTGGCAGGGCGGTTAGTGTTAGCCACCGACTGTCCGAACTTTTGCGTCGGCTCTCGGCACGCCCCGTCCCACTTCTCTTGCCCTTCTCTTGCTCAACTAGGAATTTGTAGTATCCTCATGGCTTCCGCGTTCTTTAACGCAATTGTTCTATGCTAATGAGGGCCTGTGCAACTTCCTTAGTCAAGCCGATCGAACTGTGCCTCTCTGTGCTGCAGGAAGGCCCAAGCACTCTTTCCGAAATTCCCTGTTTGGCTGCTTTCGTAAGCATCAGCCAATCATTCGCCAAATAGGTAGTGTGTGCTTTGGCCATATAGTACTGCACTTGTCTCCTGGTGCTGTCCAGCTCCCCTACACGCGCATCACCGACGAATTTTCTAAACTGCGAGTTCTGCTGCAGTTGAGTGACCGTACGTCGGTTGCTGACTGACTTGCATCGCTTTCATGCGCAGCTCCTCTGCTGTCTTACAGAAGTCGGCGAAGATAAAAAGAGCTATGGCTTCCGCATCTACCCCATCACTGCTACATTACAAGCACTTAAGCGGTTGTGCATCACTCGACCGTTATAAAACTCGCAGTTGCTTTCTCTGTCGACTCGCTTCGCTTATCCGCGTCTACTCGCATTCCCCGCTCTTCACCGAAGCTCTTCGCCTTCATCTATCAATATGCCCAGAAATCCCAACCCAACGCAATATGACAGTCAGGTTCGTGTCAAATAGGCGCCTTTTTGGAAGTTTATCACGCTAATGATTGTGTTCATCGCGGTATAGATGACCAAATTTAAGACGCATGAGGCGCGTGCTCGCCGTACTAGCCACGCGAGCTCTCCCTCCCACGTGGCAGATCCGGGTCACGGTCAAATTCCCCGCTCGCGTACACCACATCCGACGCGTATCTCCACCGCGTCCGCGGGAGCATACTCGGCCATCGCGGACCAACCTCAGCTGCCACATACGACCAGCGGCGGCGTCTCGCCCCACGGCTGGGGAGAGTCGTATGGCGCCAGCAACCCGAGTGGTGGAAGCCATTACCCTGCTTATTCGCCATACAATACCATGTCCTCCCACGACATGTCGAGCACTCTCATGGCTTCAGGGAACGCGCCACAGATGGCGTACACGTCGTCGGGTCAGTGGATTCTGGTGTTCAGGCTAGATGGAGAGAGGCAGAGACAGTGCACTTTGCCAATTGAGCAGCACCAGGTTCCCCACGCTCAATGTCCTTGTGGGACTACCGTACGCATTGTCCATCTGCCTTCGATTGTTGGCTGGACACCACCGTTCAACGTATTGTGGAACTTCAAGAAAAATACTTCCAACGCGTGGATTGAAGGAACTACACCAATCTCGAACTGCATTTCTGCTGCGAAGTGCCCTTCGTGTGGAGCACAGATCACACTACATGCCTCTGCAGCTCCTGCGTAACTCGTCTAGACTCAACGTCATGAGTCGTCTCGAAAAATTATTATTGCTAAGCATGCTTCGATTTCGATCTTCTTCTCTTTCCTTGCCCTTGCATTTAGATGGTCCTAGTGATCCTTCTGGTTTTTTGCTCTTCACTGTCAGCTTTTTGCAGTGTTATTCACACTGTTAGTGCTGTATCTATTGATTCCATTATTCCCGATAGTGTACCGATAGTCCTCGTTGTTGATTTGTCTCCGTGTTCTCAGCATTTGTTTATACCCTCCAATTCGAAATACTGTCTTATATCTTAAATATACACCAATATAGAGAACCGGTTTCATGGATTTGCATATTTGGCTTAGTCAGCGTGGGACTTGTTACATCTGTCCTAATTTGGAATTGAAGCACTTGCTCAATTACACTCATAAACACTGGTAACCAGGTTCCACCATGCCTCTTCCTTGGGAGGCCTTGATCCCGTTCGGTGAGAGAAACTGATACTAATGATATATTTGCTTCGTACATTGATGGAAAATCTTCGCAGGGCTTTTGACTACAATGTTCGCTGCTGCGGGCACTTTGTTGAACGTGTCACAGCGTGCACAGAACCTTGGGAAGGTGCGTCTCGTTCCACCCCAACCATCTACACGTGTTGGATCCTCTCTGATCGTGAAGTTTGCTTTCTCTTCTTTTCTTCGTTCTAGCCTCCAAGGTACCATATTGATGATTGGGACGAGATGATGATGGAGAGGGACAAGAGGTTATCAGGCCATAGACGAGGCCAACGGGTGCGTGTACCTGATCTGGACTTATTGTTCTCACTTTGCGCTGACTGACTGAAACACCAACACTTAAACGCTCGTGACCATTGAACAACATTGGCTTGCCTTCTCGTTCTTTATGCTACTTATTTGTCTCTGTGTTTCGGTGTTGATCAGACGGACCCTATCGCTCCTGAAAACTTCTCGACAAATAGTGTTTGGTACACAGACAAGACGAAGTAGATGCGATAGATCTTTGTTTCTGCCATCCGTCTTTGCTATGCTATGCATGCTATGGCACACGAACAGACCAAACAGACCAAACAAACAAAACAATAAATTGCACGATCTTTTTTCATTGTCTTCTTGGTCAAACAAACAAACAAATGGAGGCTAGGCCGCCAGTCTTTCCCAGGAATGTTTAAAGTCGTGTCGTCATCAAAATTGATACGCGCAAGGGAAGAAGAAAATACAAGGTACAAGGGAGAGTACTTTGAACGGATCACGGAAGTGGCAGTTAATCCAGTTAGCAACTCGTTTCTTCCCTGATCCAATTCCATATCTCTCGTATGCGCAACAAGGAAACATTTGTATTCTTCTCCTCTGCCCAGCATGCGTCATCATCACTCTCATCATTATTAAACTGAGTGATGAAACCATAGCGCATGTTTATCAACCTTTTGTTGATTTCGTCGCATGTTTCAGGAGGAATGCCCCTCGGGCATGATATTTTGCAAGAGAGGATCAACCCGTGTTTCGATGTGATCTCTGCGTGCTATGTCCGTATTGCATTGATTTGAATGATAAGTGGATGTGTGCTCTTAATTTATCGGAGGTACTTACGGCTTCTCCGAAGTCAAAGAGCCTTGATACAGTGTATGTGAATTCGGGCGTTTGGCCGTATAACCAATCCCAACTCTAATTAAAATTAAACAAAAAGGATTTAAACCTTGACAAATAAATCAAAACACACCTTTAGCTCTTCCATTCCTTTACATATTGCCGGGATGTTCACAATATTCTCGTCGTCACCGACGAACTGCGGCTGGGGTATCGCTCTTAGATAACCTTTCGTTTCGCTACACACAGCGATAATAGCTGACACGTACCTCTTCATCTATTCCGTAAGCCTCCTGAAACGATCGCACGGCAGCGTTGACGAATCCCTCATGCGTGATGGAAGGATCGAAACGCTGGAGGTTCTGCACAGGTGAACGGACGGAAGCAACGCCTTTGGTAATCATCGTTTCCTGATGATGATGGGAGAGGGAGGGGATATCAAATCAAATTGGAGTTCATTAGCACACACACAACGCATATTGTTAATTGTTAATTGATTGGACTGTATCAATAGATCAAAAGCGGGTGTTCCCTGCGCGCTCAACTCACCTTTGTAGTATGTAACAAGTCTCCAAGTGTATTGAGTTGAGTGGAAATGAGCATTGTGCCGTGGTGATATGCTCGATTACTTGCGATCTTGTACGCTGATCCTGAAATGTGTATAAAACGAACATTGTTAGTACAAGAAGAAAAAACATGTGTTGATGTAAAATAGTTAGTTAGTGCACTGATCTTAAAACCTTCAGCACAGACATCGTTTCTATCATTCACATCCGCGTTGACACCTAGGGAACGCACAGCGCGCACGACTAGCTGCGCCGTCTCATTTCGGTTGAACGAGGTGCGCGGGAGATGCACCGAGTAGTTCGTGTTCCCAAGGTCCTGGAAAAAAGTAACACAGACACAAACACCATATCCAAATTCCACTACGTTAGCACATAGAAGTCAAAGAGAACGTCAAATTCGTACGTGATAGACAGTACCACCACCACTGCGCCTTCGAATAAACGGGACACGCCGCAGTGCAGCAAGTTGCAAATTCACCTCCTTCCATGGGTTTTGGTTACGCCCTATGACGACGCACGGTTCATCACGGTATAGAAGCAACAGGGGCCTCTCATGGCTCTTGTTTCTAAATAACCTGGTTATTTCGTTTGAAACGTTCAAACTCAGCCTCCCTGTGGCCCAGTAAAATAAGTAGTTGATAGAAACGCACCAGTCCTCTAGCGTAAGATTGAAATAAGGATTGGTTGACTTGGAGATGTAGATTGAATGTTTCGCAGTAAGTTCATGGATAGCTGACGAATTATAGCGCCGCTGTGTCAAAGTGAAATGGTTCCGTAGGAGAGGATGACGGTAAAGTTTGAGGTTCATTTGAACGCGTCCATTACGCGCTGTCCATTACAATAGCTGGGCAAAGTCAAACTGTGCTAAAAATTGAAATAAAAAGTCGCTGCAATTCCTTCCATCAAAGAACAAAATCTAAGGTGGGCATCTAGAATCTTCAGACAACTTGCAGATAGCAAAATTTTAATATTCCATTATAGCAGAAAGCAGGTTCTTATATTGCACTATGCCTATCTATTTCTGGATTGCCTTAAATACTGGGTTCTCTACCAAATGTATAGGAGTCTTTCCCTCTGGAGTACCTGGAATCTCCTTCATAAGACCCTGTAGAAGCGAATTGTGGAGAAGTGATGAAGATTGAATTGAGAGTGGAAATGTGTAAATAAATAGTTAGCGTTAATCACGGTTTGAACGATGAACACGTACCAATTTCTCGAACATGCATTTGTTGAGTGTACGTTCTGGTTTACGGCACAAATAGTATTCCTGTAAAATGATGATCGCACGTGAGATACAAGCTGCGAAAGAGGATGCGGACTGCGTACTTGGTTATTCTTCTCCAAGCATTCCCAGTGGGCATCGAATTCCTTCAGACAGTTCTCCCGCATCTTCGTGATGCTAGATATTCACAAGGCAGATATAGCGTAATTGAGTACGTAGCAATAGTCGAATAATAAGGCGAGAGAACTGACAGGTCGGTAGCACAACGCGTTACACGTCGACCTTCCTTCAAGCAATGAGCGGGATCCCTGTTCTCCGCTTTGCAGAGCATGAAGTCCTCTAGATTATATAGGAATTAAATTCATTTAATTTCTACCACGCTCAGCGAATTATCTGTAACGCTCACCATTGTACTCCTTGCAGTACGCTCCAATGAAAAAGGCGGCGCTCTTGAGCGGCGCACTCGTCGTCCCGAGCTCATTTACCCGCGGAACATCCGCAGGCATAGGCGCCGGGTCATAATACGGCTTCGACGACGAGGCCGGGTCTTGAAGCGGGCTCGCCATCGTCTGTGTAATGTTGGGGTCGAGTTGTGTTTATAGCAAGCGGTAATCCGACGTTGTTGAGAGGCCGGACGAAAGAGGAAATAACTTCTCGTATTTCACGCGTACCAGAATTACATAAGCAACAATTATGAACGCGACTGGACGCGTTTCGCGCCTTCGCGTCTCCTACTACATTTATGTCATTATGGTGAGCAACTGCTGCTACGACTACATGCGTAATACTGATGGTTTACTTCAGGCTCCAAAAGCTACTTATAAGGCGTTTCCCGTGCTCATTAAGTCGCATAAACTCACATTAATCCTCGACGCGCCGCCAGATAAGAAGACAGTCGCGCAACTGAAGGAAGAGGTCTTATCTGCCTTGACATCAAATGTCGTGAATCGTGACGGCGAATCTGACGTGCCCGAGGTGGAAAACCTTGACGACTTTGAAATCTGCCGTGAGCTGAAGGAGAGGAAGGACAGAGCCGTCGTACCAACGGGCAAGTTCGAGGCTCTGGATGAAAATGCACAAGTCGCAAAACAGACTACACCATACGAGCCTCTGTTTCTCCGATTCAAGAAGAATGGTGAGATCTCTTGGTCAGTTAAATAGCGCCTTGACGCTGACAGGTCGACAGGTGTCAGGTTAAAACCGGAATATACTTTACCACCACTCAACGATGATGAAGGTGATCCAGAACCCGAGCTTCCAAATAAGGGCAAAAGAAAAGCAATCGATTAGGCTGGTTAGAAGCCAATGGAAGGACTGTCGACTACCTGTGTTTATATACTTGACTTTGCTGTCACACGTAAGGAGCAATCGCGTCTACTCATTTTCCTTTTCGTTCTCCAATGGCTTCAAACCGTGAATTTAGCAGTTTTCGCAAAGTGTTCTAGATCTTGTTGTATTACTTGTAATGGTACAATGCATGGGGATTTAAATAATTTATGACAATGAGACGGTAAATCAGCTGCCTTAAGCTATTAATACCTATAACTGCTTTTTCCATGCTCGAAGCGTAGCTGGTAATAATGCAGCAGCTACGTGTCTGCCTTCCTCCGCTAGCAGGTTATATGTCGTACATGCATTCCACTTGATAACATACCAGGGTGAGTCATCATAATGAAGAGGAATTAGTTGGCCAAATACATACCGTATCCATTACGTCCAGCTGTATCCCGATGCTATTCAGGTACATCCTGATCGAAGGAGGTGGATGCGATACACCCTTACCCGTTCCAAGTATTAATATCTCTGCTCACATAGTGTAAAATCAGTCGTTACATCTTAATAACGAGTTGTGAGGTCAATATACCAGGCTTGGGCACGACAACCTCAAACATCTCAAACTGCTCTTTCGACCAACCATTCCACAACGTACTCGGAACATTCCACAAAAAGACATTTCCATCCAAAAATATACACGAAGAAGGAAGAATAAGTCCATCTGCGAGCTCGATCCCGGCTGCTGTCATCCCGCGCACTTGGACGGGAGGAGCAGGTCCGTCACCGAGGATGTTGTGAATTTTAGTCGGTTCGCTGCTGAAACGGTGTGGAGTCGATGAGAAACATTGTGTAGGTCGTTGTTGTCTTAATAAAGCCGAGGATTGACAAAGAAGTCGCCTTGCGGCTTGACGATACATTGCAGAAAGTCAGAGGCGAACACTGTGCAAGAATTTAGGAAACACTAAGCCCGAAAAGACGTCAGCTTACGTATTACACTTCCGATTGAAACTCTGCAAACGCGTCGCGACGCGTCATGGTAGCCCTCTGAGTAAAATAAATAACACCCTCCGAAAAAATTACTCTTTTCCTTAATCTTCAAGGACCACTTTCTTAACAAACTAAGTATATTTTACACAAACTTGGCAATCAATTTCAGTTCTTTCTACACTTGCTTACGAACCAGGAGCACAACCGGGATAGGTGGTCGCTCCCACGTCGGGTCGTCCTTACCAATTTGAACTTCCGCAACCTTCTCAAAGCCATACGACTGATAGAGCTTTGTATACGCTGGGGTGGTCGAGAAGACGTGAATCGGGCGCCCCTCAGAGTCTGCAAGCTTTGTGGTGTAGTCTAGGAGGACTTCGTCGTATCCTCGGCCTTCGAATGCTGGAGCAGTCCGGAACGCGAAGATTGCGCGTGTGTCTTTAATTTCGTCTCCGAGATTTTCGTGGAGGAAGGTATAGAGTGTTTCACCGGTTTGTTCGAATCTCTGAATCGAGTGAATAGTCGATTGGTTGACAAATTATAGGAGCTATGGAAGGGATATGCAAACCTTTCGCTGCAACTTGGACTTTCCAACGTAGTTGAGTATGCGAGCGACGAGACGGTTGATAAAATCTAGAAGCTTGTCGATCTTCTTGTTTTTGGACGTGTCATTTGCTGCAGGTGGACTACAAATGTCATATGAAATATCCTCTCATCAATCACCGGCAGCTTCTCCAGATGATAGGTGGAACACTGCACTCACGCTCCCATGACAGCTTTTCCATGGTCAATTACATATCCCCACTTCTTGCGCGTCCACATGGACGCAAAGAGCCCGAACTGGATATGTTCGATGCGATTGTAGAGACGAGTTGGTCTTGCATCCTAAGCACACTAATTGAGTAATGCCACTAGCAAGAGAGTAAAGGAACAGATGAAGCGTACGGGAGTATCGCGCATGTATATATACATTGGATCATTAACGGATCCTTCGAACAGGGTTTGCGCAGCCTGATGGACATCCTCTAGAGAAAAGTCAACTTTACTTAGATATATGCGCGACCAGAAGGATGGGTTGAGACCGACCACGACGTAGCGGCTTGACCTCAATCTTCTTCAAGCGGGGTGGTTAAGGGACACGATTTCTTCGCGATTAAAAAAACAACATACCGCATGCTTCTCATCAGCCTCACCCTTGTAGTCGCCAGAGCGGGGAGTTGCAGGATTAGTTGAGCTTGTCATGTTGGAGCTGCTGCATATACCACAAAGCTATCTCAGGCTAGAACTGGAAGGAAAGTAGACCGTCTAGCAACTACACAAAATGGTTGTTGACAGGCATTACTATAGTCCAACCCCCTTTTTATTCACTAAATGGCGGAACCGAGCCTTCACAACAACAAACATCGTCTGAATGGGCTAAGAGACCACGTGCAAAAGATTTCTCTGACTCACATACATTGATATTGAACCTAATAAGTAACAACAGCCACAACGCAAAATAGGACCGACACGACGCGAAGATCACCTCCTTTCCAGGTCTTGACAAGATGTTGATTTGGAGTTCAATTGGGAAAGTTCGCATGACTTGATGTGGTCCAATCTGACTCACATTGAAATATACGGCCCCGGATACAAAGGGACATAAAGCGCAACGACAAGATGTAGGAATAAACGCGCGAATACTTGTACAAGCTTTGTATAATTGCGGACTGTGCATTCAGATGTACAGTGTCATCCGTTAAGCGTACTCTCCGCATCCATCCACAAATCCCTCTGTCCCCAAAAGTCCGAAATAATAGTAACAACCATCCAACAGGACCTCTCATCCATTGGTGCATCTCCGGGATCTCCTATCCATCGAACACCTGAGCTCCCTTCCACCGCTTCACCAACACTACTTTCCGATACAACGAGATTCAGATTATTTTTGTTAAGATCTTTGATAAAAGCAATACACGCCCGTGCAAGCGACCGTAGAGTGCTCAACTCGTCACTTGAGAGTTGATCGTCTACGCGTGAGAGCAACGCAAACATCCACCGTGCGTGATTCTGCGACAGGTGGGCGAAATGGGATGAGGATGTGGAGGATCCGGATTCGAGATGTTCGAGGTGCTGAGTTAGCCAGTGCTGGAAGTACATTAGGAGATGTACGCAGTAGCGCTAAGTAAAAAGAAGCAATGAAGGAGAGATTATTAGATAGATATTTGATATTAAATTGATGAAGACGTACGCTATCCATTTTTCTGAGTAGTGCAGGTGTCGGATGTCGAGGTCCACCTGTGCGACGTCCTGGTTCTCCTTTGGAAGGTTCGTGCGGCGACTCAGGTTGTGGCGTTTGTAATGGGGTTGGCAGAGGTGCAGCGTCTTCCTCGGCACTTATGTCCATTTCCTCCGCAATACCACTCTGATCTGCCTGTTCATCTTCTACTTCACCGAACTCATTCACAACCAGGGTTTCCCGTACTTCGGTTTCTCCTATAGCATTTTCGGTAATAGGCACTTCATATTGTGATACGTCATCACGATTGATATGGTTGTGATTGAGATGAAGTCGTTGTTGCGCGGATTCGGTCAGGATTTGCCTCGAGTTTTTAAGTTTCTTATTTTTCGGCGAGTTCCAGTCACATTCCGGTTTGCCATTGATAAAGTCCCACCACCTATCACGTTCTTTCTTTTCTGGCATGACTTTGGAGTTTCCTGTTGAAGGGAATGGGATTGCTACACCGATCGTTGGTTGACTCGAGTTCTATAAATAGGCTCATTAATCATTGACCATAATGGACCGCAGGGAGAGCGTACCTTCCGAAAATTCCTAAATCTCTTAATAAACACGTCTCGCCACTCTTCAGATGGTAGCTGAACGCGAGGCTTACTCGGACCTGCAACTACTTCTTGCACAGCTACCTTAGCAGACTGCTTTTGAAATGGATTCTCTGCACGCGTGATAAAAGGGAGCCTTTTTGCATCACGCCTACCACAAGTAGCACATTAGTATCATATACAGGAACTCCAAGGTTATTAGGACTTACCGAACAGTGAAAAGATATTGTAAACCATTCATCGGTTCATCCGAGAACGTTTCCGGTAGGTTAGCTACAGGTAAGGTTTGTCGACCCATTGAAGGCTCTTCATCATCATCGTCCGATTCAAGCATCGCTCCCAAGGTGCGCTTCATATTCGTTATTGGTCAGTTGTAAGTCAGTCGTAGAATAAAGCAAAGTTACAACTTAATACAAGCCGTCCTCTGACACGCCTCCAGATCGACGGTTAAAATTTCCTATTTAGGAGCACCATATCGCGCTTCCACCTCCACTTTCACAGGCTCACACCTCATTTGTTGTTTTCTTGCTATAGCATGTTCTTTTCTTCAGTCCTGCTTTCTCCAAGTATCGACTCCTCTTTAGGGCTAAACTACCTCTTCTTGCACCCTTCATGACGTCTTTTTATCAACCTCAGTCTCAAAATGACGAACCTCAAATCGATTTTGACCTCGATGCCCTCCAGGCACAGATCAATATGGCTATGGCAGAAACAGAAGAACTAGTCTCTTCATGGGTCCAACCTTCCAAGGCGAACAATGCTAGTACTACCAGTGGTGACTACAGGAAGCCGAAGAGGACGTTTGAAGAGATGGAGGGAGAGCTGAAGGAGTATCTTAGGAGGCCTCCTAGGTGTGTATATCTATTGTTTTCAGGCCCTCGATGTGATTTCAAAAGGCTGATTTTTTTATTTGGTTGATGAAGGTTAGGTGTTGGTGCGCCAATACCCGAATCTACGGGTCCAAAGGCACAAGAAGAGTTAAAGCTGAAAAATAAGCTTGTTGGGAAAAATAATAAGAAACGGCCCGGGGATGCCACTCGTGCTGCAATATCAGAAAAAGAAGTGAAAGAGGATGAAGACGTGGAAGACGAGGAGACAAAAACGAAGAAAGGAGAGTCAGGCTCGAGTATGAAGAGGGTACGAATCGATCCATTCAGTTTGCCGAAGAAAAAAGTCAAACGTACCAATGGAGATGGTGTTAATTCGAGCTTGAACGGCGATGTTGTGAATCATGCCCCGGTCATCGATGGAATTATCCTGGATACTCCAGCTCAAACCTTGCTTACGAAAATCGAAACGAAATCGACCTCACCATTGAACTCACAGGGTGCGCAGTTTGGTACCGCTTCTCCGACTTCTCTGGTTTCTTCAACGTGCCCAGCCTCCCCAACCTCTGCAAAGAAAAAGAAGAAGAAGAAGAAACACAAGCTTACTTCACCTCACATCGACGTTATCCCGAACAGTGTCTCGAATTCTTCAACGACAAACGGAGTTGCCTCCAGTCATGGTGCTGGCGCTGAACCGGGCAGGACGTCCTCCGCGGGCATCACTGCTAACGGAGCAGATACTCACACCATACCTAACGCGCCGCCAAAAGAGCAGGTCATACATGCTTCACCAACGTCTCCTACATCTCCAACCTCACCCACCTCTCCTTCGTCTTCAGCTTCAACGAAGAAAAGGAAGAAAAAGAAAAAGAAACACGCACTCACTCAACCCAATGGAAGCAGTATCTCGAACGGTGTTCCAGCTGCTCCACGAATGCTAAGCGGCATTACATCTAGTGCACCAACAGACGACAAGTCTCTGACTATTGGAGCTCCTATTGCTAACGGAACGACGGTAGAAGAAGCGAGGGCAGAAGCAGAGGAGTGGACAGGCTTCGGAGACGCGACTCCTGATTCTGTGGAGGACCAGGAGGCTGGCATTCCTTCGTCACCGAAACTAAAGGCAAACGGTACGTTTATAGTTCCGTTAATTTATCCTCGTATAAAACAATAGTATTGAGACAGTATTATATTACGCTAGGTATTCCAACATCAGGACCTCATTCTCCAAAAACTACACACAAGATGCAAGCCCATCCAGGACTATCCTTATCCCTGCCTCTACTTAACTTGAATGGTCCACCACACCCTATCACTAATGACAACAACAACGAGGATGATGCGATACAAAGCCCAAAGACGAAGAAAAGACGAAGGAGACGGAAGAAGAGTAAAGTAAACGGAACTGGCGTGGAGAACGCGGGACAGGTATCATGATTCCGCGCATATGCATTCACTCAACGTATCTATACCACTGGATGATTCTTGGTTCACTCGAACTGATCGCATGATATATCGCATTGTATTGATTTCCCGTTTGTTTAATTCATGACATTTTGGTTTGTTTACTTGCAAGTACAGCATGATAATATACTATCAAGAAGTACATTAAATCAACAGGCAACCGAGTGACAAAACATACACTTAATTGATTATATTGTACATTACTATCAAGGAGAAACCATCCATTATACCTGATCACGTATAATACCCATACGTATATTTCTTCTTCACCTTCGAACTGCCAGGTATGATTACAAGCGGAGTAGTAGCAGGTATAACACGTCCGGGCTCAGGTTTGGGCGGTGGTGGATCAGGCTGAGAACGAGGAGTATACAAAATTCGATCACCGAGTGTACCAATTTGCCTATGCCTGTAATGTGCTTTGAGGGTATTATATGGTTCAAATTGTGGAGTTCGGGTCTCAGGCCTTGGAGGTTCTGGACGATTATGTTGATGAATGTGATGTATCCCTAGAACACGCTCGAATGGTGTACGGTAATACCGTTCGATGTCGTTAGGTCTGTACGGCGATTCTTCCCTTTCTCCTACACGTTTCTTGCGCTTCGAACGTCGTCGACATTGTCACTTCCTCGTCCGATAATCACGATATGAACTTATAGGATGTAAGATAGACTTTCTCAGACGAAATAGTACCCGTTCTTCTGGAAGTGGTCCGCGTATTCGTCTACGTACGCTTCGCCTGTACGCTCGCCAGATACGCGCATCGTGTATCTCATCTTTACCTTCATGCAAGACGGAACTGTTGAACGTGAGAAGCCCGCGTAGACGTCTGAGCCATCCGTGAAGGGCTGAGGGAGGAGAGTTGGATGGGTAGTCACGAGTTTGGCCTGCAAGCTAGACAAAGTGCAACGTCATTCGGTATTAATGCATGCATTATAGATGTATGGAGATGAAGCAAGCTAGATGCTCACTTGCACCATAACTGTGTATATCTTTCACTCCTTTAGTAGGTACCCAAGAGGTGATGTCGCATGCTTCAAGTTAGGGTAGTAAAAGTATGTAGTAGAGCAGGTATACACTATCATGGCAATAGGAGACGGAATGAATGAACGAAATAGCACGTGTGGTTCTGTTTGCATTCAATTTAACTTTAGAGCGTATACTTCAGCCATCAGTTTGCTTATATTTCGTTCACCATTAGGATCATAGTGTAGCAAACGAGAAGGAGAAGAGGAAGAACGGATTGAGTTATTTTTAGATACACATGTTCGTCACTCTATCTATGTACTTGTTTCACTATCAGCTTCTTGTCGTTCTTTTACGTTTATATATAACCGCGCAATGCGCCATGCACATGTTTCATTATTAATATCATAATTCATCACATTGTCGTTAATTCGTTACTGTAATAAAAACATCGTGGAAGTACAACAAATAGCTGTTAGCTCATCTAAAAATTCAGAATAAAAACAACCGGACAAAACGTTTCCAAAGTTAAAGACATCATACAGTCGGGTTAGAAATCGCAACCAAAAGAAAACCGGATAACATAGGAAAAACAAAAGAGCCGTAAATCGTAAATCGTCAAGCCAAGACCATATGAAGCTTTTGCGTTGGAAATCGCGTCTACGCCGGGACGTACATCTCCGTCGGCGAACGACTATGTCCATGATAACGATGCCCATGCCTCGAGCTGCTCGTCCTCGCAACACCAGATCCAGCCATAACGTCACCATATCGACTGCTCCCATGCCGACTCGAGGAACGCACGACAGGGATAACACGTTCGTCGACATAACCATGACGAGAGCTTGCCGCACGTGAAATGGGAGCGCTATTTGTAGTCACGTATCCGGAAGGCGCGACGTGTGCGACGGGGGTGACGCTCCCGCTACGATGATGTCCGTGGTGGTGTGAGCTGAGGGTACGCATGAGAGGCACCCCGCCACCGTTGCTGCTGTGATGTCTATGGTGTCCATGCGTGCTCGTAGTGCGCACGATAGGCATACTGTACGCCTCGTGTCCGACATTCGAAGCCGTCGTGACGATAGGCGTGAAGCCTTCTCCGCGGTGATGATGAGAACGGGAATGACGAGAGGAGTGGTGATGATGACGACGTGAACTTCTACCGTGCAAGATGGTTTTTGCACCTAGACGGATTGCCATACCTTCTTCTGCTAGTCTGCGTTGACGCCTGCGTCTCTCGCGACGACGTTCGCGTTCTGCTTCATCGTGCATTGAGAGTCCGCGGGCGAGGTGTTCCCTTCGACGAGTTAGGAAACCCCATAGCCTGAAATGCGCACCATGATACCTAGATAGCAGTAACCCACGTTTGGCAATATCATCAGTTAGCCACGCTATCAGTATAACCACGCATACAAGCAACTCACGGAGGCCTGCACCGACGCGGAAAATGCAAGAACGGGTGCCGTCTCTCAGGACGGTACACCCCGTCCTGTTCGTAGCCTCTTCCGCGCTTACGATCACGTTTATATTCACGATAGACATGCGCGTCGTGAATCTCATTTTTGCCTTCATGCGAGACGCGCCTGTTGAAAGTGATTAGTCCGCGTAGCCGTCTGAGCCATCCGCGCACTGCAGAGGGAGGTGAGTCGCGTGGGTATACGCGAGTTTGGCCCTGACAACGTTAGAGATGAGCAGGGCTGGAAGAAACCTTGGATGAAAACGCCTACCATGCTCGTGCGTGTCGTTCACTTCCTCTCTATAGTGTACCCAAGAGACGATGTGATACAGGTTGAGTGGATGAAGGAGTTGTCGTGGCTTGTGAAAGAGCGGATGCAAGGTGGGCGGAAGATATACGAATCTGCACGGCCACGGGGAAATGAATATGAATGTAGGCGCGTGTTTGGACACCAGCTTGGTTACTTTATTTGCACCCGACAGATCGAGACCGAGACCGAGACTAATGACGTCGACAAAGTGTTCTATCTAGACCCTGATCAGCGTCTATTAGTATTAGACTACTCCCTGCTGCTGCACTCTTTCAACGAGGCACACCCTCGGTTAAGATAGGCATGCCTGGCAAACGTATTTGGCTCGATTGTGACCCCGTATTTTTTTATTCCATTAAACCTATTTTTATCGACTTTAATCCACTATATGTTTTTACTGATTAGGGACACGACGACGCAACTGCTATCTTACTCGCAATCCATTCTCCAGGTATAAACCTCATCGGCATCTCAACAGTAAGCACGTTCGCTCATCCAACACTCCATCATCACTCCTCATCACCATATCATCAAACATTAAAGCTCTGTAGTGCTAATAGCGCTCAAGCTAATATGAATCCGTCTAAAATAGGTCCACGGAAACACCGACATAGACAACACCTTCAAAAACGCTCTTCGATGTCTATACGCATTCGGCGCGCATCCGGGTATCCTCGTATACCGCGGTGCAAGCCAGCCTTTACTCAAATCAGCCAAACACGATCCCGAGATTCACGGGCATGATGGTTTGGGCGGGGTCGAGGGCTTACCAAGTTTCGACACCTTCGACTTTGCCGACAACTACAAAGATGATAACGAAGATAGAACGAATGATAAGGACTTGCATGTCCAGGCGATCCGAGGACGACTACAAGACAGCCTTGAGAAGGGAGGGAGAGCGACTGAGGGTATGGCTAAAGCTGTACAAAACGCGATTCAAGAAGGCGAAAAGCTAACGATCGTATCTACCGGTCCGATGACGAACATCGCGCTCTTCGTGAGTGTGTACCCCGATTTACTAGATGGAGTCGAGGAGTTCGTCTTCATGGGCGGAGGAGTCGGGCAGGGAAACCGGTCTGCTGTTGCTGGTAAGCAAGTTTCTTCCAGTGTTTTAATTTCACATTGATGTATGAATGAATGATGTTGTAGAGTATAACATATTATGCGACCGTACGTCACTATTCTCCTAGCGCCTATATGCTATCCCTTAATCTCCGTTCTGACAATGCTAATATTACAATCGACCTTAGCCGAAGCGGCCCAAATCGTGCTCAACGTGCCTACAAAGAAGACAATGATACCCATAAACGTCACACATACGGCTATAGTCACCAAGAGCGTGCATGCAGCGCTTCTCGATCCTTCCACAAAGTCATACATCAATATCGAAAGGGAGAAGAAGAACGTTGACGTTTCTAACGTTTCATCCATCGATGATAGATCTCCCACTACCGCTTCGTCGGGTGACAACTCTTCCTTGCTAGAACCCCAGCCTCCAGAACTACACCTCCCATCACCTCAAACACCCCTCCGCCACACACTCTCCACACTCCTCACCTTCTTCTCCTCAACTTATGCATCCACATTCGGCTTCACCTCCGGCCCTCCCTTACACGACGCACTAACCATCTTCTACCTCTCCCATCCTCAGTGCTTTAGAGTTAAGAGAAGGAGAGTGGACGTAGAGTTGAAGGGGGAGTTGACGTGTGGGGAGACTGTTGTTGATTTGTTTGGATATTGGAAAGCGGGTAATAGTAAAGGAAGGGTAGGAGGTAAAGGAGAAGGAGAGGAGGAAGAAGAGTGGGGAAGAGAAGGAAGGAATTGTTTGGTTGCTGAATGGGTGGATGTATGCGTCGTTTCTTCCTTTTAATTCCTCTCCAGTTTTCTACATGCATCACTAATCGCTGACTTCTTTACCTTATACAGGTAGAAGCGTTCTTTAAGTTTTTCTTAGAGTGTGTCGAACGATGCGACACAGTGTCTCCACTTAACAAGCAATAATGCCAATATATTGGCCAACTTGAAGAAGAGCCAAGCTTACCCATATTAATTTTCACTTTCAGATCGGGATATGCAAGGGCTGTTGGATATTGAGTATGTATAGCAAGACAGGATTAGATGTATACAACATATAAACCTTGACCAATCAGTCAAACAACAGTTAGAAACACATCACACAGATCAAATATGTGAAAGAGGAAAGAACACGTTTGTATGTAAATTATATATCCCAAGTGAGAAACTAAGAAAGTCATGCAAGTCGTCAAATCAAGAAGAAGAGAGAAAAACCAATCAAGGCAAAACGAACGAAAGTAAAAGTGAACAAAGAAAAAGAGAGGGCCTTCTCAATCAAGACCCATCCAAGAACATCTTACTAAGCGGACGTGCATTCCGTTCTCTCCGTACACCCTTGCGCATACTCTTGATAGTCGCGTCGAGTTCGCCTCGGCCCACAGAACGATGTCTACTGTCTGCTGCATGCGACTCGGCGGGAATCGGTGGTGGAGGTGGGACGAGGAAGCCGCCTCCTGAAGTGGGAGGAGCGGCTGAAGTTGCGGAAGGTGTGGATGGAGGTGGTTTCTTTGCTTGGATCGTCTGTTGGGGCGAAGGTGAGTAATGAGTATGAAAAACAGTGAGGTATGCATGTGAAGAAAGAAAGAAATATATCTGCATACCGATTGATCACTGTTGGTTGAAGGCGGAACGGCAGTTTTCTTCCCGTTAGTAATAGCCGAGGCAGCGGATTGTTGTGCTTTGGTCTGTGCATCGTGCACTTCAAGTGCCGCTTTCTGAATTGAGTTATTAAAAAAAGAAAATGAGGATCATGCATAGCCTGAAGATAGTTGCTTAACTCACCCTCAGTGCTGACGAAAATGATACGATCAAACTGAAGAAGTCTTCAGGCTTTGGTCCCTCTGGCGAATCAGCCATTTCACCATAATACGCCATGAGAGATTTCAAGTCCGACTCCACAGCTCTATTCATGTTCTCCAGAGCTTGGATGCTTGAGGTCACTTGCACGACGAAAGGCTACCAATCAAATCGGTTGTTAAGGTGATCTAGTAGTGGGAGTAAGGTTACTAACCTCCATGACTTGAACAAAACGATCATCTGAATGAACATTTCTACTTTGACGCTGCAACTTGATCTCTGATTGTACTTGTGCAAGCCCAGAAGCCAGAGTCGTGACAGCTGCGGAGACCGTCTGCATCGAAACTACACAAAATCACCTGAATTTGCGAAGACATGTCAAGAAATCTTGCCGCCTACCTCGAGCCGCTGCCTCAAGGTGAGGTAAGTCGTCCAAGAAGTTGACTACTTCCGGATCACTCCTAAGAAGGACACGAGAAACGTAATGAAGGAGAGTTGGACAGTCTGGACTGGACTTGACTGTCTTCGTCTCTTTCATCTTTTTAACTATTAGCAAAGCATTACAGACCTTCCTTACACCAGAAATGCCCACCTTTAAAAGAGCCTCCAGCTGGAATCCTCGAGCATTCCCTCTGAAACTTGAACCATTCAGAGCATTTCCTACAGTCAGCACGGTCTAAAATGCAGCACGTCAATCCATCTATTAGATAAAAGAAATCCTTGGTAGCCTACCTTGAGGACTTGCTTGAACCTAGTCGACGCTCTCAGCTCCTTCGTTGCCTGGCGAACGATGTCCAGCTCCGGCCGAGTCTCCTCGATGTCTATCTCAAGTTTCCTTCGGTATAACATGCAATTGATGCGTTCTGAAAGCCGTGGTATACCAGAAAGCTACAAACAATTGAGCATTTGACCACATGGGCAAGGAGAGATAGCTACTTACTTCTTTTAGATACTGATCTGCCTTTGCGAGCTGTTTCACATCCCCGAACTCATCAATCCTCTTCATCTGGATTCACATATCAATTAGCACACAGGCACGGGAAAGAAGACTAGACGGAACTCCATACTTCATCCGTAGTCGGCAGGTGTCTTGAGATAGCCTTTAGATCATCGACGCTCAGCAAGGAATCGTCAATCGTTAATAAAGCACGCTTAATGTCCGCTAAGGAGGGCTTTATCCTGGTCAACATGATCACTAGAAAAAGAATTAAATTCAGCATCATTCAATATGTACCTTGCATCTTCATCACTTACGAATATTATTTGCCCGAGTCGTATCCAGCAAAGTAGTGACAGATGTTTTCCTTGGAGAGTTCTGAGGGGACGAGGCCACCTTCGATGGAGCTGCCTCAAGCGAGAAAGTCTCTTCCAATTCCTTCAGGTCCAAATCGATAGAAGAGCCCGTAGACAGGACGTCATCCCAGACTGACGGTCCGGCTGCCTGAACAGTGACTTTAGTCCAAAAGAAGGGCCTCAGGCGTTTCCCGGGGAGTACGATATTTGGTATCGGAGCGCCCTTGCGACTCATACCAGGAGGTGGGGGTGGAGGCGGGGGCATTCCAGGAGCAGAAGATGGAGGCGGTGGAGGAGGAGGGGGGATCGAAAGTCCTGAGGGAGGCGGGGGAGGAGGAGGAGGAGCAGAATTGGGAGTCGAACTTGAAGATCGGCCCCTCTGTGGTGGCGGCGGAGGTGGAGGAGAAGTTGACGATGGAAGGACGCCTAAAGGCGAATTTGGTGGAGATTTTACAGGCGAAGAGGGAGCGGGAGGTGGTGAAACTTGCTGCTTAACGCCTTTCCATGCTGACGGAGGTGGAGGTGGCGGTGGAGAAACCCCTTTCTTAAAATCGTTCTCAGTGACATACCGCGGTTTAGCCTTTAGCTCCTCTTGCAACTTCTGCACTTCAGCGCGAAGAACAGAAATCTCGTCGTCCTTAGCTGACAAAGCCTCAACTGCACTAGCTGCAATCTTCTCTGCATCGATATCACGAATTTGTGTCTGTCGCGGTTGGGCTTCGCGAGTCGAAACATCATTGTGCAACCGGGAATACACTGATTCCATGGCACGTTTCAGGTAAAGCACCTCCTTATCCTTCCTTTGTAGCAGCGACTCGGCCTCTTCATTCTAAAAGTACACTATAAATAGGATGTCGCGGTTAGACAGCAGGAACCAGCATACCTTCTTCTTGAGGTCCACGATTTCCTCCGAGAGCGCATTCCACTTGACGCGATCTCGTTCATGTTTCAATCGCTCCTCCTAGTATATGCTTAATTTCTTGATATAGACAAACACAAGTGCAGAAACTCACAGTATCTCGAGTCTCGGATGGCTGGGTTAATTTAAGACGTTCCACCTCTGCCCGTAGTTGTACCACTTGCTTCTCCTTTGAAACTAGACGTTGAACGAGACCTTGAATGCTCTGAGCGGTGTCAAATCAGTCTTGGCTCGCTTTAGAGGATTAAATATAATTTACTTCTTTGCCGCCTTTCGAGGGAGCATTCGTTGTAGGTAGTGTCTTTAAAGTGTCAATCTCGACGCGTTGCATAGCGATCTCATCTTTCAGTTCTACCCTCTGGAGCATGATCAGAATCATATTGTCGAGCAGCAGGCAGGACGTAGTACCTCTTTCTCAAGACCTTCAACTGCGTTTCGGAGCTCCTCCATCTCTTTTTTCTGGAAGTCGGAAGAAACGTCGTCATCGGAAGCCACTTGGATTTCCAGTGTCTGGTCGATAACCGGGGATATCTGGGAGACGAATCGGCCCAGTATACGAAGCCAGTCTACCCCTCTATAAAAGTAGCTAAGTCAATAATACATGAAATATTACGAGTGAGGCGTACGTACAATTCATCAAAAGCTATGCATTGCTCAAGTAGCTTGTTCACAATCGTTAGGTAGTCCGCCTTGAATTTCCTACATAAACTAGGGTCAAGCTGGCTCTTTAAATAGTAGATTCATACCCACAATGTAATTTCGCGAGTCAGCAATGCGCCTAGCTGGTGGAGAGCTTCAATAAGTGAAGGACGCAGCACTTCTTGGCGCAGAGAAAGATCATTTAACACAGCACAAGCAGCTTCCAGTTCCGAGCTACCCTCCGAGTCTTTAAATAATGATCTAGTCCGTTCTCGTAAGTCTTCTTCATCCTCAAACTTCTCTTCCGTGTAGACGTCAATTTGCGTGACGATGGATTCAGGAGGTCGAATATATCGTAATGTCTAGCCGGCCCAGTGAGCCGAGCCGTCGACAGAAGATAGAACGTAAACGGACATACCACTATGATCTCGTTTAAGCCTCGACGGCTGAATTCTTCACGAAGCTGTATGCGTTCTTCAAGCGACTCAGGACAAGTTGTCAATGCATTGACCAGCGTCATCGCAGCCGTCCGAGCTTCCCAAGCACCTTCCTCTTCCTTCTCACCAGGAACACCAGCATCTGAATCGTCATCATCCTCACTCGACAAACGCAATGAGTCAATGAGTTCTTCAAAGCGGAAAGCCTCTTCGTGAGCGACACGGTAATCGGAAAATGCAGCGAGAACGAGGTGGTGCCCATGTGTTACGGAAAGAATACAAATTGCGGCGAGTAGTTCGCAGGTTAGTGTTCTCAGTTTGAGAGAATCGGTGTGGAGTGTGTAGGTTACGTGAGTTACAAGCATGGGAGAAGCTAGGAAGAGATTGAATCCAGGCTATACAATATATGAGCATTACGGGAATAAGACACAAAACGAGAGACCTGCCTCAGTATTGAGCAGAACTCGCAGACACTTAACCACTTCGTATAGCACGCTCTCTTCCGTATCAGAAAGTTTCTTCCTCTTGCCACCCTTCCCAACAAGACTCGCAAGCAAGCTAGCCAAAGCGTCCATTCCCTTGCTTTCACCCAAGAATCTCTCTACCCAGCTAACCTTCGCAGTGGAAAGATGTACTCTCAACGAAATAAGATGTTTCACGAGCTTTATGTCGTTCGGACGTCGTGAACGGAGTCCATCCGCGTAAAATACGGTGGACGAGTTGTCCTTGCTTGGAGTGGCCTTTGACTTCGACATGGAACTCATCCAGGACTCGGTACCCGACGACGCCCACCAGCTTCCCCATAAACCGCCCGTCGTTTGAGGCTGCAGCGGGGCGATGTCGGAATGCGCAGGACTGCTCTCACGTCGACTAAGCTTCTCAGCCGCATATGTAGTGCCGTTTATCTTGGGAGACGAAGGAACATCAGGAGGAGTCTCGCTCGCAGACGAACTACCCCACCCGCTGATGGAAAAGCGTTTCATAATACCATCCCCAGTCAAACTCGGTACAAGAGCTGGGATGAGCGGAGCCGCCCTAGCAGGTCCAATCGTCGCTGACTGAGCAGGAGACTGAGATGACTCTCTCCCAACTGTCGAACGCATCTGACGATTCTGTCGAAGGAGATAGCGTTTCCGGTCTGCAGGCATGTTCCGCATTGCCTCACGCTTTTCACCCCTCAGTCCGAGATCATCCTTATACAAAGTCAATTAGGGGCAAAAACTGAGTAACATTGAAAGACATACAATCATACGCTCAAAATCCTCTTCGTCACAGGACTTCTCGCTCTCAGTGTCGGATGAAGCGGTGTGATTCTCCACTGCCATCGGCTCACTCACGATTGGCCGCTTGTTGCTATTCTCAACCACCGTCTCCTGCATAGGAGATTCAGGAGTCGCTGAACCTAACCAGCCGTCAAATATACTCGAAAAGCGTTTGGATGAGAACGTTCCTGTGCTGTCAGGAGAGCCCGATCTTGGCTTTGCAGTAGGTGATGACGGGGTCGATGATGATGCTTGCTTCTGCCTCGCAGTGCCCTCTCCTTCCTCTTCTTCCGCTTCCAAATCCGAGAGACGGCGTAACGTCGACTCAGACGGAGCCACGGAAGGAACACGAGAATTCGGACGACGATACCATTCGTCCGGAACGCAAAATCTAAACTCCTTTGCGTTTCCAAGGATCGTGGAGAGCAATACGTCAGGCTCCAACCGCGTAGAATCTTTGCATGGTGTCAATAACTAAATAGACATAAGTGAACAGGAGTCATTACATACTATCTGCGCCTGCGCCAGGTGTGAACGTTTCAATGGCATAATCAATCGTTCCGCCACCCGCGATAGGTAAGGCCTTTACGAGACCGAGCTGTTCACACGTTGAAGATATAACTTCATGGACCGTTGAGTTTAGTGTCAAATAAACGGTCCATTCAAATCCGTCATGGATCTCTGGAACACGTAGAAACGAGAATTTAAGACGCAGCAAAGGATGCCTCGACACCAAACGAATGACAGGTGAATGCAGATGAGAAGTCAAGGGAAACGAAGAGAAATGTCTCTCGGGAGCGGAAGGTTTTGGTTTCGATGCAAGTATGGGGGCAATAAGGTCATCCTCCTGAAGCAGCTCTTTAACAGAATATCAGTTTACGACCTGTAATGGCTCGGATAGATGATTCTGACTTACCGGGTCCTATACTTTCAAGTTCCTCCTCTTCCCAAACGCGACCCGAATGTTCCTTGCGTACCCTCTGTAAATCCCAGCCCGATTCTGGGAGGTCTCCTAAGATCTCGTCCCTAACATCTTGTGGTTGGATCAGAGAAGCAATCACGTCTTGAGCCGTAGCATCCTGATTTACAGAAGCAAAGTAGACAGTTCCGGCTGGTGAAATGACCGGAGCAATGAGTGTGTTGTCGGCCATGTTCATGGTCTGAATAATGTGAAGCCGATCTCCGTCTATTCCCGCAATAACCTATATGCAGTATAACCGAGTAGCTGCTCGTGAATATCTAGAGCATAAATACAGAATCGAAAGGAAGGCGTCAGAGTTCTGGAAAGCCTGGGAAGAACAACCGTACGACGACAGCGTGAGTGGACTTGGTCAAGAGGTGACGCTAACGTCCGAATTAGACTTAGGGGGTGACCGCACCGCGTACAATACACGCGTGCCGCGGTTCTCGTGTATATCGGGCTACCTTCCCGGTATGCCGTTCGTCACTCACTCCCAGCATCATACATTACAGTAGTACTCAAAACACAAATCATCACAAACTTTCTATTCAATATTCTTCTGCTGCATTTTCTTAAAAGCGAAATAAACAAGAAGCAACACGCATAAATACACCAACACAATTCCAGGATTCCGCCACCACTCATATTGCTACCGTCAAGGCCAGCATCGGACTATGCTAAACACAATGAGATTGTACATTTGTTTAGTACCGAGGTCCTTCGCGGAAAAATCACGAAATCGAACTTACTGAAAGTGTTCTCGCAGCACAACAACTATTGCATACATCCAGAACTACCAGCATCAATGAATGACCTAGTTCGAGCCAATAAAACCCACTCATCATCAGCTCTCCAGCCGGAACAGATCATTAAGTAGTCACTCACACCAGTGATGCCTTAGTGGAGGCCAACAGGTGATACGCCAGGTTGCAGCTCGGGTTCCGAGGCGACTGGGTTGGCAACTGGGACGGGTCCGGCGATGGGGGCAGCACCAGTGGTGGTGGCAACTGCAAGGAGGACGAGGACGAAGATGATACTGGTAGCGGCGAGCTTGGCGAACATTCTGACTGAGTAGTAGAAGGGTAGATGTATGAATGTTCTCTTATGTTCTCAGAGCTGCCTTTTGCCTGGCTTTTATACTGCCACAACCGCTTTCTTTCTATTTCGTTTTCTCTTGACATATTCGGCGCTCCTTGTGCTAGATGTGTTTAACAATAACAAAAGGACTGTTAATGTGCCTTGATGACATAGAAACGACCCCAACACCATCACTCGGTGCATTTGTCAAATACAGCCCGTGCATAAGTTCCAGATGGCTCAAACTCTAAATCTCTTGTTAATCGTATAGATGCCCGGAATCCCCGGATAACTCTTTTTGTTAAATAACTGTATGGAACCACCTCATATTGCAACTCAAATGTAACTCAATAATGAATACTAGTATGAACAAAACTTGTTGGACAGTAAAACATTGATTGATCAAGACATACACTCAAATAGTTAATCACAGGCGCTAGTTCATCTATATATACGTAGCAATTCAACAGCCTTGGAAGTGTGGTGGGATGATGGGATGACGGTCAAAAGACCGATCACATATTCTATCATTTGATACAAGGCTTACATACTTCATCATTACGGAATCATCCTTGTTCTTATCGCAAGTCCGTATAATACGGTATATGACTATATCGCCAGTCAACAAGTAATGACCAGGCCAAAATTGCATTACATTACAAATACATCATTGTTGTTCTGTTCTTATTGCAGGATTTGATTCATTGTAATCGCTAGTCCACAAGAAATAACCAGCACCAGCCTAAATTTCTATACACCGGTCATACGCGCACCAGAGCCACGGGTGTCCATACGAAAGTCGCCATGGCTAAGGTTCTTCACCAAGTGATCGTCGTCGAACCTATCGCCGGCCTGTAAAGTACCATCTTTCAACAGCTTCTCTGCTACGTCGATGTCTTTCGATGAGCCAAACGCGTTCTCGAGTTGTTGTTTTGAAGCTTCGCCAAGATGGCCTTGGTTCCCCGTTGGTGAATGGAAGACTTTGAAGGCTATACGCGCATATAATCAACATGCCCGCCGTTCTTCGAAATCACGTGTACGTACAATCAACAACATCCGTCAGAGGAATTGAGCTGTGATTTAAAGTAAGATGGTTGTCGGGCAAGATACACACGTAATGAAGCCGGAGCTTACTGGTCTAAAGAATCGAGTTCAGCAAAGATTCAATAATACGGTATTCAAGTACTACTCACCTCCTTCTTTCCACTTCTTATACTAGATTCCGGAAATCACAAATCAGTACGCTGCTTTACACTGCGACGACCTGTCGTGTGCTCACTTCTGGTCCATTCACAATCATGATGAACTCCTCCGTTGATTGAGTACTGGGTTTGAAGGTGACCTTCGTGAGTGACTTGACCATTGTGACTTTTGTAGAGTGATAGATTCGAGCAGGATTGAATGCGATGGAAAAGCGATGGCAGTAGATGTAGATGCCTTGAAATCAAAGACGTGAGTGCGCTTCTTATAAGCCCAGAAAGGGACGAGGCCATGTGACGTCAGTGCCATTCACGAGTACGTCACGCGCCACACTAAATTTGATCAGCGCCCGCACTTTTCTCAGCCCGTTTCTACGTCCATCTACTCGATTTACACAGCCAAAGTGATGTACACGAATGAGTAAAATTACGTGTCGTGCCATTGAAATGAATTAAGCTAAGTTTGTCCAGTCAATGGTCCGATGTGATCTCTTCAAACGTCCAGTATCTCGGTCATCGCGTATAGTCGTGAGTGCCACTACGGATGGTCTTCGGAAAAGCAAAGCGGAGCCTCAGCGCCAAGTTGAAAATCACATTACCCCAGAAGAACAAACACTTACCGTCCATGGGCGCACTGGAAGGGAAACGCAGTCTCTGACAGCTGCCGAAGAAGTCGCTTGCATTGCTCCACCGAAAGTCGGTCATTGAACATGATAGCTCCCCGACACGCCCGAGAATTCACCAATTCGGTCAATTCCCGCGGACAGTGGCGAAGTGCCTTTAGCCAAGAAAATTCATCCGTATCTGCTGCAGCTTGACTCGGCCCCTGCGACTCGTCCATGCCTTCGGCTTCGAGCCTAGCCAGATAGCCCTTGACGAGTTCTCGAAGATCGCCTTGGGAACCATCGAGCAACTACGCATAATAATTAAGCTGCGTCGATGTCTAAAGAGAATTCTTCTCACCTTGTCGGCCACTACTTCTGGAACGCTGTTACAATGAACCAAGCCATAGCCTTCGTCGTTGTCATTCTCTTCACACATTCGATCACCAGTTGGCGCATCAACGAAATCGAGACCCCAAGCACTGAATGCTCTTTTTATTCGTTCCGAATCCAAAAGTCGGTCCCGCTCGAACTTGGTGAGAAGGGTGGGCACAGGTGGATCCAATGCACGCCGCTCCACACCCTCACGATCGCGATCTAAGTAACCAAGGCATAGTGACTTGAGATATCGTTCAACGCGGACGCGCTCATCTGCAGCATGCTGATCAACAAGTACAAGCATCCGGACGTCTGATCCTCGCTCAGATGTTCCGGGTATTCCCTCTGCATCGCTGGATGAAGGCGCATGGGACTCTTCGTCTATAAGACATGCGATAAATTTGAAGTCCACTTGCCCAAGAACTTCCAACTTTTCGAGGCATTCCCTGGAAAACGGGAACATTGAGGCTTCACCGAGTTCCGCCAGTATCCCAGAGGTGGTAGAAAACGTCTGGTCGAACTGTTTCAACCAAGGTATCCGTTGAGCAACATCACTTTGATCCACAACGTTCTTTAATGAGGATATGCGCGGAATAGAACGTTCAGTCGCCGCAATGTTGTCGTTTGACTGTCATCCAGCTTATTAATAATCCTGCAGTAAATGAAGGGAGTAAAGGTTTACCTGTAAGGCCTCCTTAATCCAGTCTGGCATATTCTCCTCACTCTCACATGCATGTTGACACTCGCCTTGAGCGTTCTTCAGCCAACGCGTATCGACCAACGTACGTCGATTTGTCCGCAATGAAGCTTCCGATTCGTCACGTTCTTCATGATGGTCCTGCATGTACGAATTGCCAGTACGTTGGTCGATTAGAAAGGTTTTGCCGGTGCAGGGGTCGACCCACTTGAGCTCGCAGTCTCCATCCTGAAGAGATGGCTAATTATGTATGTTAGAATTACATACCAACCACATATGCAACAACTTACTCCTTGGATAAACATGTCTTCCCTTCGTTCTTCCAATTGCAGTCTCTGCAATGACGAAGATGCTGTCGATTCTGGCCGTTCGAGTAGTTTTGTACCTGAAGCATCGACAGGATCTACCCTTTTTCGCTTATTCGCAGTATTCACGTGGGTGGCACGGGAATCGCTTGATCGAGTAGCTTTGAATCCGTGCTTGCATAGAAATGACTGAATGGTTTGTTCAAGAAATGACCTGACGGCGTTTTGGTCCTATGGCGACAATGGTATTAGTTTGCAAAGTAGTATCTCGACATTCCGCGGCCTACCTGAAATTGCACAGCTGTTTTTGACGGTTCCAGACAGTTGTCAACATTTCGCGCTGGCAGCGTAAGATTGAGAACATAGACCGGCCGGAGTTCACTTTTCCTAGGTGAGCGTCGAGTACCTGAGACGTCTGATCAAAACCCTTTTGACCTAAAAACAGATGTAGGGAGTCCAAACCTGGTCGTAACGACGGGAGTTCTCCAGATTCATCATAAGCCTGTGTGAAAGGTTCAAAAATTCAGTTAGTAGCTCGATTAAGATAGTAGACTACCTACATGCTTGCCAAACGTGCTTGATGAAAAACATTTGTCGATTATTCGATGTAGCTCGCATGAATCGAGTATATGCCGATTAACATCTATACCGGAGTGAGGGGTATGATTCTTTCGCAACCAGAAGAATCCTCACAGAGAAACTGGTACGACTGTTAATGAAAAATGGTAAGGTAGATTTATTCCACTCCAGAAGACAAGATACGTACCTTAGAAGGAGAACCAACTAAGCTTATGAAGCCCTCTAGCTTCATTGATCCGGATTGGACATATATGGTATCTACATGCTTAATTCTCACCACAATATCAGTCATGAATGATTCACGTCAGCATGCTACACTTACTTCAACAAGCGCTCTGCCGAAAAGATGTCGGAAGGTCGCCATTGACGAGGAGGTCTAACATAAATTTGCTCAGAGAAATTCGGGCTTATGGGGAGCGTACGGACCTTTGGTATAGTCAAGACGCGACTTTTATCAATAGTACCGCAGTACTCTTTGGATGCGTCTTTCAGAGTAAATGAGACGTGAGGAAATACAAGTGCAAATGTTTCTAGTTCTCGTCGGACGAGCTCAATTGTCCTGGAGGGACTTGGGTGGGATAGTCTGCGAATCGGTAACTAGCTCAAATCAATTAAAAAAATCTCAATCTTAATTAGTGGATAGACATACACTGAAGAAAACGTCTCGAATCGAAACCGTTGTCCCGGCTCTTTCTCTACGCCATCGCAATGACGGCCCCTCGTACAGCTTCTCGCCGCCCTTGAGTATTACGGACCAGCATTCCTTTGACCTCGACGTTCTTGAAGATATCTCAATACAGGATAGATCCGCGGCTGAGGCCAAAGCTAAACGGCAGAACATTAACTGCTTAAAGAGGTTGTATACTTCAAGTCTACGAACCTTCGCCTCGAAATCCAAAGGTGTTCACATGCTCAAGAGAAGTCAGATTATAAGACTTTGAAGATGCTGCACACGAATGCATATTTCAGCAACTAGGAATACCAATTTCTCGACCCGATTGGCTCACAGTAACGACCCCCTTCCATTCCTTGAGCAATTAACGACAATCCATCCTTGCTAATTCCTGTCCCATCATCTCCTACCCAGCACATCCAATCAGCGCAGTGCACTCCAACATCAATACTCTTTGCTCCTGCATCCAAAGAATTCTGAACGAGCTCCGAAATTATCTGTGGCAGCGATGTAAGGATTTGAGTGGAGCGGATTTTAGAGCGCGTAGCAGTGTCCAGTCTCTCGATTCCCGAGAAGTCCATCATGTATTTTGGGAAGTTCCGTTTACGAAACGACAAAAGAGGTAGGAAAGCTCATCCTGACGAGTTGAAAGTCCTAAACTAAATGGCGAGTGGCATAAAGTTGGATAGATGGATGTCTTGAGGTTAATTATATTTTACAGTGATCGACACTTTCCACAAGTGGATATCACAACTTGAGAACGATCATATGCCACGCACCTTTTCCTTCCTTCGAGTTGGTTAACGCTCTACCTGCTTCGTCTTCCAGAGCCAATCTTGAGCTATATATCCGGGAAAATGGACCAAGCCCTAGCGAAGAAAGAGCTGCAGGATCTCATCAAACGAGAAGAGCTAGGAAACAAACTTTGTGTTGATTGCTCAAACCCCAATCCTCAATGGGCCTCACTCAGGTGTGTCACTATGATTTACTTGGACTTGGTTTGGAGGACCTGATTCGAACGTGTAGTTTTGCTGTTTTCATCTGCCTGCAGTGCGCTGGGAGACATAGAGGCCTGGGGGTGCACATAAGGTTTGTCATTGGTATTGATGGAAAAGAATGGTTTAAGCAAATGATTGGGCAGTTTCGTTCGTTCCGTTTCGATGGATACATGGCAAGAAGAGCAGATTCGACGGATGAAGGTAAGAATTTCTGAATTTTAAGATATGTATCATCTGAACTTACTATTACTCTTTTTAGCTCGGCGGTAACTCGCTATTCCATGAATTCATGAAATCATACAGGCCCGTAGAAGCGGGTGGATATAAAGAAGGGATGGACATCCCAGAAAAGTATACATGTTGGGCAGCTATACAGTACAAGGACAAGGCAAGTGTAACGTGTATCGATATGTACATCCATCCTTCTAATAAACCTTCTGTAGCTTGATTGTGAATTAGCGGGAAAGCACTGGTCGCCTTCCCTCCCTCCGCCAGACTTTGCTTCACCACAAAGCGGTTCAGACTCTCCTGGCCGCCCCTCTTCTGCTCAAGGACTTCGCAAATCACGAGCTTCAGCTCGGAATGCAACAGGCTCCTCGTTACGCCAGAACTCTGCTTCTCCAGCTTCGTTTACCAACTCGCCGCCTGCAACTGCTGGGTCTCCGAGTCCAGACAGTCAGAAAGCTGCGAACGAAGCTTATTTCTCCAGTCTCGGTTCCGTTAATGCGTCTCGTCCAGCAGACCTGCCACCTTCACAAGGTGGACGTTATCAAGGATTCGGAAACTCGCCTGCTCCATCCAGCACTTCGCAACACCCTTCATACGGGCTCTCCAGTGCAGCAGCGCCGTCTTTATCAGACTTCCAAGAGAACCCCACTGCCGCACTCAGTAAAGGCTGGTCACTCTTCTCTTCCGCACTCGTAGGAGCCACACGCACCGTACAAGAAAGCGTCATCCAACCAGGCCTCGAACGCGTCCGAGATCCCAACTTCCAAGCAAGTATAAAGGGGTACGTCGACGAAGCTGGAAAACGCGTCACTGTTGTAGGTTCTACGGCAAACCAGTGGAGTAAGCAGCAATTTGGTGTGGATGTTGCAGATAAAGTCGGTGGGTTGTATGATAATGTGAGAGACCGAGTAGCTGGACCTGGACATGAAGGTTATGGTGCACTTGCGACGTCTCATGACGGGAACGATTGGGATCGGTATGATGATAGCGAGGACCACTTCTTTGACGAGTTCTCGAATGACCAGCCCAAGACGAATACTGCTACGGTTGCGGGAGGGTCTTCGGCGACGGCCGCCCCATCTACAGCAGCGTCAAAGGGCACTAGCAAGAAGGAAGAAGACTGGGACGAATGGAAGGACTTCTAAATTCTACATAGATACCTGGCTTGTGGAATCATTGTTGATTAATTGTACATTGTAGAGGTGATACTGTTTCGCTCTTTCCCTAGTTTTCCTTGTCTCTAGAGTTTAGATACACCAGTATTCTCAAACACGGAACACTAGCTTTACTGGAAAGCAAGAGAATATTATATATCCGTGTGCCTGGCTAATGTGTTGCTTAACCACAAACTTCAGTGAATGTTGGTAATTGCAATGTCTAGTGTTGCTCAATCTCAACTCTTGCCAATGGAGAAGAACAGGTAGTAAAAGTTCATGCCAATTCCATAAGATACTTCCAAGGTTCAGGATGAAGGATCAAATAATGTATTGAGCATGTACATATTACTCGATTGCTTGGAGGCGAAGAGCCTTTTGAAGTTATGTCTACCGGTAAACATGGTCGGCTGTAAAGTGGGCATTATTAATGCCTTGTTCATAATGAATCACTGAGATACACACCGTGCAAGTTTGCGGCGATTTCTGCCTCTGCACGGTCGCCATTCGCAAGTAGCTTTTCCTTGTTGTAAAGAAGTTCCTCGCGAGTCTCTGTGCTATATTCATGGTGTTGTGCTATAGCACACCCAAGTTACATCATATACATTGGAGAGTTAGCGTAAAGTGCTTACTTTCGACAATAGCATCAACAGGGCATGCCTCCTGGCAGAATCCACAGTAAATGCATTTTGTCATATCAATATCTTGGAGAGCAATTAAGTGAGCTCCAGGCAACGAGGATAAACCGGCTTTACTTACCATATTTCGTCGTTCTCCTCGATCCATCCTGTCTCGCCTCGCTCTCAATGGTAATAGCCTGCGCAGGGCAAATTGCTTCGCAGAGCTTGCACGCTAACCGACGTAATCAGAACGGGAAATGTGAGATAGAACGTTGAACTGACCTATACAGCGCTCTTCACCAGACGGGTACCGCCTCAGCGCATGTTCTCCACGGAAACGAGGTGAAAGTGGGCCCTTCTCAAAAGGATACATTATAGTGTACGGCGGGCGGAAAAATTGCTCCATGACAATCCACATTCCTTGCAGTACAATCAGCCTGTGCGTCGTTACTACAAAAAATAACTCAGAAACACAGCGTACCGCGTAGAATCTCGGTGAAGAAAAATAAGTGCACGGCCTTGTCGAGTGCACTCTGCTGGCCCTTGTATGGATTGACGTCGGCATTTGAGGTTGTAGCAGCAGGTGGATGGGCATGATTATGACCGGAAGCATGCTGTGCGTACATTCGAGATGGCGTCGTTGCCAGCGAGCGTGTAAGGACCTGACGAGCGATAGCCGAACCCTGTGTGCGCGATGCACGCGAGGAGACAAAGGCTCTGCTCTGCTGGAGAGCAAGCCGGCGAACGAGCGACATGGTGGTCGGAGGACAACGGATTGTTAACGTTAACGGTCTGCAGCACTGACGTTGTAGAGCAGCGCTTCAAAGTTGGGACGATGTATTATTATGTAATACAGCCAATCACATCGCGTCGAAATCGAAACTATCGGAAACAACAGCGACTGAGCGACGACCTCGTCTGCTCAAACGATGGCGACTGTGCAAAGTGCCAGTCAAGCTACTTCAAAGCCTTTGAATACACAAGGTACTGTCGAGTAATAATACATGGTACTCGCTAATAATCTCGGTGAATATTTTACGCAGAGCTGCAGCAGACTCTCAGTCGGCTACAAAATGAACTACAAGCTCTCGCCAAAAAGATCGGTGAACTAGAGTCGGAGGCAGAGGAACACGAGTGAGCGGCCTTCATAGTGAAACTCTCCACTATACCCGATCAATCACCGTTCGTGTACGCCAGCTTGGTATTGTCTACTTTGAACGAGGTTCTTCAGACCGACCCTCAACGAACATGTTTCCGAATGGTCGGAGGAGTCCTTGTCGAACGGACCGTCGCGGATGTTGTTCCAGCATTAGAAACTAACAAAGAGGGGGTATGATGCTTCGTAAAGCACTATTAGCCCACAGTCACTTGGCTAACACCCGGTTACCCTAGATCAAGCAAGTCGTTTCGAATCTTTTGGCTCAATACAAATCCAAGGATGAAGAGTTTGAGTCATTGAAGAGGGAATACAACGTCCGGCCTGTTGGAGCTGCTTGAGTGGCACATAACTGCCTTCGGGTATGACCTCGCTTCCGGTCAATTGGCAGATTGTGGAAGAAAACTCCTCATCTCCTTCGGCACATCCTGACGGAAAACAGGCTGATGCACTTTTCGCCGGCGTTATCCTAGGTTCTGACTAAAATTACGACGGAGTGTATTATACAGAAGTCAATTGTATCATCGATGCGACATCTTTTATCGATTTTCTCGCCACCGCGAGCTACAGATATCATGCCGTCACTACTCTTTCAAACCATTCAATGCACTCACGATTGCACTCGGAAATTTCTCCTTTGGTATACTAGGTCTGGTCCAAAGCTCCGCCGCGGCTAGCCCCAATCTTGTCATCATGCCCTACATACATCTGTTCCTGCGATGGAAGCTTTTTCAAGACATATTTGACTCGACCCCACTCGAAGACCCTCACGAAGTAATGTACGGAACATGAGCTTCCGCGAGTCCTTCGCCATCTCCGCTTTAATTAACTGAGTTGTACTCTCACGTAACCGGCCGAGGCGCTGAAAGATCAATTGAATATCTTATTCTCCGAGAGTATGGAAAGAGCCCAATCGAACGCCTCCACGACGTTTCCACCGATCCAGACTTGTCAGGATCGCAGGACAGGGGCCAAGACTTGGGGAACCTCTTGATACTTCCCCGCAGCTGAGCGCTTCTATAATCAGCATGAACATACCAGCGCATCTTTCACCTCCCTGTCTATCGGACACCCATTGATACGCATGCGCTTCTACGCTCACACTGTGGACAAGATTGCAGCTAGATGCTACCTTATGCTGGCGATTCCGAAAGAATGACTAGGGTCCTAACCGGCTTCCTCGGGGCATAGGTTCCGTCATGCACAGCCTCACCTGTCCGGGCGGTGATGAAAGGACGAGTTTGTATACCGGGTCTCAGGGTGCACAAGAATGGCATCACAAACACAGGGCTCGCCTTGTGCCGTTCGCCACCGCAATAAGGGCGACTAAGCTACACAACGTGTTACCTGGCACCTAAGCACATGCACGTTTTACGACACTAAAAACCGGGGTCATCGTTCACTGACAGCCACTTGCTTCCGTTTTGAATGGAAACAAAAAGGATACCATTGTTCTATGATTGTTAACTCAGGGCGGCAACACAGCTTACGAAGTGGAAAGTATCACGCATTCACTCCGCCATTCAGTCGTTATTATTGCTAAGGCCTTGATCCCATCGACACGGTTTGGCGCTTACTTTAGACGCCCGTGAACCTGTTGTAAAGTGATGGTACTGAGGTGTGATCACAGGTTGAATACTTCAGCAGAATTCGCTCAAGCGCTAATCGTACCTTGATTGCTCGTGACGTCTCACCTTCGTTCTGGGCTCCCCGCTCGACCGCCCGGCAAATTCGACAAACCTTGAAGGAGCGTTCATCCGAGGAGACACGCTTTCCTTGAAACATTTCAACAAGCACAACTCAACAATAACACAATGGAAGTATTACTCTCACTTTAGCCTACGCGCCTACACGAACTCAAAAAAGATGGTCCACATTTAGTTAAATTCATATGGGTCTTTGTGGCGTCGGGTACCTTACAACGCAACTGCCGTCGCGTTTGTACTTGGCCTGTTTTCGTTATTCGTTAAAGCGACAGGGGCTATCTGGAACGCAGTCCAATGGGTTAAGGTTATAACAGAGATGCGATCTGAAGAACTCAGTTCGCCGATATTGAATGGGCTTCTGCGTACTCGTTGAAGGTATGAGCGCATGATTCGAAATTGGTCCCCCCCCTTTGCTAATTTCATGATCTATCCTAAGCAAATGATATTTAACTGAGTCTGACTCATCCCCCCACACTGCTATCCGGAGATATTTTAACTTTACTAAATGAAATCAAAGTTCAGGGCAATTGATATCAAGTGCTTCGCTGCGATCTTTACAAGCCAACCGTTCGTCCTCGGCGTTTAGTCTAACAGGATGTGATCAAGGAAATAAGTGACTCGGCGAAATATGGCTGTACATTTTTCCTTCGGCGAGGTGTCAAAAGTGCGATCACCAAAGCGCACATGCGGAAATGGAAAGGAATAGAGTGGTGCGTGATATGTGTCCGCTCTTCCCGTTGACGCTCACGTCCTTTCAGAGAGTCTCATTAGAACACGTATTCAACTAAGACAGGGGGAATTAATGTGCCTGCGCCGCAGGCAACTGCGAACATGGGAACTACGTGTTGCGATCTTAGACATGTTTCATTCGGCAGTATCAAAGAGGCCCAATCACTTGTCGAAAAAGTTGCAATGACTCGCCTTACAGAATCGATAAGAGCGAGTGCGCCGCCGACATTTCACATTATGCTGTTTGAAGATCCTCGGCTACTGTATTGATCTCAACTGAGTTCATCCGTGTTCCCGGCGTCGACCTACTTACCCACCGAGCCACCATGATTCTCGTTACTTGGGATTGGAAACCTACATTGACTTATCCAAAAACGATTGAATCCTGATTGTGGTGGAAGACCCTCGGACACCGGCGTATAACATGGAATATGGTTCTCATTTATATTCATTTCCATACCTGTATCGGCATGGACATGCACGGCCGCTACTGAAACGGCAAGTTATACCTCCGGTGACTTTGTGAAGTTGTCAGGAAGCGAGAACAAAAACAGGTCTCCGGCGGATCCTATTCTTCTTTCCTTCCTATCATGTCACTACTACAATGCACACGATACGATACACCGAGGACTCTCGTCGTTCTTCACGCATGATTCGCAATTAGTGAACAGCTCCTATGTCGATGAGAAGTTCGTGTTCAGAAAGAGTGAGAGGCGTGTCTATCGCGGATCCCTCCTTTATCACCGATTTAGTATTTCCCCCTCCCTTCTCCTTCATCATTACCCGAGTAAAGTACCCGAATCGCGTATTTTGGCATAGCATAACATGGACTATCTCGTAATTTCTACCCATACTCGTGTGTGCGCGGCGCAAACGTAAAACGGGATCATAATCGAAAGCTCAGACAAAGGGGCTCCTTTGGACCTTCCCAAACTATGGTGTGTATGTATTGTACGTGTATACGCACTGTAATTCACGTCTGCGCCACTTAGTTCGGACTTTGGTTGGCAGGTTCTGTCCATCGAGCAGCCATCTATATCCGAACGCCAAGCGATGTAACAGTAACAATGACTCCTCGTTCCCCTTCGGGACCAATGTTATCCTGACAGCGCGAGTCTAACGTTGATGACATCTCTCCCCTGCCATCCTCGGCGTGATATAAATAAACGCTTTGGGACAGATTTTTTCACAACTTAGTTACACGTTAGCTGTCGGCGATACGGTGCCCGGTAGATATCCGGATGCTATTGATATTACGGCAATGCATCTGTTGTCTGTTTCTTATCACATTCTCTCGCGTAGATGTGAAGGAGGATGAGAGAAGATCATCTGTCCCTTCTTCCTTCCCTCGTACTCCCCCCGAGAGCCCCTTTATGAACGAATTTGTCTTTCTCATTCATCTTTTATCTTTTATCTTCTCTTCACAAGAGAAATGGTTTCGTCACCGGAAGTACATAATAGATATACAATACTCGCTTCCTTTCAAATCTCTTTCACGCTAATGTAATAACCAATTGATCCATACATCTACCGCAATTTCTTTCGCATTCATTGTAACTTTACAGCTTTCCAACATCAAAGCACGAGCGTTCCACTCGGCGGAGACTCGCCGCACACACGTCTCTTGGTCCTTGATCCTCTGATACCCATGCCCAGCCTATGACAGCTGTCTACCCACCCTCTATCTGAATATAGACAACAACAAGCACGCAATACCCAAATCAAATCCACCGGTAAATCTTGTCCGGTATCACAAATCCTCTTGTTAGACATGATATCGGTGATCAGCATCCGTTCGCTGAGATGCACTTGGCCTGATATACACCACGAGCCGGCATCCTATGCCCAAATCCCCTTTCCCCAAGACATAAGACGATCTCAAGTTACGAGTTAATAATTGATTGATTCTGATCACCTCTCCGCTCGCCGCTCGCCTACATGTACGCTGACGTTGACTCTTTTCAGAATAACGCTGAGCACACACGTCCAAGAGAGGCGATGAAGTCTAAATATAGTAGCTCACCTACCTAATTTAGTCAAGTTCAGCATTTTTGGACATACAACCAAATACATGTAAATAATACCTGGGAAAAACGACTTGGTGACGTTCGCCTGCCACAGAGCCATTGTCGTTTTCCGGATTCTCGTGGCGTACATTTTATTTCATAATCACATAGTTCATAGTCTGAATAAGAGACGTTGGCGCATAAAATAAAGCAAAAAAGGAGGATATATTACTTAGTATATGAACATGTAAGACATGTGTATAACACAAGATGATACGGAGCAACGCAGAGAGTAGATACACTAGATACAAAAATGATACTCGGAAAATCGGGCATGAGAGACTTTATCGATTAACGCCCCGGAAAATGTTGAAAGTGACATTTGTCTGCCACAGAAGCATTTTCCAAAAATCTCGTGGCGTACATTTCACATAGTTTATAGTTGAAATAAGAGACAGGGAGCACAAAATAAAGCAAAAAGGAGATTATATTACGATATTGACATATAAGACATACGTATGTATAGCACAAGACGGATGATACGGAACGACACAGCGAGCTAGATACACTAGATACACAAAACGATACTCGATACTCGGAAGATAAATTCGGACATGAGACTCTTCGCGTAAGACTGATTCATGTATTTCAAAAAAGAATAACAAAAACAACACATCAAAACCAAGACATTTAGACAAGCACATGTCCTCCAATAATACCCATTGTCTAAGATGGAGTAGTAGACGAGCTACGTGCGATAGTACCATCTTCAGCGGCGGGGCGCACGTCAGTTTTAGCACCGGAGTTTGGTGGTGCAACGTCTTCACCAGTAGTGGGAGGTGAAGCATGGTTGTTGTTGAACGACTCAGTTCGAGCCGGGCGTTGTATATACGGCGGCGTTGGAACACGCGAGTTAGATGCAGCAGCAGGCACCGGAACACTCCCTTCGTTTGCTGGCACCGGGGTCGGCGCAGCGGGTGTAGCTGCATTCGCTTGTTCTGCAGCAGCAGCAGCCGCTGCTGCATCAGCTCGTTCACGGTCTCGTATAACATACGACCCCGGCCCGACACGCTGATGTCCATGAATCCGCGTATGCGGGTACGGACCTCCGCCCGGTGAATGTGGAGAGTGAGAATGCGAATGTGAGTGCACATGTCCATGTCCATGTCCATGGGAGTGGCCAGAATAATGAGACGACTGTGAATGCGAGCGATGTAGTGGTGGTGGTGGAGATGTTCGAATTGGACTTAGTCCGGAGGTCCCACCCGAAGGAGGTGGAGAGCCCCCTATGCGTTCCTGGTAGCGATGTCCGTGGTGATGATTGTGATGATGATGATGTCCTCCGTGAACGGATGCATCTTCGCGAGCCTCGCGACGCTGTGCTCTCTCGCGGTCACGCACCTCACGTTCAACGTCCCAGTCACGTTGCCTTTCACGTTGCTCGCGACTTGACGCAGGGGCAACTGGAACTTGAGATGCAAGTTGTGGAGAAACACCTTGCATATGAGCGGAGTGAGAACGCGAGCTAGATGAGCTTCGCGTCGGCTCCGGCGGCGGACCGCCAGGCGCTTGTCCACTTGTACCTTCACGTAATGCCTGTTCACGCTTGCGTTCCATCTCTTCTCTCTCGCGCATCTCGCGAGCTTCTTTTTCGCGCGTCTCACGCACTTCCTTACTCACACGACCCCCGCGTTTTCTGTGCGAAGGTGCGGACGGAGGTGGCGGAGCGTGAATGTCCTGAGCAGGAATGACGAGTCCGTCCGCTGTGGTAACTGGACGACCATCCGGACCGGCTACGACAACTAACGGTCCCTCGGCAGTTTGAATTGTGCAAACTTGCTGTGCATGTGTAATTGGAAGCTGTCCTGGATGCGCCATGTCGTGAGATGGATGGTGTGGATGGTGCGCCTGCATATGATGCTCCGGTGGAGAAACATGCGGTGGTGGCGCAGGCTGGATAGGTTGCTGGTGGTGCTGCGAGTGATGATGGTGAGGGACTGACGAACCCGAAGTGCGCTGTCGGCGTCCGGCCTCCCTGTACGCGGGGGCATCTGCGTGTCGCGGTACATGCGTGCCTGGAGGAGCTTGCTGAGCTACATGCTGAGGCGGCAAGGGTGCATTTCCTGGGGGCGGCGATGCGGGAAGAGCACCGAGGCGTTCATAGAGGATTCTGTATGATGTAACATGATTGGATACGGAAAGGTAAATCAACCGGGTCGGGAGGAAGGGCAAGCAGCAAGCCACTTACGCTCGTTCGAGCTTCGCGCGCTGGATGTTTCGCTTTGCTTGCAAGACTTTGAACAAGAGTCTATCGTTGTCCTATACAGGGCAGATTAGCCATTACTTAAGATACCACAAACCCATGTTAGTGATGACGTACTGATTCAATATCTTTTACTTTTGCCTTGAGGTCTCTGTACTTGGCTGCATACTTAACGTCCTCTGCACCAGCAGCGATGCCACTCTGGTATGCCCTGCTCTTTGTGCGGCCGGATGAAGATGATGACGTGGCGACTGTGCCCGGCGCTGGTGCACCCCGCTGCGACTGATCAGCTTGTTCACCAGCGCGGTAAGTAATTTTAAGGTGGCCCTTCTCGATCGGAAGGCCGTGTGCGTCGCGATAGTAGCTTGGTTGTTGGCCCGGGATGACGGGACCAGGGGATGGCTGGCGCGACATGGCGGTCTTTTCCCTCTTGTTTGAAAATAAATTTATTCCTTTTGTACTGTTTTGATGGCCCAGTGTAATTTCCCAACCAATAAGCTTCTGTATTTGGATGTTGCCGTGAATGTGATTTAGTCCGAATTGGGCGAAGGCGGCGGTGAGGTCAAACGGACGATGGTGGGAGATGAGAGAGAGGAGGAGATCTCATGGTGATTAGGCGTGAGTTGTGGAATGGCCGGGATTAGCCAATCCTTGCCCTAAGAATGAACTGATAGGCTGGGCTAGGCGCGTTCACTTCTTCGTTTTTCTCGCTGCCTCACTTTGCTGTTTCCATCACTTCCATCTGGCAACTCGCGCCGATCGTCTCCATATCGGGCAGTCTCTCACGCTCGTCACAACACACGCACACCAACTACATCTACTCTTCTCCTTTCTAGAGTCCATTGGCGGCGACAATAATCCAACCAGTGCGTTTAGTTGCTCTTCTTCTGCTCATCCGCAATGCACTGATAGTGTCGTCTTCTTCAGTGTCGCTTCCTTACAGGCAGTACGTCTAGTTCATCTCTTATTTGACAGCTTGCACGCGCGCTATTCTTCTTTTCATCTCATTCGCCATTGTTCGTCTTTACAGGGATATGCCCCCTCCAGGTGGGTTCGAGAGCATCAAGTACAAACGCAACCTCCCTTTCCGCGGCCCCTCCAGCGCAGCCATTGTTATTGGCGTTTTTGGCATATGTGCCTTTGGCTTCTATCGTCTTGGCCAAGGAAACCTCGAGAAGCGGTCAGTATATCGCTTTCCATTACTCTCTAATATTATTTCGCCTCTCTTTCCTTCCGCTTTTGAGTCTCCTTGTCTTATCTTCATTTCGGCATTTCGCCCCGTCCTATTACCCACTGCCCCTCTTTCCTTTTCTCTTGTTCGGGAGGTCGCGATTTGACCCGGAAACTCTCGTCTGCCGCGCTGGCCGACTCGCGATGCTCGGAACTCAGATCCCTGGTCTGTTCCTTTCATCATCCTGTTCGCGTTAGACAAACCTCCGATGCACCACGGACGACAGCGAAACCGTCCGCACGAAGTGGCGCGGGCGAATCAACGACATCTCGTAATAGGACAAGACCAGGTATTCGGACAATAGGACCGGCATGATAAGAAGTTTGCGCAGCCACGAGACACCATCGTGAACACGCGATACTGGGCGCTTAGTCTGGCGTACTCCGAACGGGATTCTCAGCTACAGAGTCTACTTGCGGATCTCGGATGGGCTTCATAGCTTCAATCTTGCTGACGCATGCTGATGACCCTCGTGACGCGTGGAGTCGATACCAGTCGCGATGCGCTAGGACAAATAACCAAAACTTATTTGACAGTAATTTGAACTAATGGGTATGTCGAATTTCTGAATCTTGTTTGTTGACACTTAGCTTACTGTGGCTTTGGTATCCCTATCTTTCTGAACTTTCGAATTTAGATAATGTTCTCGGCATGATGGGTCACGAGCCAAGGTATCAGGGACAAGGGACGCAAAACGAAAGTTTGGATGGACGAAGAGAAGGGTTGCGACGAAACAAAAATAGGAGAGATCATGAGTTCAAATTGTCATCTTTTACCGGGCTTACCCGCACGGTTGCTTTCGTGTCCGCAACGCCTGAAGCTACTCGTCGCGGCTTCCCGAATTTCAACTTTTAAAAAAAAATTCCACTCTTACTTTCTTTCCCGTTCTCAACTCTATCTTCCTTCTTGCATTCTTCTGCATCTGTTTCGCACTTACTGACAGGCTTCCTTCCGAATCCGTACAACTTCTGCATATCAGAGAATTACAGCGCGAGAAGACATGGTCAAGGCTTCACCTAGTACCGTTACTCCTCGCGGAGGGCGACCGGGACGCTTACCGCCGAAGTCAAGCGGCATTGGCACGCGAGAAGGAAATTATGAAAGATGTGCCTGGTTGGGAGGTATGTGTGTCTTTTTTGTCTTCGTCTTCTTTCTTTATTCTTCTTTCTATATATGTTTGTTCTGTTCTGTATCCAATATTTTATTTCCTTGAAGAAGCATTGATACTGACATTTTGTTTTTCTTCGATTTTTATTCCGGGCCGGTGACTAGCCCGGGAAGAGTGTGTACAACAACGACCGGTACCGGGGTCAGGAATCAATTGTTGTGCTGTGAGAGCGAGAGTGTCTTCATCCATAGACGACAGTACAAATTCAAATGTAGTACGGACAAGAAAGAAGCTATTGCAACTCATTTCTTCTTGTTCTTTTCCTTCTTTCACACTTGTCATTTCGACTGCGCGAGATTTGATGCCTCAGTCATTCTATCCAGTCACTCTGATCCGGGGTCCGACACACTTACAACTTTTTACAACTTAGGTATGTGTCATGCTTGTGGTGTCATTTCAATAGGAGAAGAAGATGTATCATTGTATGGATGCAGACATCGGTTGGTGGGACAAGTAACTATAACTCATCTTGGCGGATCATCGGACGGGGGATCACCTTTAGTTCAGACTGGGTAACTGGGGAAAGAGACTCGAAGGTTTATATCGGCATGCGGCGAAGCGTGGCATTTCGTGTATGGAGAATCCGTTGCTCTGTTGCTCTATCTCTCCACATATACATTCATCTTGTAGGGAAGAAAGAGACTTAAAGGTATCGGCGTGCGGTGAAGCGTGGCATTTCGTCTATGGAGGATCAGTTTCTCTATTCTTTTGTTCCTCTATCTCTCCGCACGTACATTCAACATTCACCAACCCAAGAAGAGCCCTTGAAGCTTCTCCAGAAGATAGGCCAAGACTCAGGCAAGTTCGCGTTCTGCGCAGCGTGCGTGGCGTTGGTATCAATAGTATTATTGTATGTGCGGACTTACGCCTTGCACAGCCTTGGAGCTGTGGTCGCTACGTTTGAAAATGTTTTCACTCCTCGGAGCTTCTTCACCGTTCAACGGTCTCTTTTCTTCGTCTGAATCTGCTTTTCTACTCTTCTAATAGGGTGTAGGGCATCGCTACCGAAAGCTTGCCCTCTCAATAATTTCTGAGCCGAGTTCCGAAAGTTGGAGACCCGGAGTATGCGAACGTGATAGGGCCTTACATACGTATTGGCGCATTGGTGGGTAAAGAAGACCGCAGTTATACGTAGTTAGGTCCCCGCTGCGCCGAATGATTGCGACCAATTTGCTGCTGTTCGACCGAAGCAGAAGTGTTTAAACCGAATGACCGATCGAATCCATTAAGACTGCTCCATAACATTTTTTCATACGTGTCCATGCGTAAATGTGCGGTTTATGCGCTTTTGATACTTCCTTCCGAACTTCGTCCCGCTGCTGTGCCTGAACTTGGTATGGTTTTTGGAGATTGGTTCCGCGGCATGGATATGGAATGCTATGTGTGCGATTGGACGCGGATTTACGGTGGGCGTCTAAAACACGGCATCAGATATGATGCTTTCAGCGTTTGCATGTGTTGTAAACTGACTCTTTTCCTTCCTTTATGTTCACCATTTACCGCCGCTCAATCAAAGCACCGTGTAAACCGAACGTCCGAGAGAACGACCAAGACCCGCTCCATAACAACTCCATCCATATGCATGCGTATATGCAGATATGTGGATATGGTGTGTTTTTGATTCTTCCTTGCTTCCTTAACCCTTCTCGCTGCTGTGCCTGAGCTTGGAATATCTTTTCTTGGCCTCTAATTCCGCGCCGTTTATAAGGACTAGATACTATTGGATCCGGATGTACAATTACTGTGGGCGTCTAACACAGCCTCTGTTATGATGCTTTCAAAGTTTGCATGTGCTACAAGCAGATAGATGCTGTTTCTTTATGTTCATGGTGAGCTTTTAAAGTTTGTTCTCGGACCTCCGAGGATATTTAAAGGCCTTGCATTTGCTCCCTTTTCGCCTGATGGTCTAGACCCTGGACTTGTCCATTACCATCATCCACGGATGAGAGGTATATTATCGAGTGTGCTGTTCCATTATTGCACGCATTTGGTGCACTTGTTCCGTCGGATTGAACATGGATCTAGACCTGTAATCATATTTACGGCTCTAGCAAGTAACCCTCGAATCTATTTACAGGTTCCATTATGAATCTTGTCTTTCCGTCTTTTGCCTCCTCTCTGCTCTCTTCTCTATGACGTCGGACCCTTCAACCTGCATCCATTACATTTTCATCACATTACATTTCGTGTGTACAGATCATCAGTCCGTCTAATTTCTGTCTGAGTTCGCTCAATCCGCTTCTTTCAGGGACTATAACTTACGGCACTTGTGGCGCCAAACAAAAGCCACTAGTTACAAACGCAGATGCACGGAACTCCACATTCCACCTTATCCCGCATGGACATATCACATAACTCCTGGCAACTAGAGTCTAATTGATTGACACGTACGTACGTGTCAGACTGCAGCCGGCGGAGTATCCATACATAGGAGGTCAATCAAAGACTGACCGGCCCGGGACATGTGGTGTTCGAACTTCTTAATAGCAGTCCCGCGTTTTTGGAAGAGATAGACGTTTCGGAGAGGGATGCTCATATGTCCTGACATATGACGTATGTGTGTCTGTGCCCATGCTTTGTCCAATATTAACGTTTGACTTGTCTGACGTGTCTACAAGTCCAGTACAGTAATCCACGGTACCTGGGACAGCGAACGTCGGCGGGTATAATTAGCACCAACTGTTTGTTCAGAGCAAGTACTTTTGGGTCACCTCAGAAGGTATTCTCAAGTCAGACCTGTAACAACTACATAGGAAGCTATCTGAACCGAAATTAATCCGTGATAACATCTTTTCCCTCCCTGTGGTGTCCTTTGGGTCGTTGGGGTCTGAGTGAGACGGATAAGTATGAATAATTTAGTATTGCTATTCCTTTGATCCCGGAAACACTTGATAAACATGTGCAGCTCCATAAAAGGATGAAATACTATTAACACCCTTCAGCGGGAGAAGAGCTCGTTGATATCAGTGAGGCATCTAATACAGTTTGCAGATCATAGGCTAAGAATTCATATAGATTCCATGTGGGAGCTGGAAGAACAAGCCTTAGTGTTGCGAATGGCAGTGATAAAGGAACATTAGTCATTGCAAAACATACATCAGTCATCCAACCTCACTCTTTGTACCGTTATCGGAAAGTAGTGACTTTGAGTGAAAGGTAGATAGATCTTGAGTTTATACTGCGGATCTTCTTTGAGGAATACCTTCCTAACTTCGACATCAGTATCATCATAGAACCTGGAATCAGACGTCTCTTCAGACTAGTACGACAAGTGATATTAGCTTCGCAGAGCATTTAGATAAGTTTAGGCAAAAGCCTAATAATAACATTACCGAATTATGATATCCGTCTCACCTATCCAGTGCTTCAGACCTCTCAGCAAAACCAGTTTGTCGGTTCCCCAATACACAGCTCATCTTCATTCCCTCTTCAGGCCTAGTGCTGTACCTCCTTTCCCCTCAAGTGTGCCGCCTTTGCCCCTGTCCGAAAGAGACAGGCTTCTTTTGAAGGAGAATTCTTCCTTTGGCCAACTCTCCTTTGTTCGAACTCTATTCCGTGATTCCGTGATTCTCTGCTGTTCGTGGAGTGTGAGGATGTGGAGATGAATATATGTGTATGGTTCGGACTCCAGGCCCTGGCTTATGGTGTAATGTTACAGGATTCTGAGTTCCGGACTTCAGACACCCTGTACCACGCACATTCCTCCGCCGATGCGGCAGCGACGAACGTGGAACGTGGCACGAATATTAATCCTGCTATCTCCTCATCCCGCCCATCGATAAACGTGTACCCCAGCTTGTACCCCTCTTCCGGACCCCCGGGCTGTCCGTGGACTTCCCACTGCGATTTTCAGCTATTTGAAATTAATTTCTTGCTTTGTTCTCCATGAGTGGAAATATTCCATTATTTCCGCGGAGTCGTTGTTGAAAGAATCGAGAAACGGATCGGTCACCAGTTGTTGTGGGAAGTGGCCGTGCATAGTCTTTATTTGCCGAACGAGTCAGAGTCAGAAATGCACGATGCATCATATGATATGGTGGTTGCTATGTCTGCCGAGTACGAGGAATGGATCGGCAAGAATGATGAAGATGATGAAGAAAATGATGACTACTTGCCTATCTTTGCCTCCGCGCCGCCACTGTTGCTAATTCTAACGTCTCTTTTACTTGCCGGTTTGGGCATTTGTTATTTCGTATGGTAACTCCTCTCTGTGAGCTTTGATCAGTAGTGCATCATATGTATAGTATAGTAAAATAATACGTAAGGAATCCAGAGGTCCCTGTGGCTTCCATACCATCTATTGCCTCGTTTGCCGTTGAACAGCGTAGGCATCATACGTACGCGGACGCTGATACACGTGTTTCAGCACCCCTGTGTGTATGCTGGATTCCTAATTCGGTGCCGACGGTTTACTTCCATCGAATGGAGACTTGCTGCGTAATTAGCAAAATGTGTAACATAGCCAATGACCGTGTGCTCAAGAGAAGCAGTGTTGCTCGCTAATCTGATTCCGGTGTTTTATCTTTCTTTGAGGTTACTGATGATGGTGACGAGAGATACGCAAGAGGATGGCGGAGGCAGTACGAACGCCGATCCATTGCGGGGAATGGAGAGAAGAGCTTCTTCGCGATGGAGAGATGGAGAGCGGATCATACTCTCACTCGTTGATCAGGTTCCGTTTCTGCGATACGAACGATTGAGCGTGATACGATTACGGTCTCGTCATCCCGACGGTATGTGTGGATATAGTTTGCCCCCGCGATCTCTGGAAGCAACTTCTGCTCGCGATTACGATTGCGTGGACGGCGAAGTCGCTCTGGAACCTGGATTGACTTGCCGGTCCGGTCCGATTTGACATACGATCGTACAGAACTCCGTGATCCCGCAGGTCCGCGCTGACCAATGCCCCGACTCTTCCGACTCCCGAGCACGAACCTGAGCGGCGCGTCGATCACGAGTAATTCATGTAGTATATGAATAGAAATGTGAAAAGCTTCTCCCGCTGAACTTTACCCCCTTCCGAGCCCGATTTCAATAGATAATCTTTGTATGTATGCGCCAAGGGCTCGTGCCTTGCATTGCTTCACCTCTGGTGGCAATTTTGATCCACATTAAACTTAGCGTCGGGACTCGGTTGTGTTGAGTGATTTTGTTGTGGACTTTGATTCTTTGTCAATTCCTGTTTGAGATACTGATATTTGATGTTGCATATGTTCAGGTCAGGAGGAGGCTGAGCTGGGTACGACGCTAGGGCGCTGTCGCTAGTCCTGTGGCGCGGACGCTGCCGCACACAACCGCGCAGTATGCCGCTCATCGAACTCGCTGACCCACTCACTTGCATCTGGGCCCGAGTCTGCTGATACATCATGTTCGGGTCGGTACATGTAAGTGATACATTCGGTACGGACAGGAGTGGCATCACGAATCCATGATCGCATATACTACCGAGATTAGTATTGAGTATCTTAGCATCAGCAGAGCGCCGTTGTGAATTCGAAAGTAATGCAAAGCCACATTGCTGAATACGTGTCGAATTCACGTTTATCTGTGACTCTAGGCCTTTTGGCATTTCCAGGTTCGGGGTGAGGTAAGTTCCGCGCCTCTATTGCGCCTCTATCTCTTGGTAGCTGTTTGGAAGGTTCAATATGTGAAAGAGGGTCTTGATTGTTTTTCGGTTTCCTCGCCTCACCGATGCGCGTGTTGCCGATACTATTCATGAAGAATCCAAATCATACCTCTCAGTAGCGCCGATGTTGGGGTATATATTACTACTAGTTTGTGGGCTAGGATCCAGAGCTTAATGAATGACGTCGAAAGTAGAAGATTACCCGAACTGCTTATCACTAGTTCTACCGCTATTACAACAATAGGAACAGCTTTTGATTTTGATGATGGCGATGATGATCAAAATTCTGTCAGTGATCCAAGTAATCTAGAAGGGTAATCTATGTCTTTCTTGGTTAATCGAAATGAGAACCTTCGCGGCAGAGCTTCATCAACTTCCTTACTGATGCTTATTTTCTGAAAACTAACTAGGGTGATTGTCGACTACACATGATTGATAAATCAGTCCAGGGCAAGGGCATTTAGCATATCAGACATCCCGACGTACTCTTTTAATAGCAGACTATAACTACATCCGAGTCGGAGTAAATTGATTTGAATATTTTACTCATACGGTACTGACAGAGGTCTTGTTTGCAGCGATAATAAACTCATCAAGAACCATGTTTTTCCCGAGGATAGCGGTTTTGAAGTCAGAAACGGAAATCGGTATCGAATGAGCGCAAAATTGTGGAGAGCAAAGACTGGGTGGTGAATCGTGGCATGTTAAGGGTCGAACGAGCTAGTCGACTTTATAGCTCGCGGGAGGACCAACGACCGAGATTGCACATCGTGCATCCGTACCGAAATCGAGATTGTATTGATGTAAGCTTGCGGGGCGATTTCTCGGCGATTTTGTGTATCACGGCGTCCTTCCCGCCGAGTCCAGTAGGCAAGTGTGCGAGTGGCAGTAAGCTGGATAACACAGGTAAGATAGACGTGGAGCGGGTAATTCCCGAGCGCGATCCGTGCTCACTTCATCTTCTGTTGTCAGTAACAGAATTGCCCGCTAATAATCACATTATTACACCTGCCTGATATTCATGTGCCATTTGCCATGCAGCATGCACTGTCAGGCGAGGACGGACCGCAGGCAATACAAATAGAATAGACATCATCATCGAGATGAACACGTTGCAAAGGAGTTTGATACGCCGATGATCGACGGTCAGTTTTCTTTCAATTTCATTCGCGTGCATATAGAATTCTAAGGATATACTTCCGCGTGTGCGAGTTGCGTGTGCGTGGGTGGAGTCGAGGAGAGTCTGGAATTAATCGATAACGTTCATCGTCCCGTCGCCCCGTCCGGAGGAAATGAATTTAATTTTACCCTGTAAAATGAACGCGTGCGTGCGGTGAGAGTACAATAAGATTAAAATTATGTCCGACCAGCCCGTGTCTGTGCCGGCGGATAAAAGTGAATTAAATTAATTTTTCGAGACGGGGCGATGTGCACGGTACGAGATACGCGATATTGACTCCGCGTACATCCCGCGCGGGTGAAGAGCGTGTGTGAGATGGGTGGAAGAGGGGAAATTAACTGCGACGGTAGTTGAGATAATTGCTATGCTGTACGGCATCCTATGTAAAGCATCACTGGAAATTACCGGATTTATTATTCGTTATTCTCGTGAGATAATAATACGTGTCGCTTGTCAGACAAGGGGACAGTGCGCATACGTTAAAAACACAAGCGAGAGGCGGGGATTTCTAATTTGTCTGTTCCGTATAGCGGACGTGTACAGCACGTCGGGATGGCTTTATGACTAGAAATGACGATCGACAAGCGGAATGCGAATTGACAATGAGCTGTAAGGAAAGAAATTTCCAATAATCTTCAAGAAGGCTATGTTCTTTTCGTTTTAACCGGAGTCGTTCACACGTTCTCGTTCATTCGTCGAGTAAAAATAAAGGAAGTGTCAGTTGCAGGCGCCTATTCGAGCAAGAGGGTTTTGATGATGGAATGGAGGTTTAAACAAGAAGGCCTATGAGGAAGGAAGAGAAGCACGGGCGATAAACCCTGAGCAAGACCCTGAGGACTGCTGGTGAAAACTCTAAAAGGTAGATATGACCCGCTTGAGCGGAAGGCAGGGAACGAGAAGCCGGTTCGCGATATCGAAAAATCAGGGCCGGAGGATAGTGTGACGGGGTGACGTGACGGGGCTGTTAGCGGTTAGTGCGAGTGGAGGGGTGCAGCGCCGAGTGCACGCCTCTCACGGACAAGATTACCCAGTGCGATCGATGGCTAAGGACCCTTGCCAATGGAAGTGAGCACAAGATGGTGAGATGGTTCTGTCATGGAGGGGTGACAGGAGATGTCCTCGGGTCTCGTAATTGCTGATTCACTTTTCCGTTGATTCTGCAGGGAATCTGATTGTTCTTGCTCGCAGCACAGACGCTATTGCTATTGACTCCCACCAGCTGTCGACACATGACCATGAGTCACTTCGTGGACTTCTTGCTGGGCCCCCTGGAACTGAACGGGATGCGGGTGGTTATGCAAATGCTGCGATCTGCGGAGCGAGTTGGCCTTCATCAGCGTCATCAATCTCCCCCGCTGCTCGCCCATACATTCGCCCCGAAGCGCTGCGTGAATCACCGTGACACACGCGTGTCCCTAACACCTCCTCGAGCTGCCGAGCGCGTCTCTTGTCCGCCGGCGGAGGCTAGCTGCAGGGGAGCATATACGTATGTAAGGCCATCCCTATTCCGACCCAATACTAATCCTATCTTATAGGCATAGCCCATTACCTATAAATACGGCAGCGACCCTTCCTCCTCCCTATTGCCCCCTCCTCATTCACTTCCGCTTCCCCTGCCGCATGTCGTGGTCCTCTACCACGTTTAACGTCTCCGCCCCGCGACTACCTTCCACACCGCTCGCACCCCATCCCACTCAACGCTTTCCCATGTACGCGTACTCACGCGCCCCCGCCGACAGGGGCACCGCTCCCCTCCTGCAGCCACCTGCACTCACCGTCACAAACAGCACCTCTACCGCTAATGCTAACTCCAACCCCAATGCCTCCACCGACACCACCAACTTTGACTTTGCTTCCGCCGCCCATGACCACCACGATCGTCCTCTCCATTCCTCCCAAGCTTTTGCTTCCGCAGCATGCGACATCGAGGATGCGGAACGCTTCGAGCGTGAGCTCGCAGACGTTGGCATGGACCAGTATGTAGTTCTCGACGCGTTCGAGAGCTCCTCCCCGTACTTGTCCAATGGTTCGCCTATCTCCGCCGCCGCCGCCGCCATGAGCGGTACCTTCGGTGCCGATGCCGCACATGCGTCCCCTCCGCCGTCTAGTGAGGTGGACGGTGCGTCGCCTGCGCTGTCTGACTCAAACTCGAACTTTGGGTTTGGCTCTCCGTCGCCGGCGTCGTGGTCCGCTAGTACACTCAATGTAGCGGACGCGAATACATCTCCGCGTTCGCCGCCGCTCTACTCGCCTGCGCATGACTACCCCGCGCTTGCTCCTAATGCTGGTACGCCAGGGCTTGGACTAGGCTTTGGCGATGGGAACGGCGACGCTGCTAGTGGCATGCTGTTCGCGAATCCGTTCGGGCCCTTGGGGTATGACTACGGGTTGAATGGGGGACAGGACTCTGGTGGACTCTTCAACCCGAACCCGTGCTCAGAGATGTCAGGCTTGGGTCTCGCTTACAGTCCGGCAACTGAGTTCGCGCCGCTGTCGTGGGATCGACCTGGCTTTCTTCCTGGTCAGACGCAGCCACAGATGGAGTCACCGAAGACGAATGTTGACACACATTCCCCGACATTGCCACTTCCCCAGGGCCAACCTCAGATGGAAGTACAAGAACAGCAGCAGTTTCAGCATGTCTTTCCCTCGGCATCGGAGCCGATGAATATTCCTCTCCAGCCCCGTCTTGAACCTCATTCCTCTCCTGCGGTGTCACCGCGCGATCTTGAGTTATCAGCACCTGGAAGTGCTTCAGTACCGTCTTGGGCTACACAGCTATATGAGACACCTGCGCCGTCAGTGCCGGTAATGCTCAGTGAGCATGGACGTAGTGCTAGTGACAACAGTGTATTTGGACAGCAAACCCGCGGACAAGGATTTGATGTCATGACTCCGGCATCTGCGACGGCACCTATACCCATTCCCTCGGCCAACAACAATACCAACATTGACTTTCATCCGTATGGTCACTCGCTTACGCAGCTGTTCCAACCTGCGAGTGCTCCTGCTCAGCCCCAAGCACACGCTAATTCAGGTTTCGGGTTTTTGCCGTCTGAGACGTCTCCATTGTCTGTCAACAGCGTCAGTGGCGCGTTCAATCCTGCTCCGGAGTCGCCGACACGTACTACTGGAAACGGAACCGGAACCGGCAGTAGGGGCGTACTTCGTCCACGTATACGGTCCGTTAGTCAGCGCATTGTTACGGGAGTACGCGATGCCCAGCGCGCAGTGTTCTCTACGAGAGCGTTAGCAGGCTTTGCTCAGGGTCAGCTTCAAGCCGAGGCAGAACGGCGCGACAAGACACGTACGAATACGGGAGCGGAGTTTGCCTGGAGCTCTGGCATCGACTCGAATACGGACGCGGCAATGAACGTCGACAAGAACATGGATATGAAGTTCAATTCAGAGGACAATATGGCGACGGTGCGCGTCCCTTTCCCCTCGTCGCTGTCATCGACAAACTTGGGAGTTGGGTTTAACGAGACGGACCCAGATGCAACGGTGCGTCGGAGGAAGCGTACCTCGAATGCACAGACTCCTTCGCCGCAGTTGAGTGGAGCGACGCTCTCGCCCACTTCAGCCGCCCGCTCACGTTCGCGGGAGCCGTCTGCTGAGAAGGACGTGTCTCCGTCCTCCGGTAAGAATAAGGATGGCAGAGACCGAGAAACGACACCGATGCGCTCGGAACTCCGCCCGCCAAAGCTTGCGCCATCAACGTGGCAGTTATACTTTACAGACTGGATCCAGCGCCATCAGATGATGAACGGCGGTGACCGCAAGCTTAACGTCGCACAAGCGGCTAAGGAGGCCGGCGCTGAGTACGCAAGCCTGACTCCACAACAGAAGGAGGTGCGTTAGACTCTCTTACTTCACGTCCCCTCATCATTCGTTCCCCCTCATGCAACTTCTGAGACGAAGAAACTGATTATATCAATTCGCATTCTACTTTAATTCTACAGCCGTACAAGCGTCGCTCGCAAGCAGCCAAAGAAGCGCGGGAGCGCGAGATGGCTGCATGGCAGCGCACGCTTACTCCAGACGACATTAAGCGCGAGAACGCTTACCGCGCGGCGCAGCGAAAGGCAGGCAAATCGCGTAAGGGTAACATCAAGGATCCGAACGCACCAAAGAAGCCGCTGTCCGCGTACTTCATGTTCTTACAACACATCCGCGCCGACCCAGAGCGCGTTAAGCAAGTATTCGGTGACGAGAAAGAAACTACAGCACAGAGTGTGCTTGCTGCCCAGACATGGCGCGCTATGACCGATGAAGATCGCAAGGTGAGCTTCATTGATTATTTTCTTTCCTTTACCGTTCCCCCCTCCCAGTTCGTGTCTTCTTTTTCTTACCTGTCCACTTTCACACTTCCTGTATTGCCTCCCTTCGTACTGCCTTTCCGAGTAGGGATTGCGATTGGCAATTTCCCTGTCTTTTCCCCTGTTTTTGCATGATTGGCAGTTTGCCGCTTTGCCTAATCGGGGTGCTTCGCAGTGTGTACCCTCCTTGTGTTTGTTTGTTTATCGCAGTGCCAATTTTGGAGCTGGATACTGCTGCGGCATCTTGCTCGCAAGTATCGGCTCGGAATTCGCATTGTCCAGCAACATTTCGTCATCCTACCTTACCTGCCCCCTTTAACTAGTTCTTCCCCACTTCATCCCGATCTTGTTTGGCTCCTGCTCCTTAACTGTTCCGTCCCTCTGTATTCAATCTCCGACGCTGTGCCCCGATTTTTGTCCTGCTATGTCTTATTCACCAAAATCACCCAATCCCACTGTACTCCGCAGCTCTTGCGTTTACTTTGGTATTCGCTTCTCATCCGCTCCTTCCCCCTTGCACCTTCGCAGCTTCTGCGCCCTTCCCGTTTCATTTTGCTGTGCATCTATTCACACTCCCTTTCTATCTGGTGTCCGCTCTTCTGTTCTCCCCCCTCTTCTTTTCGCGCGATCCCGAGGAAAGAAGGAGCCCCTATCTTTTGTTTCCTATTTCGTTTATTCTCTCGCTTAATCTTTGACTTGAATTTTATGTCTACGCTGTTACTGACTTTTTCTTACGTTCATTTCGCTTTCATATGACAGCCGTTTCTCGCAAGAGCAGAGAAGGAGAAGCTGGCCTACGAGGCGGCGCGCAGGCTATATGAAGAGGGCACTGTCGGCTTTGAGACAACGATCAACTTCAACACGGAGTCCTCGGGCTCGTCCTCTTTGGTGTTCCCAACTTACTCGCTGAGCGGCACAGGCTCAGCGACGGAAACCACCTTTGTCATTGGCCGCCCTGCTCATGAAGCAGGGATGAGTTCGGATAGCGAGATTGAGCCGGATCAGGAGATGGACAGCGAAGGCTTCACAACGGACGAAGAGCGCATTGGGACGCGTCGGCCTAGCCGTCTCTGAGCTCCGAGTGAATTCGGTTTAATGACCTCGGATTCGCGCTATCGCTCGTTCTGCTGGCATTTGGTATTGGACAAGTGGGATTCGCATTGGAGTTAGGAGAGTGAGGTGGCTAACCGCGATTACGACCTTTGTTTTGGCCCACTCCTGCCTTTGCTGTCTTACCTGTTCTGTTCCTGTACTAGCCCGCCCCCCGCTCACCTTTTCTCCTGAGTCGTTCTTTCCCCGCTGGCCTGGAACCTACTTCGGTACTCCAATGCCCTATGCCCTATGCCCTATGCCCATCGTCTCAGCTACTTTCGCCTCTGCTATCGGTCTTCGTTCCCCGTTCCTGCACCCCTTTTGTCGGCCCATTCAATTCATACTATCATTTTGACGCGCCGCCGCACTCCTGCAGCTGTCCCAGAATAGGTCTGTCCGTCGTCCACGTGGACGATCCCTTCGGAGTCTGGCGGCCATGTTCGGCTTCTTCGAAGTCCTACTCCAATGCCGAGAGCTGTTAGGTTTTGGAACAGGACCAAAAGGACGGAGACTGCTGACTATGTGCTATCACGTCCCACAAGCCCAAAGGGCTCAGGCTTCTCTTACTTTCGTATCGCATGGTCATCTGCAATCCCTGCTGTCTCCATTGTCGTTTATTCTTCGCTATCTTGCTTTTCGGGTCGATCCTGCGCCGCTGTTCTTCCCTTCGACTTTATATACATACACGCATACACATGGACTCTTCCGAGACGACCCCGAGTCGATGTCGAGATCGCATGTTCCCTCATTTAGTGTTCTTTGTTTTCAGCGCTCTGCTTCTTAGGATAGGAGGCGAAAGTTTGTTTTGTCCGGTTTAGAAGCCATTGCTTAGTCATCTACCCTTCTTTCCCTTCTATCAATTCTTCCACGAACTCTTCCTTCCCTTTTTGTTATACTTTCTCTTTCATGACCTTTCATGATTTTTTTTCCTTGGCTGGCCCTGAGCTTTCGAGTTTTTATGCCTTTTTCCGATTATGCGCTTTTAACATTATTCTTTTTTGTCAGAGCCGGTCCCGTGTTCATACTCGGTTTTTCTACTTTGATTCCTTCTTCCTCGACGGGGAAAGCAAGAGATAGGGGCTGAATTACAAGTTCCCATCCCCTAGTTTCTTGCTTCGATGGCGCTCATACCGCTGAGTGCTCTTCGCCCCCCGCCACAAGCTCGCCCTCCATTATTCTTTCCTTCTCCGTTCTCCACGACCCTTTTTGACGTCATTTCGACCTCCCCGTCAAGTCAGACGAGGTTATATCACTTTTCTCCTCCTTGTTCTTCATTCTCGCGACATTCGTTCGGGTCAGTTATTGGGCTATTGGCAGATGCTCTCGAGAATCGATTTACACACTCGGACACCTTCTCTTCTGTTTCTTGGGTCAATCTTCCTCTTTTCGTTTGTCTTATCTTCGAGATGTCAACGATTGTATACGTATGCCCTACAGCTGTATCATAGCTCCTTTCCCCCTCTCTCCTCTCTTGTCTCGTCTCCTTTCTTCTTGTTCCTTCTTGTGCGTATCCCTTCTGCGTACTACGAGGAGTGCGTTTGTTCCGAGGTTTCCGAGATATATACATGTGGTGGTCTGTCTGTTTGTGTTATATACCCCGCGGCTCGACTAGCATGTTTTGAACACCCCAACTCAGCATTTGACCAGTATTTGATCATACATGCACATCTCTCTTTTTCTCACTGGCAGGACGTATACATAGACAATCAATTACTTTCCCTCGCTTGCTCTGTTTGTTGTCGTTGTCGTCGCCTGTGTTGCTGTGTTTTCGTGTTTATGGTTCTTTTTTAATGAGTTATGATTATATGTGTACATGTCATTTCTTCTTTGGTTGTCGTGGTTTTGTCTTGTGTGGTTCAACGTAGATAGAGAGGGAGATCGACAGTTGGTGGATCTATATTGCAAAAGATAATAGATTTGTGTAGTCAAGTGAACTAGCCAATGGACGACGAGTGAAGTAAACTAATGGGGAATGTCAATGGCTGAAAGAGATATGTCAGTTCTGTCAAACGAATGACAAACCCAAAACATAAAGATCTTTCTAGCATTCCTAACATACAAAAAAATGCTTACGAAGATAAATTCCGTCATCAAAGGGATCTATTCCAAATACAATCTAATCCGATAATTCAACCTACTTCTGAAACTCCCACTGCGAAGGTGGCCGATGCGACGCAAGCGTGTGAGCCACATTCGCGCGCTCACACATACATGTCGCCGGGTCAGACGCAAGAAATGAATAAGAAACTGTGTTCTCGAATGCAAATGCCTTCTCATGTGCAAACGTCGGAGTTAGATTGCGGAATCCGCAGTCGAGCCACCATTTTCTGATGTGGCGCCCCGTCTTCGTCGAATGCGAGACCCTTTATCGTTTTCGTTGGCGACACCGCCGGTATCCAGTATCCAGATTCCGGTATGAGGAATTCGGCATGCGGGGTTCGGAATTCGGAGTACGGTAATTCGGAATATGGTACCCGAAGGCGACGAAAGACGGAGACGAAGATGAGATCAAAGAACCATAAATCGGATAGGTAAAGGATGTGTGTATGAATGTGTGTGTAGATGCGTAGATACGACGGTCGGTGGATTGATAGGTGGATGGAACGTTGAGAGCGCCGAGAACGAGGAAACGAAGGAAAGAACGAAGCAGCGTAGAACCAGAATCAAAATTAGAGCCCAGAATCAGAGCCAGAAGCGTCGAGGACCGGAAGGTAAATTAGCGTGTCAGAAGTCGTTAATGTTCAATGGATTCAATATCCAGTATTCGACGTTCGATAATTGTTATTCAATAGGATGATACGAAATGATTCGCACAAAGTGTAGCGAAGTAGCGGTGCGTATGGCACGATGTACATGGCGTAACATTAATACTGCTTGAATGGTGTTCATGTTGTACGTCGTACGTACCTCGGGTTCATAGCCATACCTAAATAGGATGAAAGGCAAGTCAAGTCAGTCAACAAAGTAAAGAGTTGATTCGGAATGAGCATGGACCGCGTCGAAGGAGGCGAGTTGTGGCATATTCATAGGTAGGGAGGGATGAGGGATGCGGACAACTTGGCGCTCGGCACTACAGACAGAAAGGGGCGAGGGAGGGAGGGAAGAAGAAGAGAAGAAAGAAGAAGAGAAGAACCACTGGATGAGTATTCATCTCATCACAATACGATGGACAATTTCTTTCGTCCACTTATTCTCCGAAAGAATTCACCATAAATTGGTTGTGATTATTAGTGCGGGTAATCGGAGTGCCTTGTGAAGGAACGAGGGAGGTGAAGGGAACGGAAGTAAAGTGGTAAGAACGGATTGAAAGAACAAGGAGAGACGTAACTGCCGCGGTTTTTACCAGGTTCGGAGGAGTGGCTCCCCTGGAAGACATGAGTATCGCGGATTGAAAGGACAAAGTAAGGTAGTCCGCAGCAATTTGGTTCTAATTTACTTGAGATAGTCAAGTCTAATTCTGCCACTGCTGATTCTGGACGTGTAATCGTCGCACATAGAACGAAGTAAAACAAATTGAAGAACAGAAGCAGTGTTGAACATTTAGGGGACTGTGGTGATAACGTACTTTGCATAGAATGACTTGACGGGTATCTGAGAATGTGTTATGCATCTAACATACGAATCGGGGGGAGCTCCGCGCAGTTGCGCATCGCGCACTACCCATTCATGCAATGCCAATACGAGCGCTCGACCAAATTGATACTTCCGATACTGCTTGAGCACGACTAATCGGCTGAGCTTGTAGTCATCGCCGATGCGTACGGCGCGTATTGTGCCGATGGGTTCCGATGAAGGGACGAGCCGCAAGAGGAAGTGTGTTGCGGTCTCGTCGGCTCTAGGTACGATGATGATAATTCAGTCAGTAAGTGGAGTTTCTATTCCATTGAATTCTGTTGGGATATGAATTGTTACGGGAAGTAATCATGGATTAGAAGGTGGAGGCGCATGATGCTCGGAGCAGGTCGAGGAGATAAATTTGTGGCTGAACTCGGTTCATAAGCCGTTTAGACGGGCTAAGTAATAATATGATAGTGTTTGTATGATGCCGATCCGATATTCGGTCGAATATATTACAAAAATGCACAAGGCGAAATGAAGTAACGAGAAAGAAATGAATGGGAACGCCAAGAATAGGGGTTTGATATTGAAGGGAAAAGTGCTCACTCATCTATCTCGACGTCGAGAGGGAAGCCCTGTTCATGAGTAAAGACGGCTATGCGGAGGTCGAAACACTGGTGTTTGAGTTCGTCACGCCCCCATTCGCCGACGTCTGGGATCTTGATGATCTCAGTTTGAGGAACGTCTTGCTGGAATGTACTTGACTGTATCGGAACAGTCATCTTGTTGTGACTGCCAGTAAATTGACTGCCCAGATGGAGGAACGAGATGCGCAGGTGGCTAGAGGGCTGCCGTATAGGAGGAGGCCGGTGTGGTGTGAAACAGGTACGGGACACACTGGACAGATCTCGGCTCAACAAGCTTTGCGTGGATCACGCAGATCATCCATTCCAAGAATAATTTCAATCTCAGCGGCGACAACTCACTCCAGTTAGCGGCCGCACGGATGCTTTCTTGCTATCTAATCTCTCATTTCGCTTCACATTGTTCGAAGGATCACTCTCGCGCCAGCGCTTCGCCCTCGACGTCAAACTAACTTTGGATCTTCGTTTCTCTTACTTTGACAGCTGTCGTCTCTTGTCTCCTTCGTATCCAATTCCTGTCAATTAATCTCGAGCAATTAGTCTGGCAGAATACAAGCACTCGGACTTCATCTCATCATGACCTCAACAAGTTAGGTTCAAGGGTGGCTTCTCAAAATAGCGACTGTAAGCAAAAGGAATTCATGTGTTATGGATTCCCCATATTCTGGACCTACAATAGACGCCTCCGATGGTCCAGACTTGACGGGAAAACGGGAAAAACGAAAGAACAAGAGTGAGCTACGGAATAGTGTTTCTTCCCGATCTTCTGACGGAATGTGCACTTGTTCACGCATCTGCAGATTCATCTCAACATCACCATCCGCGAACTCTTTGCCCCGACATCATCGACGGAAATCAATTCATATCAGATATATCAACTCGTAATAGACGAGACAATCCAAGCCGGTTTACTTCCGCTTTGTGGCTCATATTGAGCCCTAAATATAAAACTCTATTGACCAAGTGACGGATTAGAAATGATCGTGATATTTGGTCGCGGGAAGCCAACCGTTGAATATTATCTTCACACCATGGCCGTTGAACTCCATTGGTGCGGGTATCCACCAGACAGAGTCTGATGAGGAATATGTATGCGACGCTCGAGTGGCCGACAACACCCGAGAACTTCTGTGGTATTCAGGTTATAGAAAGCAATAGCTCACACGAATAAACATAGGCAGAAACCGGGACAATATTTCATTCAGACTGCTTTTGCCAATATCACCACCGTGACTGTGGGTTATTGGCTTAAATGCTTATCACTGATACTAGCGCTCTCTACTCAAGCCAAGTTCCGATAGGAAATTGTCTCTCGTAACCCGGAAGCTTATAACTCCACCAGTATTTCGTGATTCCACACCATCTATTCCTAGAACCTTGGCGATTTTTATAGCAACCCGTTTATCGAGAATGTTGCATCTTCTCATTTTTGTGTAGAATATGAAGCCAAAGACAATCGACAAGAATAATTGTTGAATCTTGTAAAAGAACAAATACATACATTTCCGACTATAGATTCAACTTGATAGGATCCATCTTTCTCCTTCTGTATTATTATGTTATCTGTAAAAGTGAATCCTCTTACCTGTCCATATGTGCTTCAACCGTCATGACTCCCAATGCTCTGAAGCAGGGATAGTATCTATATGAGCATTGTTACACTATCATTCTTGTAAAGATCTAAATGGTATCACCTGGAGACGTGTTTCTGATCAATCAACAAGGTATCGTTTTATAAATGGACCCCATGTGAGGTCGGTCTTCGGATTTCTGCTTGCCTAACAGAGGGTTGCTTTAATTTAGAAAATGTGCAGCATCAAGCAATGCAGATCGCAATCAATAATCAGGGCAAGTATAACTCGGTGATGTAATCCATTTCCTTTGTATTTGAGTGTTCTATAAGTACATGAATTGCAATGATAACTTGTACAGCGATTAATGAGTTCCATAAAGTAGATGATATAAATTTATAACTGATGAGGGTATTTCACTGATCTCCAAATATTCGAACCATGAGTGCAATAGGGAGCGGAGGTCGGTGCCATGTCGGGTCGTCTACGCCAATGAACACTTCTGCGATAGTGAAGAAGCCATGTGAGTTGTAGAACTCCGTATTGGCGGGGTTGCTTGAGAGGAGGTAAGTTGACCTGCTCTCTGCGTCTGCCATCTTGGTGATGGCGTCGACTAGTGCACCGCCGTAGCCTCGTCTTTGGAAGTCTGGTGAGGTTGCGAGTGCGTTGACGGACCACATTTCGCGCACGGCGGAGCCGAGGGTGTTTGCGGAGAATTCGTCGAGGATCCGACTGACTTCGTTGTATCTCTAGAAAGAGTAAAGATAAGTTAGTGAAATGATGTCGACTTATGATAGCAAGTGGACCTCTTACCTTCCGCTGTAGCTTTGAGTCTCCGATCAGACTAAGAGCTCGAGAAATAAGACGGTAAAACCCGTCTATTCGTTTGTCACGTCTCGTCTTCTTGTTTGATTCCGTAGCAGGGAGACTGGATTAATGTATATAAGCACAAACGTCGACCTAACAGTATAACACCCAGACACTTACGCGCAGACGACAGCCCGTCCTTCATTAACGGTTAACCCCCAATTTCGTCGCACCCATTGCCTACAACCAATTGCGTATCGTAATCGTTCTGACTTTCTATGCAGTTTAGGGCGACGAGCGTCCTGGAGAAGGAAATTAAGATACTTGAATAAATTTGTGAGAAGAAACAGATGCAGATTTACATACAGGGGTATCGCGAACGTAGACTGCTAATGGATCATGTTCAGATGCGTCTATCAGTGTTTGAGATGCTGTTCTGATGTCTCCTGCGTTGGAAGTCAGATTAAATCGAGGAACTTAGTTTGACTTAAGAATTACGCACTTTTTCGCAACCGTTTGACTTCTACCTTTTTCTCAAGTAGATAATCGGAGGAAGAAAGTGCCGCCTCGAAGGCAAGATAATGCAAAAGCTGTTTCTCATCCATCTCCGGGAGCTTATCTAGCCTCGTGATGGGTGCCGTCAAAGTAGAGGTTGAATCGTTCATGGCTCTAGCAACGCAGAAAAAAGTAGACAGCAGACAATTACCGTGCTAGGCGAGAAGGATAGGCAAAGTGGAGGACCACGTCAACAACGACGACGTCGGCTCTCGCGTACTTATAGCAAATTGACTGCGCATGCTGCAAAGCTGCGCACTGCGCCATCACCCAAATGAGGCAAAACACTGACACGTGAACGCGTGCCGACCAATTTATTTCTGCCAAACTTGTGCTGCGGGATCAAAAATGTTACAGATCGCAGTCCGACGCAGCGCGCAGCCAATATTCTTTTGCGCTCTTCACATATGAAGCACATGCCACACCCATTTGATTCCACATATCAATGATGAATCCATTGTCGGATTGATACCCGACCTGTATAATGAGCACAAAAAGCGACAGACTGAGAAAGTAAGTACAGAAGTATAAGAAAATAGTACACGTCTATACACAGAACATTAGAAAACATAGCAAGATAAAGAAGTCTAAGATATAAGCAAACTAATAATGATAAGTAATTAGGAATCACATATAGGCATGGACACGTATGTGGAAGAGTTTCACGCTCAGGGCATGCTTTCTTTCACGGTCCAGCAGAAATGTCCGCAACCCGCAGCACAAGGATGTCCCATGACTTTGCTCATAGCTTGATCGTACAAGGACCCGCTACCTCCGATACTTGGCGACGTAGAATTGCTTCCTTCCGACGCAGCGCCAGGGCGAGGCCGCGCGGGTCGTCGTCCACGATTTTCATGCGTCGATAACTCAACCAATGGCCGTCGCATATAATATCTATGATAACAATCCCTATGTCCACCGTGCGAGCATACGGCACAAACGAATAAGCTTGAGCGGACCGGAAGATGACTAGGCGGTTATCGGTTATAAATGCGCTCATTAGTAAAAGGACACCGGAGGAACGTGTTACATACCAAATCGTGCACATGATCGTTGCTCTTTTGCACTCGAAGCACTGACTGAATCCCTTCCATGCACGTTCGATACCATCTGGCTGACCTAGAGCTTGCTGTAGTAGGGGCCTGCGACATGATGCACAAGTCGTATCGATAGTGGTTTGAACTTGTGTTGATTCGCGGATCTCAGCTGACGGTACATATTTCCTAATATATGCCAAAACGTCGTGCATGCGAAACCGCGAAAGAACCTCTATAAAAGGGTCGATTAATTCATTTATCGATGAATTACGAGCATCGAACCGACCAATATAGCCTTCTATGAATTGCAAAGCCTTCCGTGCTGAGATTTTCAGCTCCTTCGGAGCTATGCAAGCTAGCATGGCGCACATCTGGACGTCGCCCTACATCCGTGGGAGTTAATATCACGAGAAAGCGGAGTTTAATAAGCCTGCCCACATTTTCCGCCAGATGTTCCACAATCTGCCTGAGCGCACCCCAAGCTCCTTGCCGATACCGATCCTCCACTTCCTTGATGGCCGAATAATTCCACTCTAGATAACGCATCTCACTTTCGTCCATAGGACTACTATTCTCGGCGTGGGAAGGTTCATCATCTGGATTGGCAACAGAAAGTCCTTTCGAACGGGTGATCCGACCTTTATGTGATTGTGCTAAAGAAACTGTATCCGCAACGGCTTCCACCTGTTCAGACTGTTCCTGTGGGACCGACTTATCACCGCCTGCCGTAACGGTCAATACACTGCTGTGAGAGTCTGTTCGCGGCAGCTCTTGGCGAGTCTGTACGCTCGGTATCGAGCTCGCTGCCATGGAGGCGAGCGTCGAACTTCTACTCCTCGCAGATCGCTTCAATGAGCTCGACCGCGCGGCAGTCGTCGATGCAACCGAATTGTCGGACTCAAATTCGGAAGACGAGGCAGGCGAAGCAGAATCTTCTCTCTCGTCTTCGGCCCATTCATTATCCTCAGCCAATCCAGGACTCGATACAACGTGAGTCTGAGCCTGCAAAGTCCTGAGCGATCCGCCGGCCGTAGAAGCTATACTCTCAACACTTGTCCTCTCTTTCATCATACTGAAACGACGTTCACGAGTCAGAGTAACATCCTCCTCCTCAGACGGGTCTGAGTCGTCTAAAGCACCTTCACCAACACGGCGTGCCGTCCGGGATTTGCTGGGGAGCTGCTGATCTTCGCTATGCACAGCTTTCATTGAAGTACTACGCCGTAAGGAAAGCCTCCGTGGTCGGCCGAGAGTGCTAACGTTCATACTCTTTCTCCTAAGTTTGTTGTGCTCATCATTCAATAACGGCTGTTTCCCGTTCTCATGTCCGGCAACACTTTGCGAGAGTAAAGGAGACACAGGAGCACAGGCGGACGATGTCGAAGCCATAGAAACGGAAGGTAGCCCACCAGAACGCTTCTCGGCTATCTTGCGTATTGGGTTTGGAGGATCAGAAGAAGATGAGCGCGTCTCTGGAACCTTAAGTGGTGACCTCTTCACCATGGGCACGGCAGCGGGAGCAGAAGTAGAGTGTGGGAGAGCAGGTGTAGAGTTCCTGCGAGACAAGGGTGGCGAAGTCGAGCTCGGAATACCGATGTCCGCAACCAATGAACGAAGCAAGAGCCATATCCTACCGGTTTCATAACTTCCTGCCTCAAATGCTGTCTAGTAAATTTTTTTAGAGACAAGCGAAACGATGACAGCGATTCCCGAGCTCACATTGGCATTCACTTCACATAACGTTGACTGGTCTGCGCCTTCAACCTTGTAGTTCCGGGCAAGGAAGCTAAACGTTTCCCAGTCTTCCGAATCGTCCACCCCAAAAATGGTCCCAACTGTTTGGGATGACGAGATAAAAGGACGATTACCCAGTCGCTTATGTGGATTCATCTTCTCTTCTGGTTCAGAACTTACGCTTTTGGCCCTATGTGATGTTGTAAATAATCAGTCGTGGCGCCACTGAGGAACATTTATCTTACATATCATCATATGGTGCCTCCCATTGTTCTACATTCTCACAAACGAACGTTAAGGACCCAGTAGGTGTCCATGTCAAGGCTGAACGAGGAACAGAATCGATGGGCTTGTCACAGAAACGCAAGTCCATTTGAGAGAACGCGCCGGAAGGGTGTTGCACCCATAAAGCGTGCGAGTCCGTGAAAGTCATATCTGCCCGAATATATACGAATGACATAAGCCTAAGATGGTCCGGAAACTGTATTAAAATCATTCTTCACCTGATACACCGCCTTCGCAGTTGCTTCCGTCGACAGTCCATTTAGCAAGCCATGGTCTTCGCACGTCCCAAATTTCAATCAAATCCCCGGATCTCTCGGTTGCGCCTTCCCTAGCGCTTCTTATCTCGGCCGTTCCTAAAATTTGTTGAACATCTTTTCTACTCCCGCCGAGGCTGTTCTGTCCTTGTACAGCATCGCTACTTAAGTTGCTGATGACAGAGGGAATATTTACGGAAGAGGAAGGCGTAGACTTCGAAGTTGGATCATACGCAGACTCATTGTACGAAGCAATGGCAAGTTCGGTTTCGTAACCCGGTCGCCACGTCACTCGGCGTACAGGATAGGAAGTGTGTAACACGTATGCGGGCTTCCGAGATAACTGTACTTGACCATCGCTGAAGTCCCATACCTACCGTGACGGAAGAACGCCGCGTTTAGTATAGTTCAGTTCCTGCGCTTTAATAGAGGTACATCACCTTGACCGTTCGGTCCAGTCCAGCGGTAGCAAGCCACCCTCCGCTGATGCCCGTTTCGCGCCAGTCAAGTGACAAAATAGCCCCTGAGTGGGCAACAGGAACTCTTTCGAGAAGACCTTTTTGTCCCATTCTCAAATCCCACCTGGTTGCCATGAACTTAATAATCTTGTATAATCACGTACAAAACACCGCACTTACCGACACATCGACCCATCTTCGAGACCCGTAATGGCATTAAACGTTTCAAATCCGGAAGGCGAGAATATAACTGTGCGAATTGCAAAAGAATGATGAATGTAGAACAACTCCTTCGATAAAGCCCTCAAGTCCTGATTAATTCATCAGCTGACCAGTCTCCGATGAACATAAATATATGATAGATACGTACCCAGACACGTAAATTTCCGTCCGCCGATCCGGAGCTGCAATAGTGAGGTAATGAGCTAGAATATGATAATTTGTTGATTGACCGCGCATGGCCTTTCTTTCGTAACTCTTAAATATAGTTTTCTAATGAATGCATGGTTTTCCCGTATTTTTAAACTGCCAACATACCATACTTCAGCGACCCGGGTTTATGCAAATCCCACAGGAATATTTCACCGTTTCGGGCGCTTGTCAAGATCTTAGTGTCAAGTGCTTGAAAGACCAATCAGTTTGATATGGCATGATCTATATGCACATTTCCTGATTAGAAGTACCTTTGTGACACCAGACAACGTCTGTCATCGCACTATCGACCTTCAATCCACTTCCGGACCAGAAGTTCTTGGATATGTCGATCCTGAAGCCGCCATTGCCGATAGCATACCTGTGTTCCGATGCAGGCCTCTCAGACCCATCGGATACCCGGAGTATCCTGAGAGCTGTCATTTCCTTTAATTACGGCAGTAATAGATTGGGAATGTGACCACGTACAGTCCTTTCCTGCTACGACACAGCGTTCGCCGTCTGGGCTTCTAGAAATAGCAGACCCTCCTGGAGAGCTTGCATTGTGTAAGGTGACAAAGCGTGAAGGTCCTTGATAACCGTGTGTTCGTGAATCTGAGAAGCCTTCACCAGATGAGCTTCGGTGGTCGAGATACTGCAATCCAGTAAGCTGGAGCGCTGGCCTCGCTGCAGGCGTTGCCAAAGGGGCAGAAAATGGGTTGTGCAGCATCTCAATAGGACAGAGATACTCGGTGGAAATCGATGCCTTCCCGCCGCCTAATTCCCGTGCGGCAGAACTACTCTGAAGGCAAACATCTCCTACAGACTCAATACAGTAATCAGTTCAAAAAGCACCCCATGCTCGAGATTGAAGACCGAAAATTGGTAGATGACAAAAGACTGTTTAGCATGTTGACGCGAAGGATGAAGATCAGGTGACGAAACAATCATCATGCTTCACTCCATCTCACATTCTCACATCCATGCTCACGGCATCGTTCATTAGCAATAATGGCTCTCTTAATACAGTCACAACAAAAAGGCGCTAGTTGATTCATGAGTTTCCGAAGCATAATATCATGTTTCTGGAATGTCACCTGGTGTTGAGCCGTTCGCTCATTAGAGATGACGTTGCTGCTTCTCCATATCAGAACAAGACAACTATGCGGTCTTGTTGTTCTTTACTAAGTACTTCGCAAAAGCGCCACCTTTGGTTTGTTGAAGGTTGCACTAATTGCGGTCTCAACTCGAACCTGCGATCATACTGCAGCGTCCTTGCCAACTATCCCTATCAGTCTATCACTATGCAATTATCTCAGAACTCTGACGCTCTCCTTCAACTAGTCTCGGTCGCATAACCGTCTCGTTACGTATTGAACGCCTTGTTATCCTCATCACCTGGCTTTCAATGAAAAACACTCATTTGAAAACCAGGCAGACCAATCCCGGATGAATACCCTCAGTTTCTTGCTGATTTCTACGGGCATTATCCATCTCCCATGCTTTTCGTGTAGGGTGATTATATCCGAAGAACAGACTATAATTAAAAGCAATGTTCCCTCTTGATCACTTCTAGCGGCTGCCCATATCTCATCTCATCTTACCTCAAGAGCCTCCTGTGCTTCCATCTGTTCTACTCATCTCATTTCACCACGAACTTGTGTTGCACAGGTTCTTGTTCTGTGGGATGCAACCATCTCTGATGTTGGTATACAGCGGTATTGAACATATTGTTCCGGGCTTCCAGCCTGCCCCAGGACTGGAAGTGCAGCTTCCTGACGTTACAATCGGCACTGCTCGCATCTTGGTGCGCAGTTTCAGACGGTAAGTAAGCTCTTGGCATGCGCTGACTTGAACAGTATAAAAGACTGACAGTTTCGTAGAGGATGTCAACAGTGCAAGCTCTCCCAAAGCCTAGTGTTACCCATTAGCCCTTGTTCAGGATGCAATTCAAGCTCGCTACAGCTCTTGCGCTTCTTCCCTTCCTTGTGCAGGCTACGCCGACGCCTTCGACGCCTGGCAGGAAGATTGCCCTGACCAAGCGGTCGCCAATCGTCAAGAATGGCGTCGCAGACATCAAGTTATTGCAGTCTCATGTGGAACAGGTCAAAGGGTAGGTTGACCATGCAGCCATATTACGTGTCATGCTCACGTTTATGTATAGGAAGATCGCACGTGGTTTTTCCAACTATGAGAAGAACACTGGCAACGTCCACCCGAACTACCGCAACGCGACGACGTCGAGCAAACGCGCTACTGGCACTGTTCCTCTGACTGACGTGGTCGACGGCCAGCTTTGGCAGGGCTCGGTCTCTGTTGGTACACCTCCAGTGGAGTACATTGGTGAGGATTGACTTTCATGTCCATGTCTAGCATATGACTTAAGCAACTTCAGTCGACTTTGACACTGGATCGAGTGACTTTTTCCTTCCGGGCAGTGACTGTGGCTCTTCCTGTTCTGGCCATACCTTGTATGACCCATCGAAGAGCAGCACCGCCCAAGATGCAGATCAACAATTTCAGCTCGGTTTCGGCAACGGCGCTCAGGTTGTCGGTGAACAGTTCACCGACACTGTTACACTCGGCAGCCTCACAGCAACGGACCAGCGTCTCGGTGCTGCGACCCAGTACTCAGCAGCTCTCGAATCCAGCGAGTTCTCACCCGACGGTCTCCTTGGCATGGCATTTGAGTCTATTTCGCAATTTAACAGCCCGTGAGTACAATCAAATTTTTATTATACCTATCCATTATTGACGACTTTACTTTTGGCAGCCCGGTATTCCAAACTCTTGTGACGCAGGGACAAGCGGATTCAGGAGAATTTGGATTCACTCTTCTCAACAACGGGTCTGAGATATTCCTTGGAGGTGTTGATACTTCAAAGTTCTCTGGTGATTTGACGTACACGGATGTCACTCAGGAAGGTTTCTGGGAAATTAATATTGATAGCGTTAATGTCGGATCTAAACCGGTGACTAGCAACTTGGATGCAATGTAAGTTCGAATACAACATTTTTGATATTTGCACTTCTGATTAAGGAATCTCCGTTTTCAGCGTTGACACGGGTACGAGCTTGGTCATTGGCGATAGCGAAAGCGTTGAGAGCATCTACGAGGCTATTCCTGGAGCGGCGGATGCCAGCCAAACAGTCGGCCAAGGATTCTTCACTGTTCCGTGCAATTCTGACCCGAGCACCGCATTGTCTATTGGCGGAGGTCAGTTCACGATCTCCGCTGACACCTTCAACCTGGGTCAAGTCGATGAAACTGGCCAGGACTGTGTCGGTGGCATTATTGCAGACGATTCTCAGGGTGAGTTGAAGAAACTACCCTCGTCTTTAGTGAATTATGCTAATCGTTCTCGCTACCTCGTTAGGTTTCTGGATCTTGGGTGACGTCTTCCTCAGCAACGTGTATACTTGTAAGTCTCGATTATGTCAGTATTACTGCATCCGCACATCTAGTTAACATTTGCCTTCTCAAGCGTTTGACCTTGACAATGGCCGTGTCGGTTTCGCGACAGTCAACGCCAACTAGAGCTACACTGTAATGGAGGGCTAAATGTTTGAAGTGGATGTTTCTTCAAGTCTGGGCTAACAATATACCATATTCGTATCTTTCTTGGCTTATGAAATTTCTTGTTATTTGTTGGGAAGCATGTCAGTCGTAGTTAATTTACGAGTTATTGGAGGTGTTTTATGGCTCGGAACGATTAATTATACTGAAAATCGACCACTCACTGAAGACCCAGTAAAGAAGAGTATAAGGTGACACTGCAGCTAACGATTTATTAACGGCCACAACCATATCTAATGAAGTGGTGAGCATCTGTAACTTGTCTGTGGATTCCAAGGTTTAGTGCTGGACTGTTTCTGATAAGCGAGTCATCTTTCGTAAATTGACTCATTGCACACAGTTCCTTATTTTAGGGCACGCTCAATTCTGCATAATTCATTTCCAGAGGAGTATTCCAATATTGTGGATTTGTATATCTCTTTTTGGAAAACAACAAATATGTGTAAATACTCCCAACAAAGCAAAGCACGTGGTCAACTACTATTCATTGTGCAGATCTGGAACATCGGTTCCACCTTCTCAACACTTTGAATCTCCATACTCCTTTCATAGGTGATTCAGCGAACGTGAATCCCAGAACAATAATCTGCAGCCTGAGCCAACCATATTGCTGTTTGGTCTAGACATTTCTTCATCCGAGGCTTAGTTAACGTCAAGAGAATCGGACTCGCACATGTTGTTGACTAGAACTCCTCCAATTGTGCTTCACAGATGCCTCACGCGATACGCCGGATTGTACTATAAACCCTCTTCGCGATTCCTTTCTCTGGGGTCACATTCAAATGAAGCGTTCATTGAGCCGTCTGAATCTGAGCCGGAGTTGGGAATCAAGTACCTCTCACTTAACAGACCCAAGAGCAAGAATGCTCTATCCATGAGGCTTGTGAAGGTACAGTTTACTTGGTTTCCCCGAGATCAGGAGTGTATATTGACATCACGTTATTATTATAGGAACTCCAAGAATGTCTGAGCTCTGCGGAGCAGGATAAAGAGTATGTACACTATTCATTTTAAGCGATTTCTGTATATTAATCTATTGCTGTAGTTTGCGAGTGTTAATTGTCCGCTCAACAACTCCCGGGTCCTTCTGTGCCGGTGCCGATTTAGTTGAGCGAAGTTCCATGACTGTGGAGCAAGTCTCAAAGTTCCTGTTTGATTTACGGGTAGCATTCACGGCTCTAGAAGAGCTTGCAATTCCGACAATCGCAGCTATTGATGGACCAGCACTTGGTGGAGGTCTTGAACTCGCAATGTCATGCGATTTTCGCGTCGCTAGTAAGGACTATCTCTTCTCTTGTAATGCAAAACGCTCAAATCTCCGTTGGTCATCTCTGCAGGTCATGATGTCACCAAGATAGGTCTTCCCGAGACTCGACTTGGTATTATTCCTGGTGCTGGCGGCACGCAACGCGCTGTACGCTTGTTAGGGATATCAAAGGCTAAAGAACTCATCTTCACGGGGAAGATACTAACAGCTACTCAGGCGAAAGAAATCGGTAGGATAGTGCCTTACTTGCTTCATCATCGAGCTAAAATGGAAGATATCAGGTCTTGTGGATTATGTATCTGAACCCGGAACATCTGCTCTCGATAGGTCGCTGAGTTTGGCAAAAGAGATAGCATTAAGCGGTAAGGCGTTCGCATTATATCTATGACAGCACCTGGAGCTAACATACTGAGTAGCTCCTCTCGCTTTAAGAGCCGCTAAGCAAGCTCTATCTGCGGCCCCTGAGGTTGATCTTGAGACAGGTTAGCTGGTTTTACTTAAGCATCGCAACCTGAGAATTAAAGCATTTCCAGGGCTGGACTTTGAGAGAGCATGCTACGACACCCTCTTGCCAACGAAAGACCGTATAGAAGCACTCAATGCATTCAAGGAAAAGCGAGCGCCAATTTTCAAAGGCGAATAATGATACAGCGCTAAAGTACAACAAAAACGTGCAAAACGGTGAAGAACAGATATAAATGAAGAAAACAGAAACATCAATGTCATGCCGCTGTATAGCCTCCAAGCCCCCTTGCAAAAGAGAAACCACCGCTCAAGTTCGAGCTGACGGTGTCGCCTATTCGTAAACCCTCCAACTCGCGCATCATCGTGCTTAGCCTACTCATTCCTAAGCGATCGCGGAATCCTTTCGTCTCTGCCGCACCACCATTCATTTGTGCATTGACGAAACTAACACCCTCAACACCTCCCGTACTTTGTCCGTCAAATCCTTTTTCGAATGTCTGCCAGTCACTTCGCTGTGCTAGGTATGGACGTAGAAGGTGCAGATCAATGCGCGAGAGTGCGCTTTCCGTGATGTAGGATTTGAGGATTTCTGGTTCGATGAGGAATATCTTTCCGAGTTGGCAGATAAACTCGAAGCGCTCTGGAAGGGCAGGACAGTTAAACGTTGAAATGAGGTCCTGATAGGACTTGAGGTCTCTTTTGTAGTATAAGATATGAATGAAATGTGAAAAAAAAGTTCGGCAAGGATGATACTTACTTTGCAAGTATAAGGCCGCCATTGGCATTTACGGAGAACTTTCGCAGATGGTCTAAGAGCAGTCTGAAACCCAAGCCATTTTACCAATTGTTCAGCGTTTGCATATGTGGTTTTCACTCACGTGTTGAAGGTAATCCCGACCTCGGTAAGAAAAACCTCCAAGTTCTTCCCACTAAGGTTTTGACGCGCTGCATCTCGCACCTTTGCGAGCGTCATACAACATCCATCGCAAGGTTCAGTGTTCACAAAAGAAAGTTCGTCACTGCGCGGTTTGAACTCGTTCTTCTTCTGCTTCGCAAGAGTAGCGGAGAGCCAGGCGACGATAGCTACAAGACAAAGGTGTCAGAATGTTACTTGTACCAGGAGTGGAATTAGATTTTTACAGTCGGTCAGACGATTCATAAGCGCGTTTGCGGCACCCTCGATCCTGCTGACAGTCTGGCTATTGAAAATGACCATCTCGCGGCGTACGGTCACGGAAGAGCTCGCTAGTGGCAGCAGAGCTGTACTGACGTATTTTTGCCACAGATGACAGATGAGGTCTACTAAACGCAGCACAGAGAGAGACTGTAAACTTGGCTCCGCTTTCGGATCGGCGGTCTCAAGCTTCGAGTATGCACTACGCAAATCAAATTAGTGCTTCATGAAGACCTGTAAAGAATACGGAACTTACGTCTCGAATGCTACTTCAACGTAGTTCACCCCGATCGTTTCTGCCAGTACACGCGACAAGGCAAATGCGTGTTTCGGACTGTAGTGATAACACGTTAGCTCATGTAATTATGGGCTCTGGCTTAGTAACTCACACTTCGTTCGACGGGCTAAGTATGACGCATCTTCCAATGGACTCAGCATGCCATTTCAACATCTGTTCAGCGGCATCAAGACTTAGTAATCCATCTTCCTCCTTAACAAGATCCTCCACAGGCTTTTCCGGTTCTTTTGCAGGAACCGGTTTGGGTGCCGTTGCGGAGAAGCCAGAGAATTTCATGATCGCTGCCGCTGCCTGCGCGCTAGCACTTGCACCACTTGCAGCAGAGCTGTTCGCTGTCGTCGCGGCTGCAGCGCTGAGCTGATTGACCATGCGATCGAACACTGAGCCCTTGCCTTTGTTCACCTTCTCCTGGAAGTAGTAATTTTGTGTTAGTTTTTTGCAATAAACAGGAACGGGTCAACTGACATGATAACGAGTAAAGCGGTTTAAATACGCCATGTAAAGCTCGCCCAAACTTTTACTTTCTCGCTCCAAATAACGATTACCTTCCGTGTACGGGATAAATAACTCCTCCATCGCAGTCTCGAGCATCGATGTAATCGATACGGTGACTAGGTTTGTCGAACTAGTTGAAGGCGTCAGACCAATGACAGAACGCCGAAGTTCGGCTGCTTCGGATGGTGAACGTGGTGTAGATGTCGTCAATTCGTACTCCTTCAAGTCCTCTACGAGACCGGAAACCTGTGTATGAACAAGGTGGAGAACGCGGAGGAAAGCGAGTGTAGATAGCGAGGTGCCCTTGTTAAGGAGTTGTTCCATATATTCTTGAATCTGGATAATATTGTTAATACTAGGACTAACAAAGATCTTCCTTCCATACCGATTGAGCGAAAACGCGTTGAAGGAAGACTTGCATGACAAGTGGAGGGTTCGGAAAGACAACTTGGACAATCTGTGCTTCTTCGCCGACAGTAGCCCGGATCTCCTTGAATAGCTCTTGCAAACCCTTCTCAGACCTTGGAGGCGTCGAATCGGGGTCATTTAATGTCTTCCATCTCCAAAAACTAAGGTCAGATGGATACACCAAACTATTCTCAAATTGACATACAGCTCAGAGTCCGTATTGAAGTCGTTGACTTGTCGGACTCGATTTATGAAGAAATCGTGTTGATTTACATAAATCTGAATACAAGAAGCGCCGCCATTGAAGTCTTGCAATGTTTGTGCACAGTGCTTAGGATATGAGATCAGTAATCGAGCAAGACAATATATGAATTGAAATACCAACATGCATCATTTTTGGATCCTCTTTCCGATAACATCTATCGAAGAGGTTGAGCATATCCTTCTCGAATTTTTCGCAATATTTATCGATAGCTTCTCGCGTCTGTGGGTTCCAGTATCTTAGGATATAGATCACATAACAACGTGTGTTTCGAGCATACCTGTTCGGCGTTTGGCAGATCAACCTCCCTAGCTACAACACTTAATCGCCGGAGAACAGTGGCAAGTTCTCTCCTGCCTTCTTTGCCACGTTCCTTCCGCAGAACATCTAATGCTGACGTATCTCCTCTGGAGAACTGAATGTAATAGTTAATCAAATCATGAGCTACCTGAGCTCGCTGACGCTGGATGTGAACAGCTTCTAGCTGTTCACCTGATGACTCGGATTAGCTGAATCCAATCAATATGACTGATAAAATCTAATCATACCTATTCGAATAGCTGTCCTTCCTACTTCACTCATTTTATTTTCCATTCCGGAGAAGGATTGCCCGACCGCCTAATGACGTCAATTACACGACCAGTCGCATACACACAAGAGGTGCTCACCTCGAATCCTTTATTTAGATCGGACATCTTTCGTGAATATTCCCTCTCTGCGACTTTCACACCTTTCTCCATTTGTTCTGATTTCGCCTGTACATCCTTTCGCAGGGCAATAAGCTTGTCGACCGTTGCCTCAAATGTACGAATGAATGGTACAGGATTAAATGCTATTAAAGCAAGACGTTGAGACTTGCCGTACAAAACGCGCGGAACAGTACGCACGACCGGAGCTCGACTTCGAGTTGGTAATTAGCCTTTCAGACACGGATCCAATGAAGTCCTTGACCTCAAACTTGCCCTGAGAATGAACTTCTGTGAGTCACAGTAGCAAATAACGAATCGAATACCGACACACCTGGAAAGTCTTGAGGTTGAGCTGCTCCTGCACTGAAGGATCGAGCTCATCAAATGACGGAACCGCGCTCATCCTCCACTTGCGTTAGTTGTGGCTTGCTCTTGAAGCAGCGACGACTTGGATGTACTTGCACAAGTCCCAGCTGGCTGGAGGTTCTAAAGGCACGTCGCGACTGTCGCATCCATTACTGCGGTTGTTGCCGAGCGTCGATCCCCGACACCAAAGAATTTTGAAGCTTGTGCAGTTTCGAAGCTTAAACTCGACTTTGTGCACAATGGCGAGCGCTGACCTTCTACAGACTTTCTTGCACTTTCATCTTGCCACAGATGCGTCTTCAGTAACGAATCTGCCTTCGGTTATATCTGGACTTTCTTCAGACAGTCTTGAAACGTCGTCCCATTCTCCCAAGTGGATAAATCGCGTGAACGCGCTCATTCACTCCAGAGAACCTGCTGCTCGATGGGCTGGCATAACACTGGCTTTACAGACATCGAAACTGTCCAGTAATGTACTCATTAGTTCCGCCGAAGGCTGGGTTCCAATTATCCTTCCCATACTTTCGGTATGTGTTATTAAACAACCTGGTTTCTGAATATTTATACGGGCTATATATTCACAGAGGAATGAAAGCCTAGCAGTCTGGAAAGCGTCCATTAGACTCCTAGCATTCATATTCACCTCGACGACGAATCTTGCAGAATTCCAGCGACAAGTAGTCATTCCCAACGTACTGAAATTGAGCTCGGCACTCATATCTCTCGCGGAAAAGCAACGCAATGAAGAATTGAAAGTATTATGTCTAAACGTACTCGCTGTCGTGGTACCTCTATATCCTACCTTACACCGCCAACTAGCATCTACATTATCGACCATGTCCCTCAACTTCTTGAACGGCTCACCCTCGTCTACACCTGGAGCCCTTGTGTTAAGTGCAGCAAGACTTCATGCCTGTTTACATGTCACTGGAGGAAAAGTAGGAGGTGTCACGTTGTGGAGGAAGAGTGTGGACGAGACTGTTGCATTTTGCTCCAGTGCCTTGGAAATACTACGCTCGACGTATTCATTGGGTTGGTCATTTCTTGAATTCATTGGACTTATCTGACACACGTGAAAGGCCAACTTGCTCCTTCTCAGTCGGATCCACTAATATCTATTCCGCTCAATCTTGATCGTCTACGATGTGGAGTCGAGTTACTTTGCCACCTTTTACGGTTCGTGGATTCATCTTGAAATCTCTTGATGTTAGAATTAATCTCGTCTTTCAGCGTGACAGTTGACAGGCCCGTCCTCGTTCCTGTGCAGTCGCTTGCAAACCTGTGCGTTGAGATGCTGAGGGTCGCTAGGAAAGGCGCAGTGAGTATTTTCGTTGTCAGCTGTTAGAGCCATTCCTCATTTAATATGACCCAGCTGTCTAATGGAGTTGATCCATCACTTCGATGCATGGAGGCTGCAGTGGTACCCGACATCCTTGATTTAGGGTGTTATCTTACGGCATGCCTCTCAAACTGGTATGCTTCATTTGACAAAGATACAATTTTGTGAAGTGACATGATTTTTCTACAGTGTACGGAACAAATTTACACCTCATCTACCTAGAATTTTGGATATTATCGCATACCATTTAGAACAACCAACGTCTATGTAAGTATTATTTCTCTCAAAAATTCTCCATACTTAATACAGTATATTGCATGTCTTAGAAAGGAACGTCTTCCTCTGATTAAAGTCATTCCCTCCCTCCTCGGCTCTTGTCTACCCCCACCAGAACCACTGACGTCCGGACGGATAATCAAAGCTAACCTACCAGCTATTGCGACTTTATTATCTCAGAAAGCAGTGGAGGAGTCATCAACAACAGGCGATATTGGAACGAAAAAAGGGAAGAAACGTGCCCGCAATTACGAGGGAGACGAAGTGTTTAAAGTAAGCCGCGATACGCTATGCGAGACTATCGAAGATACAGAACTTGTAGTGGCTTCTCTTGACGGTATGTCCCAGGTTCCGTCCAAGTTTATGCACTTTATAATTGAGACTTGGTTCAGCTCTACCATTTCTACTTCGCGTCCCGAATATTCCGGCCTACTTGCAATCTCTATCCTCTCGCTTACTTCTTTCGCTGTTGCTTGCGCTGCCAAAGCTATCTGCATCGTCTGTCGCCCGTGATCCGAACATCAAAGACGAGGTCTTACGAAGAGTGAAAAGCATGTGTGTTGAATTCGCGAGCGGCTCAAGCGCGGTGTTGTGTAAGAGTCTACCACTTGTCGTTGGTGCGATTTCGGACGACGAAATGACTCGCAAAAATGTACGTAAAACATGATTCTCCGCATATCTGCCATTGTTTAAAATCTCATCGCCATGCCCTGATTTATCCTCAGGTTCTTCCAGAATCTTCAGAGCGACATGAGTTTATCCTGGACCTAATGCTTCATCCTCGTCTCCCACCTCTACTTCGCTCTCTCCCTTCACTAGATACCATTGCACTGTGCCGATCTGAAGAAGGTACGGAAGAACGGAAGACGCGCGAATCGCTGGATTTGCGTAGCATATGTGAAGATAAGGAATCAGAAGAAGTGGATGAATTACAACCCTCGACCACGGCACATGAAACTCTCCAGAAAACGGCAGTAGAATCTAGTCAAGAGCTGATGTGTTCTACTACAGATACGCCTGTGCCACCTGTCGTCATCCCTGCCGTGCCGATCCGGCCTGCTGCACCTCTTGTTGTTCGGCCAGTGCAAGTTGAAATTTCCGTTGCGCCAGAAGCTCCCAGATTAGATGCTGTATCGGATGCATCTCACCCTCAAGATGCATCTATAGATCCTGACGAACCAAAGCTTCCGCCGGGTCCTGGCCCCAAGGGAACCGAAACGATCCCAGAAACTCGGCTTGTACCTCCTGCTGAAGCGCGAAATACGGAGCCTCCGTCGTATCGCTCTACAGAACCGACTCGGATGTTTGTGGATGATGAAGACGAAGACGGGGACATTGAAATGCCTGTGTTGAACATGGAGTCAGATACCGACTCGGAGGCAGAATAGTCTACTGGCGGTGACTAAACACGGAGGAACTCACAACATATGTATTAGTCATTGCTGTTAGTCCGCTTGACGCGTTTACCACGCATTGATGAATCATGTTGGTCAACATCCATATCCTCTTCACTCTCTGCATCATCAGGATGCGGCGTTGCTTCTATGTTCGACATTTCAAGCCGCTTGTTGACCTAAAGAGGATTCGTTATTCGTTGTTCATTCGGGTTTCGCTAGGCGAGTAGATTAGTGGACATACCTCCTCCGCGAAAGCTTTTGCGACGGCATTGTCTGGATCAATAGATAGTGCTCTAGTAAAGTGTTTTTTCGCATCCCGAAGGAGAATGCTTGTCGAACTAGCTGTTGACAAATTAGAATGTAAGAATTGGTTGTAGAAATAATGACCTGACGTACATTGAGCACTGTCATCTGATATAGACGAACTTGAGAGCTTGAGAGACATAAGGCCAGCATAAGAATGTAAGACCGGGTTTTCTTGGAACGGAAACGAAGGAAGGTATCTGTTTAATCATATTAGAATAATGTGAAACCAAATGCCGATGAAATAACGTGCAGATCGAGTTCATCTAGCGCTTCTCTAAATTTGCCACCATCCGCTAGATGGAGTATAATTTCTTGAAGAATAGACTCTTGCTGTATAAGATGTCAGTATTATGACAAATTGCGCGAGTCAAAGAAACAGACCTCATCCGAATTGAATCGCATTAACTTCTTCAACAAATCAATGCTCCTCATGTCTTGTTGTTGAGACTGATTTGAAGAAAGAGAACTAGGCAGCACTTGTAGTCCAGTTCGCCATTTTGTCCTCCAGTCAAATTCTTTACACCTAGCCAAAATTGCCCAGGCACGACGAGCTCGAGACAGGTCGCCTCGTTCAAGGGATAAATGCAATATATCATTTAACCTACGAATGTGAACCTTCCGGGTTGTAGACAAAGGTTCATCATTCAACTCAAACATTGGTTGATATTGAGTGCCTGCTTTGGACATTATTTTGCTCAATGGTAGTGTAAGCAGCGAGAGAGAGAATTATTGAAAAGAAAAAGCACATGGCTTGCTTGGGAAATAAAATTCAGAATTGTGATCGGCGCGTGCCTTCACTACTTGCCCGTAACGACATCTTCATGGACGACGATTTCAGTTTCGGCACATCTATCTGGGCATCGTCGACATCAGAAACGCCGAATGGAAAGCCCACTAGCTCGACTAAGGAGCTGCCATTGGCTGCTGTGACTCCACCACCACAATCCGATGCTGACTTCGAGAATGACGCTTTTGGCGACAATGATTTCGAATTCCAGACACCACCTCAGCCGTCGGCGTCAATGGTAGAAGAAGATGATTTTGGAGACTTTGGGGATTTCGGAGAAGCTGTCGAAGGAGATGTCTCTGAGGGCTTTACCCAATCGTCAACGTTTACGAACGAGGACCCCTTCACTCCGCAGAGTTCTGCAGGTTGGGAAACACTACGATTAGATCCGTTGCCTTCAAAACCCACGTTGAAGGCGGGGATAGGGGACATTTTGCAGCCACTGTGGGACACTGCGGATGCGTCAGAATTTCTTACGGATGACAACATTAGACAAGTTGAAGGACTGAATCAAATTCTTGTAACTCCGGAAAGGTGCGCGGATTGCGGCTGGGAATGACAATCAGAAATGTTTAACAACTTTTCATTACAGTCGAGGTTTGTACAATACACTATATCAAACTTCACCTCCAAATACCCAACCGCCAAACTGGACACGATCACGAATACGACGAAGGCACCTTGTCTCACTTGGAATTCCTGTTAACCTCGACGAAGTTCTCCCTTCGGTAAACGGGAAAGCGTTACCTGCTCTTAATATCACTACCCGACCGATGTCTGCTCCGCCAGGCTCTCGTGCTCTGAATAGAGTAGCAAGCCCACCTCCTGCTTCTTCGAGTGCATCACGGCCTGGCTCTAGACCTGGCTCAAGACCTCCTTCGCGTGCGGCAACACCAAAAGCAAGCCCCTTATCTCGCAGCACAGCAACATTTGCGCAACTCGGTCTTGGACCACCTCCTGAGGTTGACGAAGCAGCGGTTAACGAAGTTATATCTATCAGCCCTGGTATGTACCGTTCGTCTGCACGTTGCATCAGATTTCACTTACATCCTTGTTCAGAAACCTTCACTTTACTTCCGTTATCAACCTTAGAAGCTCGCCTAACACACGTTCGCTCGCTGACTGCGAGCACATCTGCACTTCTCACGTACTTGCTTCAGCAACGCGACGCTCTACAGCAGGATTCGGAGACGTATAATAAACTCATTGCTGAACTGGTTGGTGAAGCTCAGAAGATGAAGACGGGGGCAAAGACACGAAACGGTGGGAGTAGGCGAGCCAGCGGCATGGCTTGAGCTTTGGAATTGACATAATATGTAATATACACATACCTTGATGTTATTATACCGTATTGCGCCTTGACGGTGCTTGAGGGATTAAATCTAACCGGTTATCATGTATGCCGATGCAGAAGATTAATGAGTGATCAGCGTTTCCATTTATGTCACTCCAAAATTTTGAAGTTTCGTTCCGTCTCTCTCTGCTCCGACGCCTTTTCCTCACACCCTTCCGCTTTGAAGCTGCGACGCTACAGCGCGAGCTCAACAGCCACATGCTCTTATAGCATCTCCCCTTCTACTATCTGCAACAATGAATATTGCTCAGCCGATCCCTTCGACTGTTCAGAGCATTTCCTTCTCGTTCTTGACTTCGGAAGATGTACGCAGGATCTCCGTAAAACAAATTACGAACCCAATTCTCCTAGACGAGCTTAATCGGCCAACTATCGGCGGCTTATATGATCCTGCTCTTGGACCGAGTGATAGGAAGGATATGTTAGCTAAACCAATTCCACTACTACATTGGATGTGTCTGATAGGCCGTTATGTAGATGCGCAACATGTCGACTAACGCATTTTACGTGTCCCGGGCATTTTGGTCATATTGAACTTCCGTCCCCGATTTTCCATCCTCTGTTCATGGTTAGCATGTATAAGTTGCTAAAGGGAACTTGCACATTTTGTCATAGATTCAAAATACGACGGACAGAGGTGCGTGGTTTTCATACTAGACATATTCGCACTGTAACGGATGGCATTACACAGCTAGTGAAATACGTTGCGAAACTTCGGCTCCTTGATCACGGTCTCCTCGATTATGCAAATGCAATTGATGAGATGAAGCCAAACGTCTCGCAAAATGAGGATGGAAGTGAGGACGAGGATACAGCAGCTGATGAATCTTTAGAGGAATTCTCTCGGCGCGTCAAAATGACTACCCAACTTTTCTTGCGAATGCATCCAGAGCGTAAACGTGATGACTACAAGGATGGCTTAGTCTTTCAAGCACGTAAGGACGTTATTGCGGAGTTCCTAGCTACTACTGCTCTAAAACGATGCCAGAACAATGATTGTAAAGCGTGAGTCGGGTATTCAATGCCATTGACAAAATTTAATGTTGTATTCAGGTTCGCTCACTCTTTGCGCAAAGAGGGCCATACAAAAATCGTCGAGCTCGATCTAACGACAAAACAGAAGGCTCAACATATTCAGATGAACCTCAGAAGGAACAACATCCTGCACCAAGAGCGTCATGGGCGACAGAGCACTCAATACGCCGATGAAGACGTATCTGGTTCTGAAGAATCAGAGGGAGAGGGAGAAGCGGTTTTCTCCGATGAGGAGGATGGTGCTGAGCCCGAAGAGAAGAGGGAAGCTCTCCCGAAATCTGCCAGCGGGAAAGTTAAAACCATGCGAGGTAGAAATGAGCGAATAATCACTCCGGAAGAATGTCGAGCTCATCTTCGTCGCTTATTTGCTAACGAGGTGTCCATGTGTTCCCTTATTTTCGGCCGACATGGCCCCTTCGCACGTGTCAACACGGACCGTATTTCGCCAGCTTCTGCGGACATATTCTTCATGGACTGTCTACTTGTCTCACCGACTCGCTTTCGGCCTCCAGCCAAGATGGGTGATACGCTTTTTGAGCACCCTCATAACGAACTCCTGGCCAAGGTACTCAATACGTCGTATAGTCTTCGAGATCAAGCAGACGCACTAAGAGCTGCAAACGAGAAAGACTCGACTGTGGACGAGGTTTCACGTCGGCGTATGTTAGGCAGGCTCATCGAGAGCTTGGTACAGCTGCAGGTGGATGTCAATAGCTTCATCGACAGCAGCAAGAATCCCCAAAGAATGCGTCAGGGCAAATTGCCTCCCGCCGGTGTCAAACAGAACCTTGAGAAGAAAGAAGGATTATTCCGGATGAACATGATGGTAAGGAGAATTTCTGACTCTCGTTATAATGTTCTTAATTCTGCTGCAGGGGAAACGTGTCAATTATTCGGCAAGGTCTGTCATATCGCCTGATGTGAATATCGACACGAACGAGATTGGTGTACCTCCTGTCTTCGCTCGCAAACTCACTTTCCCAGAACCGGTCACAGAACACAACGTGCATCTGATGCGCGAGCTGGTCACAAATGGGCATCACAAGTATCCTGGCGCAAGCATTATTGAACTTGAAGATGGTACCAAGCAATCTCTGGTAAGCTTTTTCAACCACTTTGTACGCTTGATTATGTGAATACGATATGGAATGGACTTGATAGGAAAAAATGAATGTGGAAGAACGACGAGCACTTGCAAACCAATTGCTTACTCCACAAAACGATTTGCATGGTTCGTCAAAAATGGGATTGACAACCAAGACGCCTGCCGTAAATAAAAAAGTTTACCGGCATCTCCGGGATGGTGATGTTCTCATTCTCAACCGACAACCGACTCTACATAAACCCAGTATGATGGTGCACAAGGCTAGGGTACTCCAGGGAGAGAAAACTATTCGGATGCACTATGCTAACTGGTGAGTTTCGATTTCATGGACGCAGAATTTGTATTGAATGGCTTAATCGCACGTTTCTAGTAATTCATATAACGGTAAGCCCTGTACGCTTTAAAATAGTCTATTGGTTCTCACATTTCTACAGCCGATTTTGACGGTGATGGCGAGTACTTTGGTACTTCACTTGCTTTTAAAAATATTGACTTTCGTGCACCGCAGAAATGAACATCCATTTTCCGCGTAAGCACTCGACATTTAGCATAATTTTAATTAATCGCATACTAACGTTATTTTCAGAGAACGAACTTGCTCGATCTGAGGCTATGTTCATCGCCAACACTGATAATCAATACCTCGTGCCGACGTCAGGAAAACCTCTACGAGGTTTAATACAGGATCATGTCGTAGCAGGTGTCTGGATGACTAGTCGTGACACGTTCTTCTCTCGCGAGGAGTACTTTCAGCTTCTATACGGAGCTCTTCGACCAGAAGAACAGACAGATGGTCGCCTTCGCACCCTACCACCAACAATTTGGAAGCCAGTACCATTATGGACTGGGAAACAAATTGTACGTCATCCATCGACTGACTACAAGTTCAGAACTAACCGCCTCCGCACGAATAGATCTCGACAATCTTGCTTAACATTACCCCATCTGCAGCTCAGGGACTGAACCTCACGTCGAAAGCTAAAGTCTCTGGTGATCTATGGGGGAAAGGTTCTGAGGAAGGAAGAGTCGTAGTCATGGACGGGGAGTTACTCTGCGGTATTCTGGACAAATCGCAATTCGGTGCCACTGACTATGGTCTCGTACATTCCTGTTACGAACTTTATGGCGCAGACATTGCTGGAAGGCTCCTTGGCATCCTGAGTCGTCTCCTTACCAAGTTTCTTCAGCATAGGGCATTCACTTGTCGAATGGACGATCTTACGCTCACCGCACTTGGTGATTCTCAGAGACGTAGCTTGTTACAGAAGGGCAAGAATCTTGGACAGGAAGGCGCTGAGGAAAATTTCCCGTCATTGGCTACGATGCCTGTGTCGGAAAAGAAGGGTGCTTTGCGAGCATTCCTCCGAGACGTATTGAGGGATGATGCAAAGATGGCTGGACTTGACGTCACTGTCAAGAAAAAGCTTGCTGGTCTTACAAAGTCAATCGCAGATGCTTGCATGCCTCATGGCTTGAGCCGCAAGTTCCCGCATAACCACATGCAAATGATGACCCAGTCTGGTGCGAAAGGTAGTGCAGTTAACGCACAACAGATTTCCTGTGCACTCGGCCAGCAGGAGCTAGAAGGTCGCCGTGTTCCTGTAATGATTAGCGGGAAGACGCTCCCTTCTTTCAAGGCCTTTGAGACTGCTGCTATCGCTGGTGGATACGTCGCGAGCCGATTCCTGACGGGTGTCAAACCTCAAGAATTTTACTTCCATTGTATGGCTGGTCGAGAAGGTCTCATCGATACAGCTGTGAAGACTTCTCGATCAGGCTATCTTCAGCGATGCTTAATCAAGCACCTGGAGGGTATCCGTGTGCATTACGACAACACCGTGCGCGCTAGTGATTCTTCAATTCTTCAGTTTCATTACGGTGGTGACTGCCTTGATGTAACGCGACAAAAACATCTAACCCAATTCGAGTTCGCCGCGCGGAACGAGCGATCCCTGGTCGCGTCCCTTAGGACGCCCTCTGTCGATCATTTTGACGACAACGAAGGCGCTATCAAACATATGAAGGATGCGCTTAAATACCTGCGGAAACCGAAGAAAGGAAAGAAATTAGATCCTGCGATGTCTGTTTACAATCCGAGTAGGAATATCGGTGCAACGTCGGAGAAGTTTGCTCAGAAAGTCGAAGAGTATATCAAGTCGAATCCAGACCATATGCTCAAAGACAAAAACGCCGAAGCCCCGTTGTGGTTGTCGAAGAGTCGCAAAGGTATTTCACATAAGATGTTCCGCATGCTCATGAACGTCAAGTACATGCGAAGTATGGTGGATCCTGGTGAGGCGGTCGGACTCCTCGCATCGCAAGGGTGAGCAGTATGTATTTGAACCGAGGATTCCTGTACTAACAGTAACGGTAGTGTTGGGGAACCCTCGACACAAATGACGCTGAACACATTCCATTTTGCTGGTCCGTGATCCAGTTTTGCTTCGGCGCATCTTAAGACTGATAAATCAACAGGCCATGGTGCTGCGAACGTTACCCTTGGTATCCCGCGACTTCGAGAAATCGTCATGACCGCATCGACCAAGCCAAAAACTCCCTCAATGACAATGCGCGTCTGTGCAGGTGCCGACGATAAACTCATAAAATCCTTCTGCAAACGCGCAAGCCGACTTGCTTTATCGCAAATTGTGGATAAGGTCGAAGTCAACGAGAAGCTTGCTCGAACCCGTCGAAGACAGTTCAGCGTCGCTATTTCATTTTACCCGAAGGATGAATATCGAGAAGAATATGACCTGGAACCTTTAGAAATCTTACCTGCGTTCGGCGTTGCATTCCCACAGATATTAAGAAGAGAGATTCAGTTAGAACTCAAGAAGCTGAAAGCGGATTTGAGAACGCATTTATCGGAAGTTGGGCGTGGGCGAACCGAACCACAGGTAGGAGCGAACCCCGAGGGAGATGAGGCTAACGCGAACGCCACTGCCGTGAACGACGATTCCTCAGAAATAGGTGACGGCGACGCGGATGCTGAAAAACGTGCGCGCCAGACAAAGCAACAGGCCACATATGAGTCGGATGAAGAAGAGGACTCTCCTTCAGGAGAATTCGATGACGCCGCACTTGAAGCGGAATTTAACGAGTCTGCAGATAGCCCTGACTCTGATGACGATGCTATGGATGTTGATGACCTAACCGAAGTCGACGGGCAAAGCATAAAGGACAAGATCAGTGAGGTCCGGAATACTTTCTTCCTCAACTTGAAGTCAGCGAGCTCGTTCAAGTTCTCGGACTCTGGTGTCAGTTTCGATCTAGAGGTCAGTCGTCTGGATACTTCTCGAACTTGAGGTGCTCATCTGCTTTCAGTTTCCATCCGACCAACCGAAATTGCTTCTTGTGGGTCTTGTTGAAAAGGCTTGCAATAAGACGATTGTACGTGAGATCAGTGGTATTGCCGATGTCTTCTTATCCAAGGACGAAGGGAAAGACAAGCAATTCAAGGTCTGTCCACCCTTACTATCGTAATATTTGTCGCACTAACATCTACTCGTGTAACAATAGCTTGTCACTAATGGGTCAAATTTCCAAGGAATGTGGCGCTTCGCAAATGCGTTCGAAGAAGAGTCCGGAGAGCCCGTCGTGGAGCTGAACGACATATATGCCAACGACATATACGCAGGGTTGGTCGCGTACGGCGTTGAGATGGCTCGTGCCCTTATCTTGAAAGAGATTCAGAACGTCTTCGGTGCTTACAATATAGATGTCGACATTCGCCATCTCGAGCTCATTGCAGATTATATGGTTAGTGTTTTTTTTAGTATTGATATGAGACGTTTGTCTTGACAACCATATGTAGACATTCGACGGAGGATACAAGCCCTTCAATCGGAAGGGAATATCCACTAATCCTTCACCTCTCCTAAAAGCATCGTACGAGACGACGGCCGCATTCATCAGTGATGCGACCCTGCACGGTGACTTTGACGACCTGAGGACGCCTTCTGGGAACATCGTTCTTGGCCGACCCAGTCTCAGTGGCACGGGAGTCTTCGACATTGTTCACTCTTTGCACTAGAGATTGTATTGCATTGTTTGTTTATTGTTTGTTGCTCTTTTCGTGTTGCTGTCAATTCAAAATTCGTGGGAACTCCAGTCCACAAGCAACCAAACAACGAGTCGTGAGAATTTTCGAGAACGCTGCAGTCACAATTGTGACGAAGCGCGTTTTGCGACGTCTGCATTCAACCACCACAACGCGCCATGGAGAAACGACGTCCCCTACACCCGCTTCCATTATCCTGTTTTCTTGCACCCGAGAACTTTACCGACCAGCGCATAAGCCCCCTCAAGTCAGCCAGCAAGCGTCCTAGGAGCCCTAGTGCCTTTCTGAGCCCCGCTAAACGTCGCATCCTCCGCGAAGAAGGTTTCTTGCCGTCGCCGTCGTTGTCGGAGCCGAGGACTGTATGCCGCGAAAGATTTTTAAGTCAAGGTGGAATGGATATTAGACTTCGTGGACACACAGAGGCCGGTACGCTAGCAACGCTATGGGACGGGTCACGTTGTGCCGGCGACGACGAGGCTTTCGTCAACACGGCAGCCCGCAACACGTGTTTTGGAGTCTCAACCAAAGAACCTGTTATACCCGGAAATGGACTTGCAATGCCTAGACGCTCTCCTAGACTCTCATCTAGACGAGCTGACGGACCGACAACATCCTCGCACGTCATGCCACCGCTCCTGGTCCCTCGTGAATTGCCCCCGCGACACAACCCACAGAGCTGTCACTACCCCGGTTTCGACGTGTATTACGACTCTCATATCGAACTTCCGTCCACGTCATCGCGTTCCAGCCCAGATATGGATTGGGAAATGGATAGGGAGATCGTGAAGGAGAATTTGCCACTTCGGAAGAAGGCGAGGAAAGCGACCTCGCTGCCTACCGGGGGTGTCGCAGACGACACTTCTAGCGAGACGACCAAAGACAAGACTAAGGCAGCTTCGTATCCCGCGACACCGTATCACAACACGCCCATCCACACTCCAGCGACGCCACATATACGAAGGACGCCACTCGCAGGTGCGAAAACGAAGTACGAAATCACCCCTGGCAGAACACCGGATAGCAACAGTAGCAAGTATGCGAGAAAGCGAGCATTGGAGCAGGAAGTGGATGAAGTGTGCAGCGACGAGGAGGATTAGGGTGGAGTGACCGCTATCCGGAACACTCCGATTTCGACTGGCGATAAACGATAGTGGTTACGAATCTCACGTTGGCATCCATTTACTCCCGTTTTACGGACCTTCATCTTGCAATTCTCTATTACATCTGCTCCGTTTATCATTTGTGACATGGTCTCATGTCGTTCCGACCGTGGCATTAAAAAAGCTCGCTGCAACAGCCCCATCTCAGTCCTACATATCGAAAGCCACACATCTATTTGCCGTCCATTTGTGCAGCCTCCCTCATTTAAACGATTATTGTTTAAATACAACCTTGTTCTTTATGCTTGACTCAAACGACATTCATGATATGTTACCGTTTACTTTCCCCTTTTTGATATGTTTTAGTATTTTTGTGTATGTTTATTGAAGTGTTTCTCCTTTTCACTTATCCCTCGACTGCATGTTATGATTCTTTTCGTTCCATGTACAGAGTTTCACAATGCGTTATGTCTTGCTTGTGAGTGTGGTAAAGCCACGATAAACTTTGCCAGCCACAAAAAGGACACGTCAGCACTGAAAACGCCGATCACCAAGAAAAGTCATAACAAATCAATTGACATCAGTGTATCATCACTAAGTCTACAACATATTCTTAACATATTCTTCTTATTTAACTTATCAAACGTATTGCACAATACACATCATGTCAAGAATAATGTTACTCTTCTCTCTTTGGATGCTGCCACTAGTAGCTGCACAGTTCAACTTCTTCGACATGTTTGGCCAAGGACAACAGGCGAACCAGCATCGTGCGTCTGGAGCTTCACAATGGGCTGCTCAGGCTGATAACAGTGAGTTAACTTTCTGTGCCACCTTACCACTGTTCCGCCCTCTCGTTTGTTCATCCATTGATTATATACTCACTTTGTTTTGGCTATGCATGATAGTTCCGTGTAATGCATACTTATGTCCCGATACGTTACTGTGTGTACGCAATCCTGCAGATTGTCCGTGTCCAAGTACGGAGGACGTGAAGTGCCTTATCAGAGAACCGAAGGAGAAGGACGCGGCGACTGTTGTATGCGTGCGAGGTGAGGATGCGTGTACGGAGGTTCAGCGGCTTGCGAATAAGTGGAAGTGAGTGGATTAGAGAGGGATTGATATATTGGTGAGTTTTACTCTTGGATACTACAGAATGTCTTTTTCTGCATGGGTGCTAACATCAATCTATTGGTTTTTTAAAGTGCCTTTCATTCCGGATGTGCAACGTGTATTCTATAATAAAAATTGTTCAGTTGACTTGTGATGTCTGCAGTGTCTGAGCTTCGCTCTGAACTGATTAAACTTTACTTACTCGTAAGTCTCAGCACGAACCTCAAGTCATCCGAAAAGGCGTTACAGGCACTCTACAATGGACATCCTCTTCCCCAAATGTCAGTCGGTAGTCTTGCTTCTCAGAAGATTTGTAACATAGTTCCGAAACGACTCTTTGCGTATAAAGGTCATTCGTGTTATTGCAGCAAGTCTACAGTCTCGTCATACTTATCAAACGTTTCATCTACCCTAACGCCGTACAGAAATACACCCTCTTCGAGAAGTTGACGTGGATACCACCGGAGATAGCTATTAAGCATGAACTTCATCTATATTTGCAATCGCAATTTCTGCTATTTTAAGTAGGTGCACTGCACGAAAGACACTGTCGCACTTAAAGGTTTGTTCTTATCAGTCAATTATAACAGCTTGAATAGAGGAGCACCCCAGAGCTTGACGGCTCAAGTACAACTTCGGGGTCATATTAGCAGATATGGTGGCTCGCCCTTATGGGGCTGAACAATTTTTCAAAAATCCCTACGTACAGCAGCCATACACAACCAAGCATCACATACACAGAAAAATTGCGCAGTTCTATTTGTGAATGCAGTCGACATGAGGACCATATAACCAAGAAAGACGTAAGAAAAAGATTGTACAACAGTCCATTCATCGCAGATAAACCAAAAGAAGCAATCAGGGAGTCAAATAAGAGCGAATAATAAAACAACAAAGTGTGGAAGTGAGGAAGAGGCAGAATCATAGTCAGATGCGGGACTTAGAGGGGCGGAAGAGTAAGATAAGATACAGATGAGGAATTGGAACTTGATTTAAAATGAAGGTTCGGCGGCCCCATTTTTTGTTGGAATGGAAAAAAGAAAGGCCATAAAGATCGTAAACATATTCACCAACTCAAAGGTCCATAAGTGCTCCCCAACTGTGGATCAATAGCCGGGCTCATCCTGTAATCATCCGTATTTTTATACACCGTATTTCCCCACCAATTTTGAATGACGCTGGACCTTACTTGCCGAGGATACTGCAAGGAAAAGAATATAACAAGAGCGGAGATGGCGTAACCCGAGTCAAGCGCGGCGCTCAGGACGTAGTTATACTTCGTCCACCATGAAAAGGCGCGCCGTCTGATGACGTATTGGAAAATGAAACCGACGAGCGTCCATGGGACGTAGTTTCCCGCTGTCGCCGGCGGGATCCATTGGGTTCCCGCGAAGATGACCGGTAAGCTGTGTAGGTTAAAACAAATTTGTTCAGAACATTGTCAATCAATTGAATTCTTCCACAAGCGCCATGCTTACTTTATGTACCGGAAGACCGAGTTCGGCCACCATTTCGTCAACGCCCAGGGGATAATCGGAGCAACTGCTCCAACGAGGAAGAAGTACGTCAGCGAATGATACAATTGGCCTTGAGAGTACTGCAGCTTAGGCCCGATGACGCCCCAAACAATGCTTGCCGTTCCAAACACTTGTGTAGTCGGACATGTAAAGCTGTCCGGCTGGCCTTCTTGGCAAATATCCGGAATGTTATTGAACATCCAATTTTGAACTGCAAGCTGGACTGTCCCAGCTATCACCGTTGCCACCGTCTGCGCGACAAACAGAGTCCGTGGTGGGATCTTCATATAATGCCCGAGTTTGAAATCCGAGCTGAACTGCAATGCTTGAGCCACTGCGATATATCCCCATGTTTTGAACAACATCATTGCGACTGGTCGCCCCGGAAGAGCATACCCGATTATAAGCTCCGCAACGACGTTCAAGCCTATTTGCTGGTTCGTTATGGCTTGGATCATCCCGATAGGAATAACATAGACGAAAGCTAATGAAAGATAGAATTAGTAAAAGTTTCAGAACATTGCAAATAATAAATAAGTGGACTTACAAAATACGAGAGCCAAAGCAAGCGCCCACACTGGCATTTTAGTATCCCAGACTTCAATGGCGACAATTCCGAATGTGGACATGCTAACTGCGAAGATGAAAAGGGGGATATTCAGTTCCGTATAGCATAATCTATCAGTAGAACAAACTTACCAAATACGCAGACATACCACCATGTCGGGACCTGCTTATATCGACTCATCAATCGAGCATGGATGTCTTCTTGCTCGTTCAAACTCCGTCTCGACTGTATCCATATCTGTCTTCTGAAGTATAATACAGTGTGCACGATAGTCGCAGTAATACCCGCAAAGCTCAGACCGTAACTGAGAATAAATGTTGCTGACAGAAACAAAGGGCTGTACGCATGGTATGCGTCCTCGTCGAACGTTCCATCGGGTCTGAGTATTCGGCTCACATTATATTCCCCGCCGGTGTTATCATAACTTGTCCGGCTAGAAATAGGCATGTATGCTGAATACCACGTGTTCGTGTAGTATAGTGCGGGCGTAAGTATCCAGAAGAAGAATGCGAAGCCTGCAGCGATATTCGCTTCGGCCCACCTATACAAGGGGTATCATTAAGGCGTGGAACCGGCAAAAATAGCAATTGCGGGACCCACCACGGAGTAGCTAGCGGACTTCCGATATATGCGATCTGGCCCCAATCGAATGTCAGAACACTCATTCCGAGTCCACTGTAGTAGCCAAACAACTGGTTAACGGTGCGATTCCGTGGGTAAATCCATGTCACCCAAGAGAAAGTAGATAGTGCGGTAAATAGATAACCCGGCAGGAAATACCAGCAGAAGGACCCGATGAAGGCATACATGAAGAACCTTTCTCGTGATAAGCCTCCTCGGGATCCTACTCCAGCATATTGCTGTGAATGAAGCGTATTGAAGAGTGCGCATAAGACGAGATTAGATGGCCAGACTTGATAAGCATCGTCAGATAATATATTTGCCTTAATGCAAGATACGTTCTCACTCATAGATGGGGGTGATACTAAATAACGCTTCCCGATTCCTCCCATTGCAAAACCCATGAGCTGGGTGCTCATAACTAGTAACCACTCATACCCGAACGAGTAATCTTGGTTATAGAAAACTCTTTGCACAGCAATGATATCGGTAGCATATGCGGATGCAGCGCCAACGCTGCCCATAATTGTGACGACTACATGCTCCTTGACGGTAAATGGACCAGGATTGAGTGATACACCTAAGACTGTGACACTCGGGACGAGTGCGGCCCATAATTGACCTAACGGATAGGACAGCAATTGTGGGACAAGCTAAAATAGCGTGAGAGATAAGGTAATAAGCTCGACGCAAGAAGAGAAGCAGACGAACCCCGGTGATAGTCACTGCGGGATATCGGAAGAAGAAGAACTGTAAACTCATAGGATCAATAAAAAGTACAAGGCAAGAATTGCGCCGCATACGACGATCTGTGTAAACGCACCTGATTTAGTCCGGGGATAATAATGGCGAAAATGAATCCGAGCAACCAGACTCGTATGGTATTTACTGGCATTTCTGGGTCATCTGTATTAGCGACAGCCGACCGTACTTCTGGGTACGGCGAATCATTCTCTATTTATATCATTTAAACTTTGTTTTGTACTTTGTGAGGAGGACATCTCATACCAAAGTTGATGTTATTATTTGAGCCATAATCGAGGTTTGGATCGTCGTAGTCAGGGTCGTCGCTCTCGTCAAGGTCTGTTTCTACATACGACAAGCGTTTCCCCTCAACAGAGAGCGACCGCGATGAACATGCGAAGGACCCACTGTAGGGCGGAAGACCCTTCTCCATGTCCTCCTTCGCATCGTAGACGTAGACCTGCCGTCCGCTGGTTGAATCGTCATAGGGGTACGGGAATTGGCCAATATCCTGTTCAAGGTCGTCTGAGGACCGATAAGTGTGCGGTGACCGTTCATGCAGGCTGCGGTCTCCGGAATAGCGCCGGTTGTGCAGGCCAACGTTTCTGCTACTCCCTGCTTCACTCAGTTCAAAGCTTTGGCGTTCATCAGGATTACCCGGCATTGCCGGAGTGCAGAGGTACCGTGTGAGCCGTCCGCGTGCAGCACAAGAACTCTTCTGTTAAGCCCGCCCTCCGTCAGAATGCGAACGAATACGCAAAAATCCCGAGAATTTTCTGCCAAGAAGAATGGCCCGTATGGCCGCTTCGTGCGTGCTCGCTGTGGGCGCTGGTGGGTGGGAGGATGGGGATGAGGAGAAAGATAGAGACTCTGGCAGGCGATCACAGCGTCGATTATTTTGGGCCTGTATTCAGGCACAATATCACGTGCTAAGGGGCGTCCTGATCTCGATTGAATTTCTTTCTCCTTTCTTGTGTAAGTGTGTCATTGCTCAACGGCTTACAGGCGCGCGAAACGTTTCACAGTCTATACTAGTATCACCTTATCATGTCAATTGCACGACCAGCGGTAAGTCGTTATCGTCGAAGCCTATTTGCTTGCTTGCTGCGGACCTTTGTACAGGCGACTGATACGTCGTACACTATATAGACCAAACTACCCGCGGGCGCCAACCGCATTCTCTTCGTGAAGAACCTCAACTACAACATTACTGGCGACGACTTATACGAGCTTTTTGGTCGGTATGGAAGCATTCGGCAGATAAGACTGGGGGTAGAATCAAACACGAAGGGAACTGCCTTTGTCGTCTATGACGACGTAACTGATGTGAGCGTTTCACTATTCTGACGGACCTGAGGCCGCTCTAACTTCACCTCCTTGCAAGGCGAAAAATGCTTTGGAACACTTGAATGGTTTCCACCTGCAGGAGCGCTACATCGTCGGTAAGTTCATCGGTTCGCTCTTAGCGGGACGCCGTACCTTAACTCATGCATGCACACCAACTCTACATACAGTGCTCTATCATATGCCTTCTCGGCAGGACGCCGCTGCTGTTAAGGCAGAAATCGCTCGTCGTGAAGAAGAACTAGCGCAGCTAAAGGCAAAGCACGATATTGGCGAGGAGATTTGACCACCACACGGACACACAATTTGCTTCCTCCGCTTGCTCCAGTCGTCCAGGTTATTTCGTCTGATGTCTTCGGAGCACACGCAACAAGCGATAGCACCTCTCTCAGGATGCTCCGCCGCTACCCCCATTTACTCAAGTGGGACTCTAAGTGAGCGAGCAGTGCATGTTATCTTTCACTACATTGTTTTTATGTTTGATTAGTCAGCATCTACGTGGCTTGTACACTGCATGAATTCGATCCCTGTATGACACAGTAACTATATAATTTCCCCCATTAATGAACACTATTGTTTCGATTGAGGCAGATCTGCAACATCTCCGCTCAGCTAGTCCCTCTGCTTCTAGTTATTTCCAATACCCGAGGATGTTCAAACACGAGGCAGATCAAATACAACGTGCCGACGCGCCCGCCGGAGCCATCTCTTCTTCTCTTCTACTTCGTGCGTGTCAGCACATGTTTCCTGTGGTTCATCTTCCCGGCAAACAGCAGGCTCGACAGGGGAAGTACCATATTGATTGCGAGGGCACACGGTTGTCGCAGTCATCGACTTCGCCATCTGCGAAGATATTGCAAACCGCAACAGTCGGGGGAATCCAGAATCTAAAACAGCCTCCTTGGTGAAGCCTAAATCATGTCTATCATGACCCAATCGTGGTATTCAATTCAATGCGCTATTGAATGTCCGATATGAGAGATTTTGTTGTCGCATATGTTCATTTGTTCATATTGCACCCGTTCTAGATCTTCCGTACTGGAACGGCCATACCGCTCTTCGCTCATCATTGAGATTACATCGCCATCTGCTTGGACGTGTGCCTTCGCGGATATCGATACCATCCGTGAAACTCTGGGGGGAGGGGCAACGGTCGTAGTCTGATTCGTTGAAGAGGGATTTAATTTTTCAAATTTTGTGACCCTTCTGGACTGGATAAGTTGGGACTTCTCCGGTCGCAGGCTTAAATATGATGTTCTTCATCTTCATATACGCCACTTGACGGCGATTAGAAGACTTAGGGCCAATGCTCGTTCATCTCGGACCTCATTGGCGGATGTTCCGGAGCGTAATGGAATCATTTCCTCGCCTGGGATTTCGTGCAACGTAAGACTTACTGACAACGCACACATGCCCCTCGGTACGGCGGTACTTCCCAGACAAGAGTGATTGTGAGTAGATAGGGTTGCACAGGGACAGAATGCACGGAACACATGTATTTTCCAGAAAAGTGCTAGTGTGTGTCGATCGAGACAAGGTGGGACCAGTTTCTAATTTATGAAAATGGAAACAGGAGTGAAAAGTTGAAAAGCGGTGATGTGAGGTCATACCCAACATATACATAAGCTATGCCAAGTTTACATGAATATATGATGAGAAAGGGGATATAAGGCGGCCGCTTATTGCTTCGCCAGAGAGCAACTTGGGCACCAGTCGTCAATTTGCGGTGCTAAGAATTATGTGTTAACTATTTGTGGATTAACGACACGGAAAGGTACGACCGACCATATTGTTGAGGGCTTTGGTGACTGCGGTGAACAATAAATTAATACGTTAGTTTATGTGGTACGAAGATGTCACTCAGGGAACAGAGGTAGACAGACCACAGCGAGGGGCTCGATCATGTTCGCTTCATGCCGATACAGTTTGAAATGGAAGTGACTTACTACTGCCAGCAGGTTTCCAAGCATCGTGGTGCGTAGCAAGTCGGCGGATGGACGGAGCTGAACCTGCACGTCAACGAATAGCAATCGATCTGCCGCACGGTTAGAGTTAGTGATTGTGCTTCCTGTGCTTCCGCGATGAGTGGCGACTGACGTGTTCATCGGGCTGTGCGAAGTGGAGGTCAGTGACCAAGACACTGAGGCGGCTCTTGGCACGCTCACCAGCCTGACCGCATGGTTGCACCTTCCGTAGGGAATCAGTAGGCGTATTTCGAGTTTAGAGTGCCGGACTCGATCTCGTACCTTTTGTACATGTTCCGGACTCTATTGATACACATTCAGCAACGGAAGCGAAAGGAAGGAGATCCGTGTACGTACTTTCTCCAGCAGCACATTCTGTCCAGCGCAAGAGGACCTCGAGAGGGAGCCGGTCAGCTGTGAAGCCGGGGGAGGAGTGTGTGCAGTATTGAAGGTCCTTACGAGACGGGAAGAAGGGAGTCCAGAGGTCACCGTTGGGTGGGCATCATATAAATACGTCTGTATGAGTGCATGAGATATTAATCACTACCAGGCCATCAGCCATGCTACAATTAGCTTCCTCGCGCCCCATCTTTGTCATATGCACGAAGAAAGAGCACCAAAGGAAGGAAGAGGGCTCATATGAGAGCCAAAAACTGAATAGGCTAGACCCGAGTCTTAATTACAATTACGGAAAATCCGAAACCGTCTCGCAGGCACGCACACGCATGGAGAGGCTTTTAGCCTGCCCCGTCTTATCTCTGAAAAAGACTTTGCTTTGAGTTGCTTAGAAGTCGCCGTATTCTTGAACCTATGATCGAAGCGACGGTGGCCGGTACCATACGGTCTTCCGTGCGAAGAGCGGAGCTGAATTCAGAAGATTGGGGAGCAACTCACGTACCCAAATACCGGGGCTTTCCAATCGCACTGCGGCTCACATTCTGCATGGAAAGAGGGTGATTCGGGAAGTCTTGAATGCATGCGTGAACGCAAGATCCGCTGACCATAAAAGCAAATGCTTGTTATAATGTCCACACAAAGAGTCATGGTTCGTGAAAATCCGGAGAAAAGTCTGCCAGTAGGGTTCAAGTTCCGTCTTGTTGGGCCATAAGCGATGAAGTTCTCGGCGGTGCGTCAAAAGCGGCGAAAGTAACATGCCGACGAACGCTTCATTTTGTTGGATGGCTGGGAGAGCGTCACCTCGTCAAGATGGCCTGATAGTGTTTCAAGTTCCGGGGCAAATTTTAATACCCAGTAAGTGCTGTCGACGAAACGCGTATTCCATGAAACTCTTAAGGAACGATCAGGTTAGACGGTGGTGATAGAGAGACATGGAGTGCGCAAACTTTTTTTTTCGGAATGGTGGGGACGTGCGCTCCTGAGAACGGATTCGCCGCTTCAGAATCCGACTTTGTCGTACTGAAACTTGTCCGAGGAATTGAAGCTTCTGATTGCGCACGAAGCTTGACGGCCCAAGCGCGGGAGAGACCTTTCGGCCGGAGAAAATACCTCGATGCCTGCTCTTAGGACAAACGACTGATCGGACACAGATTCAGGGTTCGAATTCATAAAGTTACCAGGATTGACTAGTGATAAGGTTAACGAAATATTCACAGGCCCTCCTTGCATGTGAACTCTGAATTGAAACGTCGTTTACAGTAATTTTGTGCCCTGACTCATCGAACCGGAAATCCTCGTATTACCACGGATATTTAGTTACGCTTGGATAGGGCTAGAGTTTCCGAATCATGAAAGACGGATGGGTAAAGACGAAGGACCTCAGGAATCTGCGTAGCATTGCCGACTTTCTCATGTCCGTCAGCCTAGAAGATTGATAAAGTACATATGTTAAATTGCAGAAGAATGACAATATATAGAGCACGCGAGAAACAGAAGCAACCAAGCCCAGGCCCCGCTAAAGGGGGCATGAGCCGTCCTTTTTGTGGCGTCGCGGAAATACAGGATGCGGAGCAACAAATAGAGCCGTACGAATTGCAGTGGATACCCACATGTTAGGCAAGTCACGCACTCGAGAGCACTCTACATGCGAGCAACCTCAATACGCGACAGGTGTTATGGAAGACGTTTCGGGACTGATTCTAAGATACAAAATACAATGCCATCCATAGGAAAGCTTCCGGGAAGCACTCAAATGAGTTCCGCGGCGTTGACTGGCATTTCATCCTGTCGGAGTTCAGCATTGGACACCATAAAGAAGCAGAATACAAGAACTTACAATCTGCGTGCCGTAGTACTGCTCTATTGGTCGAGCAAAATTAGGTTGACTGTCAGGAGTAAAGAAGGGAGACACGAACCAATATCACGCAAGATTCGAACATCATCCACAGTTACGAACTGAAGAACATCGTTTCGCGTTAGATCAGGAACCGTCGAATTTATAGGAACTACACACGTTTATCGCGACACCCTTGCGACCAAAGCGTCCAGACCGTCCAATACGGTGGATATAGTTTTCACGATTCCTGATAGGATAATTTTTTTAAAAGCCTATAATGAACCACAAATAAAAAAACTACTTACGCAGGTAAATCATAGTTGATGACTAGAGAGACTTGCTGAACATCGATTCCACGAGCCCACACGTCTGTGGTGATGAGCACGCGCCTTCCGTGCCAAATAAATTATCAGTTAATCAAGCCATCAGAACCAAAGAACGTACGAAGTTCCGGCGCGAAATTCTGCCATGATAGCGTCTCGCTCTTTTTGCGGCATTTCTCCATGCATGGATGACACCGTGAAGTTCGCCGCCCGCATCTTTTCGGTGAGCCAATCCACCTGTTTTATTTATTAGCCGAAGAAGGGTAGTAACGGTAGTACTAGAGAAAACTTCACTTTTCTCCTTGTGTTGCAGAAAATGACAGCCTGGGTAATTGTGAGAGTGTCGTAAAGGTCGCACAACGTGTCAAATTTCCAGTCCTCCCTTTCTACAGCAACGAAAAATTGTTTAATACCCTCGAGCGTTAATTCATCACGCTTGACAAGGATTCGGACAGGGTCAGTCATGAACTTAGTCGTCATGTCGAGAACATCGTATGGCAACGTAGCGCTGAGAATAACGACCTGGGTCGCCGGAGGAAGATATCGGTATACGTCGTAAATCTGATCTTTGAACCCCTTATTCAACAGCTCGTCGGCTTCATCCAAAACCAGCATCTTTATATTACGCGTTCTCAGAGTACGCCTTCTAATCATGTCGAAGACACGGCCTGGAGTCCCCGAAACGACGTGCTGCCCATGCTCCAATTTGCGAATATCCTCTCCAATGGATGTGCCTCCAATACAAGCGTGGCATTGCACATTCATGTAGTCTCCTAGTGCGAGAAGGACAGACTGGATCTGGGTAGCCAGTTCACGAGTCGGAGATAGAACGAGAGCCTGAGTTTCACGTAACGTGACGTCTATCGACTGGAGGATGGAAATTGAAAATGTTGCCGTTTTACCAGTACCGGATTGGGCCTGCGCAATGACGTCGCGACCTTGGACAATTGGTAAAATGGCCCTCTGCTGAATGGCAGATGGTTTTTCGAAGTCTGTGAAATGGGTTCAGTTTGCGACAGCACTCGCACAGCGAAGTTTCACGCGTACTATAGGCATAAATTCCACGCAACAAGTCTTCTTTCAACCCAAGGTCGTCGAAGGTCGAGATGACAGAAACAGCTTCCGATGACTCAAAGACGAGTTTCTAGTGCAAAATCTTTAGCAACGCTTAAAGTTTGGGGAAAGTTACTGACCTCGTCCCCTGTATTAAGGCCGGCCATCGTTGTCGTGTAGTAAGATGTGTCGCGCACTGCAGTCTGGACACTGGAGAACGTCTTCAGGGATCAGGAAGGACCGTGACCAGCGAAAGATTGCATAGGCAAATGCCGAAACTCCGACATTATGTAACACGCGCGCTGTTAACGTGATTTCTTTCAGTTTCCAACGCTTGACCACTCAGCTCTGACGATGGACTCGCTTATCGAAGTGCAGAGGCAGACTCATGAAGAGATTGAAAGGTTTGAACGTGCCTTAGCAGTAGTCCTTGCCAAACCATCGACCACTCAGCAGGCAAAACTCTCCAACGAACACAAGGCGTCCCAAGTCCTTGACCGTATCTCCTCGCGAGTCCACACCCTTCATAATTTATACCAGGACGAACCGGTACGAAAAGCAGAAATTGATGCTATTTCAGGATCAAAACCGGACGATTTATCAGAATTCTATGCGAGACTGGCAAAGATCAAGGAGCACCATTTGAAGTACCCTGACCAGCTTGTCGGAAGTTTTGAGCTGGATCTTGCGGCATTGGTTAATGACAATACAGGGGAAGCTGGTGAAGATGACTACGAAGAAGAAGACCGTAAGTTTACATCTAAACTTTCTTTACTTGTGTGATAACGACTCCCTCGAATTGCAGCCATTTCTCTACTCTTTTCTGGCGAAGAGGCATACGGCCGTTACCTTGATTTGTACACGCACCACTCTGCATACACTAACTTAAAGAACCTTAAGCGGCGACCGACTTACCTGCAATATCTCGACATATTGGCTATGGCAGAGCATGGATTACTACATCAGGAGGTTCCGATAGAAACTCGACATTCAAAAGAGTATGAGAGGTACGCATGCTGTTTTCCTTCACCTTGTTCACACTGGAACGAATGTCCTCGCGCAGTTATATTACCGGACTTCACTCGTACTTGCTTTCCTTTGCCAAAAAGTCCCAGCCCCTTGTTGACGTAACTGGTCAGCAAAGGGTTGCAGAGGCCGAATTCGAGTCTCTATGGGCGGACAGAAAGGTTGAAGGATGGGAAGACCCTTCGGATAGCAAGCTGAATGGAGTCAAAACCGAAGAAGGCGAAGGTGTTTGGTGTAGTGCATGTGAGTATTTTAGGAACGTAATGGGTTATTACCTTTTACAGAATCTCACAACGCCATAGGTCAAAAACAATATTCCAAGCAAACTGTATACGATGCTCATTTAACGTCGAAAAAACACATCAAGGCGGCAGCACGACAAACGAACTCAGATTCAACTCCCACAAATCGGAATGGAACCCTAGAAGTCGTTGCAGGTCAAAATCAAAAGACCAAAGAAGCCAGGATACGAAACGCCGCTCTCTACACCTTCCTTTCCACGTCACTTATTTTATCCCTGCTTTCAATTGTGAACGAAACGAAATCGAACGTTGAGCGGCGATTCTCGTTAACGGCAAAAGAGCGTGAGGCTGAGCTTTTGGAGAATGCCGCTCCTGCCCCCGCACCAGCTGCCAAAGGGGAAGAGAACGGTAATGAGGAAGAAGAAGAGGAAGAACGGATATACAACCCCTTAAAATTACCATTAGGTTGGGACGGCAAACCTATCCCGTACTGGTTGTACAAATTGCATGGACTCGGCGTTGAATACCGATGCGAAATTTGCTCAGACCATGTCTACATGGGGAGGTTCGTCCGCTTATTCTGTAAGGCAGGGTATAAAGTTAGGCACTAAATAGTGGATATACATAGGAAAAACTTTGATCGTCATTTCCAAGAATCGCGTCATGCATTCGGCATGCGGGCTTTGGGCCTGCCAAATACCAAGCATTTCCACGAAATCACACGAATAGAGGATGCTTTAGCCCGTACGTGAATTTCGGGTTCCTTGGATTAAGCTTCATTCATTTAGCCTTTTTTTACAGTGGCAGAGAAGTTGAAGCGTGAGGGCAAGCAAGAGATCTTCCAACAAGAGACGATGGAAGAGCTCGAGGATGACGAAGGCAACGTCTACAACCGGAAGACATACGACGACCTCAAGAAACAAGGTCTAATCTAAGTTGCGCATTGCAATTGCAAGCGCATCTGTATCTTTCTCCGGCTCGCTCGCTTTAATCTCCAGTATCTCGTCACCTTTTGAGGCATGTATTGTCGATTTTGCAATTGGTCGTTTCTTCTTTTCTTCGATGTAATCATTGTGGAGTCGGCTTCTTTCAGAGAGCATATGTGTCAGGCACCATTTATACATAACCTAAGCCCTTTGCGATGTTCTGATCATTAAGGAACTCTGGAGTCTTTTCCTACGCTAAATTGATGCGTCTATCCTAACCCCGCCGGGGTCTCATGTCTGCCATCTCTAAATTGCTAAAAGGAAGACGGTACCCCACTCCTCTGACTTCTTGCCTTCTTATACGGCCGTGTCGCCACAGGGGGGAGCTTCTTGCTTCTTGCAATTTTAGCGTGTTTGTATTATTTTCCGGATATGTCTAAACGAACTACGAGAAAAGGTATGTATAACAAACGAAGTCAAAAAGAAAGAAAAGGTATAGAGAATTCGAAGTATGCAATCAATACAAACAAACAAACGACGAATTTCATATGAACACAACTACAAACAGACCCTTCCGCCCTTTTCGTCAGCTTGGGTCTATTCCTGATGATAGAACGACAGCAGGCTTCGTGCTACGTGGCGGAGGGGGAGGGGGCGGAGGCTTCCTAGGCACAACAGTTGGGGTTGCCAGGGACAAGGCATCTGTGTAGAGCTCCTCGTCTGTTAAAGATGGCGATGACACCGGAGTTTCAGGCATTGAATCAAAAGGATTCGAGGGTCCTCTTGCCTCACGCGTCTTGGAGAGAATTTGTTCGGTGGCGTAGACGCCGTCAGGGTGTTCTGAGTCATTCATACAAATTCAAGTTAGCAAACGGAGTTATTACTCCTCCAACTTATTGGAGACGGTGAAGCTCAACTTACCGGCGTCTATCCACCAGGCGTCCTCTTCCGAGCTGGGCGGGGGGACTGAAAGTGGTACGCCGGCGGTGATCAGTATCAAAGTAGTGAAGAGGTTGAGCAAATGAAAAGCAGAAAGTACTCACGATCCTCCGGAGGTTCATCGCCTAACGACATCAAAGCTAACTTTTCGTCAAGCTTTTCACCCGGCTCCGTTGAAACGACGCTATCCAGCAGCAGATGCTGTAAGGCATTCCGCTTGGGTACATCAATCACGCGGACTTCCGCACGGAAGATTGCGAACACTGTACAGCACTATCAATATACAATGTACGAAGACCCAGAAGAAATATCCAGGGTTCAGTAACAAACACACTCACCGGGGCGGTGATCGGAGCCCATCAATTCCGCTCTGGAATATACGATGAGGTCAAGATCCGCTCCTTTGTACAATATGCGATCTGAATGGGGACCATCACATGCAGCACAGATTGAAATTCGACATTCAATAATATTATTCCTATCTCGCACGATCGCAGATTGCTCACCTGTCCATGCGGGTATGCGGACTTTCTCGCTTGTATCATATCGCGCTGAATGTAAATCGTATTTATACGTTGGTCGGAAAAGAAGGGGACCTTCCTCGTAGCCGACAAAGGCCATGTGCGAGTCTATCACCCTCCGGAGCTGATCAGCTGCGACAAGTGCGTCTAGCTCATCTCGCTCTGCAAATGCCCGAACACTGTCATTGTCCAAGTCAATCCTATAATTGGTATCCGCGAGCCATATCACGTTGCTGTACGAAGCATTACTCAGCCTATTTAGCCATTTTAAACAAGACGCAAGAACTTCAGAAGCACATACTCGTGGCTGTCAATGGTCTTCCCCTTTTGAAAGTGCAAGCCGTTCACGATTGTCCGATAATCGCTATTGCGTTCTTCGATGTTTGAATGTCCGGCTGCTAGGTGTGCCGTGAGGAAGCAGAAGCTTGTATCGTGGAAGTCGAGTCTTATTCCCACAGCGCCCTTGTTTCCCGACATGCCCCTTAGTCCGGTCTTCCTCGTGGTCGCCTCGACATTTCGGATCGAACCGAGTAAGGACGCCTTCACGAAGACGAAAAGAGCAGTCCCCACAAGCTAAGGTCCCGAAGATAGTAAGGATCTGCGGGTACTGCCTAAATCGCAGGACTCACCTGTTCACTCCGTAATAGGACATAGTTTGCTTTTTTGTTTGGGCGTTGCTCCAGAGTATTCATGATAACATTCTCCCAGATACGTCTTTCGCAAACTTTAGCTGCTGAAATGTGCATAACGAATTGGCGCTAACCTTTTCTCGGGGTCAGTTTGAAGGATCTGTTGAGCATTAAGAGGAACAATCTCCTGGAAGCCTAATACAATCAAATCTGGTCTTCTTGAAATGAGCCTCGCTCGTATGGGCAAATGATGACTTGATGACTTACTCATCATGATCTAAAAGTCACACACTAAGTCAGTGTCACATTATGCCGAAGAAGAGTAATGAGACCTACTCGACCGAGGGAATAGCCAAGGCAATAACGACTCTGACGGTAACTATAGATCAGACTCGTTATTAACATGCAGGCCGCCAATATAAGCCCTTGCTTACCCGTCCATTCAGATTCCAAGTCCCAGCAAAGATCGTACTAAGCTTTTTGGTCGAGTATTCAGATATCCTGTCAAAGTCGTCAACACCTTAGGGAAATGAATCGACGTATAGTATATTAGGAAGTACCTTCGCGCAAGTGCTGTATTGACAGTATCGTGTATTGGATCGTATATCGATATAGGTTTTTGGAATGCCATATTACCCTAATACAATGTCAATCCAGTCCAGATATCCGAATATTGAGTGAGAAGCACGCACAAGAAACATGTCAATAGCCGACTGCTTGCCTTTGTCTTGGAAATTATTGATATATGCTCGAGACACACTTTTCGTGGCATCGGACAGGATACCTCCGAAAGTGCGCTTCCCACTTCTCGTAAAGCTAGTATTCAAAGCCCCAGTTCCCGCATATATTCGCGAAAGCGCGTCTCCATTTTCTGCCCATAATTCTCTATGATTCGTCCATAATGAGTTGGACCCGATCCACTCTCGACGGACGAGGAAAAGATGCTGTTCTAATGAGGTTCGTGAAAGAATATCCTGGATGAAATTCGTGCGATCTAGACTGTATGCAACAGCCTTTATATCAGTCCATCGAAGAGTTTGTAGAGAGTGAGACGCACCAGTCTAAACAATTTGTACGGAAAACACCATTTTGCTCTACCACAATTTCGTGTAACTTAGAATCGTATAATGTATAACCAAACTGATCTGCATTATGCTGAATGCCCTCTTGTCGCCTTATTTGTGGAAGAAAAATAAATATTAGTGATACAGCATTCCAGTTCAATTGGTATATTCACCTGAGCTCACGCATCACACTCTCATGACCACCAATTCGCACAATAGCATGGAAATCAAAGTTCGTCATCCCAACATCATTACCAAAAACAGCATTGCGCGCCGCATGAAGGTGCTGTGCATACGCGGAAGACAAGATAGCTTCGTTTTCTTTTGTGCCGAGAAGGTTGATGACATGGACGGACCCATATTCTTCAGTGAGGCTTGCGAAGTGCTTGTCAAATGAAGGTTGTGATGCGTGTGGACGTGTTAATTGGATGCGCTGGCCGAAGGTTTGGAGGCCCTGTTGTTCCCAGAACACTAGAGACATATTAGTTCTGCTATGTATTTTGGTCATAAGTTTGTTTGGAGATGCATACACGGAACACTACCGCGAACTTGAACATAGCTAAAATAATTTTCATCGGTATTAAATATTGTTTCCGTCTGATACTATTGTCAGCATTTATTCAAATTTCTGCTGAATAATTCATCTTACCTCAACGAAATTTGCAGTATTGCCGTCATCATCAATTCCTCGGGTATTAAACCGTGTCCCAGCACGTTTCCAGCCCAAACGCGAGATGAGTGAGATAGTCGCGATAACGGGCATCCCATTGGTCGGGGGAGCAGGTAAGGCGACAGTAAAGACACCAACATATCCTTGGATGGCTAACACCTACATTGCTCCACTGAGTACAAAAAGCGCCTTCAAAAATAACAAAATAATAAACTCACAATAAATTGACACTGATCCAACTCACTCCGCTCCGAAAGGTCGAGCTTATCTCTGAAGTCGAGCAGACAGCGAACGATATACTCGTTCCACAAGAACCGATCGTCATATTCGCTTCTAAGCTGCTTCCCTTTCGTTATTCGTCGTGAGAGACGAGATGATATGTCCCATTGTGGCGAGAGCGCATAGTAGAATGTGCCAGAGGACAAAATCTTCATGAGTGGTGCGCAGGGATGCTCATAGACAGGTTGAGGCGCTTGAGAATATGGATTGTATTCGTCGTGGTCACCGATGCCGGCCGGTGCGCCGCCTGGCATAGCTTCTGCTGCTCCCGTAGACAAATTGTCCCATGCACTGGAGTTGAGAGAGAAGAAGCCTACGTCATGTATACGTGCAACGCCTTCAGGGGTGCCCCCAGAGGGACGCATGTTCCCAACTTCTGTGGCGGAGAGTACAACGGCAAGAAACGCATCTATGCGCACAGTTAGTTATTCACGCAACTTCAGTATAAACTGTAATCTGTAGACAACCCACCATCACCAACGTTAATAAGCCCAAGACATCCTTTAACCCTCCGCATCGTCAGTCGAACAGCACTATTGAGATCCAATTCGCTCATGGGCAAAAACTCGACCATAACTTTCGCAACATCATTCTCCATAGAACGAAACACAAGCGCGCGACTTGGACTGCCTGTGCGCTCCTCCTCGAAGCTTGTACACAAGACTAGAGTACGATGTCCATGGTGGTCGTGTTTGAGGTATAAATGCATGATCTGTACGCTGCATGAAGTAGTCTTCTGCAAACTACAGTTGCTGAAGGTTTCTGCTCAGTGCTGTCTGTGAATGGTAGAGGTGGCGGCGCGTCAACTACGTAATAGGCAACTCGGCCTCTCCAAACTGACTGCGTGCATAGCATCTTACTCCTTACCTCCTACCACGACTATCCCTTCTACACACCCGCGATAACGATAATGAGCAATTTAGAGAGTTAGTGATTACTTTTATATCTCATAGGCCATCGTGCTAATTACGTTATTTGTCTAGAAAGTTTATTCCAACTCAAGGTGTGACCGCTTTAGAGCCGCAGTCATGCACATATTGATTCGTCTCCGTCTATTGTTCTAGTTCACCGCAAAGACTCTGAATCGACAAGCCAAGAAGGCACAGAAAGATGAAGGTGTCGAGAAGGCTAAAGTAAAGAAGGTGCTTCTCGTTCTCATAATCTCCCATTTTAGCCATCGTGGCACATTCAATAGAATAAGAACACAGTTCTAATCCCGTTTCTTGTACTAGGCATTACAACAAGGCAACACCGACGGCGCACGTATCTACGCCCAAAATGCCATCCGTAAGAAGAGCGAATCGCTCAACCTACTACGACTCGCAAGTCGTATCGATGCCGTTAGCAGTCGAGTGGAGACTGCCGTAACGATGCGTCAAGTAACAGGCAACATGACATCCGTCGTGAGGGGTATGGATAAAGCTATGGATAGTATGAACATCGATAAGGTACGTTCATCATCGGTTTCTTCCCACCTGAAAGTTGTCTCTTACTCGTCCTTCGTTCGCATTTAATTTGTGATTCATTCTGAATCTGACCATCATCGCCTTCCCACCTCCTCCCCGCAGATCTCACTCGTAATGGACAAATTCGAATCCCAATTCTCCGACCTCGACGTCCAAACATCCTACATGGAAGACACAATGTCCTCAACCACAGCCGTCTCAATGCCCCAAGACCAAGTCGACCTCCTCATGCAACAAGTCGCCGAAGAAGCCAACATCGAGCTCCAGCACGAAATGGGTTCTAAGACATTAGAAGGAACTGTAGCGGATTTAGCGCCGGGAGAGAAGTTGAAAGAGGAAGATACGAAACTTGCGGAGAGGTTGAGAGCTTTGAGACCTGCTTCTTGATCTTTATAATTTCTTTATATCTTTACCAGGCCCGTATCTTTCCATGAACTTCCCCATTTTTTGATAGTTGTATTCGTTATTTTGACCGGATTAAATATAATCATGCCATACATATCGTCTGTACACAATCCTTTACTGCCAAATAGAATGGACTGCTTCATCTACTCATCCTTCATAACAAACAACAAACAAAGACTGCTCAGTTCATGAAAAAAGGACGAAAAACGCGAGCCAATTCAATTCAATTGCGATGCTATGATACTATGATACAGTAAACAGTGTGTACTGATGTGATTGCTATCTAAAGTGTTGGTGTTGGGTGTTCGTATGCCCTGATGTAGTTATGAAATATGAAATATGCCAAAGAAAAATACCAATTGAAAAAGAGAAAAGAAAAAGCGAGACTCGTGTATACCAAAAGAAAAAAAGAAAAAAAGAAAACAGGAATATTTATCTATCGCCGCATCAACTTATACGTCAAGATCCCTCCTAGACATGCAAAGCACACCAGCCCAGCTATGATAGATACAAACCACGTGTAATTCTGTAAAAGAAGAGTATCAGCAAGCGTTCATAAAAATAAAAACAAGGAAATACCGAGGCCCAAAGAAAAAGGACAAAAAACGCACCGTAGTAACATCCTCCCCCGGGACATGCACGTTCATCCCCCACAACCCCGTAACCAAATTCATCGGAATCAACACCGTCCCCAACGCAGTCAACTTACTCAACACATCATTAATCTGATTATTCGCATCCGTCATCTCGATACTAATCTGCGCGAGGTAGTTCGAGTGGGAACGAGAGAGGATCTTTTCGTAGTGGTTGAGATTTTGAGTCATTGTTATTAGGTGGTCCTATATAATACGATAGGGAGATTGATATGGAAAGTAAATAAAGTTAGTTCTAAATACTAAGTTGGCTGGTTAGTGCAAGAAGACCTCACCTGTATGTCGGAAAGATAAAGCCCTATATCCGACTTTGGCGCCATCGACCAATTCTCATTACACCGCTTCGCAAGACCCTTCACAACATCCGCCTTATTACCCATAAGTCTCAACAATCCCATAACCTTCTTTCGACAAGTCCCAATCCTATCAACCACGACTTTCATGACAAATTCCCAATAACTAAGTATGAAAAGTGAACGCACCGTCTCAACATATCACTCTGCTCCGCCTCCTTCAAAATCAACACCAGCTCATCAATACTATCAACCTCATACTCAATATTCTGTATCAACGGCCCAAACGCATCCGTAATATCGTCAATAAGCGCATACGAAATCCAGTCCGAGGTCACGTTGATGTAGTCTTTGAGTTGTTTGATACGTCTTCGGACGTTTTGTGGGTGTGGCGTTGGTCGGAAATGGAACTGCATGAATAGATAGATTGGATATACAGATCGGCATTATAGATTGGTTAGCAGAGATTTTCCTTTGCAACGAGGAAATGATTTTACGTACAGAAAGAGTTCCTTCCCGAAAAACGATGATGTACATGTTAAGAGGCTCAAGGTACGTCGGGCTGTACGGGTCCTGGTCGAAGCTCCGGAAACAAACAAGATAATAGTTCCGGAATAGCTCGATCTTTTCTCGCGTCTCCTCCATCTGGATATCTTCCGTCGTCAACGGATGGATAGAGAACACCTAGCGAATCCAAAAAATTAAAATCACAACACTTAACACTAACGCAGATTCAGAAGAAAAGAAAAATGATAAAGGATAGCTTACCTTGCTAAGAAGCTTCATCTCCTCATCAGTCGGAGACATAACATCCAACCACCAAGCAGATAACTCATCATCATTCAGATTATGCATCCCATTCCCATTCCCATTATCACCTTTACCCAACTTGTTCCCATTCTCTCCAAGCTTCTTATTATTACTTTGATCATCCATACCATGAAGAGTTCCCGAACCAGGGGCACCAGTAAACAAATCTTCAAACGATTGTCCCTCGGCGGGGAGTTCACTAAGACTACGCGCGTGAATCGTCGCAGAGAGTTTATTGGAGTAGAAAGAAAATCTGTATGGTCGTTCATGGCCTGTTTGGTTGTACAGTGGCGGAGGTAATCGAGACGGTCCACCAGGTCCAGCACTTCCAGGAACATGTTCCCATGTCGGTACTGTGCTGTACCGACCTAAGGCGTTCGATCCGGGAATACCGAAAGAAGGTGGAGGAGCACCAGACGTGCCCTCGAAGAGCGCCATCTTGCCACCCTGTCTCCGCGCACGCGGTCGGGCAGTGTTACTCAGACTAAGTTTACGCTGTCGAAGACGCGCAGAACCCGAGTCGGCGGCCGCTGCTTCTCCTCCAGGTCCTGGAACATGGATGTCTGCCGGAACGAAAAGTCCTTGATGAGAGGGAAGTGCACCCGGCTGATCGGCCCGTTCACCTTGATGCTCTTGACTACCAGGAAGAGGAGGAGGGCCAGATTGCGGAGGTGTAGTAGTGACCGAAGACGCAACACGAGAAGGTAACCCAGCAGCTGGAGTCCGTGGCGGTGACGAGATATCTAGCTTTCTTTTCTCCTCCGCTGCGAATCCCTCCAAAAGGCTAAAATCGAAAGAAGACCGGTAGCTCGAAGCCTGATACACAGGTAAACCAGGCATACTCTCATTGTGCACCGGCGAACCAAGCGATACAAGCAAGCTAGGATCATGCGCCTGGTCAAGATGATGCGATAAACCAAGGTCTTCAGCAGCGCCACGGCCGCCGCCGCCAACACCAACACCAACACCACCAGCCCCAGTACCATGCCCATGACGTCCTCCCTCGTGTTCCTCAAAATCCCCAGGTCCAGGGGGTAAGAACGGAAAATGAGGGGACGTATCCATGCTCATCTCCAGCGCACTTTCTTTGGGCGAAGGAGGTAGCGGAATCGCCATCGGTTGCGAAAGTCCTACTCCTCCCATGCCTGAGATACCTCCGCCGGTACTCGCCGGGCTAGCAACAAACGGACCACTCTGACCTAAAGCGACGCTGCCAGCTCTCGCTCTCGAGAGCTGCATTGCCGAGTCTACGTCCAGTGATCTTTGTCTTTCCTGCGCCAATGGGTCATTTGGGTCAGCTGTCCGCACAAGCGTCGGTGAACGACGAGGATGCTGCTGTTGGTCGTCACCATGTGAGCTCCCGCTCGTACCTGCTCTGTGCGGACGCGGTTGCGCAAGGTCGACTCGAATTGAACGGGAGGGAGAGGACGATGGCATGTTGCCTGCTCACCGAGGTAGACGGAGTGGACGTACGGATGATTGAAGATCGAGTGAATTCAAAAAGTGATGCTGCACATGACGCGAGGCCAGGCGACGATCGGTTCCTCCGCCGGGAAAACACCTATTTTTATCTTCCCTCGTGCTAACCAAATTCCCCAATGATATAATTATTACCCGAAAAATAACATAGTTGTACACAGAGAAGAAAAAATCGAAAAGGAAATGCTGCGAAGAAAGTCTATATGTGTAGTATCACTCAGCAACAGCCCTCCGCCTCACAGGTGTCTCGTCTGACACACTCCTCGAAGCAGAAACTAGTACAGCCGACGACCGCTTCCCAACACTCGGACTCAACACCTCCGCAGCGCTGCCTTCCACCATCTTCCCAGAAGATCCTAAGCTCGCCACAGACGACCCCGTATTCGCTCGTCTAGGCGGAGGAGGTCGTAACGTCGGACTCGGCGGAAACATCGCAACGTCCATGGAGGGTGTACGCGACGGTATCGAGTAGGGACTCTGCGCCGAATAAGACGTGCGTGGCGTACTCGGTGCAGAAGGCGTCGGCGTATGTGTTACGAGTATCCCTTCTTGTCTTTCTCGTCTCCTACGTAGAAAGGGGAAGAGGTCAAGGATTGATTTGAAAAGTGAGGAACGAGAAGTTGAGAGTCCTTGTGAGGGTGTGTAGGTAGTTGGAGAGTTAACGCCTACGAAAGTTAACAATAATTAGTATCATATTGTAATGAGGGAATATCGACATGCGAGGAGCCATTCACTCACCATCACCAGAAACAGGCAACGCATTATCATTCGCACTCAAGCTCAAAAACAAAAACAACGGCACCAACCAAACACACAACGCAAAGAACGTCGCAATGTCCGGGAACCCAGGTGCTTCCACATTACCCTTACCCAACCCACCAGGACGAAACCCACCCCTCTGCATCTTCACCATCCTCGCCTCCCTCGATACCCTCGAGAAATAAAAGAACCACATGAAATGATTAACGATCGCAAGCGCACACGACGCCAAAAACGCAATCGAGCTCAGCGAGATATACGGCCAGGTATGCGAGAAGTTTTGTAAGTATACGACGTGACATCCTATAGAGAAGAGGGTGTGAAGGAGTGGGAGTGAGTCGGTGAAGTATAGGATGACGTGTAGGACTATAATCGTCTAAGAAAGTTCAATTTTATTTAGTCGAAGACAGAGGAGGGATGTAAGAAAGAGGACGTACGTAAACCGCTCGTATCCCAACGACTTTCGCCGTCCTCGAATGTTCCTCAATAATCTCTGAGATCCATAACAGCCCACTCGCTACACAGCCGTCGTACGTCAATCCAATGTCACGGAGTCCTATCAGTAAGAACACCACGCACCAAGCGAAAGGACAACAAAGACAGCCGCTGCAGCGAATCCAACATAACTATCAAACAAAACAAATAAACAACCATTAGCCTTTCCATTTCCTCTATTATCCTCCACAAATCGAAATCTAGAGAAGTAGAGAAAAATGAGAAATACCTGAGGAGGTGCAGCAAAGACATGAACCAGCGTCCAGCATTGGCCACGTCTGCAGGCACGCGATGCACTCTTCCCTCAGTAGGGTAAATGACGTATATAGTAAATTGGTTACACGCAAAGTCAATCATGATCATCACAACACATCCCGAATTTCCGATCAAACTTTGCAACACTCCGACATACAGACAATTATCACATCACACTGCTTCCGACGGTACACTCGCAGCCACAAATACGTACATATTTGTTGTTAGAGCACCAGAAAGAGAAAATGAGAAGATCATTGGGATGTAAGGAATGGTAACATTATTTAATCAAAAGCAGCTACTTTTTCTTGCCGAGCAGCATCACGAGTAAGTTAATCTGGTGACTGCTTTCTTTTGTTCTTGCAGTACTTTATAATTACAATGTGTGGAGAAACGAAGAAAATACAGCTTTGAATTCAGTAGTACGAGAATCGTTCATCCTCAACGACGATTTACAGTGCTCTTCTCCCATCACATCAAGAAATCACGAAAGGAAACCCCGCATCGCACCTCCAACATTCTGTACATCCAACCTAAATCACAAAAAAAACTCAGCACCCTATCCCACTCTTAAGAAACAAACAAAGGAAAAATAGAACTCACAAAAACGTATCATGCCCCCACACACCGCCCAGCTCGTAATACCTCACATCCCCATTCCCACTCATCCTCAAAGCATCTGCAACCTCTCTTTGCTGCTCAACAGGAAACAAGATATCACTTTGCACTCCAAGAATTAATGTCGGTGTGTGTGAGAGGGGTTGGAGACCGGCTGCGAGGTCTGAGAGGTGGGGAGGGGGGTTTGGTGGTGGGGGGTGAGAACGTGAGTGGGATCGCGTTCGTGGGGACGTTGTTGTGAATTCTGTTGGGATTTGTTGTTGCGTTTGCGATGAAGATGAAGGGGTGGGGGGAGAGGAAGGAACGAGTCCAAGTTCGAGTAACGCAGACTCCGTCATATCGAATAAATCCATCGCTTTGGAGATGTAGATAAGCGAATTGGCATCGTATTTAAGACAGAATTGTTCGCCCTGGTGGTCGAGGTAGGTCTCGATCAAGAAGTCGGGACAAAGCATGGGCGTGCGAGGTCTTCTTCCCGAACTGGAAACAGGACTCGAATTTACGTTTAAATCGGCATCCTGTACAGGTGCGCAAGAAGGATATTCGGAATCAGGAGACGACACGCGCACTTGTCTCCCAAAGCGCAGATCCCATTCTGGTCCAGATCGATACGTGATAGTCGCAATTTCTAGTAATAGCAACAATTTAGTTTAACAAAGAGCATTATAAAAATAAATATGATTATGCGAGAAAACCGGAGTTCGACTTACGTCTCGCAAGCTTCATCCCAACATGAGGTGGTAGACTATCGTAATAGAACCCATTCTTCCAATTTGGATCGGACATAAGAACTGCACATAATATAAGAAGTAGTCATTTAGCCAGTCGAGCAGCTTAAATATTGACATTGACGACTCACCACTCCGCTGAGCAAAACGCATCGCAACACTACTCGGACTCGTCCTCGCCGTCCCACTAATACTGACAAGCTTCCCAACACGCTCAGGATGTAACCACGCAGTAGCCAGACTCTGCATCCCACCCATCGAGCATCCAGCACTTGCGTATAGTTTATCAATCCCAAGGTGGTCGAGCAGAGCGAACTGTGCCTTGACCATGTCGAATATCGATAATATGGGGAAGTGCGTGCCGTAGTACGTCCCGGTGCGAGGATCGATGGAACTGGGTCCGGTCGAGCCGTAGCATCCTCCGAGAACGTTCGTACAGATGATGAAGAACTCGTTGGTGTCCAGTGCCTTACCGGGACCGATGAACTTCTCCCACCAGCCCTCCGAAGGATTAAGCGCGTTCGAAGCAGCATGAGAAGAAGCCGACAAACCCGTATGCAGTAGAATAACATTATCCCTAGCAGGAGAGAGCCTACCCCACGTCTCGTACGCGATGTCAAACTCGGGCAACGCAGTATCGGAGTAAATCACAGGGAATGACTTGTCATGATGGTACGTCAGGTATTCCGTCGGACGTGGACGTGAATACGCGGGTTCTGGACCTGAAGTGGATGGGTCGACGTCCTTTTCGGAAGACCTTAAGGAGGAGGACTGGAGGATGCGCGATTCGCGGGCTGCGTGGGCATCGACGCAGGGAAAGGATGGCCGAGAGGGGACTGTGGACGATGCACCTGCTGGATACCATCGTCTACCTGCACGTGCAGCATTGAATTTGCCAACCAATGAAGAAACATGCGTCTTAGATGGCCCAGAAAGCAAGAATCGTCTGAGACCACGCTGGACATTCTGCATATCGAACGTTCAGGTAAGACGGAGGCCGAGAGGAATAATAATTGGAATAAAAATACGGTTTGCGAAGGCATGACAAATGCCTAGTGATGGCGTGCTTCTTGTGCGACCCGCAGACCAAAAGCAGTCTGCCATGCTCCCTGCGACATTCTCCCGCTCGACGAGCGCACGGGAAAGGAATACATGAGTCAAGCTGGGCGATCGCTTGTCTGCTTCGCACCGGCTTCATCGCTCGAAATGGGGCCATTACATGAGAAGCGGAGGAAATATGCATTTTTAGCAGTCGCCTACGACAAGGAAAAATAGAGAGAGCAAAATGATGATGCGTGACCAGCGCTGGCTAGAGCTATTTCAGCACGTCCCCCGAGCCGACCGACCGCTGCTAACGACGAGTGCATAAAGAACACCGCTCGCATCTCATGTCGTCGTCGTCGTCTTGATCCCTTTTTTTTTAACGCTTTGCTTCGTCTTCAAGAAGTGAATTTTTACGATCCGTAGAAGTGTTAGCTCAGTTCCGTGTAGCACCTGACCCCGGTGAAGGTCCGACTGGCAAAGCCCACCCACGGGAAGGCACCCGGACGCAAAGTACCATCGAGCGCACGACAGACACGTGTATCAGCTACTTGAATGCGAATGCTTATTCCCTTCCCTTGCCCGCCTATTTAATCCCGGTAAGCATACGCACCACCCGCTCACACGCGACGAGAGGCACATCACAATCACTAACTAACTAACTAGCTCGCAGAACCCAGATCGACATTCACGCACATCAATTACATACATTCTTACGACCAAAATTATAACGAGTGGAAAGCACATGCACATGATGGACGACGCCGAAGAATGGAGAGATCCCGCCGACGCAAAGGTACGCCGGCGCAAGTCAGACGTTCAGGGAAAGGTGCGCTTTTTTCTTCTCTCTCGCTGGTGCAGTGCGGTGCAGCTTTCTGCATCCGTTGCTCGGCACCCGTTAAAAATGTATGCATAGACCAGACTAAAATGATTTTCATCATTTGCAGCTCTACAACTTCTTAAACCGCTCCGCCCAGTCCCTCTCACGTTCAAACTCACAGAGCGGACGAACGCGTCGCTCAAAGGAGAAGGACAGGGACAGGCTCGAGCAGCTCCAAACTCAAACTCAGACTCAAAGCAACGATCGCGATCGCGATACGCCTCGAGCATCTCATGCGGCTACGGCTACTTCGTCACGTCTACCTTCATTGAGCTCCAGCACAAGCAATGCGCCGGAAACGAGCCGAGCGAGGTACGACTCTTCTACCACCCGCACCTCTCGTTCCGCGGCTATAACCGCGACCTCTACCTCTCCTAACGACGCTGCCATCCAACCTCGCAAATCATCCTCACCGCCGCTGCTGCGACATAAGATAACCGTTTCAAGCACACCGAATTCGAAAACTGCCTCGATAGCTTATTCGTATAATACACCCCCACAAACGCCGTCGAGGTCAAGGAAGTACTCGACCCCTCCATCGCCAACATCTGTAGCGGGCACGAGAGTAGGGACAGAACTTCTGCTGAATAGACCCCTCGCACGTCCAATCACGCCTTCAAATTCGAATTCAGGATCAGGAGGGACGAGTAATAGGAGGGTGCTCGGGATCCCTATCCCTCTCTCTCTCCCATCACCCAACTCTCGCAAAACCCCACTAGCACTGGAGAAAGAGAAAGAGAGTAGGCAAAGTCAAGGAGCAGGGAGTCCGAGACGGCAGACGCATAAGTTAAGAGCTGGGTCTGGTTCTTCTAACGAGCCTTTGTTACGGCATAACCGAGTTCCGACGAACGAAAGTGAGCGTGGGTTGCCTAGACCGAGTACGAGTACGAGTACTAGTGCTACCCCTGCGTCGACTCCTCGAACGAATCGGACTTCAGACGATAGAACGCCGTTACCTACTCCTTCGTCGTCCCTCCCTCGTTCACATCGATCAGCTACACCTCGCGAGGAACCTCCAGCGTCGCCGACTGTTGCTACTTCTACTTCTAGTACGACTCGTCGAGGCACGCCTAAGCTCGATTTTTGGCGATCTGTGACGCCTCGTGCTCCGTCTGCTCAGGGTGACAGGGAGAAGGGTAAACAACCTGGTCGTACAACTCCAAATACACCTCGCAAGGACAGTCAACAGGAAGAGCAACGACCTGCATTAATCACTCCACAACCTCGCGCATTCGCAACGTTCCTCCCGTCTATCCCGCATCTTCAGCGTATACCACCTACACCGCAGAAGGTTGAAGAACAGCAACAAGATAGCGCCAATAACAACCATTATAATAATAGAAATAGGGAACGGGATAAGAATACTCAGGCAACGATTCGTTTAGACTCGTTCATGTCCGATTCACTCCCCATTGTCCCTCAGACCGGAACTACTCTATTGAAGGCACCACAAGGCGGCGAACCATCTGGGCTGACACGTCAACCTGCGTTTGCACCACAACCCCACAACGACCTACCACCACGTACATCACGAACACCCGCACCAGAACGCAGTAAACCCGCAGTACAAAGCCCGGGACTTGGGATACAAAGATCGAACAGTGCTCCGGGTACGAGAGGGAGGTTATCACCTTGTTTACGTATACCTTCGCCGAAGTTCTTGACGAGGGAGAAGAGCAAGGAGCGCGATCGCGATAGAGAAAAGGAACGAGAGAAGGAAAAGGAGAAAGGTGTAGGGATGGGTATGTTCAGAGAGAAAAGACGCGTTACACCAGAGAACGTTGGTGCGCCGATTCTACGTGACCCAAGGTCGCATGTACACGTCCACGTCCATGCTCCCCACTCACAAGTCTACGTACCTGGTGCTGAGAAGGGGTTGAAAGCACCGAAGACTAGTTTAGTCCAACTTCGTCGAGCTGCACATGGGACGTTTGATTTTGAGAGACCTGGGTCACGGACGAGTTCGAAGAGTGGGCAGTCGGAGTCTCGTGGGACTCGGAGCGACGATGAGAGGGAGAAGGATAACGAAAAGGACAAGGAGAATGACAGTAGTAATCGACGAACGCCAATCGCGAGGATCATAACGAAATCACCCGAACCGATTCGCAACGGAAAAGCTCCAAGCCCCGTCCCTCCACTCCCTACATCTCGTCTTAATAAACCCCGAAGCCCTCCTCCAGCGACTCGAGCGCGTAGTCCGCTCACGACTGCTGGTGGTGGTGGTGCTGCTGCGCAGTCGACAACGACGCACTCGCACGTGCATATCGATGATAGTGCTTTACCGAGGTTGTCGAGTAGTCTTGCGAGGCGGAATAGTAGCTCCGCTCAACACCATCGGACACTCGCGCATACCCCTATCCATACGCATGCGCGTACACCTGCTTCTCTCGGTCACTTCTCCTTCGAACCTGCAGCTAAAGCACCCTCTCCACCATCCTCCGCACTCAAACCCCCACGAAACGTAGGAGGACAATACATCGATACGCCAGGCGGGTTAATCATGTTCGCACCTACTATTCAAGAGGAACCAGTTACGATGACGACAACGAAACAGATGGAGGGAGTGGGAGGGAGACGACGGACGATGTCGTCTAGTGCGAACGTCAATCATGTCAATCATGTTAATCATGTTAACCATGTTAACCATGTCGCTCATGTGCATATGCAAGCGACGAGTGCAACGACTATCCCGGCGAAGCAACTTGAAGAAGCTACAGCTGTTATTGCACAGTTTAAGAATGCGTTGGACGACGCTGGGTTCGCGACGCTTCAGAAATGTGAGTCCCCCTAGTCCTTTACCTTTCTCTCATTCTTCCTCTTCTCTTCTCTCACATGGTCTGTTTGTCTAACTTCTGTGTTCCTATGATTTAGACGTCCGTCGATACGACGCTTCGATCATCCCCCTAGAAGGAAGCGCAGGCCTCCTCTCACGCGTCCAGCGTCTCCTCGAAACCTCCGCACCGCGGGTAGACGAACGTAAGAAACGACAGTTGTATGAAAGCTTTGCGAAGGTCGTCACTCAGGTTAGCTAGCAACGTTATTTATTTATCTATCTATTTTATATTCCTATACTTTTAATTTGGTTTTTTGGTTTCATTTGTTTTTGGTTCGATTGACTTTTGGCTCGTCATTCATCTGTGAATGTTTTTTTTCTGTTTTGGTATTCGACGTTCTTCCATCTCTACATCTCTATCTAGGTTTTATTTCTTTGCTTCTTGTTGTAAATTCAAATTCATATCATTTTCACGTTGATTATTCCCTTCCCTTTTATGATTTCCGAATCTGCATTATCTTAAGTATACTATACGTTATTTACACGCATTTCATCTCGTTCCATCTACCTACCTACCTACCTAGCCACACCCCCTTCGCACTTAATGACCTTCTACATCCTACATCCTATATCCTACATCCTACGTCCTACATCCTATGGGGCTCTTTGACGTTTTTCTCATGTATCTCCATGTCTCTTCTTCTTGATTCTTTTCTTCTGTCGTTTCACAACAACTTTCATTCGACTTTCGACTACAATTTATGGTCTCTTACTACTTACTACAATAGTCATGTTATGTTATTCCCCTTACTTGTTTTTAAAAGCTTAATCAAACTGTGTTTTCGTTCGTTTCACGCGTTGAGCCAGTGTGCCATGTCAAATGTGAAGCATTAGTGCTCTGAATTACCTGCTTGATATGATGAGGTGTTACCAATTCTCTCTTATTAGTCCAGTATATATGTTCCTAGATTTACTCCTTTAACCTTAATATATTTAATCACAAGATGAAGTCTGGCTTTCATTCCCAAAAAGAAGAAAAGTTATACCTCTTCAAAGACCACACAATGAATGGAGAAGAACTATGATTATTAAATTAAGCAAGAGTGACTCGGACGAGCTTTGGTTTGCCAGTTTTACTTTAATACTTAACTTACTTACAATTCAATCTGAATATTTCTTTCTTCACTTATGCCAAATATTCTTTATGACTCAGAAGCCATACTTCCCTTCCCACTTTAAGTAGTCTTAGGTGTTGTGTTTTTTTTTTCGAGCGTGTCCATGCCTGAGTATTTTCACTGCATACTCCGATCCTGTCAATCAATCAATCTATATATACATATCCAACTTAAATAGAATAGAAGGGTGAGAACTGTCTGTAGTAATTGATGACATGACATGCAATTATACAGAACGACAAATGCAATTGACTTCTTTATTATCTTCAGCACGAACCAAATTGGCAGTAGATACGCCATGTTTTGCGCCTAGATCACCACTGGCAGGACTACTACTAGATCCACTATCTGCAAACATATAAGGCAATTCTTTCAATAGTGACAATGCTGCTAAGAAATAGTACTGTTGAATTGTTAGTTTGGCGTACGTGTGCAAAGCATCTTAATATATGCAGATGTGGTCGATTAAGTATGCAATTTCAGTTTGCATCACAATTGTGGCATGAGGTCATACCAAGTCTTAGCCTGTGATAGTATAGAGATCAAAGTTGAAGTTCGATTGCTCTGCAATATACATATTAGCTACAACAGGTACGCCCGATACCCTAGCCGGAAAGAAGAAACTCGAGAACAAGCGCAAGCAACCATAGACAATAAAAATTTAGTGTAAAGCATAGGAAGAAAAGATAGAGACAATCCTAAGACAATCGAACAAGATCATCCCAGTTTCCATAACACGCATTTAGGTCAGAGATAGAGACAGCAGAGACAAACTTCACCCCATAAAGCATTGCATGATAAAGCACTCGTACGTATTGATATGTATCGTGTTAATTAGTCTCGAGAATCGACGGTGTCCTTTCCGTTGAACGTTGGTGGACTATCTCGCACAACAAGCTTCACCTTTCTCACGGGCATGTTGCTGGGGTTGCTACCGTGGTCAAGGATCAACGGAGCCGGACGGTCCCGTGGTGGTGGACTTGCTAAAGGAGGTGATTGCAACATCGAAGGCCCTGCGACTATCGAATTTGACGGAACTCTATGAAGTGACTGACGCGGCGAAGTAGAGACGGGTCCATGAATTCGATGAGGAGAAGAATGATTTGACGATGGTCGAGCAGACGTGTATGATGGTCGATGGCGGGGCGAGTGTGTCACGGCATGAGACGGCGGACGATGTTGTGGGGAGTGGAGGACTGGATGAGCTGACACAGGCCCCTGTTGAGGAGAGCGATGGACCTCTAACGGGGATCGAGGACCTGTTTGAGCCGGTGTACGGTGCTGTGGTGATGGGGGAACAGGGTGTGGCATTGACCGTTGATCTGGTGAGAGTGCCACATTGAGAGATGTACGCGGCTGAAGCTACCGTTAGCAAGTACAATTACTCAAGGATTTTAATAGGACTCACGGTTGGGACATGACGCTGAGGAGGCGAACGATGATCCGGTACACGTATCGGAGGAAGGAGTGGCGGCGGCGGATGCCCATTGGTCGGAGATGCCTTCTGGCGTGCTTGAGCAGAGGGCTGGGTCGCCATTTGTGATGGATCTACCTCTATGATATTCAACTGAGACGAATTTGACTGGTGAACGCCTTGATGAGTCGATGATGTAGCTTGATTCGGTACTTGAGGGTCGACTTCGAAAACAAGGACCCTCTCCCGCCCATGATCGCTCATGCTGCTCTTCCGCTTCCTCTTGAACGACAGAACGCTTTCCATCGATCCTGCGGAGGCGGGAGGATGAGGCGGAGGTGGAGCAGACGCAATAGACGATGATCGGCTCCACGGAGGTGGAGGTGGAACGTTTGACGGCGAACCCGAAGACGATTGCGAGCTCTTCAGTCGATGCGGTAAAACATGAATTGGTACTCTTGTCGTGTGAAGTCCGTTGTTCGTGGGTGGGGGAAACGGTTCGGACTTGGTCGCATTGTCAGGTTGACCAGGGTAAAATTGAACGAGGTCAATGAAGATTGTAGGCGTTACGGGAGGGGCGAGCTTTATTTTAATCAAATTACGGCTAAAAGTTTCTACGCAGGCCTTCACATCGATAAATACAGCGGAATCAGCTTCATCTAGGTGCATAAGTGGTCAGCAGAGTATCATATGTTATCGTACACAAGACACACCCATCATTCGGACTCGGATGTCAGCCCAACGATACATCTTGCCCTTGCGAAGACAGCATAAAGGACAATAAAATGTCGTCAGTGCACCTTCCTTCATTGGGCCCTTGTAACAAACGCAAGCATTGTGGTATTTCCGAAGACATTGCTCGCATTGTAGCAATGCGAATCCAGAGAGATATGGCGTCTGGCCACGGCAAATACACCTGGTTCCGTCCACCCAGTCCCTGTCCACATCTTGCCCAAAAACAAACTTCGGACGCCTCCGCTTCTTCATTCTCGTAGGGGCTGGCCGGTTCGCGAGAATACGATGCAAACCAGCCAAATCTAGTCCGAACGAGACCTCAGGGTTCGGCGATACAGCAAACTTGATTTTGTACAGTTTGCGAAGGTAATGTCGCACTTGCGGAATGTACTCCGCACGTTGATATCCGGGTTGCGAAGCAATAGAGAGGAAGTTGCCAACAACATTGCAGAGTCGTTCGATGTGTTCGACAATAGTCTTTAATTCTTGCCAGTGCTCCGAATAGTTCTTGGAAATCTCAGGCGCATTGTGCAAGACGGTTGGAAGGTAGCAGAAATGGTAGCTACGGTCAGAATGGATGGTCCCATTCCAATGGTTGGGATCACAGAAAGGACAAGATCCACCGTTAACAGCACATCGACCATGGAAACGCGCGTAGCAGTGATCACACTGCACAGCATCAGAGACCACGCCAGGAGGGGGAGGACGAACAGGTTCAAAGCAGATGCAAGTGAAAAACTCGTCGTGCGGAGGCTCATCATCTTCTGGTTTCGTATAGTCAACGACATCACGCAGGATTTCGTCGGCATGGGGCGCATCGTGCTCAGCGCAATACCAAGGAAGTTTCTTTTGCCATTGTTCATGCTTCTCAATCTCGACATTGAGCTTATCGAAACTCGGTAACCTAAATTTCGTTAGGTGTTCGCGAGCATATGTCCTCCATCGATTCATGGCGTCAAAGCAGGACCCTCCATCACCGTGCTCGTAGCGGTTCTTTAGCACGGCTTCGCATCGCTCCTCCAAATCGTACGCGAAGTCGACGGTCCGCTTTAAATCTTGGATGGCCTGAATGTTAAATTCTTTCTCCGCTTTTTGAACGAGCCTGAGCGCCTCTTGGACAGTCGGTAATTCCGCACCCGGCTGAGGCGAGAGCCACTCCTTCGCCTGTTTTTCATATTCCAGTGCACGGCTACGTGTCGTTTGAATTCGTTTCAGCACGCTCGGATCCACCGGAATGGTTGATTCGACATCAAAGAATTGTTCCAACTCTTCGATTGTCTTGATAGGCTGGTTCAAGACACCCGCCGCACGCTCATCCCAATCCGTTCCAGCTTTCAGTCTCTCTTCCAAGAGGATCATATACTTGTTACCAGAGGGAAGCTCGCATGCCTTCGCACGATTCAAGAATTCGCGGATTTCATCTAACGTAATGGCAGATTCATCAACATCTTCGAGTTCCTTTACTAGCCGATCCTGCAGGACATAATTCTCTATCTTGTAGAATTCTTCTAGGTAAACATTCAGTGACGTGCCGTGGGCGAGGAGAGTTTCACACTCCTGCAAATGTGCTGTGGGATCGTTGTCAGTCGAGATCACCTCAAGGAGCGCTTTCGCCTTGGTTTTGAACTCCTCTGCTTGCGACGCTAGGTTTCGGAGAAGGCCAATCTCGGGGCAATCAAACCCGAGGTTTTCGACATCTCGCAAAACAGAATACAGTTCTTCCAGCGTCTTCTCTGGCCGATCAGTTACTTCATCGCTTACGCCGGCGCCGTTGGCAAGTGATGGTTGCCAGCGATGACGCTTTGAACGTTTGCGACTCTGTTTCCGAGTAATGAAGGAGTTAGCCGCTTCGACCCATTCGTTGGCACGAGTAACGCAGCGTCGTAACGAAGCAACTTCTTTCATCGGATAGTTGATCCGATCAGCCTCGGCCACCAAAGCACGTAACGCTCGCAATTGAGGCTTCGGACTGTCGTTGAGAAGTTTCATCAACTTCTTGTGCCAATTTTCCGGGATTGCCGCTCTACTGGAGACAGTTGACTGGATGTTAAGCAGCTCCTCGTCAGAAAATCGTAGCCGTAGGAGCTGTTGGGAGGGTGGGCAGTCGCAAAGATATTTGACATCCTCCAAGCAAACGACTCTAGCACCGTTGGCCTTTGGACAAGGACACATAACTTGCGATAGATAACAGAACGCCTTGCAATACGCGCACTGATATTGATCTTCTGGGCAATCATGCTCGATAAGAGTCTCTGGAACACCAAGCTCGCGGACGGCTTTGCGGTTCTTGATCTCCGTTTCCGTCATTTCTTTGAAACTATCATTTAACCTAAAATAGATAGATTAGATAGGAAAATGGTGAAACATATAAAATCGGTGCGGACCATATCGCTGTCCTAATTGAATGCGATTGCTGAGTTACGGTAATGAGCAACTCATCCTGTGAGAAGACTGGAAGCTTTTTGTGCGATTGATACCGTTTGACACACTCTCGTCCAAGAGGTAGCCAGTCCGGAAGTGCAAAATTAACAGCCTCATTGAAGTTGAGCTGCAAAATAAAGATATTAGATGCGGTTGCAGCGGTCGGCACACTATTCTTACACCATGATTGAATCCTGCATGGTATGCCTTAGGGAAGGTTATCACGAACTCTCCGGCTCGCTGGTCACAGGCGTAGACGTGGACGCCGGACTCTTTCAGTCTCGCCGGACTCATAAGCGTGACTAACTGGAAGAGAAGGTCCGGTTGGGTCTCGAAAAGATCCGGAGCTTCCTTCTTAATTGCAGCTTCGAACTTCTCGGCGTCTTCGGCTGGTATGCCATACCAGGTCTTTGTCTCTCCCCAGTGCACTGGGAGGTATTAGTCAATAGGCACACAGCAAAGCAATTTGGCACGTACTATAATTGATACTGTGGGTATAATGGTCCTAAAATAGATGTCGATCAGCTCCACGGAACCTCCATATAGAATACGCTTTACCTCATTGTGCCAACAGAACGTTGAGAAAACCATTCCAACATATGTCCAAGGAACAGTCATCCCACTTATCTCTGATTTAATATAGCGCAGGAGGGAATCCTGCAGAATAGGGATATTATTCAGATTCCATGGATCCTTTGAATACGGATCTAATGGATGAGTTTCCAGAGTCGGCATAGCACTGACATCTGCGTGTCAAAATTTTGCTTGATCTGATGATAGAAGGAGGTTCATTACCTTCCGTGAGTTGTCGAATGCACGTCCGCTCCGTATTCTATTTCCACGGTCTCGTACGGTGATTGTACCAGTCTCCAGAACTCATTTTCAACGTCCGGTTCGGAAATACGGATACCACCGATGGTAGTCACAGTTGGGTCGTCCAGTTCCTTATCAGTCAACGGGTGATCAGACTGCGGGGGAGGGTGCGTTTCGAACCACATCTTTCGAAATGCTTGGTCCCGTGCCTGAAAACTGCTTAAACTGTGTTCTTCGCCCTCATCAAAGCCGTAATCTCCCCCGGTACCAAATAAGCATGTGTGGCAAAACCACTGCCCTTTCGGAACAGAAGTCAAGGGAGGAACGAGGCAGAACATGTGGAAACCTGCTGGTCGATCAGTCGATCGGTGCATATCTATCAGCTAGAAGACTGACCGCAGTCACAACCATCGCAGAGAAGCATCTCAGTTCCCTTGTTCCTTCTGTGGCATACCTCGCAGCAGGTAGCCTGTCGACAAATCGTATTTAGCAATGTCGGGATACGTCAACGGTACAGAGGGTGCATACTAACCTTGCTATCATCCTTTGACGGAGCCCCATGACCATCTGGTGAGTGAGTACGACCAGTACCATTCGCCATCTTTCCGTTTGAGCCTTCTAGAAAATTCTGATGTTGAGTCTCATGTAGTAGTATACTGCAGTAGTAAAACTTACTGATGCCGTTCATATGTGACGCTTTTCGAGGCTTAGGCGAACTCGCTCTTGAATGGCTAAACCCATTGAGATCGGCGTCGTCAGGTGGCTCTGATAGGGGACTAGAGCTCGTGGAGAGTGGACTAAACGTGGGACTGGGAGGTGGTTGATTCGAGGCTGACCGGGATTCGGGGGCAGGGGATTGCGTTTTCTTCCTATTCGATGATGCAAACACGGCCGAGCTACGAATACCGTCCGAGTAGACTTCATACGGTAAAATAACCCGGATATAGGAATTCCGCAATTGCGTTGACAGCCCAGGTATGCCTGTGTAACCGAGCAGACGGCCGACCTCAGACCATTTTTTCTCTTTATTCACCTTTTCAGCAGTAAATAGAGCGTGAGATACGCGCAACGCATGCTGAATAAGGCCTACTGTACGCACCTTTTCAAATCCTCCGAGCTTCTGCACCTCTTTCCTTAGTAGCCATAAATCTAAGGGCTTGTAGTTAATCGTCGGTACGGTCACACGAGGGTTGCCCTGCTGCCGGTGAAAGCGGTACAGGGCCTCCAGGAAATTGATCTTTGCCCGAGACGACGCCTCAATTGAATTTAGCCGCATTGCTCGGGTCTTGAAGCGGTATGTCTGAGACATTGGACAAAACTATGAGAACACGGATCAGTAGTAATTAAGGACAGCCCACCTCAGTATCGGTCACAAAGGGCATTTTCCACCCTATCGGAGGAACGATTTTGATAATACCATACTCTTGGCCACGGGGCGAGATGGAGCGGATGTAACTCATCGGATCCTTGAACTCCTCAGGGGAAGGATAAAATGTAGGACAGTCTTCGAGCTCAAAAAGTCGTGGTTTTGCCCGAGGGGGAAGGTTTCTCGGACTTGTCGTCTTGACAGTCGACATGTCTAAGGTTGAAGAGACAGAGATTGGGGCACCATTAAGGACTGATGGCGGAACCATTTGCTTCGTGGACGAAACATTAACGAGTTCCACGGAAGGTGAACGAGAGCGATTTAGAGCGGCAAGAGCCTCCACTTTAGATTTGCGAGGTGTACGCTTGTTCAAAGTGGCTTCTTCGGCCGGATGCGAGACTGACGAAGTTCCTCCTGTGTCCATTCCCTCCTCCTTCGCAACTTTCTCCACCGAAGTGCTTCCTTCCACTGCGATGGAGAGAGACGAGGTAAACGTAGTGGGAGGCTTCTCGGATGAAGAATCAGATACATAAGTGTAGTGACTTGCGGGTACGGGATCTGTGGCGGAGCTAGAGCCCCCACGGCGAGGAGTCGCAGAGCGCTCACGCGATTGAGACGGTGGTCCCTTGCCCGACATAATGAGGAGCTCCTTCCGCGATACTCTTGACAATAGAGGGAGCGTGAGGGCAGCGAGGCGAGATTGTGGGCGTCTGAGGCAACTTGTAACACTTTCCGGATCGAATCAATGGCAGTAGTAGTGACCGCTTTTGGCTGTCACGCGAAGTCTTCCTTGTTGGTCCAACAATTCCTTATTTGCACGTTTTTCGCAGCTCACCCAAACATGCTGGATGTACCAAAGAAAAATAGCTTTCATGCCCAGCTATTCGCTCCACCCATCCGCATATTTATTTGTGGCGGTCTATTGTGAATTTCTGGGTATTTTAACTGCGCATCTTCGCCTTCGTCCCAAATAGGATAAGCTTCCTGAGAAGATCTATTTTAAAGTCCGCAACGGCACGCCCCTTTTCTGTCTCTGACTTCGAAATCCGGAAAATTTTCCCGTCTTCTGTCATTGCATGAGAAACAAATGACTTCTATTAGCAAAGGCGCTGATACACTATATTATGGTGAGAATGAATTACTCCATGCGTTATTTCAGATACAATTGCAAGGATACCGTTACATAGCGTATAAACAATGTGCGAAAAGCAAAAACCACGATTTAAATATCCAAAAAAATGCTCAAGGATTGAGGGAAAGAAACATGTTCGTCGACAGTTAAGGATATAATTATTAATGGCCCAGACATCAAAAGAAGGATAGAAGAAATTGAAAAAGGAAGCTATTTCTTGCCTGCCTGTACAGCACGAAGTTGAGCGCGAAGGTTTTCGTTCTGGCCTTGCATATGGTTTAGCTCGTCCATGAGCGCGAGATTCTGGGAAGCCTCAGCAGACCGCATCGCGTCGATATCATCCTGTGCCTTCTGCAGCTCTAACCTACACTCTGCAAGCTGCTTCTCAAGTTGAGTTCGGACAGCCTCGGGTGCGGACGCGGCTTCTTGAGCCAGTGATAATGCTCGGGCGCTAAGCGTGTTGTTGGCTTCCGTGAGCTGCCGACACGTCTCGGCTTGTTCAGCAGCGTGTGTTTCCACCTCCCGTTTCTCATCCGTGACTTTCTCAATTGCCCCTTGTAGTTCAACGATCTCATTTTGCCTAGGAAAGACAAGACGTTAGTTCAATGACCACGTCTGATGGGCAACAATTATAAGGAAGAAAGAAGACATACAAGGAATTCACACTGGATTGCAGCGTCATATTACGCTCTTCGAGTGCCTTCACCTGCTTCTGATACGTTTCCAAAGCAACGCTACTTTCTTGAGCGATCTTTTGTGCTCGGTCTGCATTCTGCTTCAACAGTTCGTGAGCCTGAGCAAACCGGACAAGCCGCTCAATCAATGCGCGATCATCTGCAATTAACGCTTGCACTCGTGCTGCAAACGCTTCGACCGTGAATTGGCTTGACGTGTCAACGGTCTGATAGGATGGGCGACCGTCATACAGTGTTCTTAGTAACCGAACATCCAGTTCCGACAGCGACATGTTCGGACTACCAGGCACTGAGGATGAGGGTTTGGTGCGATGTCCGAACTTTGACGCTCGCAGTTCAGGAGACGGTAGAGCGTTCCATACAGGTTTGAGCATTTGAACAAAATTCTGGATGTCCGCAGGAGCATTCTCATAAGAGACTATTTTCATCGGTCCCGGAGGTACCAGGGCCTGTTCCTAAAATAATCTCATTAACATTACCTGAATCATCAAAACAGCGCTGAAACTCACTCTTAGTTGTGCCTCTAATGAGCGGTTCTTCTCTTGATATCCCTCACGCTCTCGCCGCGCCTCTTCGAGTTCCCGAGAAAGCGATTCGCGGCTGTCAAGGCCGACGCGGAGGTCCTCCTCGAGCTTGTGACGAAGGTCCTCCCATTCCTCTCTTTGTCTGAGGTTGGCGTTTAGTCTTGACTGAACATCCTCTAAATAGGTTCCGAGGTATGAGACACGTCGAGCAGGAGGGGTATCGTTGGGTAAATTTAGACTATGGGAGTGCATCATACTCTGTAAAGCGTCCAGCGCCGACTCCAGTTCCACAATGCGTTGCTCAGTGCCCATAGCTTCATTACTCTTATCTTGCATCATTTCTAGACGCTGCTCCAATCTATCGATCTCGTATTGTTTTTCTTCCCTCTCTTTTGTCCACGATTCCCGTTCAGCAGTCAACCCCCGTAACTGAGACTCTAGCATGCCGACCTTCTGCACTTCGGACCTCATAGTCGCCACTTTTTCCTCTGCGGACTGCAGCTCGAGCGCCAAAGACGTCTCTAATCCCTCCAATTCAACCTTAAGCATGGCTGCCTCTCGCCTCGCTTCGTTCTGAGCCTCGGTTGCGGCCTGCAGCTTGCTATTCGCTTCCTTCACTCTCTCATCTAGGATTGAAACTTCCGCAGCGGACGGTAATTTTCGGGGTGATAATGGTGGTAGCGCATTTTCATGACCCGCGAAGAGGTGTGCCCCATCGAACTTTGTCTTTGACGAAGAATAACTGATTTCAGAAGACGTGGGGCTCATCTGGGTGCTCCGAAGCGACATGGTATATCCTGAATCTTCATTCCCACCAGCGACCTTCGTTTCCAGACTTCGCAACGCAAAACTTAAGACACCAGCTCGGTGCTCAAGAAGCTTCTTGTTAATCTCGTTCGTTCGCTCAGAGAGCTGCCACAACTCCTTCTGCGCGGACTCCACTTTGCGATTCGCAACCTCTAGCTGTTCTGTTGACTGTTTCGACACTGCCTTATGGCGAGAATTTACTTTAACTAATGAAGCAGCTGCATCGCGAATCTTCGTCTCGAGCTTCAGTTTCTTCTGCATTGCATGTAAACGAGCCTCCAGTACTTGATATTCCTAGAATAATACAAATAAGAAAAAGAACCGGAGAAGGCTACGAAAACGCTAGGGCTTACCTTCTTGAGCTCTTCAACGTCCTCAGAATATAGAATATCAAAATCCCGGCTATCGACAATAGCTTCACTTGCCAGCAAAGTCATCAATAGTTCGTCCCGCGTATCAACTGTACCAGAAGCACGCTTCCATGCTCTGAGCTGTGCAACTCGATTTGGCATCGGTCGAGACGGAGAGGATGGTCCGGAAAAGGCGTTAGAGGAACGGGTTGCTGACGTCGGAGAGGAACCTGGAGAGGCTGGGATCGACTTGCGAGAGGAAATAGATGATCCCAAAGACTGCGGTCGGAAGTCATTGTCCACAGAAGCTTGATGTCCATGAGGTAGTTTTGAGAGGGTGACACCATTCGTATATTTTGGAGGAGATGCGCTGACTGTGCTACTTGACGTGCTGTCCGGCCTGCCGTTCGTAGCATCTGTCTCGACTAGAGTAGGTTGCCATATGGGTTTGGAGGAGATCGACAACGGAGCTACTGGACGGAACAGCGATGCCTGAGATTGTTCTTCCCCGGACGAGCTCGATGCCGGGGGTGACTGTGGGCGCTGCCCTGTGCCGCCTAGCAGACGACGTACGCCGTTCATCGAAGAGAGAGAAGACAGTTATCCGACAACCAGCCTCTATCTGCTCTCTTGTCAATCTGTCACGCGTCGGGTAACAGCCTACCAGATTTGGCCTAAACTGGTCGCTTTGTTTGGGTTTGGGTTCCTCCGTGCCGGAACAAATCCCTTCATTTCAATCTCTCATAATTACTTGTATATTTCCTTCCGACATATAATTCTATAAATATCTGAAAGAGATCGTCATTCCGTCCGCAACACTTTCGTGTAATGCGTCCGTCATTAAGAGTGCATATACCTGTCAAAACTGCCCATGGAAACGACCAAAATAGAAAATAGAGAGAAAAAAATAGGTTGCCAATTACCCACGGCGGGACTCGAACCCGCAACCTTCAGATTACACTACACGTAGAAGTCTGACGTCATAGCCATTAAACTACGCGGGCGACAAATGTTAATTATAACTTTAAGAACATAGTGAGAGGATGGTTGTAAGTCAACGCCACCTTTCACTGCCAATTTACCTCTTCCCATGGGTGATGGGGGAGATTTTTTGAACCTAACAGATGAGCTACAACTCTGGTTTGTTTTGCATATAGGACGGTGCTGCTTGCATCAAGTATAATTGACTCCTGAGGCAACCAGATCCCATAGAATAATATCTGCTGAATCGAGCAAGAAACCCCTCTTTCCATGAATTTTTATAGAGTTTTTGGATCGGTGTATAAATTTATGGACATGAATGGGGGAGATGTATACAGAGAAACATTTGTGAAAAGCCTCATTGCGGAAGCTGTCCAACGGCACGAAGCCGGGTGTTGCCGTCATCGTCCCGAGGCTAGTCCCGCCTAAATTACCGACGCAGCCAATTTCATCCTGCTTAACTTTCTCACTCTTGTGCTGCATTCTCCCTCTTGCCTTGCTCGTGTCTGAGGGCTTGTAACAAAAAGTCGTCAAGCCCGACTGGAAAGATCTGTTATACTTCACTGTAGCTGGTCCACGCAGAAAATCTTATTTTAGCCTAGCGGACACCTCGCCAAATCCTGCCAGCGTCCGAGACCAACGCTGCTGGGCAACTTCACAAGCCTGCGGTCGGAACTCTCGGATACAAGCTAAACCTTCACCCAGAGGACATACCTTCATTACGATGCCCGAAACGTCTTGACGAGTCTATTCTGCCTGAGTTTGTCTTGCGTCCTCGTTCGGCTTTGAAATGTCATTTAGCTTTCAATGGCCGCGGTTCTCCGACCAGTTCCATGAGAACGCGATACAGCTTTTAAACAATGCATTAAACAAGGGAAATAAGCCACCGGTCATTGCGGACAGGATTGAAGTCGTTGAATTGGAAATGGGCACTCAGGTACGTGTGCCACAGTGTACGATTATTGTCACGAGCGAACTCACATAATATGTAGCCTCCAGAACTCGAAATACGAGACATAGGAGACCTGACTATGAGTCAATTTCGTGGTATATTCAGGCTAACATATGCAGGCGATGCGCACATAGTACTAAGGACGAAAGTTCAGGTATGGTTCCTCGGCTTCCGAGTACGAGCATTAATTGATTAATTTCCCATGCTTAGGCGAATCCGCTTTACCACAAGAAGCCCGATATACACCTCATGGGTGGTAGCAAAGGCATGGTGGCAGCAAATCAGCCACTAATTGTCCCTATGCTACTCCGACTTTCCAACTTCAAACTCAATTCCTACGTTGTACTGGTCGTTTCCAAGCAGAAGGGCATTACACTCGTCTTCAAAACGGACCCACTCCAGAATGTCGATATCAATAGTACCTTCGACTCATTCACGGTGATTCAGAAGTTCATCCAGAAAGAGATTGAGGGTCAACTTAGACAGATGTTCCGTGAGGACCTCCCGAGCATTATTCATCGGCTTAGCCAGCAGTGGATCAAGAAATCTACTACGGTCGAGGCACCCTATCTAGCGAAGCGACCAGCCATGCGCCCGCATGCCGGACTGGAAACTATGTCAAATCCAGATTTCGCCCTCGGACGCGCGTTCTCGCCAAATACGAATCCACTTATGGCAAGACGAGGTCCTTTACGACCGTCAGAATTCCTACAAGGTATTCCTCAGCGACGATCATCAACACTGCGTAGTGTTTCTTCGAAACCCTCGCTCACCACTCTCCGATCAGCACCGGCTACCCCACAAGTTATATATGATCAGGAGACAGGCACCTTCAAGACTGAAATACCCGAATCAAAGGCGTTCAGTCATCTGGGTCGTATTCATCGCGAAAGTAGGGGGCTAGCGGACCTTGCGGAAGAGGAGAGCGAATATGATGGAACGGACGGAGATGGTTCTTTCGATGTAGTAGACTGGGACGAAACCATGACGGACATTCTGCCACCGCGATCAGAGATGAATGTGACGGAATACGAAAGTATCCCTGCTGTAGGCGGTGGTATGATTACTCGCCCACGCGTATACCACGCTTCTTCTCTATTACACCAAACCCCGTCCTCCACAACCTCTTCAAGAGGTCTATCATCACCAGGACTCACTGCTCCGGCTCTCCATCGACTATCTCAGTCGTTAGCAGATATGCGTCATCCATCGCCATTGAACCCGTATATGCCTAATTCCTCCACGCCAGCGACAAGAAGGACGAGTTGGGAAGGTCCATCTATACAGGAAGGGACCCAGCTCACTGACGGGTTACCACAATATGCTTCCTCCCAGATTCCGACGATTAGGCGAACGAGCGTCGAGGACGAGCTGGATGAATTTCCGTTTGAGAACACAGCTAGTACTCCGCCACTCGTTCGACAACGAAGCGGGAACGAACAATCCAGTTCCTCTTCAAACCCTTCTCCTAACGTCGTGCGTCTAGGCGTAACTGGAGACACCTCCTTCGAACGCGCAGGGGTCAGTCGACGAAGCTCAGTATCGTCTCAAACTGTACCACCATTCGCAACCTTCTCCGACATGAGCGATCCAGATGCCGAGCCTAAGATAATCTTACGACCAGGCATAAACAATGCAGTCTCACAACTCTCCCTTCTCAACCGGTCAAATCAAACTTTATCTCCCTACACGCGTCCCCTTCAACATTTCATGATTCGCAGCGTACCTCCGAGAATGGCGATGTCGCGTGAGAGGTCACAAGGGACGATATCCGACCGTCAACCAGTGAAGGCAAAACGGAAGAGAGTGTACAGGCTCGGAGGCAAAAACACAGAGAAGTCTGACGAGTCGCAGATTCCTTCACGGCCCTCTGCACCAGAAACGACGAGCAATCCGCCTCAGTCGCCTTCAACCACTGCATCCGATTTCGATGCAACCGAGATCGATCGGTATTTCCGTTCACGAGACGAATACTCTCCCCGTCTTCGTACTTCGAGCTTAGAACCTCCACTCTTGAACCCTGCATATTTACGACGTCGGTCATCTATCAATTCACGAAAGTTGTAGAATCTATTCATGTTCTTTTACTACATGTTGTTTTTGTAGTCTAATGCCATAATATGCGTACAAGGATGTAACTATGCCGTCTTTAGTTTAAATCTGGCAACTTCATGGATGAGGTGCTTAGCACATGACGAATTTACGTGAAATTCCTAGATGCCTTCCCAGTAAAGCGTGACGAAAATTACATATGTGTGGTATTTACTTCCGCATTCTCTTCTTGAAGCGTTCCATTATCTACATCAATAAGAAAAGCCGCAGTGTATAAATATCAGCATCCAAATTTTTAACGATAAGAAAGCGAGCTGTACGTACCATCTCGTCAGTAGCAGTCTGCACTTTCTCAGGATGGTGTCTTCGTGGTTCGTAGTCATCTGGGCGTAAACCCATGGCTTCGAGTTTTGCGTCCCGGATGATGTCGGCGTCGGATTTTTGCTTGATGTTGGGTTTGTAGACTAGATGATTTCGTAGGTTAGTGGAATATTATCTCGCAAAACTTGGCAAGAGGGAGGAAAGAAAGAAGCAAAAATACGCACAGCGTGTAGCGGCGAGGTGTTCCTCGTCGTTGTTCTGACGTCTCTCTTTCTTCGCTTCAGCAACTGCGCGTTTCGCTTTCTCCGTTTCTTCGATATTTTTCAGTCGCGCGCTGATAAATGATTGAACGTCAATTGTCCCCACAAAAACAATACAAAGCATAAAATTACGAACTCCATCCCGAGATCCACCTCTGGAATAGCAGTAAGCATGGACAAGCTGTTCGTTACGCTTCCTTCTTCCTGTCCTCGAGCATTGTTCTGCGTTTTAAATTTCTCTGCGATACGGTAAAGTTCTTCTTGTGGGTCCAACGGTTTGGGAGCCTCTTCATCCTCTATCTTCTCGCCTCGTTCGCCACGACGTTGCCTCATGTTCTCTTCGATGTATGCCATCCTAAGGTTCACGAGATAAGCAAAAGGTAGGTAGTTAATACGAAATAGAAATTATACATGTGTTTGTCGACATCTAGCGCGTTAGTTTGTTGAGTGAAGTTGTTCGTACGGACAGTCCGACGGGCTTTGTTCTCTTCCCGTTCCCTATCCCTTTAGGTGTTCACTCATCAGTCATTTCGTACAAACGGAGATTATAATAACCACTCGAGCAAACACGCACTCGGCCTCCTCGATTTCCCTGGTCTTACCCTTGATGAGCCCAACAGGCGTAGTAGTCGATCCGTCATCTGCATCAGCGTTCTTCTTCCGCTTCCGTGGCTCGCCCTTGTTGAGTTTCGTGACGTCGATACCCTGGCGCGCTCGCCGAAGCTTGCGTAGTTCTATAAGGTCATCTAAACTAGCGAGAATGAGTAAAGTATTTTCATGTCCATAGCTAACGATAACTATGGTTTGCACAAGCTGGAAGAGGGACGCACGGAAGGTTCTTGCCTTCGTCTGAATCCGCCTCGGCAGGTGCATCTTCCGGCGGATGTTGGACGGAGTCGAGCTCTGGTTCGGTGGAGCGGTCACGGATGCGAGTTGTTGGACGGTTACGCTTCTTTATCACTACAGTCTCGGCTTCAGAGGACATTGCAAGTAGATGGAAGATATGAACGCAAGAGTAAGGTGAAGTGCCACTGCCAGTGAGAACAGAGGAAGCTTCGAGCCTTCGACGACGAAATTGAAGGAAAGTCGGGCACGTGAAACGCGTCGATCATCGAAACAAGCACGTGTACTCTCCAATCCAAGAACGAGAAACTACTTATCTCCTCTTACAGTGTAACAGCTGTGCAAAATCCGTTTGAGGCCATCATTCAAATTGCGAATTACTACCCTCCGGATGTTCTTTCTGAGCAGAAACGAGAAGCACGTTCGTCATGCAGCGGTGATAACGTATTGGTGACGCACATGTGCTACCGAGCATTTTGTTTCCTTCTTCGACCTAGCTACCATGCAGTCTCTGCTTCCCGCGTAATTCGCCATCACCATAATCACAAGGAGTTTCCACTCGAGTCTTTTCAAGCTATGCTTACTGCAGTTGATGGATGCTAGACAATTACAGGTGCTTATACAGAACGTGAAGCACTACCGTTCTTCTCGTTTCGCAGGCTATATTTGACCATTGAATCGGCCCGCATTCACAGGCGAGGAGGCATCGAAGATCGTGAATCTAGAGACGCCAAGCTTGATCGTCTTCTATCTTTATGTCTACCATGTGCATCTACCGATCCAAATGCGTACATCTGTTGCTCACTTCGCTGTCGGTGCCGCCTCATCTCCTCGCATTCATATGCTCTTCCCTGCCAACGTGACATCCGCCATACATACTGTGTGATGCCATCTATCTTCCCAATGCCATATAAAGATGAAAATTAGGAGGGTGGTTGTGCAGCGAGGTCGTTCAGGTCCACTTCTTCCCTCCTCTAAGTCATGCGAGCGGCTGTCTCCCTCTCGTTTCTCTGTGGAATCAGTCTGTTCCTAACTGCTGTTGTCAATGTAAATGCTTCCCCTCTCTCTCGGCGAGCAATACCAGAGCCCATCGCAGCTTCAACAGCTCGAACATATCTCTCAGAGCGCAAGCATTCTCATGTTTTCTTTACTTCTTCTAACTGTTAGGAGCTAACCAGTGTCTCGATTTCAAAGTGACTGTCGCTGACGAGGTGAATGAGCCAGCATATTCACGAGATGAGTTTAAGACTTGGGATACTAGTGAGTCTGCATTACTTATCATCATTAAGAGGGCTTCATTATCTAACGCTGGGCCGTAGTCAACGGGACGTGTAACACACGTGAAAGTACGTGGACACTGCTCTATTTCTCAAGAGATCAATTGACACTGATACATTGGTTGAATCTATTTCAGCTGTTCTGAAACGTGACGGATCCAACGTCGTAGTTAATAGCGCGTGTACAGCAGTCTCAGGCAGCTGGACATCACCATATGACGGCAAGACAACCTCAAACGCAAGCACGTTCGACATCGTAAGTCCCCCGACCCTACCCTTATCCATATCTAAAGTCCTTGACACACCTCCAAACAAAACAAAACAAAACGCACAGGACCACATTGTCCCACTCAAAGAAGCGTGGATCTCAGGTGCCCGTTCCTGGACTGCCGCACAACGCGAGTCATTCGCAAATGACCTTACGCGTCCTCAGCTCCTCGCCGTTGACGCGAGTATCAACCGATCAAAGGGGGACAGAGACCCGAAGGAGTTTGTCCCACCCCTGGAGAGCTACGTGTGCACGTACATACGCGCGTACGTCCAAGTGAAGCATTTCTATGCGATGACGGTCGATTCGGGGGAGAAGACTGCGATTGAGGGGTATCTTAGTGGTTGTTAAAGTTCAGCGTCTCTTTGAGAGGAGGAGAGCAAGGTCTGTGTGTGTGGGAGGTAAGTGGACTTGGATTTCTGGGTTCAGTGAAATGGTGTCTCTATTTACTATAATACAAATGCGAATGCGAATACGAAAGTACATGATAGAAGAAGACATAAGTTAGAACTAAAACTAAGCCTGCAAGCTAAATTTGTAAATGTGCTTTTGAATGAAGTCTGCTTTGTGGAGTATGCCTTTCCTACTCTCCAGACTAACTTATAGAAAGAGCCTGGTTTACAATAATGTTCTGATTTTTTGGGGTAGCATTGTTGCAGAAGTGGTAAAATATGTGTGCATTCTAATTCATGCTGCTTATGGACTTTTGTTCTTTCCAGTGGCGTTGGCATGTTACTGAACTGAAATTACACTTGCATTGTTCATGTTTGGATTCAAATACAAGTATCACTTGGAGAGGGCAACCGCGATCAAACTCGTACATCACCATATGCAGAATGATAAAGATAGAAAGATCGAGGGGCGATGAAGAGGTAGCATAGCGTGGTTTTACGTGGTTTTTGTCTGGGTGCGGTTGCTTCACTTCACTTTCTTAGGAGTTTTCCCTATTGATTATACTCGTCGTTCGTTTCCACGATTGTCTTCGTTCGGCTGAGAGTCATCCTCTTGTCCTTGTCCCTGCTCTTGCACTTGTTCTGAATAATTCTTATGATCCGGGATGCCAGTATGTTCAGGCTTTGCATGATGCCCTTGCGAATTGAAATCACTCCTACAACAAGCAAAAATCACAATGATTTACATTCATATCGCGATTTCCCAAGATATAAGAAACGAAGAACGCAAGGAACATCCTTACAGCAAGATGAGTTGCTTCAATTTCCCAAAGTTGGGTGTTCCGAGACCGGTCACTGTTTGATAAATGAAGTCCAGTAAGTCTTGTGATATGGAATAGATTGGAAACCTGAACGACTGACCTGGGTCCCAACCGACGGACGTATTGAAACCTACAAACAGGGTAGGACATGTTTTGTGGGACTCCGCACCAAAGAAAAGGGAGGAACGTACCTGGTGTACCACACCCAGGGTTGTTCCCGATAGTTATATCGTTGAAACCCGCCTTGCCAATAGAGTAAATGAAGGGATTCAAGAATCCCAACGGCGGTTTCCCATTCGACAGCCTAACGTCATTCAACATGCTGACGAAGGCTGCAAACGCCGGCGAAGACGCAGACGTCCCGCCAATCAAGCCAGGGCGGCCTTGGAAGAATATTTTGAAGTCGTCTGCGAGGGCACTGACGTCCGGGATAGCCTATTACGTGAAATGATTATGTTTATAGAGACGTGATATGAAAAGCATTCTTGATATACTCACCCTTCCGTTGCTAGAAATGTGAGCAATGTGAGAAATGTGAATGACGCTGTCATGATTTGAGAGGCTCACGGGTTGAAGAGACCTGCATATGTTCCATTTGGGAGAGCGTCTAGGTACGCTTGGACCACTTCGTCCTGGTACTTCGGGCGAGCAAACTATGCGAAAGTTAATGAAATAGGTCAAATCATTACGGCATCTGTACATACAAAGTTGCTGAAGCCTCCTCCAGAGAAATCCACAGCTACCTAAAGTAACATCAGTGAATATGACATGTGGATTAGTAGAAGTCATTCAATTTACCTCAGGAATGAAGATGGTCCCGCCAACTGCCGTGACACTACACGAATTGTCAGCGCAAACATACAGATAACGACGATTTCGCTCACAAGGGGCAACTCGCCGGGAAACCCGGTATGAATTCAGTCGCATTGCGCCCATCATTGGTAAAACACTGCTGCGTCGCAGGATCTGTGTACATCAGTGCTTTAGCACATCGTCAGAGCGAGAGTAAGTACGGAGGCCTACCAGGATCACCGTCTCCCACGCCGCCGTCGCCGGAACTGAATGTGAGAGTTACTCCACGGGCTCCTGCACCGTAGCAATGAATTAAATAAGTAGAGGATTTTAGGTACGTTTGAGGGCATACCAAGTTGAGCGAATCCATTGCAAACTCGTTGAGCAAAGCTTCTGGGTACTGACAGACAACAATGAGAGAAGTGACCAAGGAAACATGAAACAATAAATTATGAAACTAAATTATGAATCGCTACCTGTCTGCTCGTCATCTCCATAACTCGTTGAGATAGTCTGAGGCGGGTTCTTCTGAGCGAGTACGAAGTCGAGCCACTATTACGAGCATCAAAATAACTTGCCGCACATGAAAAGGAAGCCACTCACTTTTGTGTATGGCTCGTTCGTGTTTGTCGGAGAGCCTACATCAGGGATAAACGGAGGCATGCCCTCTGTCGAGTAAAATATTGAAGGCGTTGGGAAGGTAAGGCCGAAAGCGAATTGGGTATCGAGATTTGCCTCTACACCAGCATCGGAAATGTTCTGTGAGTTCTGGCCACCTGGAAAGGAACACTAAAAATCAGAACAGTGGCGTAACTACACGATAAAGACCCGTGCGAACCGTTTACCGATATAAATTGGAATGACGAATTCAGGGCGTCGGGCCTCTGATCGGCGTAGAACAGTTGGAGATCAGCAATATTCGCGAACTGTTCGAGATAGCCGGTTATGCCAATCTGGTTGCCAATCTTCGCTGACGTATTAAACCCAACCGCGTTGTAGAGCTGTTTCAGGCAGGTGACTGTAACAGTTGTGTTGCAACTGGCGTCTACGTGAACACCGTTGGGTAGGTCAAGTACCGAATTGTTAGCCGTTGCCGTAACGTCTTGATTGGCAGACCATCGGAACGTCGTCCTTTGCTTTTTCATGCGAGCGAACATAGTGGTCGGTTGAACCAATTCAACATGTTCAAGGACACTTTCGGGGACGCTGTATTCGAGCGTTCGTACACTAGTATCCCCACTTGCTTCGTGGGTCCAGAGATAGTATTCCTTAATACAAATGGGACAAGCATGAGTTGAGTCCCAGACTACAACGTCTCAGACTCACTGTGTTCAGCATAGCCTCTGCCAAAGCGACCGGGACTCGCACCGTCACCCAGTCTTGTGCAGGAGAGCGAATGAGTTCATCGGTGTTGATGCCATGAGAGGCCAGCCATTCATCTACGGATGCAATGCTATCGGCGTGCGGCGCGACGAGTGCTTCCACTTCTTCCTTTGACAGATGTTGTCCGTATCTGACGTGCCCGGGATCACTGACCTCATACAAATGTTTTTCCAACGCATGAAAAGACGGTTGAGGAAGAGCTATCTTGAGTTCCAGGATGTGTCCCGATGGAGCGCGTTTGCCTTTCAGCCATCCTCGAGGATGCGAGACCCGCTCCTTCAACCGGACTCTACCGCTATCTGTTGCAGCAGAACTACCAAGGGCCACCAGACAAGCGGAAAGAACCAATAAAGTCCATATATGCAGGCCCGATAGAGGAGCCATCGCAGCCACGTTGCTGAACAAGGTGCTCAAAGAACTGACAAGCACACTCGCATTGCACGAACGAGCGGTGACTCTTATGTATACGCACGCAAACCGTGCGACTGGGCTACGACTTTGCACGTCGTCCTATAGCAAGATTGCGATTCTTGGGTGATCCCTTCCGACGCATAAGTATACGGCATCCACATCACGTCTTCCCCCTCCATTTATGGTACGAAGATGCCCATTTAGAACGGAGACCCATGTGCAGCACGTTGTCGTGTGGAATACATTGCCATATATGCCTGTAAGAATTTCCCAGACAGTGAAGGAAGTACCAAGATCATGGTAGGGCCGTAGATAGACAGAATCGTAGAACATTCAGAGACATTGAAGACCTTTGTTTCGATGTGTCCAACAGTGATTGGAGCCACAATAACCGAGGAGAAGAACTGCTAGATTAAGTAGACGATAGAAGTAATAGAACAGGCCTGATAGTCGAGTGACTCGAGTCTCGCAGTTTGTACCAGACCGTGAGATCTAAGCACCATGTTTGGCTCATGTAGACACAAATTTTGGGTGCCATGACTGGCGGCGCGCAGTCATCTACGTGTAGCAATATGGCAGGGCCAGACTCGATATCGGTATTCGCAGAGGGAACCTTTGAAGAGCAGGTATGGTTTCCTTCATACTGAAGGGGTGCTTCTTCTAATGAAGACCAGGTACAAGAACTCGTAGACTACATTGCCCGTACGAGACCAGAAACCGAACAGGCCGAGTTCAAACGGCCCTTTGCGGATAGCTTAAAGACGTCGGAAGGCCAAAAGCCTATAGCAGAAGATGAAGAAAGAAAGCGCAACGTAATCTCGCAAGTAGTTGGAAGTGTGGATGGGTTAGGCGAAGGTTCCGACAGAGGTACGAATGTATGAGTTGGCACGGTCGCCTCAAAACTGACTTACTGTCTCGATATCTTAGAAATTGAAGGATTTTTCAATTTGCTCTTTTCATACCTGATCGATGTCTATACATTGGATTCTCAATCTCTTTCGCGAGATGTGTCAAGAATACTAGATGTTATCTCGAACCAAAGTGCCAAAGAGCACGTTTCAATAAAGTATCGGATGTGAGTCGGTAGTCAAATTCCCTCCTTCCTAAAACAATAGTGATGTTTGTTTTACTACAGCCTCGCAAATCTCTTTAACGCAATCCCACGGACATCGCCTGTTCGGCTTGTTGTATGCAAGACTCTATTAAGGCTTGCTGTGGAGAATGATGAGCTGGATAACCTGCGTCTCAGGACCACTGATGTGGATAGATGGTTGAACGAATGGAATGCCTCCGCGGAAGAGAAGTGCGAATTTTTAAAAAACGTGGCGGATGCTTTCGCTTCCGCGGGTCAACTGTAGGGACTCTTTTAAGGTTTTTTTGGATTTCCCTATCTGATCTGGTTCATCGTTTCAGTGAAACGGCTTTTGCCTTCTCGATTTCTCACGTAAGATCATTGCCACCTTCAGAATCGACCAGGCCGAGCCTGCAGCTTATTGCGTTGGCCCTTCGAATTCCAACGGTTTTTGACTTCGACCCAGTGCTTAAATTGGAAAGCGTCCAAACCTTGAATGGTAGTCAACTGTACGGTCTCCTCAATATCTTCAACAAGGGAAGCCTAGGTGAATTCAACTCATGGAAAGAGAAGAATCAGTCAACTGTAAATGAGTACCGTACGTGCAGTTGTGCATGAGCATGGCCTTCTCTTGACGTGGTTGTCATTTAGAACTCGATGTGGATCAGTTGGAGAAAAAACTGCGATTGCTGGTGCTGTCAGAACTTGGATTTGCCAAAATCGGACAGAATATTCCTTACAGCGAAATTGCATCCTCACTGCAAGTCGAAACCTCCGAAGTGGAGAAATGGGCTATAGACGGTACTGCTGCAAGTTAATTGGAGATTAAGGCACTTGGGCTAACGAATTTGCAATAGTCATTCGGTCCGGGTTGCTGTCTGGAAAATTGGCGCAGACTACACAGACACTTCATGTCGTTCGCGCTTCTCCGCGCGGTTTTGCCATAGAACAGTGGGCTGAGCTCGAAAAACGGTTACTCACATGGAAGGAAGGGCTTGCTGGTATCCAGAATGTTCTCTCCGCCACCCGGCAGTCTATTAGTTCAGCCGTAGTACCAGAGCAAGCCGCTTAACGCTCAGCTCTCACGGAGTCACCGGTTGTAGTATCTTCCAATTCCATGTGCCGTTGCTTTAATTTGTTCTGTGATACAGTGAATATTATTGCTTTAGACACCGATTTCGGCGCTATAATATCGGTGAATGCCGCAGTTCCTGCAGCTCACCATAGTCTCATTGCCACATATTACAATTACAGAGGCCATAGGGTTGTTTGGAGGAGGTGCCGTTAAGTAAGGATAAACTCTGCTCTGCGATAACCATGGCCAATGGTCAGAAGTGCTACCTTCCCTGTAATTACGGGAACAACCGAGCATTGAACGACAGCACTGAACCCTTGTGTCCTGAACAAAAAGTCTGAACGGTCTCTGGACCTACCTGTTTTGATATTCATGACGTTGGTTTTTAGTCCTCATTTCCGCACGCTGAACGAATGACCTTTGCAAACCCTGCGTCGTCGCGCCTCGATGTTGAGTTTTGCTGCAATGCAATGGGGTGGGGCAGTCCACCGGAAAGTCTTGAACTTTATTCTCTGTTAGCAATGCTAGGTATAAGCATAACAATGCGCCAGTGCCAACTTCGTCCGGCCTCATGTTCTTGCACCACATCACTTTATCGATGCGGTATACGCACCCTAGGAAAGCATGGCGGCATAGTCTGAGCGTAATGAACATCTCGGTCCTGATGGGATGGTACGCCGTTCATGTGCCGCCAGTATAAATGCAATGGATCGACTGATGAAATGTTGACTTCAACGGTAACTGATCTACTGTTTATGCCCAACTAGCTATTCCTGGACTACCTTTCCCGACTTCATATGCTAACAAATTCAATCTTTGAATGCGGGGGCCCGATGGAGAATCCAACCTTGCGCGCCTTCTTGCTGCGAGGCTGCACATAAACCGTCATCCTTGGACCCTACCGTGGAAGGATGGCCATATTCTAAGCGCCACTTACATGAATGTAGGTACAAGATGGTTATTTAATGCGAATCCAACGGACAGCGCGCCCCCAGAGACAGAAATACTAACTGGAAGGCGGACCTTGCATTGTGAGAGAGGCGAGTATGCATGTCTCGAGAAGACTGCTAGCAAGATACTCCGACCAAGCCGGGTGTGCTCCGTGCTCCAACGCGTATGCCTCCCTAAATTCGCGAGATGACTGTTTGTGAGGTATAAAAGAGGCACTTGAAAGGACAACTCCCCGCAACATCGATCTGCAGCATACAATACCATGTCGAGTGGTAAGCCTTCGGTCCGATTCATCGTCGCTTTCGGCTAACGCACCTCTAGGAACTGTTAGACTCAACAATTGTCAGCGCCGAGAGCCGCAATAACCTACTGCACCATGACTAATTTGCTAGCAGATCTTCAATCGAAGGGTCTCCCGACCGCGGTATCCTGGGTAGAAGTCAGCAAGCCTCCCGAGCACGCGCCTACATGGCTTTGCGAGTGCAAGAGTACGTGCCGAGCTTTCTAGAACATGAAGTTGCTTTGAGTATGTCTAATTCTCTCTTTTTTTGTCCAGTCTCTGGCAAGAGTTACGGGGTAAGTTGTAGCCAACCAATAGCAGCATTCTCGCGTGTCTTATGTCATTTCTGACGAATAGATCGGCCAAGGATCTACGAAGCAAGCTGCCCGGAATGTTGCGGCCGAGAAAGCGATGGCAAGGATTGACGCAGAAGGCGGCCTTTAGGGTAGGCACTAGTCATTTGTCCTTGTTGTGTTGTGTCTGTTCGCCTTTGTCGTATCTGCTTCTTTTTGAGCCGCATTATGGATTTTTCTTTCTTCGTTGCCCATGGCGAGGCTGAATGTCTAGCCAGTGACTCAGTATCCACCGAGAATTTGTGATCATCTATCACCCGAATTGTATTCTTCTGCCACAAACTTGTACCTAGTTTCAATCATTCAGATTCGGATGCCCACCCCGACCCGACAATTTATTTGACATGCAAAGCATAGTCTTAGTAGCTGAAAGTCGCAATTAGACACTGTTAGTAAACAGCGCTGGATCGTTGCGTTTATTTTTGACATTGTCGACCTCTCAGCCACTGCACGAAACATTCAACCCCCACATGATCATACTGGAGTCTTAGGCTGTCTCTAAAGATGAGCCGAGCTGCCTTGATCTAGTGCCAGTATGGAGGTTAAGCGGGGTGTATTAGATGAGTACATTGTGGGTAACTAGTGGCTGCGTGACCGGAGAAGTTTGGAGACTTAGCTGGCCAGCGGCAGGTGTACCACGTTGCACCCTTCTCTTCCCTCGCCCTCGGTCACCGCCCTATCTAATATATTCTCTTTTCGCGTACCATCAACAAGAAACTTTATTTCTACTTTACTGCCTTGCTATTTATACAGCACCCTACATCTAGCAGCCTTCTACTGTCATTGCAACACCCTCCTCTGATAAACGGCCAAGGTCAACAAGACGTCTCCCCCCTCTATGAAAACTGGGTTAATCCGGTCTGGAAACCACCAACCTCCATGGCTTGCAAGTGGGCTCTTTGCTGCTCGTCCTGCATGCCCTCACATTGCATTTCCATTCGATTCACATGGGTTTGCTTCGGTCCTCAATCAGCACCTTGCATTGTTCACGCCACGATTCCACCCTCTCCCCACCCAGTGACTGGGCCTTAAGGTTCACCCACGATCTCTTCTCGGTATGTATCACTGATTATCGCACGATCGAGAAAGGAAGGACTTGTTTCTGTTTATGTCAGAAAATGTCGGTATTTTTTTCATGCACCCTTGTTGGTCGTGGTCAGATGAGAACTCTAATTTGTATTCAATCCACTCAAAGCACCCAGAGACCATGCTACCCTGTCTATGCTTCCTTACTGTCTCCTGGATGGAGGGTGGCATTACTGCTTGGCGGGATCTGGCTGCAGCTCGTTATCTGAAACAACGTGCTGAACATGCCCAGTCCGTCCCATTCACCACAACATCGTTTGTTCCGTTAGTGAGTTGCCAGTGATACATTACATCTTCTTGATACATTACATCTTCACCAGCAGCCAGCAGGCCTAGCTCGGGAGGAAGGGGAAAGTCGACGTGGAAGAATTACCTATTTATGTTAACAGTGCCGGAAGCATGGAGAAAATCAAACGAACCTCCTTCAGTATTTGCGTGTAAGGGATGACGTTCTCTCCTCATGCAAATCCTTCTGTCTGGCCTGGATCCGTAAGGAGGCAGCATGAAGTATTGTGTTTAGAAGGTATGGAAGGTAACCCGACGTACTTCGGACCAGCATGTGTGTAAACACAGCACGCGAACTGTAATTTTAAGGACCGTTTTACCCGGGCGATGCATTTTATTAACTTCCATCTGTCTAAATGTGTGCATGAGCAAGACCGACTCCACGTTCTATGATAAAGCTCTTACCCTAATTTACAAGATAAATAACATGCTAAAATAATTAATCTAAAGAACGAGGCGAATAATTGCAATCGTCTCTCGCTGCTCACTTCTTGCATCGTCATGAACCGTCAATGCAAGGCGAGTCAGCTGAATGTACTATCTTTCGATTGGTAACCGGCGTTTCCGCAAGTGCAACGTGTCGCAGCCTAGGGGAATCAACGATGTCGGACTGTGAGTGTAACTGAAGAGATGGGGGAGGTGAACGCCGCCGCTTTGGCGTACTCGGACGTGGGAGAGAGCTTCCCTGGGATCGGAAGCTGCTTCCAGCCGAAGAACTCAGGGGCGGATAGGCATGCGGTTCATCCGCTTCCTCCGGCTCGTCTAGGCTCGTTCTCGAGGATAGGTATTTCTGCTCATCTACAAGACTGGTCTTCGTTTTTACGGATTGAGACGCAGAGCTCGCAAGGGGAGGGTTCTCTATGTCAAATCGGTGGGTATGATCGAGCGTCTCGTCGTCGTCGTCGGATGCAGTTGCACTGAACAGCGGTTCTCGGTCTGCTGATTGCCTCGGCGATGAAGTAGGATTGAGATCGTTATCTTGGGTTGTGGCTTTCACAATTGAGTCGATCAACCAGAACTGAAGGATGTTCATAGCAATTGGAAATAGACCCATAACGCTGTATCGGGTGCCATGTAAACCTTAAGGAACACGGGATCAACATGCACGTTTCGGAACTCACAAAATCACCTGCACAGCGTCTCCGCCGCCAGTCCAAGCCAGAAGCCAGTCGCCAAGCTTAAAAATGCCCGGTAAGATGGCGAGGAGCCCAATCACAATGAATTTCATGGTTGTGAGTGCAGTGACGTAGATTGCGGCTTGACGTGCCCAGTACAGTATAGATGGTGGAGTGCCGTACTGTCCGGATTGAAAACCCTTCATTTGAAGCATGTTCGAGAATACGTGTGTAAGGAAGCGATGAATGAAATAGATCAGAGCAACACCTAGGAATCGATTAGCAAAGAAAAATAACTCGGTTCTTTAGGGGTGTTGGGGGCGAACCTAAAGTGGTATCAATGAGTATATTGAGGAAATATGTGTTACAAGGATTTGTTGATGCATGATGTGCCGACACGCCGGATATTAGGAGATTCATGCCATGGACGAACATTTGCCCGACGATCTGTTTGGAAACATCAAATGCCCTAGGCGAAGATATGAAAAAGGGTAGGTCAATTGAATAGCCAGTATACAAACCATATCCTCCAAGGCCGCTTGGAGGACTCCCTATGGCGCTTGTATACCAATGAAAGAATAACCAGGACGCCCATAAGAGCCTGTACGACCTATTAGAGATGCATTGGTGATCTGTTTAATGCCAAACTGGGAGGGTGGATGCATCGTGGACTTACCAACGCAGTCGGACCAAGAAGGCGACATTTACGCTGGTCTACGGGGAAATCCTCGTCGAAAAATGAAGGGGGCGAAGTGTCTGAGAGCGTGTCGGACATGGAAGTAGCATAGAAACATGGCGCGAGCAAAGTGCGGGTAGTAGTAGTACTGGAGTGTGACGCTCGCGACACCGGCTCAGGCCGAGCCGGAACAAGCAATCTAGTGATGCACAGCAACAGTACACGTCCTCGTTCACAAACCACGACTATCAAGCACTATCTCCTTGGGATAAGTACACTTAGGCTGTCGCTCCTTCCCTCGGTCTGCGTGGTCCAATCGTTTCGTTACAATGAGTTTCTTCGGTAGGTCATCCGGCGGCGGGCCGCCGTCAGGACCGCCTGGTGGTAGTAATTACTCGCGTCTGCCTCCAAATCCTTCATACAACGTGCCTCCCTCAAGCACTCGCTCTGGTCAGCGTGTTCCGCCGCCCCGTGCAGAAGACCTCTATGAGAAGCGTTCTTACGATCAACGAGCACCTTCTCCTAGCGGCTACGGAAATCGAGATGCCAGTCGAGGATCAGGAGGGTAAATTAGCTCACTAAATCAATACAAGTACCTGTTAATCTTACATGTCTTCAGGTTCAGAGTCGTTCAATGTCCAAGCGATGCTCTTGCATTGACAAACAAACTTATTCTGCACCCTCAGGCTGGGTTTCGTGACGGTGATCATGTCATCGTCAAAGATGCATTTCCGGCAACAGTCAAGTCGGTAGTTTAACTTTGGTATCGATTAAGGAGACTAATTCAGTGTCCTGCCAGGCTTGACAACACAGGAAAATTGCACCCTCATGAAGTTGGTGCTTCAAGTATGCACCGTCAGTGGATGGGCTTGAGTCTGTCGGGAGACCAAGTCCCCATTCAGCCATTGCCACCAGCCATGTCTCGTGCCTACCTTCAATCATTAGATTTAGACGTGGGATTTCTCAAACCACGACACGAAATTGCAGAGCAGTTCTCGACAGATGAAATGGCTCACACTTTTGTAAAAGCTTTCAATGGCCTTATTTTGGGGTTGGGAGAGTCCATCGTGTTTGACTTCCACGGCCAAAATCTCAAAGCCGTCGTTAAAGGATTGAGCGGTGTCGAAATGGGCGCTGGGGCTCCAGTGAAAGGATTAGGTATCCTATTTGACAAGACAGATATCAATATCATGAAGGCTGGTGATTCATTGATCAAGCTCAAAGGATCCTCTAAGAAGTATGAATGCATGCCTATTTTATTTCTGCTTAACTGAGTCTGAATCATCTGCAGAGCTGCACCCAATGCCATTCTTGCGCCGAACTTCAAATTCGAGGACATGGGTATTGGTGGTCTTGACCAAGAGTTCAGCAATATATTCCGTCGAGCATTTGCCTCTCGTGTCTTCCCTCCTGGGCTCGTCGAAAAGCTTGGGATTCATCACGTTAAGGGTATGACTAACTGAAAAGATTCTGTGTAATCACCCAGTGTTCATTATAAGTTCGTTATAGGTATTTTACTGTATGGGCCACCTGGAACGGGCAAGACTTTGATGGCCAGACAGATCGGGAAAATGCTAAATGCTCGAGAGCCGAAGATTGTCAATGGCCCCGAAATCCTTAACAAGTTTGTTGGTCAGTCTGAGGAGAACATCCGGAAGCTCTTTGCTGAAGCCGAGACCGAAGTAAGTTTGATACTAGTTGATTAAAGCATCAGCTGACATTATTTAAGTACAAAGCGAAGGGGGATGAGAGCGGCTTGCATATTATAATCTTCGATGAACTGGATGCAATTTGCAAACAGAGAGGATCAACAAGCGGAAATACTGGTGTTGGCGATAGCGTCGTCAACCAGCTGTTGTCGAAGGTGAATAGATTTAAGACCGAGTCAACGTTGTTATCATGTCGTTTAACATGGTACAGATGGATGGTGTCGATCAACTCAACAACGTTCTCATAATTGGTATGACAAACCGTCTTGACATGATCGATGAGGCTTTATTACGTCCCGGTCGCCTGGAGGTTCATATGGAGATCTCACTACCCGATGAACACGGGAGACTACAGATTTTAAACATTCACACGGCAAAGATGAGGACGAATCGTGTTATGGACACCGATGTCAGTCTAGAAGAACTGGCCGGTCTAACTAAGAACTTCTCTGGTGCGGAGATTAGTGGCTTGATAAAGAGCGCAACCAGTTTCGCATTCAATCGACACGTAAAGGTATGCAACCAGCCTGTCTTCGCACATTTTGATTTCTGAGCTTGGTTAGGTAGGAACTATGGCAGGCATTTCAGATGATGTGGAAAATCTGCGGGTTAATCGGGATGACTTTCTAAGGGCTCTTGATGAAGTACATCCTGCATTTGGTGTGGCAGAGGAGGAACTGCAGCAGGTCATCCAAAACGGCATCATTCATTTCCACCCTGTGGTCGATGTACGTGTGTACCACAGATCAGGAAGAGACGATCTTAACCGACTTGTTTGCCACAGGAACTTCTGCGGGACGGACAACTGTTCGTGGAGCAGGTGCGGACGTCCACAAGAACGCCACTTGTCAGTGTGCTTCTTCACGGACCTCCTGGTTCCGGGAAGACTGCAATGGCTGCAACTATTGCACAGGCATCACAATTCCCTTTCATCAAGCTCGTGTCCCCGGAGTCCATGATCGGCATGTCACCCACTCAGAAGATATCTGCAATAAACAAGGTGTTTACGGATAGCTACAAGAGCCCATTGAGCGTGATAGTCATCGACAATATCGAGCGTCTTCTTGGTAAGCGGCAACTGACTGAAAACTCGTGTCACAGTTTTCTTATCTTGTAATTCAGAGTGGGTTCCCATTGGCCCGAATTTCTCAAATGCTGTTCTCCAGGCGTTGCTCGTTTTACTTGCTCGCCGGCCACCCAAGGGTCGACGTCTATTAATAATCGCAACCACTTCAATCAAGCCTATGCTGGTCGAAACGCAGCTTTCAGAAGTGTTCGATGCAGACCTGCGTGTGCCACCTATTTCTTCTCTCGAATCACTAGACATCGTTCTTCGAGAAGTCGAGCTGTTTGCAACAGACGAGGAACGCAGACGGGCCGTTGCTCAAATCGAAGAAGCCGGCTTTGGGAAGGATATGGCAGGCTACGGCGGCACACGTATGGAAATTGGTATCAAAAAGCTATTAAGTTTCATCGAGATGGCTCGACAAGAGCCAGAGTTTGTTGCTGAGAGGCTAACATCTGCGCTAATGGGCCTAAAAATGTGATAATCTGCTGTTTACCTAGTTGTCTAGATCCCCATAATCCACTGATATGACGTGTGTTTATAAATGTTACACCACGTCTTCTTTTTCCGGATGATAATAATAATATTTGTGTACAAAATCTATAGATCGCTTTCTAGTATTACCATTCCCCATCAAACCCAACAAAGCCTAAAAACCTGGTCAGTAAAGGATGAAGGAGAAAGGGGACAACTGCTTGGATTACCTGCTAGAAGGAATACAGGGAAATATCGCTTCTTTTCTAATTGCGATGTCCACTGCCAGGCAGACGTCAAACGACCGTCGATACAAGAGCCAGCGTCGAAGAACTACATTTAGAATCCTCAGTGACTTTACTTTCATCAAGTTCAAGTCAGCAAATCTCACGTTGTCAGCGCCCGAGCCGTCGAATGCATGGCGGAAGAAATCACCAAGTATCTCTCTGTACAGATTATCTTCGGAACCAAATTCATCGTCAATGTAAGAACGAAGAGCTGGCTTGTCCATGAGATTCGGGATTTCTTTTAGGACGTTGGTTATAGGCAGAAGAATACGGTAAATTTGGGAATATTTGTCTGAGGAAGAATCTGTCTTTCAGCCAGTGTAAAGTAGCACTGAAATTAATTTCAGCGTACCTATGAACATGAGAGCATTTGGTACGTTATGGTCACCCATATGGATCGCAGCTGAACCGACCCAACTGCCAATATTGGTTTGTGCACGGTGCAAAATGGCATGCATCATGCGTAACGTCTTCGGAGCTGCTTGTACCCGATTCAAGCCCTGTCCGGTGTCCCTCAGCCTGTACGTGATATCGGATGATAGAAGGTCGGCTTCGGCAAGGTACCAGAGATGAAAGAACTCTAAAAAGTAGGGTCCACAGCTCGCGTGAAGTCCTAGAAATACTTTGAATTGGTACTCACCGTGCAAGATCTCTTTCCATAGAGTCAAACTTTGCAGTACGTACGAATATTGTCTAGCGTGGTCATGAGTGAGACGAGCGCCACCCTTCCCGCTCCGAATAGCGAGCGAGGCCTTATTGTCTTTCGGATGATGAGCGTCAAAGTATCTTTTCAGGTATCCAATCATCTTCCCACAAGGATCACGGTTAACCCGTAAAAACGCGTGATTGTCGCTGATGCTGTATATGCATTGGCGGACAGCTTCCTGATCTAGATCCTTTGATGCATATTTTTTCGACAAGACCTCCACGGCTTGTTCTTTCTTTCTAATGTCCTTCTGGACCTCGCGTCGCGAGCGGCCTTCGGAGTATATCTCCCCTGTGGCGACAGCAATAAGATTGTCCCGCAAGAGTTCAAGGGCATTGTTCTGTTCCAGTACTAAGGAACAATGCACATGTGAGAATTAATTGGTCACATCCGATAGCCGACCGCCGACCTTACCGTTATAAACTGTGACGATTGGCTTGATGCACGAGAAGTTTAGGAGTTCCTGAACTTCGGGAATAGCGCTATCCTAATACCAGATTAGGACGCCGTACATCGCTGGAACGGGATGAAAGCCCTTACCTGTAGAATATAAATGAGTTTTCCGTAAGTTGTTCTCATTTTGTCGGGATTCATAATTTTATGCCGACGTCCAAGCTCGAAGATTTGTTGGTAGAAGTCTGCATTGGCCTCGAAATCACGATCTGAGAAGAGTTCTTGGCCCTACGATGATGCGTGAAGCGGGCATATGAGAAATGGAAGTTAGGGAAGCATACCTGCTTGTAATCCGCAGCGAGCACTAGACCACTTAATATTGCACATATCTCTTTGATTTGAGCAACTATCCGCTTCACTTTTGAGCCAAAATGTAGAATATCTATCTTATCCGTGTATTCTGAGACTTGTAACGCCGCTTCGAGCAAGCGGAGATATTTTCGTTCTGGCAGTGTTAAACGAAGAGGAATGTACTTTGCACGCTCAAGGAACCAATCCCCCACTGCTGAACCGGGCGCTGGCTGTTGTCCGCTCACATCCGCTGACGATGCGTTCGGTGCGGGTTCATCAATGACGTGTTCCCAGTCTGAACCACCGTCTTCATCCATCTGCTTAAAACGATTAATAAAATATATTTATTCGGTGATATAAATAGACGCCACAGACCTTGTCATCTTTTCCAGTCGTTCCGTTCTCAAGGACTTTGGCCCTCTTCGCACGTCTTTGTTTAACCATCAGAAGCTTTTGCATGTGTTGTTTCCGAGTACCCTTACGATGCTGAGCCGCGAAACAGACTTCGCAGTAGTTATCTGCGCACTGCTCGCAATTCACCTGAGCAGGCTGGTCTGAAGGTGCAAAAACACTCAGTCGCTATTATACGCGTTTGAAGGGGTGCGACACACCCTCGCACTCTACACAAAAGCCTTCCTTAGCAGTAGTACCATCCTCTTCGTCCCAGCCTTCCGGCTTGTCATCCGGTACTGGGACGTGGTGCTCGAGATACGCGTCCTTCGCCGCGTCGTCTGTTGAATCGAGGATGTCGGCCAGAGACAGACTCTTTGTAGCTTGCTCTTCTGACATTATATTGGCAGCCCAAGTCGAGTCTGTTACCAGAAAAAATGTCTAAAGTCTAAGTCTAGTAGCAGGATGAGAACAGAAGCAAAATTATTAAAAAGAACTTGATGATGTTCTCACGCGTGCTTTTTACGTGTGCCAATTCCGTGTCACCTGTGCACATGGGGCATTTCACAATTCCTTACCTTAAAAAATAACTTACATAATGATAAACATTATTTGAAATTTATTTTCCTATTTTTGACAAGCAAAAATTATAAACAAAATTTGTAATTTTCTTAAGACAAAAACTATAAATTATTTTTAATATTTATCTATTTGTAATATCTTTAAATAAATGGAAATAATAATCTAAAACATAATTTCAAAACAAAATTAGAAATTTTCTTTTAAATTTCTTCTTACTAGTACAGAGGAATAACAAAAAATTCAAAAGAAAATTTCTAATTTTGTTTTGAATTATG